AACAACAGCAAGAACAACAGCAAGAACAACAGCAAGAACAACAGCAAGAACAACAGAGACAGCAAGGACAACAACAACAGCAGCAACAACAACAACAAGAGCAACAACAAGAGCAACGACAGCAACAAAACAACAGCAGCAACAACAACAAAGCAGCAGCAGCAAAGCAACAGCGACAAAACAGCAGCAACAAAACAGCAGCAGCAAAAGCAAAACACCAGCAACAAACAGCAGCAAACAGCAACAAACAACAACAACAGCAACGACAGCCACAACAGCGACAATTTATATACTACGAAAAACCCCGAGCACTAATGTGAACACCAGAGGGCCCCTAAGATGCCACTAATGTGAATGCTAAAGGACTCCCTTCCCCTTTAATGTGAACACCAGAGGACCCCTAAGGCGCCTGCAATGTAAACACTAGAGGGCCCCTCGCCTTTAATGTAAACACTAAAAGACCCCCTAAGACGCCCTTCAGGTAAACACTGAAGGCCTTGCATGCTGCCACATTTTCAAGGGGAACCGGTGGCAGTGCTGCCGCCTTCCTCTTGTATTTAAAGCCTGCGCGCTCCCGCTCCCCTTTGCCGCAGCGCGGAGGGGAGTGCGCGCCCTTCGGGCGCCCGTTTCACCTTGTGAAACCATTCACCCCTGCCCACGTCCCTAAAGTATCCCTTTCCCTTCCTTAACGTCTCCCGGGGCACCCGGGCCCGGGGAATAGAGTATTATATCTATTTTCAAAAAGTTTTTAATATAAATTTTAAAAATAGTATTTGAGAAGTACAAATTATTCGATTACGTTTCTAAAAATCATTTTATTTACATTTTACAAGAACTAGAAGTAATTACTGATATCAACAACGTAAAAAATGGACGACGTTTAACTGCTCGCAACTGCTGCGGTTTAGCGTCGTCCATTCCATCACCTCATGCTCATGTTCTCCTTTCTGCTAGTCCTCCCCCTAAAAATCCATTTCCACCCCATAACGAGAATTACAAACCCTTTTCCCAGTTCTTGTGAATACTGCTTAGCAGTTTCCAAATCCTAGACAGTAGGCGACTGCGCCTCCATAATGTTCGTAGTCATTAGAGCTCGTCGCCTGATATCTAATCCATCATCTTGAGATGAAGATATATGATCATCTGAGAAGTAGTACTTAGTAAGTAGTAGGTAGAGGTAGTACGTTTCCATTGAACTACAAAAACCTCTTCAGGATGCACATTCTGAAACCTCTCGATTATGACTCTGCTCGAAAACTAGTAGAAGCCCTCTTACTTCAGGATGTCGCCCTTGCCTCGAAACAAAAGGTGGATGGATTAAAGTCAAAACCGGGCGTAAATTCGAAAAGAATGCGAATAAGGACGCCCAGGCCGCGCAGGCGGGCACCGTTCTCCACCGGGTTCAGGCGATACAGCTTGCGTTCCAAATCGTGCGAATGTTAGAAGAGTAGACGGCTGCCATCCGTTCCACTTCCATCCGATCCATCCAAGTCCATCCTACATCCGTTCTATAAACTACTCTGATATATTTTCGTGTCACGATTGAGACAGGATGACTCATTCAGATCCACCATGAGAACAATCTAGAAGGAGGAGAAGCGCAAGCACTTCTCCTAGCCTATCCTCGGCGGGACATGTGGGCATCCATTTTCGGGGATAATTTTCAGCCTTAAACTTCGCGGATAATTTTCCACGTAAAGGATCGCAGAGACCGCAAGAATAAGACCTTGCGCGGAGAAAACTCGAGAACCAGAATGAAAGTGGGAAGTAGATTAATAATAGCATGCGCAACTTGAGGTAACGATAGAACATCTCTAAGACGCCTAGTAGCCTGCTACAACATCACAAGTAAGAGAAACGATGACGGTAGAAGAGCCCAGATCTACAAGGGTAAAGAAAATGGGAGAGCTCATGAGAATTCAGACGATGCACATGATTTGTGCGGAGATGATCGCCATCCTAAGATCATTTTTGGGTAATGAATGTTCTTTAATTATGGATGAGCTCACTCGTTTCTTCAAAGTTTATTTCTATCTATTCGAAAAGGTAGTCTGTTTCTGCCCGTAGGGTCTCTTTGGGGGAAGTGTCCAGGAATAAGAGTGCCCACACTTAAGTAGGACAGGCGGAAGGTACTACTCACTTAAGTAGGACAGGCGGAAGGTACTACTTACCTACTACGCCTAGGGGAACAAGATTATAATAATATCGTCACGTTTGTTTGTCGGATGCATGCAGAGTCAAATGGAATTTTGCTGCTGAGCAGGAATCGCTGATGCTTCTTGCCTAAACATTAGCAAGAGTCGCTGAAACTATTCATCATGGAATTGGAGTATGTCTATCTCAATGTCATCTATGATCAAAAAAATTACTACCAAAAACAAGTCTGATTTCGATTTCCCTCATAATTTCGTCTGGAAATCGACCCAAAGAATTCTTCAGACAACACATATACGTCATCACCAGCGGCCACGCACCAATGTATATCCACATTAGAAGAGCGTCGACTTACTTGGATTCATCTAATCGATTTATTTACTCAAGCATGTGGAAATGGACAGCGGACTCTACAGATTCTGGTGACTCAGATTCCACATATTCGAACAAGAAGAGAAATGTTGTCGTGTATGAGAATGAGTTACTGTTTGTTACAGTTACTTTATCAGATTCAGATACAACACCTATGGTATACAACCTACGAGCTGTTCTTGTACACATAGAACATCAAGGAAAGCTTTCCATCTTGATAAAAAAAAAGATGAGAAACAACTTCATAGTCATGATCATGAAGCGAGGAGGTATAACTAGTACACTACTAACGACCCTGACGACTCGAAATCAAGTCAATATGATCAACATGGCCAACATAACATTCGCTCCAAGGGAGTGTCGCCATCGTTGTTCATGGTTTGGATCGACGTGCTAATAACTGTGCGGATCAAGTGAACCGGGACCACGACACGTTAGACAACTTACTAGCTGCTGTTCATCTCGGGGGTCATATCATGCGTCCGCTTCATGTCCCGATCCTAATTACCTAAGATGAAGCCCTATCTTCACATCATAGAAGCTCACCTACCCTAGTAAGACTAGCTCCTAAGTTGTAACTTATCTCGACCCCTTCTAATCTACTTCCCATGGAATAAAACCTTAAACATGAGGATTGTACGCGTATCCTCCGTCCACGTCGAGGTGACGCCAGAAGATGGCTGCATACTGTTCCAACGCCGAAAGATGATGCAACCACAGACAGCCAGATCCATCACGTGCGAAACCGCTTAAGACGTAGTAATTAGAAAAGCTCGTCAACATAGTTGGTTCCCGTTTATTTGTTTCGTCCCTTTAAAAGAGGAGCAAGATGATCGATGGATGCCGGGGAAGTACTACTAGATGTTGGATTTCTTGTAGCCTCTTTGTATGGTTCTGGTATTTGGTAACCTGAGTTCGATCCTTAGGGTTCTCTTCTTGTTTTCCCTTAGGATCAATTTCAGGTTACCAAATACCAGAACTATTCACTCTTAAAGTAGAGAAACTCTTGGCAGCAGATACAAGAGTAGCGGGCAATGTTCCGAAGAGCTTCTTCTAAATCTAAGTCTAACCCACCGCCAGTGTGTTACCCAAAGTCTCATCCTCCAGAATGTTGCCACCGGATGGAATCTAGTATTTCTTGTTGTAGCCACTACCACTACTAGATGGAATCTAGTATTTCTTGTTGTAAGATGGATTTAACATCTGTTGTAGCCTCTTAAAGTAGAGAAACTCTTGGCAGCACATACAAGAGTATTAGAACTAAGAGAAATCCATCTTGAGCAGCATCTTGGGTCTCGTTTTCCCTTAAAAACGGGACCAAGATGCCTCTGCAAATGGGGGATTTCTTGTAGCCTTAAGAGTAGCGGGCAATGTTCCGAAGAGTGAGACGGTCGCCAACGTACTCCAGAAACCCAAAGACTGTCTCAATGGCAGCAGCCGAGGTCGCACGGAAAAATGGTGGAGCTCCAAATCCATCCTTTGGCCCAGTGAGAAAGTTGTAATCCGGATAGGCTGCAGAGCTGGTTTAGAGCTTCTTCTGTAAATCTAAGTCTAACCCACCTGAAGAGTCGTGGAATAAAATCTTCTGATTTATTTTTTCCGTCATTTGAAAAAAAAAATAATGGTTTCTTTGGGGGACCAAGAAGCCTTAAGGAAAGTCATCGTCCTCTTGTTCTTCCATATCAATGCAAAAAAAAGCGCTTACATCGGAGCATAGCGCATTGGCGGATAGTAGGAGGATCGCCACAATCTCTTGAGCAGCATAGCCTTCAGGAGTCGTCACAGTCTCAGTCGCTCGAATAGCAACATCTTGCTCATCAACACTTTCCATATATTAGAGCAGGATCATGTTCATGCGGATGCATGGTAGTAGTGGTAGCAGTACCCTTTATTCAGATGAGTCAGTATTATATCAGCAGATTGAGATTCTATCTTCATTTATAAAAAAGTATATATTATGTTGACCTTGACCACGAAATGAATGATCCTAGTATGCTAGTAAAAGAGATCATTATGAACCTGAACATGAGCTTGGAGTGGATCCTAAAGAGTACCTGCTTCATGAAACATAGTTTTAGTTCATCTTAACTTTTCTTGGCGTTTTCGTTGTTCTCGTTCGTTGAGTCGCTGGTCCTCGCAGTTAATGCGACGTTGTTGACCTCCGCCTCTTCCTTGACAGCATTCATCTCGTTCGTTTTGACATCCTCGCTCGAGCCCGTACAAGTGTTGTTCATGTCCTTGTGGTCGTGTTGGGCAGTGTTGACGTTGTGCGAGGATTCAGCAGAACAAGATCCTGCGTTTTCGTTTTTAGTGCTCTCATCTTCAACATTGGAGGTCGTGTCTTTGTCTTTAGAAGTGCTCTCACCATTGGGAGAAGTGCCATTTCCGGAAGTACCATCTTCATTGTTCGACGACGCACAAGTAGACCTAGACGGCGACCCCGCAGTAATTGTCGAGGAAATTCGTGGTCGTTCTTTCTTTGACGTCGCGTCTTCATTTCCACCATCCACAGACATACTTCCTCCGCCAGCATCGCGATTGATGGAGGTTGCGACGACCTCCTCAGTGTTGGGATTGGCGGAGGTCGTGGCCACCTCGACGTCACTGATGTTGTTGTTGACTGCACCAACGTTTTCAGTTGTATTGGCCACAGGAGCCACCTCGTCACTGTTGTAGGCCACTACATCTTCTTCTTCACTAGTTTGTTCAGCGTTGGCCGCCAGATCTTCCCTAAAAGTGGCCACCACCTCCGGATTCGACAGTGGGAATCCTCGTGTGCGATCATAATAGTCGGAGATCACTTTCTGGAGGGGGTCGCGGCCGTCAGGGATGAGGCTAGCGCCACCAGTGCGCTCTTCCGGAGTTATGGAGAGGCAGGATTAGAAATAGTACTAGGCGTGAGAGAATAATTTGTAGACCTCGTAATTGTATCCGCGTTGCTGTAGTTCATCTGCTTCTAATAATAGTGTTGGAGCCAACCTATCTAGGAAAAGCGAAAAAAACGAAAACAAGGGAAGGTACAAAACAAAGTGCTTCTGATATATAATGTAAGTACTGGAAGTAGAAGTAGAAATTAGACCCAGAAATAGTACAAGACAAGGTCGTGCAAGTACAAGTGCAAGCATATTTTTCTTGAACTTGATATGCTACAACCTCTAGTACTACGATGACTCTATGTTTTCTTGGAAGATCGCTACTACTAGATGATGTAGAATATCAACAAGATCCACGACTATGTACTAGTGGATAACCATTGATTTAGACTTGTTTTGTACTCAACATCAAGTACCAATCAGTTTTCATCTTGGACGAGTAAGAGTATCACGACCACGACATACCCAAGAAGTACTGGACCTGCTTATTGTTCTAGGAACCACGAAAAGGAACGAGAATATCATATTCTTGATATGCTAGTACAACCTCTAGTACGATTACGATACTGCTACAAGAACTTTTCGTAATATGAGAAATGGCGGAAAGCGCGATGCAGAACCGTCTCGCCGTTGCTCAGCTTCGTCGACATGCCTGCGAGCGCAATACGTTCGAGCAGATTGACGACAACGTGATCGAAGGAGACAGTGGCGCTCGAGCGGTCGTACTTGAGGTCTTCGCACTTCTGGGCAAGCGTCAGAAAAAAATCGACCTGCTTCTTGTATTTGTTCCCCTCACTGCCATAGACTTGCTCGACGTACTCTACTTGCTGTTGCTCTTCGTCATCATCGGCGTTAGTAGTTTGGTGAACGTGCTCGTGCTCTTCGTCATCATCGGGTTTAATAGCTTGGCGAACGTGTGCGCGAAGATCCTTATGGTGACCAAAAGAAGTGATAACGTTCGTAGGGAATTTCACTGCACCAGGCTGATCTTCAGGAAAATTGTTGTTGATGTTCATGCTGTCGGTGTTGATCTTGTTTCCTTCACTAGAAGATCTTTTACCAGCTTGCTGGACAGTGTTGCTCGGATTCGGTGTGGCGGCGACGTCGACAGTCTGGAGCTCAGTTTTCAGCTGTTCGATGGTCGCGCGCAGTTGGCTGAACTTGCCATCATCATCAACATGGTCAGACTTCACCTTACCACTGTCCTCCTCCTTCATCACCTTGCTGAGCATCTTGCTCAGCATCGACACCTTGCCGCCCTTCTCGTTCTTGGGCCACGAAGTGAGCGGGTGGAAGAGGAAATCGATCGGATACACTTCGGCCGCGTCGATTTTGTTGCCTTCATTAGCATTAGGCTTTCACTATCGTCCATGGCTTGGCGAGTTTCTTTTTAGTAAGTACTTTCATCCCCCAGCAGCTTAATGTTGTGTTCCCCCTCAGAATCAGGGGCGGGAGCGTCTTTTTCTGCACCACGGAGGATTAAGTTTTTAATTACTATGCCACCAGATAGTGATGCACTAGCCTTAACTTCCGCATCCTTGGAGAAGATGTCGGACTTCGGGCCATGCTTGGAGTCGAAGACCGACTTGTAGAGGCATCCCGTGTTGGGATCCGCTCCATGATCGAGGAGAACCAAAGCTGTTGCAGAGATTAGAAGACAAGTGGGAGCACTAGCGCCCGTGTATTTCAAGATGAAGAAGAAAATCGTATTATTTAATATTGTTATGGATGTTGCGAAAAAGGAAAACAAAAGCGTGCCTCTAGTTCTAGTGGTAGTGCCAGATGCAGATTAAAAAATTGAGGAATCCTTCCGAACAGATTATGCTTGAGCTAAACACGACAGAACTAAGTACGAGACCCGCCAGCAGTTGGAGGAGGTTGCTCAGCCTCTTGTTCAGTCTCCAATTATACAACTAGAAGCTATTAATGCTAACGACCACGCCAAGATGAAAAGTCAATGAGTTGTATTGAAGCCATAGCCACTCTTTCTCATGCAGGGCCATGAGTAGAAGACTGGCACCGGTGTCGGGATTGGTGTGGGAGGCGTCGCCTCCAGCCGTGAGAATCTGGGCCATAGTGCTCGCCAAAGGCGAAGTAGTAGTTTGTGTACGAGGAACCATTTCAATTGTTTTGGTGGGGGAGAACAAGGACAGGAATGGGCGTTGTTGTTTTGGTGTTGTTATTGGGGGACTGCGATTGTGATGCGACGGTCGTCGTTGTAAGTATTTGAACTTGAAGAACAACTTAAACAACTTATAATGAACAGTTTATGAACAACTTATGAACAACTTATGAACAACTTATGAACAACTTAAGCACCTTAAGCAACTTGAACAACTTAAGCACCTTAAGCAACTTGAACAACTTAAGCACCTTAAGCAACTTTGACAACTTCACCAACTTCAGCTTGAGTTGGTGAGTTGAACTTGACTTAAAAACTTTGGACCTGAACAACTTGAACACGAACGCGTTCACGTTCTAGTTGCTATGTTGTTTGTTGAAGATGATTGTTGCTATCGTGTCAGACTTCTTTTTCACAAGATGGATTTTTCAGTTTAGTGGTTTAGGCGTTGGCCTGTCCACTTATCAATCAAACTACCTAGGGTTCGAGTCCCGGTATAATATCAAAAAAAGTGACAGAGTCCAAACTAGTGGTTTAGGCGTTGGCCTGTTCACTTATCAAAGTCGATAAAAATAGGGGGGAGACGCGAACAAGCCAGCTAATAGTACAACATAGACGCGAAGTCAGTCAGAAAGTAAGACGATACTGTTGCACTATCAGATCCTGGCGCGTTACATCGACAAGACCACACGGAGGCTTGCCTACGATGACAACAGGTGTATGGATCATGAAGACCTCGGAATCGGCATGAATCTGTAGTTATGTCATCTTCATGAAGAATCCACCTGAACAACTGACATCGCATCACATCACGACATGGTGGACCCTGATCAATGATCATCGGACCCTTCAAGCGAAGAAGAAGGGAACGGTCGAATAAAGGGCAGCAAAAGCGAACACAAGCTGCAACTAGCAAGCACTACTCTAACTACCCAGGAGCGAAGAGAAGACTTCGCGTCCTTCCGTTAGAACCACAACTGCGACTCAAGAAAAGATACTTCTTCATCTGTACAATAATCTTTGCACACCACTATAACTGCTTCTTCATCTGAGCCTGACTTAATTCCTCCAGAAAAGAGGATCATGATGCAGAAAAGTGGCGATAATCTAATGTCGAGTCGTTTGTTTTCCGCATGATGAACTGATGATCACTTTCACTTCTACATCATAACCAGTTTATTTAGTACAAGCAACTCTCCCAACTAAGGAATGGTACACGACTGGTTTTTGCTGACGCTACTTCTATGCCACTATACAATTTTAAAGGTGGTTCAAAGTCAACACTTATTCAAAAATATGTTGAACTTCTGTACATTGACTTCACGTATACTGACGACGTGCATGAAGAAATGAAAGAAAATAATCCACCACCTAAGCCTCGCTTTTCGAGTATGCTGCTTCTCAGCATCGTACTCTAAGAGGTAGTAGAAAAACGATTTTTGTACGTACTTAAAACCGCAATCATGCATGATAGTGCCACTCTCTTCACATGTGAATCTATCGCACGATTGCTCAGTTCTTATTTGTGCGAAGTCCGTGAAGTCAGCAAGAAAGAGTCTCGTCTCATTCTACTCAACTTCGAGGACTTCTAGTTCTACGACATTTTTTACTTAAAAATACAAGAAGATGAAGGAGCATAATTTCTATTTCATCTATCCCCCGGCAAGGCAACCTTGTACTTGTTGAAGCTGCTCCTGCCATACCCGTAATCAATCTTGTCTACTATACAAGAGTTGTAACTGAACAAGATCAACGAAAGATACAATTTGAGAGAACAACGATTGTCCGACCATCCCAATTATTTACGTTAAAGGAAAAAAGCGCCAAGGATCTGCACGAGGACGCAAACGCCTCGACTTTCTTGCCTTTGTAATCAGCCTGGCGGACGATAGTTCTACTTGTTTCCCTTTTTTCATCAAGATTTGAATGAAGATTCGCTTAGTTTCGAAATTTTTCTAAACGGTCTAGTTCTCAAATAAAAATATGCAAGTGAATAATCTGAATGTTAAACACGATGAACATACTTACTATTACTGACGAAAGATCAACTACGTTGTTGGAGGTCCCTGCTCCGACTAGGCCTAGGCTGGCACTGTTTGTCCTACTAGGTAAAATTGCTTCAACATCGCCTAGATCAAGATCTACTAGGTATATTACTTACTTTGAAAAAATAGATGAAGGTCTGTGATTGAATTTTTGCTACGTTAAGACATACTAATCTTGGATTTTTTTACTCGACAGATAGATAAGACTAAGACAAGAAATATAAGAATGAACATACGTTGATGCAACTACGTTGGTTGGTGTTAGCGATGTGACTTACTGAAAAATATTGGGTCGAATAGTTCGAAGATCTATCTTAATTCTGTCAATTTGAATTTTCCCCACAAGATCGAATGTCGTGCTGCTCTGCATTTTGAAATCTAATTTCTCCATGACATACTTGTTTTACGTGATGATGCTGTCGTGATGTGATCGATGTGTATAAAAATCTAGTAAGTAGTTGTGTTACGAACAAGATAAACACTAAATTGATTGCGTTATGCCAGACATTCATGGTCGAAGAAAAGTGAAGAAGAATCTTCAACATTCTTTTTCCCCCCGAACCCGATCGAAAAACACATTTTGATGATACTTACGGATATCTAAATCAAGCTAGAACAAAGAAACCGCTTTCCCTGTCAAGATTCTTCAGCCACAACCACATAATATCCAGAAGATCCACAAGGACTACATCCGGGCAAGCAGCAGCCTGATAAACAGTTGAAAGAGAAAGATAATTTCTAGTTCTACCTCGTTACCAATACCATCTAATTATACGATGTTGACCTTCACATCCCGGATCCAGGGATGCGCCAAAGCTTCCTTGCAGGTCAGTCGCTTCTTTGGATCGGTATCGAAGCATCGGCGAACAAAATCCTTGGCCAAAGGTTCTGCTGCCCAGACCTTTTGTAGTGAGGGTCAAGAATCAGATTCGGCTGGTGCGATGTAACATAGTGAATATGATGTCGTTGGTAGAGCTAGAATGAAGAGGTCGGCCACATGAAGAATGATCGAAATTAATATTGGAAGTCAACAGCACGAAGTAGAAGGACTAGGCGGAGATAGGAATCCGATTCCAGATATTAAATGATCTGAAACAGTAACAAATTTTAATTTTTCAAAGATAGATCCTGTTGTAGTGTAAAATTCATGATTAAATGAAAGTACCTTATTCGACCAATCGATGCGTGCAATTCTGAGTCTGCGTCGGATCTGATCCATCCTAGCATGACCGACGTAGTTCTCACCTGGTTGATCATCAAAAAGCGCACAGTGGAACGGGAAACTGCCGGTTAGAATGGTGAAAAAGATCACGCCAATAGCCCACATATCGGCCGTTGGTGTGGCGTAGCCGACATAGGTTTCCGGTGCGATGTACTGATCCGTTCCAAGGACGTGGAAAGACTTCGTGCCGGGACGATAGATCTCGACCTGGTGGTGAGTGAGATATTTTTGTTCATTCCCACCGAATTCTTGAGCAGGATGCTTTTCTACTGTCAACATTAAGTGCTGCAACCTCTATTTCTAGATCTAGATGGACTACTCTTGTAAAATATTTTTTCAAGTAAGAGTGTGTTGAGTGCTAGACCTAGATCTAGAATCACGACAACTTCTAAGTAACTTATATATACCGTATCAAAATCCACGACTTTGCATGTGCAGATGAGTTCTTGGCCTTGTTGTTTGACCCTCGACTCGTCCAACACGATGTTCTCCAGCTTGATGTCCTTATGGACCAAGCCATGTGAGTGCATCTCATCCATACCCATGACAAGTTCGCGTGCTATCTGCTTGGCAACGTGGATTTTGTAAGGCTTCTCATAGATCTTGTCCTGCACGAAATAGTCGAAGAGGTCCCGCCCTGGTGGTTGTAGACGTTTTGTGGGAAGATGAAACCACGAGAAAACATCCGCATCATCTGCGATGTGTCAACTACGAGAAGGTCACGCATGATCACTTGTAGTAGTGGCTCATGCGGATTGGAGATCATGATGACCTCCCAAGAACATGTTTTCTGAGCGAAGTAGATATTACGTGACACCGAGTGATTTAAAAAATGATCATAATCGTCGCACCATGCTAAAAAGCTCTAATAAAGGTTGTAGAGCAGAAAGATATTTTCTGTACCTTTCACATGTTCCATCACGACGAAGTAGCTATCATCGTCCTCCACAATATCAAGGACTTTGGCAACGTGTGGATAGGCGGTGGACTCTTTTCGAAAATCCTGCAACATAGGTGGTCCGCCCGACATTTGAAAGAGTAGCTGGTTGTATATTATGGTCAACGTAAGTGTTTGTGGGCTTGGATATTTTTGTAATTGTTGTGTATTTCGAAAGTTGAAACTGCTGTGACACCGAATTCCAGTTTCAGACATTGCTTTGAAAATTTCATCTTCTTGAACTCGAAAATTGACCAAACACGACAAGAAGTCAACAAGATTGAGCATCTCCATTTAAAGAGTACCCTCATGTTCGCCATCCAGTCCCTAATTTCCTGCTCGTCCTTGAAACTTTTCTGCTTGTTTCGCATCTTGATGACCACTGATCGTCCATCCGCTCGTCGCTGTGATGTTGAGTGAAGTGGGGAGGTGTGATCTTCATGTTTCAAAATTTCTCCAATGAAGACTAACCATCGCGAGAGAGCAACTACGGAAAGTAGGTCTCCAGTGATTGTTCATCTATTCAATAAATTTAATAAATTCACAACACCAGCATAACTTCAACTGTTATATAGCAGCATACGAAAAGCCGAAGTGCTATTCCTTCAAGTGGAGGTTACTACCTTTGCAAAAGTAACACTCTTGACTTGATTTCGTCCGTTTTCTGTTGGCACCACTTCATTGCCCAAATCGTAGGTGTTTGATATGCTCGATTCGAATCGAAATTTGATCCCTTTACAGATTAGAACTCACAGGACAGGATAGGATAATAGGATAGGATTGATTGACTCATGTGCTTGGTGGCAAGAGGTCTATTTTGATGAAGAATTATTTTATCCTTCCTTCTCGTCCTTCTCATTGAATGGAGAGGGTAAAAAGCCGTTGAAAAAGATTCATACTCTTCTAGAAGAAGACAGCCTCGTCTGGAGAGGGTAAGCCGTTGAAAAAGATTCTTCTTCTAGAAGAAGACAGCCTGGTCAAGTGCAATTATAAATGTTTCATCTTCATCCTGCTTTTTTCTACAACTAGATGGAGGAGCTACTACGACAAGAAGACTAGTACTAGGTACACATACCTAAATACAAGCACCACGTATATTTAGGTGGAGCACAACAAAAACAAGAATAGCAGGTCCTTAAGCAAACTTCCTCCAAATCCAGGGCCAAGAGCAACTTGTGCGCCTCCTCCTCATCCGAAGGGTCGCAGGCCATGAACGCCTCCTCTCCTTGAGCCTTCTGCAACTTCAAACCTGCATTTCTGGAGTAGATACCCAAGTCGTTGGCTTCAAACTTGGGATTGGGATTCAGAGATGCTTGCTGTTGCTGCTGGGTGGTGGAGTGGGCATTAGAGGTGGCTCCTCGGTGAAGTACCACGACTAGCACTACAGTCGAGGAGGTAATTTTTATTTCATGATGATATTGTACAAACGATCACAATGAAATGGACGACTAGTAGTACTAGTTCTAGTACTAGTTCTAGTACGTTATCCCTCTAGTGATCGCGCCACTGAAGAAGTACAACAACGCATACTATCGACGAAAGTCAAGTAGATGTACAGAGTTTGAAACTCTGAGTTTCTCTATCCAACTGCATAAGATGATGCCCCTGTTGCTGAAGCGTCGAAGTTGTCTGCTGCTGCGAGAATGATCCATGATGCACTGGATGCTGCGAAGTTGCGGAGCTCGCTGTAGATGCTGAGGAGCTATTCGAGTTCTTCTGGACATGCTGCGGATGCGCACCTGGTGGGTGCTGCTGCGACGCGAGTCCCGACGGGTGATGATTGTTGTTCATCCAGGAATTCATTTTGTGGTGCTGGTCGAGGATGGGTTAGAGGCAGAAAAGTAGCTGCGAGTAGCGACGATGCTGGAAGTTCAAAATCAAAACCAGACTCACTGGCTGATGAAGAACTTACTAAACTATGAAGACTTTTTACTTCGAGGACAAAGAAGCGATAACCATAATTGTTATATCCGCGATGCTGCGACTGGTAGTGCTGGTGGGAGAAGCCGCCTCCTCTCGGCGGCTTGTTATATTGGGTTGACACACCATACTGGGCTTGCGGTGCGTGGTAGTGGTGTCCACCGTGCGCGTGATGATGCATAGACGATGACATGTTTTTTGGTGAATGTTGTTCACAACACAGCGCTCCCTTAACTTGTTCCGATGTTGTCCTCGTTTGGCTTTGGAGGTCATACAAAAAATCTACAAGGTCCTGTACAACTACAAACGACAACGAGTAGGCGGTAGGGATGGGGAGAAGTTAAAGAAAACTATTAAGATGAATTTAGTACTATGAACAAGATGATACCTACCGACGGATCTAATGTTGTTCACAGGTAGCAAGCAAGGTGATACATGGCAAAGAACGGTGCAACTAGCGGACAGGAGTATGGGACGTGAGCACTTGTTTTTTATATGCGTGACCGATTTCGTTGTTGCTAAAATGCTGAAAGACTACACCAGAACAAGGGTGTGTCATTAATATCGAGCTCTAGTAGCTAATCTCGTCTTCGCTCCTCACTTACAACGACGGATGTAATGTTGGGCATACGGATGTGGTTGCGGGATTAGTTGGAGGTGTAGTTCATCTGGTGGAGGTAATCCTGCTGGTACTGCTCTGCTCGTGTTAATTTCTACCGATGTTTACCTTCAACACAAGATTATTTCGTTTTAATTTAATATACCGATCACGTAGTCCTTGATGTCCTCCGCCGTCTTGTTTACCGATGGTTGTGGCCTTTTCATTCTACAGATGATTCGATTTCTACCGATGTCAATGATCTTCGTCAGAGCTTTTTTGCAGTAGACGCACGCTGTTTATAGCATTAGCATTATGTGGCCGAGAAGGGTCGGGCACTGAAACACGATTTTTAGTAGAAAAAGCGCCTAATATGGCTGAAACTGAGATCTAATGATCAATCTTTTCCCTGGGTTACCATGATTCCAACTTCTTTCTGTTTGCATCAGGTGCAGCATTAGTTCTCCGTCAAGTTCAATTCGGCGCTTTCTGGTGCCTTTTGCTTGATGCTCAATGATTGATGGTTAATACTGCCATCGTTCACTTACAACGATCACTAATTCTAATCGATGAATCTCGTTCTCGAGGTTTCACTATGATCTACATCTCCGAGTGCGAGTTTCTAGGAAAACGTAGAAAATGAATTGCATCCATGCTGCTCATCTCGGGGCGACTTCTTGCGGTGCCTGTCTTCTGTGTCCTGCTCCTGTTGGTGAACGACGGCCGCCTATGGTTTGTGTGCCGACCGCCGAGGTCGAAAAGGTGCGTATGTTCATGTTGTTTTGAAAATACATTGAAGAAATTAAGTACTTTCTGTTCTCCGTCTATGACTATGTGAATGTTCAAGAAATCAATTATGTCAAGCTATTTGATGTCAAATCATTTAGAACTATTACCTACTTCTGTAAACGTGGCGCGTCTATGAATGTGGTTAAGATAAACTGCTACTGAAAAGAACTCCCAAGTAACACTATTATATTGTTGTTCACGAATTATTCCATTATGGTATTTCCATGCTAAGGTCGCAGAAAGCACCACTTTGTAAATTATGCTCACGCTCACCTCAAACTTCAACAACAGATAATATGGACTACTTTCACTATAGTTCTGGATTGGTGCGTTTCTCGCGCTTTTACCTACGACTTTCTAATTGATCCACCCATCCTCTTCCACCCTAAACCCTTGTACATCAGGCCCACGACGAACTCAGTCTCAAGTTCATCTTACTTGCTAGCCATTTTCGCGGCTTTCATCTTGAGCATTTCGCGAAAACTAGCTTGAGCACGACGCGACATCGGACGAGCGCTGACAGAGCGGAAGACGTGAGGGTGCGGCTCTGTACTTCGCATAGGACCAAATCCACCACGAACGTAGCTTCCACGAGAATTAGAACTGAGACAGATGTCCACTCCTTTCGCAGCATCGTGGGTGGGTCTACGACTTATGATCATATTTTGTCAGTTTTTTTAATCGATTGTTAATCTGCACAAGTTGAAAGCAAGTCTTTCCAAATTCAAATGCAGTTGAGATACTCGTATTGGACCCAAGAAGAGCACAGTGAAGATGGATTTCTTGTAGGAAGCCTTAGGAGAAGAAAGCTCGGAAGTTTTCAGGCTGCGGCCTCTGGCGTCGCGGAGTGTGGCAGAGTACGGTACGAAGTCGGGACCGGCGGCTGCAGAGAGAATTTGCGTGTGATTTTGAAACTACATCTGATACTATGATACTATAGATACAACTCCGTACAACAACATGGATATAGAGGCTTCCGGATAAACCGCCAACTTGCGATGGGAAAAGTTGCTTCTCGTGTTTTGGAAACCTTGAAATTTCAACCTACTCACTGATGGAAAAAAGTATCTGGGTGATGTACAATATGGTCTCGGGTTGCAGTCTCGGAGAGTATCGGTGAAGGCGTTGCGCTGTCTCAAACCGTAAGCCGAGCAGCAGAATTCACGACTAGCCGGACGCTCGAGGACAGGATCTGAGGATTAGGTTGAGGTTGACAAAGTCGTGAGGCACCAGTCCCCAGCGAGAAGAGAATCGCTGAGGGCCTCCCATCACAGAAGTATTTTCTGAGGCACCTTCGACTGCGATATGACGATTCCAAAAACACATCACTCGTTGCTTCTAAATTCAGAGGAAGAAAGTCCTTAGCTAAGCTTAAAAATGTGTAATCGATACTATCCAGAGCCCTCAAATTCGCATTCGCTTTTCCGCCCAGAGCTTGGCTTGGTTCGCCCAGGACGTCCCCGCAAGCACGAAAATTCTTTCTGTCTTGGACGAGACACATCTTCGAAAAGTGCAAACCGTTCTCTCGGGACCACTTGTGCGGCACCGTTCGGTGCGCATACGCGTAGTCGTATCCCCAGTACGTGTCGGCCATTTTGTTTGTTTTAGACGAGGTTTCCCGTGACGTCTCGTCTATGGATATGGTGTAATACAAGACACACAACCACCGGACGTGCGGTTCAGAAATTGAAAGTCTAACAGGGAGAAAAAAGAGATAGCCCTGAACGTGTTTTTTCGGTGGAGTCAAAATCTCAATCCTCTTTGTAAGGTCACAACAAGTCGTCATCTCCGTATCTTTCATGGAGAGATCGATCTTCTCACCGCTGAATTATGCTCTCACAGAGACTTTTAGCGGACATGATCAGACGGCACAAGTCACCTCCTTCTCACGGATCACAAACGGACAGACGCACCAAGTGTTCTCACGGAGTTCCATCCACCCACGCAGGTAGTGGTGTGGCCAGACACACGCCAGACTTTCCAATTCTCCACATGCGGAATTCCGATCACAATCGGACAGGGTCAGGAAACAGATTCAAGATTTTGAAATTCAACAGAAGCAGATCGAATTTAGATACTCTCGACGACAGACACAGATGCTCACACGCTAAATTTCACAGGCTGAACAGAATATAGAATCCAGCCTTATTTCGTCTCAGTCACTTCTTTGTCTCTCAAACTTATCTGCACCGCACTGAAGCTCCTTCAGGCTCGACAACAACAGCGAAAGACAAAAAGACCAGTGGAGAAATCAACACAGCTTCCGCCGCCCAGGCCGCCAGACAGAGCACCTTCAAGGTCTCTACTTCTGGTCTTTCTCGTAGTACTATATTCGAGCTCTTTTTCGTCGCTGAAAAACTCACTGACAACATGTCGACAGAAAACACCCAACAGGCAGTCACATGAAGTTCCACTGAAGAAGAATGTAGCACGCATCTGATAGATCGCAATCTTCGCAATCCATCCTCCAGCATAGCTTATTGAAATCCGTTCTCCCTGAAAGAACAATTACCTGTTAAAATGGTGGTTGTGGATGAGTCGACGATTTAGCTCAGAGCAAGGTGTGATGGGATGATTCTAAATCATGTCCACATATCCACAGGTCTACAAGCTAAGAGACTCAAATTTCAAGAAATGTGCACGACATAGTGAAGATCGCACAGATGTTGAGTGTCCACAACGAAAGGTCTTTTTTTTCAATAGAACTCTTTTTCTGCTTTCTACAAGTAACAACAAGAAAGGGAGTTTCTAAAGAAAGATAAGGTCTAAGAGAATAGTACCTGTTATCCTTTCCCTGCGTTAGCTTCCCAACTGCACTCAAAGCTCAAACCAAGATGCAGCTCCACAACGTTCTAAAAACGTCGATCCTGTAAGGTCGATGTTTTTCCACCTCGCTAAACGATGGTACAAAGCCCGACACAAGCGTCGTTGTATCCTCCTCCTCGGCACCTCTCATGCTCTTCTCCTCACTAGCTTTTCATTCTAAATCGTTCCTCCTCAGTTCTTGTGAAGTCGAAGTGGCACAGCTGATTTACTTTCCTCCCATCTGCGGACGCGGAGCGTCACGGGTTGGGGGCTTACGCTTGCGGCGCAGTTCGGCGGATCGCACACGCACGATACGAGCGTGGATAGCGCAGGAGACGCAGTACTGCTGCTTGATGTACAAGCGGGGCAATTGGTACGTGTCGATGGCGCTCTGCTCCTTCAAATCACGAGCGGAGGAGGTGTCGACGATGGTACGGACGACGAACTTGCGGACGGCCTTATCCTTCGGGACGGCACGGTAGCAGTTGGAGCAACGCATGATGGCGGTGTGACCGCGACCATGCTTGGATCGTCCATTGTTACGACGCTTGGACGGCATCTTGTCTGTTGAGTTCTAAAAAGAGCTTCTAAAAGTAATGAGCGACGAGCTCGTGCTTTAGTTTCCCTGCGTTGATGTTGGAAGATTAGATGAAATAAATTGGAGATATTAGAGCTCCATAGATAGGTTAGGTTATGGATCCATGCATGAAGATCATGTTGATGAACAAGATGGAATGTTAATATATCTAGAGACAGGTGTTGAAAATTAGTTGGCCTACAATAGGGACGATGTGGATATTGGTCTTATAGATTGCGGTGATCTTGATGATCTTTTGAAGTCCAGACGACACAAAATGCAGAACTCAGTGAATGGCATCTTCTATGTGGTGATCTTAGTTCTAGATTTAGCAATCAGTCGACCCAATTTAATCTAAATTTCGAATTCTAAACCACATAAGGAACTCCAATCTTGAACTTTTATCGTGGGCAGAGAATCTTGAATTCCCTTGAAAATTGGATCGACTTTTGACCTGAAAAATAATTGCAACTATCACGACAGGATGGAATTTCAGAGTTTGATCACAGAAAACCTTCAATTCGTGATGAGGAGCCTATTCTTCAAGGCCTCGATTCCATTCCTTGAAAGCTTCGAACAAAGGTGAATCACGCCTCTTCGGTGACAATTTAGATTTTCCTACTTGGCTGTGCTGTGATGCGGATAGATCTTTCTTTTAGAACGCACACACGACCAGGTGCTGCGAACAATTCGATTGTGTGTGTGTGTCATTCTGCTTCTGTAATAAGAGATAGATTCTAATCGGGGGGCGGCCTTTTCTAGATCAATAGGGTAGTTGGAGAGGCTTATAAGATCGTTTTAGGTTTCCTGGATTATCAATTTCAATGTTCAACGTGTTGCCTATGGCTATGCTTGTGGTGTGGTTTTGGAAGATATTCAGGTCCATGATAGGGAGATGACAGAATCAAATGAGTATGGGGTAGTTGTCTCCATCTAAATTAATGATCCGTATCTAAAATGCTGATGGATACACCACAGGCATCTTCATCTTGTCTGCGGCTTCACCGGAAACAACGCCAATTCCTGCTACATCGCCATGTACTTGTGCAAAAAACGCTTGTGGAAGTCGCTTCTCACGTTGTCGTTGATAAAGCGCTTCTGCACCTTTGGCGCTGTCCTAGCCTGGTTTTTGAACACGGTATCCTCGTTCCAGGCCCTTTTTAATGACTGGTTGCTATTGATCAGCGGATTAGAAGCGCCAATGCCCTCTCGCCTATCGGCCTCAGCGATCTTCTCAGCCTCCTCCTCTTCCTATTGGATGTGTGGGGAAAGCGAATGGCGGGATCACTTTTAGCAGATCTTTTTTTGTCCTGCACCACGAGTACCTAAATCTAACACTAAATCCAAAAAATCATCAAAAGCTCCAGATGATAGTACCTTTTGTTTCGCATCCTCTTTCTCCTGCCGGATCTTGGCCAATTCTCGCTGCAATGCTTCGTAATCGCTATCACTGTGATTTAGGTTTGAGTTGTGGAAGTTTAGTTTTAGATCCACGTGATGAAGATGGTGATGAAGATGGTGACTGATTTTGGTCTTCTATAACTAAATCTGAGGGGGGTTCCATACATTGTCAGTCCAAGCGCGAGTAAAGTTTTTCCTCACTTGTATCTTCAGATCAAAGTGATGAAATTCTTTTAGGTTGTCATCATGTAAGAGTTACTACAGGGCGGAGGGTCAAGGTCAACAAGTTTTAAGAGATTGGTATGATCTTTAGAAGCTGATCGAAAGAGTGACCCTCAGTATTTACTTGGGTGATTGTGCAGATCCTTCCTACATAGTCCGTTAAAACCTACAGCAACGCTGAGTAGAGCAGGTCCAAGATACACCTTGAAGTTCAGTCCAAGCGCGAGTAAAGTTTTTCCTCACTAAGATGGTCAGATCAAAGTGATGAAATTCTTTTTACAGTGTGTCATCATTTAGAAGGTACAGCTATGGTCTCTGCCCTGATCCTCTGATTGTGATTTTCATTTCTAAAGATCTTCGTCAATGAATCCTAAACAAGCATTTCGTCATCAATCAGTAACAGTCTCAGTCAGTTAGCCATAATTTCAGTATCAATACCAGCCGTGTGATCTCAAAAAAATCCCAAAAAAAGTACGAGTCACTATCGCTATCGTCGTCCGAGTCTTTGTCGGCTTTTTTCCTTGTTCCAGCGTCCACGTCTGAGTCAAAATCCGCATCGGCGTCCTCTGGAAACGGATTATCACCTTCTAAAACCGGCAACTTAGTGAACCCTGCCACGTTTGCGCTCAAACCTCCATCTCTATTTATCAGTCCTACTCTAGTTATTTTTGAAGATGACGAGGCTGCACCTCCGCCAAATACACTACTAGCTGCGCCACCACCTACTGAGCTCAAGCCATCGTCGGAGTCATCATCATCATCTGCAGGAAGTAATCTCTCTGAAGACGCCTTAGCTGACTTGTTACTCTTCTTACTTTTCGTTGAAAATCCCGCACTACTACTCGCTGAACTCCCTCCCTTCTGTTCGCTGCCCAATTTAGCTTCTTCTTCGGCTTGGGCTTGCTTCTCGATTTCCTCTTGGATTTCGGCGCGCGTCTTCCACGGAGCTTCTCGAAGCTTCATAGTGAGTTCTTGCGGCTGGTCCCTGGCACATTTCTTGTGCGTCGGAGCCATAATCAAGTTGCCGCCCTGGTTCTCCCCACCAAGGGCATTGTTGAACGTCGGCCGATGTGCGGTCGTCATTTTCTCCTACTGCTAGTTGCCTCAGGGACGCAAAACGACAGAAAGCTAAGGAACACAAAAAAATTTCAATCTACCTGTGCCTCCACAGTTTGCCTATAACAAACTGTCTAATTACCCAGCTAAGAAGAGGGGCTATTCTAAACCATGAAAGCCTGAGGCCAAAAATTTAGAAACAAGGTCAGAGGATGATAGCAAACGCATGACATTAAAATTGCAAAGTACAGGGAAATTTCAAAAAATACCTACTCCTACTGTTGTCGCAGCTGAGGTCGACTCGAATTCAGGATCTTGGGTGACTTGTCTTTGGGAACTTTTGATAAGGAAATGATCAAGATGATTACTCAGTCGTGGGAGCAACAAGAACTAGGTGATCTTCGTCGTACTTCGTACTTTGTATTGCCATTTTGTCTCTCGTTCGCTAGTGCCGCGTATGTATTAGCTTTAGCAAGTCTCTCAAAACATCATAATTAGCTCGATTCGAATGCCAATGCCAGGCGTGTACCTGCAGCTGTTGAGGCTGAACACAAGGCCAGCTCAGCAATTGATGTCCCCACATGTCGGCGGCATATCCGCGACACGCATTCTGTTTGTTTTCACGCAAAATAGGTCTTATTCCCTTTGCCTCGTTTCTTTGCCGCTGTTGCTACTACAAGTACAACATTTCCACGGTATGAATCAATCATGAGTTTTTGTTTCTCCTGGTGCCATTATTTCGTTGGCTATTATCAGTGACAACTGTTTTTTTGAGTTTAAGCATTACGAAATGTAACCTCCTGCTCCTGGATTTCTCCTGATATACCTGCATCTATTGTCTGCCACTACAAACACCCGCTGGGCGCAGGCCACGTAAACAGCCTATGATCTTAGTTAGTTAGTTACTGCAGAACCATCTTCATATTAAAAATAAGCCACGTCGTACTACACGACTAATTCATCATTGATTAACCTCCGTCATTTTTCACCTTAACACGACTCCATCTCAGCGCTAAGTTGGCATCCATTCCTACTGGCATGATTTGCGATGCCATGACGGGTCGTTCTTCGTTTATCACCTGGTACTTCTATTCTAAGGTTTTGTTTTGACAATGATCACAAAGTCAACTCCTCGTCCTCCTACGTTGCATTTATTTAACTATATGCCTGCCATAACCACCTCTCCTGTGCATCAAAATGTAGTTGTGAGCTCGAATACGTTCAGTTGCATACTGATCATTTGACTGGAAGATGTTCGTGCTCAAAATCAAATCAACGTTCGTTTAGCTTATCAGTAGAGGTCACAAGCTCGCTAGTTTATCAAGAAAGGTGTTCTTTGTCTGTTGCGGGTGCTTGTGACGCCCTTAGGTTCACTTTTTATGATCAAAAACTATCAATTTCAATTCCGGCTGTTCATCTTCGCTTGTTGGCCTCAAATCTGATCTGGTTGACCTTCCTTCTCACCTATGTACTTATTCTCAGTCTCAGAACTTTTCGACTATAACTACGACTATCCAGAACCTGCTGTTCATTCTATGCCCTCGGTGCTTTCGCACCAGTCTGCTTTGCTACTGCGGCCGCGCGGGCGCGGATACGTTCCGCCTCCGAATTCGATGGTGGCGCCATACGCACTTCACGTGGCCCATAGGTAGCCATCAATTTCTTTCCATATTCGGCTTCTGCCTTATCGACGCCGCAGATGTACCTGGGTGGAATGGATTGTAGTTGGAGGTTTCTGATGAGCAATCGAGTTCGTCCAGTCCTTAAAAAAAACAGATGCCTGCTGTTGGAAGTGCGCCGTTGCAGGTTATAAGATACTCGATCAGTGAATAAAAAGTTTAACACTGGAGGTGCTTGTTACATCGTTGTCAGAGCCTGAGCCAAGAACGACATCAAATATCAAAATTTACCGACTACAGGATCAAAGAAACTGCAGTACCTGATAACTTGCTTCAAAAACCAAATCGGACCGCCACCAACATCATTCCTCATCCAAATCGCCTCGTCATTCGTCTCTTCCACAACTGGTGGTACCCATCCCTTGATTTTGCCTGGAGAAAAAGGTAAAAAAATCAGATACCCAGCCCCCTACTAAAGCAGGTAAAAAAATCGTAGCAAGAAGTAGATAAACAAAAACATCATCAATTCAGTACCAATAATCTTATCAGCTCCATGCTTCTCCAATGTGCCTGGTGGGTGAATCGTCTCGAACATCGCTGTTGGGTCGGTGCCTGCGTTCGCTAGGAGAATGTCCTTGCCTCCAGGGTGTACGTTGAGAAAGTGGGATACGTTGACGACGTTTCCTTTCACCACAACCCAAGCATCGGTTTCCTTGTTGTGCTTGGCCACTTCCTCCATAGTGTACCATTTCTGGCCAGCGGGAAGCTCGCCTCCTTCAGCCATTTTGTCTGAAAATAATGCTCCTACTCAGAAACGAAACGACTAAAAAGATGATCTAAAAGCTGCAAAGAGCTTTACTCTCTCTGGTAGTTCGTTTGAAGCAGAAGCAGGAGGATTGAATGCTTGAAGTAGTTTGAAAAATGCTTATTTACACAAGAAATAGCTGTTAAACCACCTAGGTGCTGGCGAGCTTTTCCATTTGCAATCTTAACCCCTAAATAATGTTACCTCAGAAAAAAAGGAAAATGATGCGCAAAGCGCAAAAGGGGGAAAGTGACTCCGTCCCGAGCTGGCTGTGTCCATTTTGCATCAGAAGAAAAGTCCTTTCGACTAAATTATTTTTGACAAATTCTGTCGTGCAAAGAATTTTCAAAAACAGAAAAGTGTTGCATAATGAAGTGTCTCGGAACAGAACATTGAAGACCTTTTTGTCTCCTCCTCGAAAACCTCAACATTATAGCAACAGATGTCTCTCAACAAGCTGGGCAAAACCTCATGATGCACCATCTGTCACCAGATCTTAATCCATCATAAAAGATTATGCGTGGTGCTGGTCGTGGCACCGAAAAAAACAACTCTTGCCTTTTTGCAGCTCTACCGTGCTCCTCTCTCGTCTCAAGGAACACACAGTCTTTTTACGAGGTACCGGAGATGCCGCTGACAGCACGAGACTGACACTTTTGTGAGAAAAGGAGAAAATCATACTTAGTCTATCTCATGCGCATCCAGGAGGATTCAACATCCTTCACTCTCTTCACGTCGTTCACCTTCAACTTTGCGTAAGGCACTCTCAATAGCTGTTCATCACAATGTGAAGCGTCTGTGTCGCGGTAATTGTTCTAGTTTTCTGTACAACTACAACAGCAGCTATCCTAGTGAAACTGTCTTTGTCGTGATTTCTCAACCCTGCATAACTACGTCCGATGAAACATGCGCTCCATGGTTCACCATCACCCCTCCTCCTGCGGCCAATCCCCATCCAACACTTTGTACGGGTTTAAAATCCCTTTCGGGTCCATGGTGTTCTTCACCACTTTCATCAAATTCAACGCTTCCTCGGATTTCGAATACTGGACTGCCCTTACTTTCATCAACCCAATTCCATGTTCCGCAGATACACTACCTCCATACTTCGACACCTCAGACCACAGCCACGGTTCTATCGTGTCTTGTATTTCTTGGTCGAACGTTGGAGATGTAACGTTCAAGTGTAGATTGCCATCGCCCATGTGACCGTAGCCGACAATGCGAGAGATGGGTTTGCTTTGCAAGCGTTTGTCTGCTGCTTCGACGATCTTGTAGATGTCGCTAATATCCGGAACGGAGACGTCGTACTTGTAGGTGTACCCATCTTTCAGCAAGCCTTCCGCAATTCTTTCCCTTAACTGCCAAAAGCTTCTCTGTTGAGTGCCGCTTGCAGCAACTGTGCCATCAAGAATAACAGCTGAGCTAGATTCAAGCAACCCTTCTAGTTTTGCGCTGTCGTGCTCTCCATTGCCGCCTGAGGTTTCGATCAGAACAGCAAAACGTGATGGGGTCGTGCTAGTACCCGAATCCGAACTACTAGAGTCAGCAGCAGTCAAAAACTCTGGCGGCACCAATTGCAGATTATCCCTTGTACACGCAACGCTTCTGCCATCAAAGAACTCGAATGCGGAAAGGATTTCGCCTAGCTCCTGTCTAGCTTTCTGGAAAAGCTTGACGCAATCTTCGTAGGTACGCACTGCGCAAAGAAGAACGTTGGTGTCTCCGGGCAAAACCGGACACTGAAAAGCAGCTTTGGTGATGATGCCTAGAGTGCCTTCACTACCGATCAAAAGTTGCTTCAAGTCGATACCAGTATTGTCCTTTTTGTTGCGAGAAAGAACGTCGACGACTGACCTGGTGATGTTGTATTTCGTTTTGTACTACCCCATCAGCATCATATGACACTCTCAAAGTAGAACATGTTGTAGTTATACCCATCCGCCTTGACGAACTCCAGTCCCAAACAATTCCCATGCAAGTTCCCATATCGCAACAACCGGAGGCCTCCTGCATTTGTCGCTAAGTTTCCGCCGATCTGACAGCTACCCTTAGCTCCTAAGTCTAAGGGAAACAGCAACCCCTTCTTCTCCAATGCACTGTTGGCTTGCTCCAGTACGCATCCCGCTTCAAAAACCGCCACGCCTGACCTCTCATCGATATCTACTATGCCGTTCATGCGTTCCAGACTCAATATTAGACCTCTTGGACCCTTTTCCCCCTTACACGGAGGTCCAAGATGCTTCTGAAGATGAATTTCCGAAAGAAGTCATAACAATACTATTTCATCAAACACAGGTACACTGCCGCCAACTAAGCCTGTGTTTCCGCCTTGAGGACACACCGCGAGACCCCTGTCGTGACAATGCTTCAAAATTGCAGATATCTGTTCCGTAGTGCGAGGTCGCAGCACGCATTGCGAATGGCCCTCGACTGTACCAAGCCAATCGCGGTTGTAGCGGTCAAGCTCAACAGCACTCCCGTGTTTTGCCGAGGACGAAGAACTTGATGAAGATGACGTAGTTCTTCCAGATCCAAAGTCCGACGCAAGCACAACACTGCTTCCGCGATTGGCTACATCTTCTTTGTTCGCACCTCGTCTATTTGTGCTGCCTGATGTCGCGTCCAACACATTTTGAAAGTGCTCAACATCAAGCCGAGTCAGTTCAGCAAACCGCGAAGCCCTGCGCAGATTTTGAGGCCTCCCAAGCAAGAAACGACTTACTGCTTGCATCTTGTTCTTGTTTCGAATTCGGTCTTGTTCTTAGATCATTACTTTGTTCATTGAAAAAGAAAAACTTAGACTTAATACAGTTGGTTGTACTCCTCGTTAAATGCTGCCTGACAAGGATGGGCCCACTTCTTCGTCGCTCACGCTGATCTCCAGAACTACTTCTGCGAGGACTGGTATTCCTTTTATAGGACGCTCCGAACACCGCGGTGAGGAACAAGTGAAGAAACGTGTCGATCTTCTAAGTAGTTCGACTTGCAGCTTCTACAAGATGAAGAAGAGTATGCCTGTCCGAGAAGGGCTGTTGGAAATAAGGTTTAATTATGGGATCGAATATATTATGGGAAATGGGGGTTTTCTTATCATGGGAAGTTGTCTCATTTCAAATATATTATGGGAAATGGGGGTTTTCCTATCATGGGAAGTTGTCTCATTTCCGGAGTCAGTGGTTTGTTGGTTGCTTTTATGGTTAAAAGCCTGAAGATTGGAGTTGTTCCATCTTCTCCTCGTCATGGTATATCCGTCTAGAACCGCGTTCCTCCTGCCGTATTTCTTGTAGCTGCAGATGCAGTAGTGGTCGTCTGGCCTAGTAAGTGTACTAGAACTGGATGCTCCACCTCCTGGCGCTTTAGGTTAGGTTAGGTGTGAGCCTACCAGAAAAACTGGCAGACATATAATGCTTGTTTTGTGTGCCCGCCTCTACTAGAACAAGTTGTAGCGAGCTTTTATTTTGTTGTGATGAGTCACCTCGTCCAACGTACGCGTAGACTCCTATTTGTGATTTTTGTTCTACACGTACTTACACCACGTGGTAGCTGTACCACCAGTTCAACTTCACCACAATCCCCCTTCACGCTCCTTCACGTCCCGCGAAAATGTTTTGATCTTGTTTGCAACAGGGCTATGCTTCACTAGAAGGAGGCGCTACCCTTATTCGACCTCGTCTACTTGCAAGAACTGCTCCTCCTAGGGACATTATCAACTTCATTTAGTGAACATCCAAGAAAGAGAAACTGATAGAATCTACTAACAAAATGCAGCTAGGCAACGACGTTATCGATCAATTATCATGGCATTGTCAATGGATAAAAATAAACGTTTTATCTTCTAGGAAGGATGGTGTGACAAGCAACAGAAACTACAAAATTTAAGCTCGGAAATTTCAATTTTTATGACACTTTCGTCAGGTGGATCTTGAAAAACAAGGTCTACAACAGATCCAGTACCAGAAGTAGTTCTGCAAAATTAGGTCGATCATGAAAACAAGTCCTCGCAATTACAGTGCTAAAGATAGGTCATTTGTCGTGGAGCTGATGACCTATTCGAGGATGCTCTAGAGTATGGCACTTGGCCTCTCCCACTTTCCGACATCTCCGATGCTCCTCCTCCTTCTCCAGAAGCACCTATTAGTACTGGACCGCCGGGGCCTGGAGGTGGCGCAAGTAACGTCGCTAGTGTTCTTAGAGGTAGTTTTTTGGTGTTCCTTTATCGTCCCGCTTGTTATGGCTGTCCCCGTTAGGAGAGCCATAACAAACGCAAACAAAAGCACCTTTAACCTACCCGTAATGTTCTCCTCACCTCCTCTCCCACTATGTCACGCAAGTCTCTCTCTGCATCTGGAGGTAGTGCTACTAAACCGGTTCTTGGCCTAGTACTCTGATTTAGCATTCCGGTCGCGCCCTCGTCACCGGTTATACCGGCTCCCGTTGTAGTAGTGCTGTTGGTCCGACCAGAATACTGCTCGGCGCCTCTGTAGTTCATCATCGGTGCGGCCGCTGCAACTCCTTGAGTCTGATTATATTGAAGAAAGTTATTCTTGTGTGTGTACAACCGGTTGGAAGGATAGCTCCCTTGTGAAGATATACTTGTCAGACTACTGGCACTTGGCTGTGAACGAAGCACCGTCTCCCCTTCTCCTTTGAATGATTTCACTGCAATTTTCACGTTCCACCCTGGATCTACCACGTTCTTTAGCTCCTTCATCTGCTTAGTTTTTGTTGAGAATGGTGCTGTACTAGGAAAGTAAACTACTTCGGGTTCACCATCTCCCGTGTTGGGATTCTTGAGAGGTGGAGGACCTTCGTCTGCTGTCGTACCTCCTTCCCCACCTCCTCCAGACATCATGAACTGACTTATTACTTTGTTCTGCTTTTCTATCTGACTTTGCAGCTTGCCTATTTGCTTGCTGACTCGCAACAAATCACATTCGAGGCCTAGAATCTGCTTCGATGTCAAAGGTTCGGTGAGTTTTACCGCAGCCAAGACAAACTCGTCAATCAAGACCTCTCCACTGTCCTCGATGTCGAGCATGCTGAAGAGGTCGTCATTCGCTATTTCCCTGGCTTTCCGCATCTTCGCGTTGGAAGGGTCGATGGCAGGGATTAGACAATTTCTACAACGAGATTCTTCAGTGTCTCAAGACGAGTAAAGGTAAGTAAGTAAACTCAAGTAAGAACATTGATTTAGGTGGGTGTGCACGTGCAGCACGCCATGTCTCTACTATTAATGAGGTAAGACGAGATGAAACTACAGAGCTCGCTGCAGGCGACCGCAAGTCTGCACAACCGCCGTCAACACACCCATTTCCTCACTTCAATTCCGTCCCCAGAACTGTTGTCTTTCTACCCAGAGAAACAGGATGTCTCATCCCTCCGCACCTCCGGTTTGCATTTTTTGGGTCGCTTTTCCTCTGGTCCCAGATTTGGGAGTCTTCCCAATAATCAGCGTGGCGTGGCTGCGACCTTGTGTCGGACTATCCCTGTCGAAACACCTCCGGGCCCGATCCCCGCAACAGCGGCACCTACCTGAACTGTCCTTGTCGATTCGCCCCTAAGTCCTCCTAGGCATACCAGAGAAAGCCCTAGGTGGCTGACGAGTCCAAGGCAGGTAACAGCGAAAAATGCTCGGCCCTCCGAGCCCAGTGGAATGGAGTATAAAAAGGTCCTGCTGAGCTCTAGAAAGCTCCCGTGGCCCCGTCTAAGTAGCCCGCGAGGGGTGCCCTGGGTCGTAGCAGGCTGCTCTCCGCCAGGTGGGAGCGGTACTGGGGCACACCTACGCCACCCATATTTTGTTAAAGCACCGCGTCCGCGGCCAGAAGTTTGTGAGTGGCAGCAGCGCTTGCGACGACGATCTGGAACTAGAAGCATGTCTATCGCTGATTTTTAGGTCGGAATTTTCTTTTATCAACATCTCCATAAATCCAGTTCTTTCCTGGTCAGATATCCATCACCGTCTGCATCCAGGACATGCAGCATGCGTCTCATGCGTTCCATTTGTCTTCTCTTCTTAGAGCTACCGCTGTCGCATCCCTCTGAACATCTTTGTTGGCCACACTTTCAAGTAGAGAAAGAAGCGCCAAGGATCATGGCTGTTCTCAGAGGACCGACAAGGACATGCCTTCTCAGAGGAGTAGCCTTAATCTTCTCTTGTTCCAATGCTTCACGCTCTTCATCCTGCATTTCCCGTGACACGTCCACCACATTATCCACAATAATCGCTGTGACTAGGTTAAAAATCGCCATATTCGTGAACAGGATGAAAATCACGAAGAAGACGCCCCTGTAGTAGATGTTCATGAGGTGGTGGAATTGAAGTACCTTGTACGAGGAACTGGACAATATATGACTGTTGCAGGGGTTCTTGTAGGAGGAACTGGACAATAATTGACATTATCATGTTGTTGTTGTTGGAACAGGAGAGTTCGAGTTGTACTTCTAACTCAGTGAAGAGGACAAAATATTTTCAGTACAACAACAAGATAGCATGAAGATCTTCGTCGCTTTTACTCAAACTAAAAAGTGCAAGAAGACATGAAAATGACCATCAAGATAGAAAGCTAAGAGTACATAGCGGGTGCGTCATCCATGACAACTCTCGCAACAACGGACCACTGCTCGAGCGTCATGACTTGGAAGAGCGTAAAAAACGAGCTAAACAGCGTTCCAAAGTATCGCTTGACTTCTGTATCAGTGAAAAAATCGTTCTCCCCACAGCACTGATGTCCCACTATCCTCGTTAGGAGCATGCCGCAGAGTAGCAGCACAATTGCCAAGAGTATCCCTGTCCACAGCAGGGCTTTGAAGGAGCCGATAATTCCCTGGGCTAAAAGGACCAACTCCTTTAGAAACCGGAATAAACGGACGATACGGAGAAGACGCTGTAGTTGTCGGAGATGTTGTAGTTTTTCATTGCATGTCCTTGTCGTTGTCGCACTTCTACCACTAAAGCTTGTTTTTTATCTGTACTTTTAGTACAAAAAATGTAGTTCTTGTACAATCTATCAGTATCACAGCCTCAACATCCTGAAGACGCAATAATAATAATAAAAATAATAAACAAAAGCCAAAGGTACTACTATAACTGTTGTACAATCAGCCTCAACATCCTGAAGACGCAATAATAATAATAAAAATAATAAACAAAAGCCAAAGGTACTACTATAACTGTTGTACAATCAGCCTCAACATCCTGAAGACGCGAAAGATCGTTAATGAGCGTAAATCCGAGTCATCTTGACCCGCTGTGATGATCTTCAAGACCCAGACGTCTACCACACCGATTGCCACTAGGATCAAATCGAAGAAGTTCCACACATCCTTAAACCACGCACACGGCTTCTCTATGATTCGCAGCGTTAGCTCCACGAGGAAAATGACAAAAGTTTAGAAGAGAAGGACAGAGAAGAGAAGGACAGTGGACATCAAGATAGTCATGATAGACGTGAAGTGCTAGTCACATGATGGTCGTGCGGTGAAGACAGGAGTCATCTGAGTGTGAGTGACTTCGAAAAATATAATTATGGAGTATGAGTTATATTGTAGGTCATATAACTTCACTTACCTCGCAGTTAGAATATAAATTATTTCTACAACATACAGTACAATGACAATCAAACTACTCATACAGTACAATGACAATCAAACTGCTACAGGACGAACTGCTAGCTGATCGATCATCATTTTCTTCGTCTCTCATTGAAGATCTGAACCTCCATTTCCATCTACATGTTGTTGTACTTCCTACATCTACTAGCAAAAGCAAAACGAACTAACTTCATAATTGAAAAACGAGTCCGAGACGAACCAATACCACTCACCGTCGTTTGCGTCGGTTCTGGCATCGGTCTCAATCGCCAGCACAATCGTATTCAGCGTGATCATCATAGCAAAGAAAATGTCCGCTTGCTCCGTAGTTATCCATCCCCATAGACCACGCGGACTAGTCGTGCAGCCCATCCAGACCCACAGGCGGTGGAAACGGGTGAAAGCTTAGAGGAGGTTGGTACACGGAGAGAGAGACAGAAAGAGAGGGAAGATTGAGAATATTAACACCTTTGCCCTCGTCCTCTAAAAAATGAATCAGGAATAAAGTAGAAGTAGATGCAGATCAAGTAGTACGGCCACGCATGAGAATGTCGTGCTGATGTCTAAGTACTAACAAACTTTGAAAGGAGCAGGAGTGACAGAGACAGAAGCAGAACCCGTAATTTTTTGCTCTTTCCTTCATTGCAAAAGTTGATTTTGTTCCCTTCATCTTCTTTAGCGCATTTCCCCCTTCACGCATTTCTGCGAGTCGTTCGATTTCATCCTCGAAGTCTTCTCCTTCAGTCGGCCGCTCACCCGCTATTGCTGCACGAATGTTGTCTTTCGCACCCTTCATCGTCACGGACAGGGAGTGGTAATCAACTTAGAAGAACTTATTTTTAAGTACCTAAATCCATCTTGATGAAAGTCATTTTCGACGCGCTTTCGATTTCGTCGTCCCCTTGAAAACGTTTCAACGATGGATGCCTCTACATAAGAAGATGAATTACGGCAAGCCTTAATCAACTTCACCCGCTGCGTCCTCGCCATCCAGAGGGACGTGACTTTGATCAATGATGAATATCCCTGGTTGATGGTTATAATGTTCATTGATTGGATGTCCAAGCTTTTTTCTCTCTTCCTCGTGCTCATCCATCAAACGGCGATGCTGTTCACCATTCGGCTCGTCTGCGCCCTTGTGTTGCTCCTCGTGTCCTACCACGTGTGCGCCAATCCTTGCCATCGCGGCTCCCGTGGCGCTGGTTGCTACGTCGGCCAAATTCGGCGCATCCTCTAGGGCGTCTCCTGTTGCATTGTCACCACGTCTTGCTGAGGCACTGGATGAGGTCCGGGAAGACTTTTGAGGACGACGCGCCATGGTGGGCAAGAATGTGGATTTTTGATCCTCAGAAAAAGAACGTCTATGTACTTATATAGGGTAGACCGAGGAAGACCACAGGGCTGATATTCTTTTATTTACAGCAAATGAAAAGAACGTCTATATTAAGTTTTTAGCTGCAGCTGCAGAGCAGTCCCAGTCCACCTCTGGAATTATAGAAATAGTTGTAGAATATTAGATTTTTGTGGTACTAGAGCCCTAACAACTAGGGATCATGGAAGATACACCAAGAAAAATGAAGTCGTGGAACAAGAGGAAGAAGTTCAAGTTTGTCCTTGGTTCTATCATCACATAGGCATATGTGATGAGAAAAAAGAAGTAGTAAAGTTAGAGTATTCTCATGGCAGCAAGTAGGGCATCAACAAGGGCGGGTGTCCAAGAACTCCGACTCAACGAACTTATATTCAAACCACACGAGAACTAGAACTTATGAAAACACGAGGACAGACGGAAGTAACCGACGATACTAGCGGTGCTGAGATACAGATCGAAGGTAACCAGGAGCAAGTTGGTTAAGTCGTGGACGAGTATTGACACGACAGAACGACAGATTCTTCTGAGGGCGACGTTGTGCGATGGTCGTACTCTCGCGTCCTCCTTCTCTCCTAGGGTTAGGACCTCATAATCATCGCATAAGAATTTTTTCCACTTTTCAATTTAGTGGTCAACAGCGTAATATCAATTTACTGAAGGGAACAAGCACGAACAAGGAGATACTTGTTGTTGATCCTTTGGAAACTTAGTACACCAACGACAGCGCTACCGCTAGCCCAAGCCCTGTTTCGGTCCCATAACACGAAACATCTCGAACGAGAACGAGTAGCGAGAGAATGACGTGCGACAGGGAGTAAAGTTGTTCGACATATTACCGTCCAATCCTCACATCATGGTTCTACTAGAAGTAGATTAGAAGTACAACTACCAGCTGTAAGTTGTAAGTAAGTACTAGATGTAGAAGATTCATTCATTTACATTTTCTTCATCAGTTTCTATCACGTTTGATCTGTATCAGAGTCCTCATCATCGTGTAGATCGACTACAGCTAGAGAGGGTGACGAGTTATCGGATAATGCTGGTGCGCTGGCCGCGCAGCTGCCAGAAGGGTCGTGGTCTAATTGTAAACCTCCTAGATGACCTCCTGGATGAGAACTACCTCCCAAAGATATAGTACCACCATTCGTACGAGAAAAGACTCCACCTACAGTGACGATCTTTGCGTTCGCTGTGACTTGGAGGCTCCTCCTAGTCGATGCGGTGGTGCTCAAGAAACTTGTTGTTGGTGGTGGTGGAGGAGCAGGGGGTGGAGGTGCAGGATCATGTGCGCCATGTGGTAGCTGGGAGCTTTTAACACCATTCTGCACGCCGTGGCCATCAAGAGAATGGTCCTGTTGTAGTGTTGATGATGTTGATGGTGTGGGCTTCGTTTTTACTTGTTGTGATGGTACGAGATGGTGCGTTTTTGTGTCCTCTCCCATGTTGGACTTTGAACCTGCAGCTACTTCTTGAGTGGTCGTTGTCGCTGAATTTTTTGAATGCGTATGCGCATTCGACGACCCACCAGTAGTACTAGTTGATGAAGATGTTGCTGCTGCAGGTGTGGTTGTACTATTCGGATGTTGTGCTGGTGCAGATATCTTCCTCGTCGAAGATGTGGATCCTCCACGCGCAGCAGCAGCGTCTTTGATATACATGTCAAAAGTCACTACCAATGGCTTGTGGTCACTCCCTGTTTGTTCCCCGATCGGGATGATATCAAGCTCGTTGATATGCAAATAGTCGCAGGCGCCGCCGCGTGGCTGGAAGAGCAATAACCGGTCTGCCGCTGCAGGAAAATGGAACCTTTTGAAGCGCTTCCCCTCTTCGACTTTGTCTCTGTGGAAGACTTCTTCGCCTAGCTTATGCCGCAAGCGCTCCAAACCGACATAGTAGGGGTCTGAGAGAAGAGGATCGCGAGGGATGCTATTCGCGTTTGATACTCCGGCACCAAATTGCGCATTATTTTTAGTTGTGCTAGAGGAGGAGGAAGAAGTAGAAGAAGAACTTGTTGGTTTTGTACTATTTGATGGTGTTGTTGTCCTGTGTGACGCTGCCCCACCAGCTGATACTGATGTGGTGCTGAACGATGTCGAAGAAGACGATGACGGTCCAGAATTAGGCGGGCTACTTGGAACATGCTGGTGCGGATCGCGTCCTAACGGATTGAAGGCGTAAAGCTTTTCTTTCGCAGCGGCGGTGTCGAGACGACCATTCGGAAGAGGTGCATAGTTTGGTGGACGCTGAGTCGAAGGTGCACTCGATGAGGATATTTTGCTATGGTATGGTGGTTGGTGCGTATCCCGGTGCGGTTGATGGTTGACTCCTGAGGATTGTGTAGTACCAGAAACCACACCAGTAGACGCTGGATACCCATGAGTGATAGGCCCACCAGCACCAACCATCTTCACTACGTTTTCCATCGAAAGTGCTGCTCGTTGTTGGTAATGCTCGTGGAATTTGTAGGTCAACCAATGCTGTGTTCCACAAGCTGTAGAGAGATCGATCCAGTTACCGTGTCCTTCGATTAATCGCGCGGAAATTGCCGCACAGTAGCGTTCATCTCTTAAGGTTTCGGTTAGAATGTCAACGCCCTCTGGCAAAACAGTGCGGGAGTTCAAATCCCCAGAAACAATCAGAAGAGTGTCGCGGTCGAAGAGGTCTACCTGTTGTAGTAAGTTAATAGTCTGTGACATTGATGGACAACTACAAGATGAAGATGACGTAGATCGATGAAGAATGATCATTCTTGCAAACCACCAGCACTACCAGCAGTAGTACCACTACGACCACCACTAGGCTGCATAGGACTTCTAGCTAGAAGGTCATGAACACATCATCTTCTACCTCTGCCGCTCTGGCCAGCATCCGTCTCAAATTCCTTGCCATGACATATTTACAGCCTTCCATCGCCGCTCTCTTGTCCGGATTCTCCAAGTGTCTCGCTATACTGGCTATTGGAAAGTGAGCTCCCACACACAGAATCTTTAGTCGCCCCTTTCGGAGCCGGAGGAGCTTCCCTGAGAAGGCCTTCTTAGGATTCGTTACCAGGGGTCCGAGCCCTTCTTCAGGGCATATACCAAAAAAAGTCTGTGGCTTGTGGTAAAAGAGTCGGCTGCTCGCGAGTAGAAGCGTCTTCAAATTTCCATTGATGTTCGTTGCGAGTTTCGCAGTGAAGCTTTGCCATACGCCGCCCCACAAATTAGACAAGCTACTCATCTTGTAGTTTACCACTGAGGGATGAACATGAGGTTAATAAATTATATGTTGCTACATCACAAGAACGGTCTTCTTGTACTATCTCGAGGTGAATGCTAGAAATGAGATGGACGAGAGGACTCATATTCACGGTCACGCCCGGACTTTCTGACTCCAGCCATAACAAACTTTTCCTGATGCTCGATACGCGCATTCGTTTGCTCTTGTATGTCTAACCCATGCTTCGTAGAAAGGCTTCGCCGATACTTCGTCACGAAAGGGGTCAAGGGGCTCTGCGTTTCTGCGAAGGCGAAAAGCACTAGATCTCGATTCTCCGCTAGCCGATGAAGCCCTTTTTTCAGCACAATGTCGTCACTTACTTCGTCGTCATCATCACTCTCGTCGCCTTGCAGATGGGAACCTACTTGATGATTGTGAAGCAGATGATCGTCGTCGAGAGGACCAGCAGATAAGTTGAGACTTGTAGTTTGGTGCTTGTCGTTTCTGGTGTAGTCAAGTTCTCCTGAAGTACGTCGTCGCGCTGCAGCAGCTCCAGTTGCGGTACTTCCAGTTCCAGCACCAGCTTGACGTTCGACAGAATTTCCACCACCAGGGTCTCTGAGAAAAGTGTCGCTATGTTGATCTGCCACTGTGCCCTGTTTGCTATTGTGATGATGCTCTATGATATGACACCTTCGACTCGCATGCGGTGAGAAACCATCATGACCACCTGCGCGCACGACACCAGCACTAGTCGTTGAAAATGAATCAGCTGGGCGAGTACGTGTAGTTGTCGTGCTTGTTGACGATCTTGTTTTGTCATTCACCCCATTAGGAGGGGGTTCGCCATCCCTACGAGGACGTGGCGCGCTTCTGCCATAACAACCTTGAGCTTCTTGTTGACCATCCTCATCACCGTCCGATGGCGTTTCAACTGTCGTTGGTCGATAGTAAAAGTCACGCGATGCAGAACAACTTTTAGAAGCAGGAGCACTTCTTGAACCAGAACTGGAACTCGAACTCGAAGATGAAGCGGATCCACCACTCGTCATGCAATTCTTTTTATGTTCTGTCGTGCCAGTGGCAGTGCCGTCATCCGCTACAGGCACCAACAAGTCCACGACATTGAACGCGCTGTTGTTGCCCATGTTGAATAGGTATGCGCAGCAGCGAATGCGCTCACCCAAATCGGACGACGAGGAAGTCATTTTGACTTAATGTTCTGGTTGGTTAACAATGTTGAAGAGATGAATCGCGAATTACTTATTGTTAACAACTTGGTACTTGGCGAGTACCTACTCGTTTTACTACCTTTTCGCTAATTCTAATATTCAACATGAGACCGCCTAGTACGACATTTTTTTTACCACCAGGATCGTTCTTTTTAGTCATAGTGAAAGGGACTGCGGGAGCGTGCTGTGCAACTCTTTGTTTCTCATCTTCCAGGATCTTGTTAATCTGCCTCCATCAGTAGTTTCGCTGCGGACAACTAATGATGTCGTGATACCGATACTAGGTGTTAGGTGGAGTGTGCTCGCACGCGCGAGCAAGAACTGCTTGGAGAACTAGGACGAGAGCGGACCAGCCGTTGTTATTCTTATTTGGCTGCTAGGGTCGTAGCTAAGTAAAACGATTTACGTAGCATCTTCTCTCCTGGCAACATCAGTTTCAAGCATACTACAGGGAGCACGTCTTTTTTGTAGTTGTTCGTGGTCGTGGTCGTGTATGTTGTGTATTTAGAAGTACTATGCAAGGATGTTCTGCAAGTGTAAAGACGACGTATCAACCATATCGCAACAAGTGAAATTTCCCTTTTCATCCTCCACGCAGAGATTCTAAAATAACAATTCGAAATCGAATGCAGTTTGTATTAATTATACCTGTCGTTTCATCTAATCAATAAGAGTATTAACATAGTACTAGAACTAGAAACATGCACAATTGGGTTGCAAGAATAATCGCTGCAGCGCAGCTTTAGACTGCTCCTGCTGTCCGTAAAATGACTGTTAGAAATAGCGTACTTTTTCCTGTACAAGTAGCGCCGTCTTTTTGTATGATAATGTTGGTGGAGCAGGCCTAACTAGAAAAAACAAAAACCGAAAAAAAGTAGAGTCACTTCTTTCTGCAATACAATGTGCTGCTTTTCAGCTTATTCAAAATCGGATCTTCTCCTTTTTCTCAGTAGTCTTATATTTTCGTTGTCAGACTTAAAACTGGAAGAACCGCTGTAAATTACGTACATTTAGACATCAAATCAAACTCGGCTACCTTCCTATCAGGTGCATTTCTTGCATTCATGATGATGTTAATTGTTCGAATCATCTTCTGTTTCTGGAATCTTCTGTTACTGTAGATCCACACTGTTTAGACGTTAATGCCAATGCCTTACCCTTAGAAATCATAGACATTGAATCCGAATTCGAATAGTTTTAGAAATACATCTTGCTCCTGATTCTCTTCGGAAATTCGATGATAAGCCCAGTCGTCGTTGTCGTTGTGCCCTTATTTATTACTATAAGTTGAAGTTCTTCATCTGCATCTCCACGAGGTGCTTGATGCCGTCATTACAGTTGCGCCCTAATCAACACCTCTTCCGGTGGTGCAACCGCAGCTGTTTCGTCCACCACCCTGCGTAAGCGCGTTAGGCTGCTTTCATTGTAGATCAGATGCGACAGGGGTCCTTTCATTCGGGTCTCGCGTGGTGTTGCCAACTCCTTCTGCCAATACTCTGGCAAGGTGCTCTTACTTCCCTGTTGCGCGCGCAGCTTACTAGTGGAAGAAGCGCCGGCGGGTACTCCGCTGGAGTTAGAAGAGCGAAGTTTTCGTTGTTGGAATGTTGTAGTAAGTAGATTGTGCTCCGGGCAGTTACTGAAGTTGAACTTGCGACGTATGAAAAGAAAACTCTACTCGGAACTTGTTCTCCATTGATTCATCGACGACATCGTCACTGACATTGACATTGAGTGACATTTTTATGACTTAAAAAATAAAGCCATAAGTATCCCAGGCACACCTAGCTGCGATCCTTTCGCTGCCGGAGAAGGGGAAGACACTAGTGATGGACTACCAGAAAAAACGTTGCTCAAGTTTGCAGCACGGCCTCTACTGGGCGAAAATGATGAGCCCTCACCGCCAGACCGAGTGCGGCCTCCTGGAGACATGAATTCATCTTCACCATCTGGGGATTAGAATTTTTGAGAAAGAAGAGGTCCCGAGGGAGTAGAGGCTTCATGTTGAGTATCAATCTACTTCGCCGAAGTAATTAATATATTATAGTAGTTGTACTAAAGGACGACGGATCATCGATTCAAACAAGTTGTACAAGAAGTTAGTATGATGAAGATGATGTTCAAAAATGCGTTTTTGATTAGAATACTTATGATCCTCATCCACCTGTCTACCATGAAGATCGATGTTAAGAACTTTCTGTTGTTTCCTCGTCCTTTATTCTATCAATGAGATTCCGAAACCAAAGCCGATGAATATTATATTATAAGAGTTCCAGTCCCGTCTACACCTCATAATCAGGACCACCTCTTCCGCGGCCTCCACGAGCGTTATTCCCAATTTCAAACTGGATGGGGCCTTCACCATCCCTACAACGTCGAATCATGTCGACTAACTCTGTGTCGTTGGGAATGTGATGCACAGGCCAGCCAGGACACTCCCAGATGACTGAAGGTGCCTTCTCAGCAGTGTCGAGGAGTTCGTACGCCTGTTGGTGTTGGGTGGAGCGGAGACGCATGGTCATGTTGGAGGAAATGGAAATAATGGATCATGTAATTGTAAGTAGTCGATGAAATAATTATGAGAGGACTAGTAGAGCTAGACTTTTGCGGGATAATAGCGTAATCATGAAATAATTTTTTGGTATTGTGACTGAGCCATCCATTGTTAACGCTAATGCATGTCTCGAATTCTACCTCCCTCTCCGCTCTCCAGTTGTAAACTTCTCGCCACCAATCTTGCATTCGTGTCTTGTAAACGTTCAAAAAGGCGACAAGATTATATCTCCTAACGCTCAGCTCTTGCGCAATGAAAGATCGTCGTACGGCAGGCTTTGTCTCTAAGCTTTTGAGGTGGGCCTGGTGGGTACAAAGAGAGGTTAGATGCCGCAATTGCATCTAAGTTTGAGATTCTGAGGACGAAGTGTTGTAGGATTTGAACTTGATCATGTTGAGGAGGTAAAACATATTATTAACAAGTAAATAACAAGATGAGTGAGATGATACAACATGTTGATCATCATGCGATTTTTGAAAAATGCTGTAGTACACTGAAATCGATTTTGTATTCGTCCTTTTTCGATTTGCTTCCTGGCTGTCGCTCTTTGCTGTTCGTCACGCTACGCCGTCTGTAGCCAGGCTTCGCTGCTGGCATACTATGAGACGCCGCCGCCTTGTCTCCACCTGATTCCTGACCTCCCGGTACCTGTTTACTGCCTTTTGCGTCTGCGTGGCCATGATGTGTTTTGGAACCATCCGTGCTAGTCCCACCACGAGTCTTGCTACCACTACGTACTTTTTTCGACCCTCCTGAGTTGGATTCCGATCTATGATCATGTGTGTCTTTGCTACGGGTACCACCATGTCCATGACCATGGTCGCCAACACCATGATCGTCGACTAGATGTTCGTCGCCTCTAGCAACATGTCGCTTTTCTCGGTTCTGGATATTTCGTTTTTTCTTATTTCCTGTGAATTCCTGATTTGGGGGATGTTCTTGTTGGCCGTCATGTTGATGGTGTTTGTTATTAGATCCACTAGTTGCTGCACCTCCACTCTTCGGGCTACCATGTCCTCCATGTTGTCCATGATGGTCAGCACCTCCATGACCACCATGATTCTGTCCACCACCGCCATGCATCTCCTTATGCATGGCCTCCAACTCCTCTAGCAACAAAGCATGTTCTAGCTGCACCCATCTAGCTTCCACTTCGTCCTTGTGCTTGTCGAGTTTTAAGGCACTGCGTCTCCAAAAGCGCTGGACTTTCACCATAGCTCCAGCAAACTTGCGCATAGCAATCATGAACTTGCCTCCACCAATCCACGTGACTGGAATTAGAAGAGGTGGAAGAGGTGGACGAGGAAGAGGTAGACGAGGTGGTTTCTAGTTTTGTATGATCGATGTTAGGATCATTCACATTCTGTGTCGAAGATTCATTATATTAATTTGTACTTATCTATGTTAGGTTCATTTGTATCTATGTTAGGTGATTGAAGATTCATTCTGTGTCGAAGATTCATCTGGTCACAATGCGTCGAGTATCACCATACAATCTGTCGAGGAGTTACAATGTGTATTATGTGTCGAGTATCACCATACAGCGTAGAAATTAGGTAAAAATCTGAATTCAAAGCAATTAAAATTATGTCCTTAACAGAGAGTCAAACACTCTTTTGACTGCTCGTCGGCGCATCATGATGCGTGCACGATAAGCGATCGGTACTTGGATGGCTGAGAATTTCGCAATATTGTCCGGTTGTCCGAACGTCGATAAAAACTTCTCCCATTGCTTGGCCTGCAGTCGTTTGCGTCTCAGTTGTGCCCTCTCCTTCGCGTTCTGTTCGATCTCGTCTTGCTCTCTGTTACTCCTCATCTTCCGCACAGCCAGCATCCCTGAGCCTGCTGCATCAGCTCCCTCAAATGTCGTGCCTTCGAATAGAAGTCTTTGTGCTGTCTCGTCATCTCCTAGTTAACGCCAGACACTCACGACCATCTGATGAAGCTGATTGAGTTGCTTCATCCATGATTAAAATTAATATCCCCGAAAATTATCATCTTCAAATCACAACTACGGCGCCAACTGGGTAAGGACGACCTCCTGTTCACCGCCAACTACATGATATTAAAGACCTCACACCGCATACGGGATTATAGCTGCGACAGTGAGTGCCTACTAAAGCCTTAACCTAGTGCTGCTCCTAGTTGACGCTGCATACTCGTCAGGGACGCAGACGAGGCTATTCCACCTGCTTCGCTTCCTTTCATCGTGATGGGTGAAAGATCATTCAAAGAAGAAGCGTTGCTACTGTTGGAACCTACAAAATTCCATCTTGGTGAGCATCCTGGTTCCCATTTTCCCTCTAAACAAGGGACAAACTACAAAGATGCTGGGGAAGATCAAGCATAGATCAAGTTCAAGATGGACGCCTTGTAGCCCTAATAGTGAGGGAAGCAGATGGCTGCATATCTTCACCTCCACCTGCTGCTACTCCCACTTGTAGTTCGTGCTGCTCTCCGGTTGAAGTATTACCTATTCTTGATGTGTTTGTTACATCTACTCCACCAGCACTCTGTCCGTCTTTTCGAGAAGGTCCTCGTGTAGTACCCTTTTCACCTGTCGTTCCTGGTCTAGAGCTAGGCCTAGAAGCTGGACCACTAGATGTAGGCCTGGATCTCGCTCGAGAGTTAGGTCGCGAGGAGGAGTTCGGACGCGATCCACGCTGTCCTGTTGCTTGCTTCGATGACGATGTGGTTTTTCCCACTCGTCCACTTCCAGCACTTGCTGTAGTTGTCTGTCCTTCTGCTTCTTGTTCAGCCTGAGCAGCAGCAGCTGCAGCAGTTTGCTGTTTCTCCATCTCTTCTCGCTCTTGCTGCATTTTTATCAGGTGTGCTATGCGTTCTTGCTCGCGCTCTTCTTTTCTCTTCTTAGCTGAAGGACTGTACTGGTTGTCAAATTGTTTGGCATCGATGGCGTCCATCCCAGTTACCATAGCGGTCACAATGGCCCACATACCAGCAGTCATGTTGGACTTGAGTTGCGCGTTGGTCTTGTCGTGGATCATCTCTTCGTTGAGACTGGGATGAAGTAGAAAAAGGGATTACTTCGAAATCATCAAAGACGTGATTGGAATATTATCGTTGACCTCCTGGAGGTGTATCTGCATTCTTTAAGTATGAGTTATCAGAGCTTATAAACCACAACTACCCTGATTGTTTATGCGAGAAAATAACAAGTAGAAAAGTAGGAAATCTTCACAATAGAAATAGTACCTAGCCAAAACCCCACTCTCCTCGATCATGTTTGTTCTTCTGGCCATGCCGCCACCCGCTACCCTCACTGGGCTCTTCGGCGAACTACCTGGTGAATGTCCGCGACCGCTCTTCATTCCGGTGAAAAACGCGTGCCCACTCTGGCCCTGCATCCGCAACGCGTTAGAACTCAAAGGAGCCTTTCACTTCTTCCCTTGTTCATTTCTCCAGAACCCAAGAAAGAAGGAGACTGAAATTATGACTTGTAGAAATTATGACTCGTAGAAATTCATATGTTGACTCGTAGAACTGAAGAAAAAATATATTTTTGAGGCTTAAACGCAGATAATTCCAGCTTTTTCCAGAAGGCTGCATCCACACGCTCTTGCATATCAGCTGTTTGTGCGATTTTTCTCTGGTTGAATTCCACGATCCGCTTATTCAGCAATGCTTAGCGCTAGTTTTTTGTTCCCCTGTAAATTACGACAGGTGATGGGGACTCCACAGATACATCTCCACCGCTAGCTGCATAGCTACAACCCGTTGGCGCCACGACTCAGCTGCATAGATACTTCTCCTCCACACGACGGGGACACGAGATACTACATAGATAGTGATAATAAATTAGCCTTAAAAAGCGCTGTGTGTTTTGATGCGTCGCAATTTAGCATCTGGTTTGTGATCGTGCAAACTTTCCTGAGACCGGTTTTTCTCGGTGAAATCGTGAGCATGCTTCAGCTTCCACGGCAACGGCGACAAACGGTTCAATACCATAGGTGGCAAGCTTTCGTCCTTCTCCTGTCTCCTTTTTCTGCGAGGCGAAGAGGTAGTGCGGAGAAGTGTGGGATAGGAGTTTTTGCCATCTACTCCGTTTTTGGATGCGCCATCAGATATGAGTAAAGCGTCATCGGCACCATTGAGGTTGAGGGGAGCCATGCGGACGCCACCGCCAGCAAGCCATGTTGCGTGGCTCTGGAGCGTTTGCTTTATTTTCCTGGTTAAGAGTAACTTTAGAAGAGGAGTGGATGCAGATCAATGAGCCACTTTAGAAGAGGAGTGGATGTAAGTATCTATAATCATCTATCTTAATTGCGGTTGTGCATTGACGGGAATTCCCTTTTGCGCTGCTTCCACCATGCGTTGTTTACTCGGCGAGAAAGCTGCAGAGCGGCCCATCGACATACTCCCCTCAATTCCCAGTTCGGATTCGAGGCAGTTGTATTTCGAGATCGTATTTAGCGCTAGTCCCATGAGTTCTATGTAGTTTTCCCTTTGTATGGTACTGGTGTTTGGTAACCTGAGTTTGATCATAAGGGTTCTCTTCTTGTTTTCCCTTATGATCAAATTCAGGTTACCAAATACCGGAGCCATTCACCCTTGTAAGTGTAACAAGTGCTTGTACAACGTCACGCTTGAGTGATGAGCGGTTCCTTCGTGTAGGGATGGACGTCTAAAGGTAGCCTTAATGGATTGGTGCTTGGAGAAGCACAGTGCGGAAAGAACAGAGAGTCTCCGCGTGTAGTGCTCAGCATGGTGTCCTGGTTTTGATGAAGAGATCCAGAGGACCCGCTGTTCGATAAACCGAGTGATAATCCGCCAGAACTGCGCCATCTGATAAGACAAGGAGGATGGGAGGGTGCTGGAGACGAGGACTGATTGAATACTATTATAAATGTGATGAAGTTGAGGATATCACTCATGATCTTCAGCAAGGTGGAGTAAGTAGATAGATTCGTATCAACGAGCCACTTGTTCAAAAACATCATCAACAACAACAGCAAGGAAAAACCGTGGCGATCCACGTCCACCGAGTGCCTCTGCATCAGAATAGCTTCCCAGACCAGCTGGCCGGCGCCTCCCCATCGGTGACGGGGGTGCCATCATCTTCGCGTTTGATGCAAGTGTTGCTCTTGTGAGTAGCTGATTGAGATGATGATGAGGAGAAAGGAAGTAGATCTACAATTAGAACATGGTTCTGCACTTACTCTTTCTCCTGTTCCTTCCTTTTCCGAGCAGAAGTACTTATACTATAGGAACAGAAATCTAGGTTGCACTAGACCTGAGACTGTTCACGTTCACCCATCTTAATCATTTTGCTGGTTGTAACATGTAAATGATGGAAATTTTTATGTAATGGAGACTCATAAAACTACAACAGCAGCTGACCGAAATCAACAAAAGAAACCCCAACAGATTTAATTTACATTCACAATTGGACCTCCAACACAAGTATTAAGATCTTCTCAAGCCGAGTGGTAGTCAAACCGAGTTTGAATATGCCTTTCTGTAGTTCTCGCCTAGTTGTAACTATGCAACAGAAAAGTAGACGTAGACCTTTGAAGCAGACTATACAACAGAAACGTAGCCGGAAGCCATAAATTTCAACGACAGAAACACGTGCACCATCTTCAATAATGGACGTGTCTGTCCAACATCTTGATCTGCGTCCAGAAAGAATAAAAACAAGACACTACAGAAGGATGTGGGACCATACAAACGGACAGGTTTGCAGCTTTCTTGCTCACAAATCAACAGATTTCTCTAGTTGTACAAGAAGTACAGCACGATCTCACTAGAAAAAACTCGAAGCAAACAATCGCTTACGCTTTGCTTCTGCAACAGCAGCGGGCTTGTATCTGCGATAAGGAAACTGCACTTCTTGAAGGATGTCCAAATACAATCAATAGATGTTCTTGTCGTGTAGTTGAGTTCATTTTCATGAATCGGTGAGACATAGTGTTATACTGGAAGGATTTCGATTCTTCTAGCATTTTTTTTCGCGTAGTTTTAGTTGGTGCTGGTCAACTTCAACTACGACGTCGGTTATAAATACAGAAGTAGTCATTGATTTTAGCATCTCATTTGTGATGGAGCATGATGTCATGATGGTTCTTTATGCTACATTGATTATGACTTCTTCAGTTTTTGATGCACATGCATGATCAATGTTCTAGTTCCTTTATACCTTAGAAATCTGAATATCCCGTGGCCGAGACTACGAGATCTTGTTTTGATTATAATCAACCTCGACAGCGTAATCTTCGATGTTTAGTAAGAGTAAAATTGGGTTTGCATGATTTAGATGTATGAGTTTAGTAAGTAGATGACACTAGTTGTACTCGTATTGAAAGTTAATGTTGTCGAAGCGTAGAAGGATAAGAAAATCTTGTTCTTGGTGCGTCTCCTCGTCAAGAAAAAGGTGATCTGCGACTACTGGCTCCTCCGCGACTACTAAGAGATACTAATAGAAGATGCTCCTACTTCTGATAGATGCTCGTTGATCTTATGCTCCCGCTCGTGCTTGGTAAGCGAGTTTTTCGTTCTTTTCGATGTCTGCCGCGATTGTCTCCAGTCTGTGGATCTCCTTGATGTACATTGCCGCGATGTCCTTCTTCGGCTTCAGGATCTTGACTGACACTTCTCCGCTTTCCGACACCGTGAAATCGACATCCGTGCATCGCTGGGGTGCTCCTGGGAGGAGCAAACTCGGCTGCCCACTCTGATCCGTTTCTATCACGAACTGACTGCCCTTTCTGGCCACTACGGACAACACATCACGACACTGCTGCTCGGATTGAAAGTTGCACAGGGTCATCAATTTCTGAATAGAGATCTGGGTGTACATGCGGACGACATTGCCGACCATGGGGACGTACTTCTGCTCCTCCATCATCTGCCAGAAGCGCTCCCATTGACGGTTGTGACCTTGGAGAAGATGTTGTATTGTTGTATTGGAGATGATGTTGTATCTATTGGAGAAAATAAAGAGTTTAATTTTTTCCTACCAGATCCTAGCAACATACTGGTGATCACGAACAAGGTGTTTGAAAAATTGAATTTTTACCTTCCAGGGGGTTGACGTTTCCTTGCTGGATTGCCGATTCATCGAGAGGCGTGACAAATCGAGGTGACACGATGCTAAACCACTCACTCAACTTCGATGCATATGGTTTCCCTGCCATGTCGCCGTCCTGTTCCAGAGGTGGGTGGAAATTTTACAGATGGAGGAAATTTTACAGCCATATATACTACTTTAGTCCTGCTCCTTCTTCTCCTAAAAACACATTGTGAGAAGTTTATGTATAGTAGTTGTACCAGTGAGTCCTTTGCTCCCCAAGTCTTGAAGACTTTGACGTCATCGGCGTATTTGTCGTTGCAATGTTGGGCGACGATTTCTTCTGGAACGGCATAGAAGTTATCTGGTGCAAAGACTTCACAGAGAAGAAGAAGTCTCATCATCTTGTCCTGGACTTTTCCCTGTAGCTGGTACATCTCCGCTAGTGGTGGGAATCGGCCCAACTTCATCACGAAGTGGAGGTTCTGTTGTTGATTCGCGCGGATGTTGTGAGATTTATTTTGCTTTTGGTGGTTTGAGATTGAGATTGTATTGATGAAAATCATCTTCATGGGAGTGTGGTTTTGATTTCATCTACTTGCAAGAGTACGTCTATCGTTTTTCTACTTTACTTTCTTGAAACTTTTAGTTTTATTCATGTTCATCTCTACCGGCTAGCATTTTGTCCATTTCTAGATGAAATGCATCAAAAAATGGTAAATGGATTGTACCTTTGATATGATGTTCACTGCGTCGCTGTATCTTCCGCTCATGAAGAATGCGAAGGAAACGTAGTAGCACAGGTTCACATGTGCTGCCGGGCATCGGTAGTACATGGCGTTTTCACAGCCGAAGTCCAACTGCTGGGCGCACTTCAGGGCAACGTCGTATTCGCCCAAGACAATGTGGTAGCGCAGTTGCTGAATCTTCGCGAAGTAGCCAAGGTACATGGCTTGTTCGGTCGGCATCGTGCCTGGTGGCGCGTCTTGCTCTCCCTTGCGACTGCGCAACACCACATCGATATTCGTCGAAGAGATCAATCGTTTGAGGGTGTAAAAAACTTCTGCGTTGTCGAAGACAGCTGGATTCTCAACGACCAAAGCGAAATCTTGGTCGACTTGCGGTGGCTGGCCTTGCTGCGTTGCTGCGGCAACGGCCTTTGCTCGTTTTTGAGCAGCCTTGGCCTTGAACTGGCAGTAAGTGACGTAGTGGTACACGAATTCGTCCAACAAATCCCACAACCAGGAGATCGGCATGCCTTTGAGCAAGGAATTGGCATCTCCTTCCAGATCCTTGCCGAGCTTGTCGAAAATAGCCTGGTAGTTCTCCCAAGCCTCAACTCGCTCCGGACCAGTGACGGCTTTGTCCAACCTGAGAGAATTTTGGAAAAAATGAGGAACCACGTCGAGGACGATAAAAAGTTTTTGATACGTAGCTCTGCTGAAGAAGAAAATAAAATGAGGAACGTCGACGATGAAAAGTTTTTGATGCTCTACTTGTGTATTTTCATAGATGAACAAGGTCTAGAAGTGAGCGCAAATAAAAGAGTAGTTGTATTGGTACTTCGAGAACAAATGTCGGTAGTAGAGCTCTCGGTAGAGCATTAGGACATTGCGGTTTTGACCCAAGTAGACTCGTGCCTCTTCCTCTGATGGCCATCTTTGGCTCTTACCTATTGTTGTAGGAGTAGATGGAGGGTGTGTGGGAGAATTGATACTATATGGAGGTAGCAGGTTGAAGATTTTCTTCTTGACATCGTACTCATGACTTGTTATTACTTTAATCCGCTGTTGATGTAGAGTGAGTTTGTGGTTATTTCATCAACATACACAGAAGTCCTTCTTCTTCTTCTTCTTCTTCATCTTCTAGAAGATATTTATCTTCTTACCAAGTTTTTGCTTGTAGATTTGATCGGAAATCTTGGAATATTCCTTCACAAACATCTCTTCGAGCTCGTCAACACGCTTGTCGGTGACCTGAGTCGTGAAATCCTCTAGGAAGTTACGAACTGTCATATTTATCTCCTCTGGTCCGCCGAACGCCTCCTCGCGCTGACCTTTGGGGTTTTGTGATCAGATTTTGCTGGTTTCGTTGTGATGGAGAATTTTTTTGAAAGAACTGGGAAAAGGTTGTGAGGAAGATTTTAAGGTCGTGAAGGTCGTGATGAAGTAGATGACAAGGTTCTTTGACATCTACTTTTTCGTCTACTTGGTGTTGATCAAATTAATAATAGTATGGAGTAGTTAAAAATCATACTTGTAATACCTCCTCCATGTCCTCCACCCCATTGCTTGTTTCTGTTTTGATTTCCTTTTCTACCTCCACCCCAGTTTTCTCCTCTCTTGTTCTGCTGTTCTGACGACCACTCGTGGGCTCCACCAGTGTTGGCTCCTGCTTGGCCTGTCTTCTTAGCCGAGAGGTAGGCCTCTCTCATACGACGTTGCGACTCATCCTCCATTTTTGCTTATGTTATTTGTTATGGAAGGCTTAGGTTATATGCTTTAATAAAAGCAGATGATTATCCTTATCTTAGGGTTAAACACTTCTAAATGTTCAACTATGAGGAGTCTGTTAAAACAAACTGGTGCTATGAACAAAAAGATCCTGGCAATGTCAGTATTCAACAAAATTGATGACGAGGTGGACCTAGGAATACCAAAGAACGTGATACTTACGTTTTTCTACAAACATGATAAAATGAAGATTTGGAACTCTTGTTCTACAAGACAAGAGATCGTTTTTTTCTCCTTACAACAAGAAGTGCGGTGGATGATCATATTCTTATTCTACAACAGATCCGCGTTCAGTGCAGTAGATGCCGTTGGCGTTTGCTTTATCACATTTTCATTCCGAAGACCATCCATCAAGAAGAGAAAGAGGCAGACGAGCAACCACCACATCAACATCTTTAGATCATCTACTTCTTCTTTCATCAACGATCTTCACATTTCTATTGAACAAGGGGTCAGATACAGATTCGTCAACAACTCTACTCTTGTGCTTGAAGATGGCGGATCATGTGGAAAACCAGAAACAGGTTTGCACCACACGTGGCGGAAGCGTTCTGGCAAAGGATTCCATTGCTCCTGAAGATACATCAGCGAAGAGTATCTTAGTCCTAGTAGTTCCTACCTAACATTTTCAATTTCATGATTCATGGGGGACCGTCGTTTTCGTCTTGTTCGTAGACTTTGCTTTGACATCTTCAATAATCTTCTCAATATTTTTAAGGGAACAACTTTTCCGGAAAGTAGAATGCAGGAGCAGGATCGACAAAAATGACAATTTCTAACAAACTTCTATCTTCACGTTCTTGGAATGGGAATGCAGGACAGACAAAAATGACAAGCAACTTCATTTTTTATCCAGCTTTTGGAATGGGAAAAATTTACTAGGATAGACAAAAATGACAATTTTTCTAGGCTCATTTCATGACAATGTATTCTATTGAGTCCTCAAGTTCAACTTCAACAACCCCTAAATCTGACGCTTTTCTTTACCGACATCACCACGCTCCACGCAACACGCCCAACCCATCGTAGAAGTTGTAGTTACTAACTTACGTTGTTCACCCCTTAGTTGTTACTTGCGTTGTTCTTCATCAAAGAATTCTGCGAGTTGGCGGAAGTTCCTCTTAGAAAAACCAGTCTTGGAGTCTATCCTCTGGTCTTGGCGCTTCAGCAAGTGGTGCTCTTCATCACCGTCCATGTCCGCTGCACTTTCGATAACATCAGTGCCACTACCGGTGTCTGGGAATTAGAAGATTGAAGAAATATTATTTCTAAGAGAGATCAATTCTGTTTCCCAAACAGAAAATAAATCAGATATTAAGAAGCGCTGATAAAGACCTTGCTCAGGCCGATCACCTACTACAACGAGCGCTACAACGAGCTGAAGTTGAAGATCTTCTTGATCTAGTCCGAAACCAACGTATTATAGCAACTTCATGTATTCGGTAAATAACTCAAATAAGCGAGTAACTACTTGAAATAAGTGAGACACTGAAAGAAGAGCAACGTAGTGCCTCGTATATTTCAGTCAGCAACTCGGTTAATATTTCAGTTTTTCGTATAGTAGGCCACCATAACTATTTTGGTCGGTTCCCCCACTAGGACCGCTACGTGATATCTGGCTACCATGCCCGTGATCCAGATGGATGCTATGGCCACCCACTTGTGCAGTGTAAATGCCGTGTTGCTGGTAGATATGAAAGTGAGCGTGAGGATTTATTGCAAAAGGTCGACAACGTCACCAAAGACTAATTCGTTGCCGTTCTAATCCTAATAAGACTAACCTCCTTTGTGATAAAGTGAAAGTGTGAAGAAGGTCTTGCTCAAATATTTTTCTATCAGTTGTATCATCTGAGACTGAGGGGGCTAAGACTACAACAGGGTTTTTACTACTAGAAGTAGATCCTACCACGATAAGCCATAAACAACATTTCCTTGTGCTCCGCTATGGACAAGGAACCTTTTTCTTTCCTCGAGCATCGCTACGTCCACTGGCTGAGCCCTGCGGAAGTACGCTGTCATCCCTAGAATCAAACCCAGGAAGCCCATTCCGACCAGAGCTACATCCGAAACGTAGAAACCAAGATACCGCTCGAAGTAGGTCTGGTTAGACTGAGCTTGTATTGTTGTTAATGTTACTTACAAATAAAGCTGGAGTATATAATCCGACTGAAGATGCAACATGTTGATGAAGGAGCTACTTTCATCTCGTCACGCGTCTTAGTACGGCAAAGCTTGCAGCAGAAGTCACCTTGTTTCATCTACGTACTTACAGGAGAATGATAGACCACGATTGAAGAAAAAGCCTTAAATTGTTGCAGGTAGCCAACTTGAATCTCCTGGTTAGCGCTGGCCTGATCCACTTCAACGTAGCCAGAGTTGTAGAGAGAAGTGCACATTCCGCTTGGTGTTTGCTCGGTTTCTCTCTCTTTGGCGGCGATTCTTAGAGGAGAAGGATTGCACATGGAAGTGGAGTCTTCAATAGAGGACATGACAATCATGGTGGACATCTTCATGCGAGGACGAGTGGTGGATCATCTTTGTAGACGATGAAGTACTAACAACTTCCAGTTCTAGCTTAAATAATGTTAATAGTATTAGTTGAGTACTCAACATTATACAAATATAACTAACATGCTAGCTTAGTATCCAGATTCTAGCTTAGATCATATTCTAGCTTAGTATTAGTTGAGTACTCAACATGTTGATTTAAGAACAAGCGGCCTTAAATACAAATGCTGCAGTCGTGTGTAGGCGAAATCCAGGGAAAAGGTCGCTGTCAAGCCACCATTGTTGCAGAGGTAGAATTTGCTAATGCCCGTCGCCTGGTCCTCCTTGACGCACCAATAATAGTTGTTCTCGCATAGCCCAACCATTTTAACCACATATTCGCGCTCTTGCACCGAAAAGGCCCAAGGCTTGGACGAATGCAGTTCGTACATGTCCTGAAGTGGAGGTGGTCGTGGTGGTGGTAGAGTAGAACAAAGCAATCAACAAGTACTAGTGAGCCCGTTCTTGATTTTTCAAAAGAAAAAACATAAGTATATCAACCACTTGTTCCAGCCCAAGAAAATAGAAGTGATGATCATGATCTAGCAAAAAAGTTATTACCGACAGCGCATTCCTCTTGGTGTCACTGCATTCGTAGCGTATTCTAAACGTGTACTTGTGATCTGGTAGCTGAGGTTCTAGAACGAAGTAAAAGCTCTCGTCTTCTTCAGTCGGAAACACTTTGGTGCTTACCCCACGCGCATCGCCGATGTCGTAGTTTTCGCTGTTCATCACCACGTTGCCAAGGATTAGAAGGGCGGGTTGTCTTCGAGTGGGGAACAAGAAGATGAGTTTCAGGATGATATAGCAGATAGGAAAGGCAGAAATTGATCACGATCTTCTACTAGTAAGTATTCTACATCTACTTGTTTACGTTTGCCAACGAACAAAGACAAACAGCATACTTATTGATCCACTTGTCTTAACTTCAACGAATTCACTCGGTGGAACAACTTTCGCAGAAGTTGTTTCTTCGCAGCCACAATTTTCGGGTCTCGACTCGGAATCAACCCTGCGTCTACCAGCGAAGGGATCTGACCGCTCCCTGAAGCTCCAGTAGTACGTGACGATGATCCCGATGTTAACAAGCTAAATTAGAACCAAGAGATGATGTCCTGGACTTCAGCAGCATCGTAGCAGGTCCCCTGGTGGTGCCCTTGTCCCTTTCAAGACTGACGGGACCCAGACGAGAGATGCTGGGGATCCCTTTCAAGACTGATGCTGGGGAAGACGAAGATGAATTTCTTGTAGACCTTAACTAAACCCGCCATCCGCAAAAACCTCTTCCATCTGCATCTTCGCACCAGCACCCTTTGTAGCAGCAGCTGCAAGATCGGCCATATCGCGGTCTGAGGGTTGCGTCGGACCTTGATTCTGGTTCTCCTCTGGGTCTGCGGGCATTGGAAAAGACTGTGAGAACAGAGCAACTTTGATGCCACAATTCCTGACGATTTGGACGTTGTACATCTGGAAACCAGGGAACTCGATCTCAGGTGGCTGTTGGGACAAGCGAATTGCCTCGCCGGGAGCGGACATGAGAGGCACAGAAGATGCAGCCATGGAAGACTTAGCTCCTTGTTGATTTTGGTGTCCTGCTCCCTGGTTGGCTTGCTGTTCGTTGGAGGAACCTGGTGAAGGGACGATTGAAGGTGAACGTCATCGTCATCGGGATTCCTCGTGAAGATCAAGATCATCATAGAAAACCAGTCTTCTAATTCGTCTAACAAGTACAAGTACTAGATCCGTGGATTTGCAAACCAAAAATAATACCTCCACCGAGCATATTCATGCTCCTCGATGCAAAGGAGGAAACACCACTTGTGCTTCCAGCGTTTGTACTACCTCCAGTACGTGTTACAGAAGAGGATTGTTCCACCGCACTCGACGAAGACTGAATCCTGCCTGGACACGCTAAATACCCTAGGGAATTCCTCAGTGCCGCCACATCCGAAGCCCTACAGACAACCTGCGGTAATGTGCCCAATGCACTCAAGGTTGACAAAACGACCGCGGGACCGGAGGTGGATGCTGTGTTATTCAATGCGGCCACGTAGGACTCTTGCTTCGCGACAAAGGCTTCGACCTCAGCAGCAACCTCGCATTGACAATGCTTTGACTCAGCGGTGTCGCGACTCTGAGGGACCATGGCGGTTACCTGATGTGGATTTGGATCTATGTTGAGGTACCACTTGTTCTAGACGAGTAAGAAGCTAAGGAGCAAATAAAAAGTGAATTTGAATTTATTAGGAGGGAGGTCTTGCAATTGCCTATTAAGAAAGTGTGGTGAAAGCGTCAAAACAAGGATAGTTCCAATTTCCATCTGGTGCTTAACATCATCATGCCTCACATAACGACGAGTTGTAGCCTTGTTGTTCAATCAACACTGTAGTGAGTAACATCATTCAACAGCAACTAGTACCAGCGTCACCGTCGCCCTGCACACGTTGTCGTTCCTAGTGCCATCACTACTGACTGTGGACGCATCCAACTGGGCGTAGTAGTCCTTGCAGTCTCTTCCCGTTAATAGAGAGATGTCCTTGGCGCTATTTCCATGCCATGCGTTCCACAAACACATGTTGATCAACTGTGCATCACTACTCGGCTTTCCTAGACCGACGGCTGCTGCCTCAAAATACTGCACTTGCATCTGACTACAAGTAGAGTAGAGAAAATCTGATGGTGTGCTGCCTTTGCCACCTGTGCCAGCTTGGAAATCCACCATGACATCCCAGTCAGGGTTCCGACAACGGTTCCCGTTCAAAGGATTGGCGATCAGAGTGTAGTACTCGCGGTTGCCAGCCTGTGGTGGTGGGTGGAGTGAAGGTACTACTACAGTTGTGGATGAAAGTATAGAACGAGAACTCGCAAAAAACTAATCACTGACGAGAAGGACGAGCAGATGAACATGAAAAGTACTTCGTTCACATCATGAAGAACTCTGCTTCTTGAGCTTGATGTTGTTGCGAAAAATCCACTACAAGAAATTTCTTGATGAATAGACAGGTTACAGTGTAGCCAATTATACCCCTCTCGAAACCGACGGACAGACTTTGACTTTCCGGCTCCGCTCCCCGCAGAAACGATTTTCTCGACAGTACATCAGTTGCACCCTTCCGTAGGGATTCGGGGCTAAGGATGAGAGGTCTATGAGCGAATGCGGCGATTTCGCTTTATGATCACGTACTGAAATGTGAGGAGGTGCATCTTCATCTCGATGTTCTTGATGTTGAAGATGCTTTTGACCTACTTGTTGTTCTTCAATGTCTTCTTCGACAGACCTTTTTTTAGTGCTACTACTAATATCTTGATGACCTGCTTCTATGAAAGTAGTTGAAGTTCTGCTACTATCTGCTTCTGCTTCATTTGATGCCGATGTTTCTGTTGATGCACCTCCTGCGTCGTCTTCAAGTTCTATACTATGCCGACGAAGGAGGTATTTGTTACTAGTACTAGGATCTGGTGGTTTCTTCGAAATGAACTCCAGCATACTTCTTTCGATATCATTTTCATCATTCGACCCGCCGCCGCTAACCCCACTCCTAAACGAACCAGCAACAGAATCACTAGCCTGTTCTTCTAAGTCAACTGTGTCTAGTACTTCACGTAAGGAGGATACACTAGAAGTAGGGACTTGTTCGACTTCATCGAAGTCGCCTGAAACCGCATCATCGTGGTCATCAAGACGGGGACCAGCAAAGGCCCTGCCTCCTGTGGAAGGTACGTCTATTGCGTCTAGACGGCCTTCTACTGCTGCTCGTCCCAGACAACATGCGGCCGCGAAAAACAAGCGGCTGCTGTGCTTCTTTTTTTTCCAGAGGCCACTCAAACGAGCTTGGCGCGGTCGTTCGCTGGCGGAGTGCAGGTTGAAGATGTGCATTGTTCTTGATGTTGAACTGCTGGTGCAGCTGCTCGGACTAGCGAGTTCTTCGCATGGAAGAAGTTGGCTGCTCAATTTCATGTTTTCCATCTTGCGATGCATACTTTATTTTACTGTCATATTAGACTTTCACTTTATTGCAAGTACATGCATAGTTCGTAGAGCTACTAGCTCTGACTGTGGCCTACCATTGATTCACCTCCAATTATAGTTTGTTGAGATGACAAGATTCAATCATGGTTGTACTTGAGAAAAGTCGCCAATCTTTTATTCAGCTTTGCGATTCATTTTTTCAGCACTTTCATGATTTTGTTTTATGGCCATATCACTTCAAGTGTCTGTTCTTGTTGTACAGCGAACGATAATTTTGCGATTTTCAGAATCAACTACGACAGATGCTTGAATGACCGACAGAACGCGAAGACATGTCGCTCGAAGATGAATACAGTTTTTGAACCACAACCTCGACATGGACGACTTATTAGCTCTCTAAACACGACACTCTTTTCATGCATCCATCGCCGTCCTCCATGATCGATACGAAGCGGACGTACGGGATAGAGGTACGAGTACGACAAGTTTTTTGCCATATATAGTTTCGTCGTGTGCGCATACAATCAAACAAGAACCCAGCGTCATGCAAATGCAAAAGATGCAATTGCAACTACATGCGATACTCACTACTTAACAGCAACCACATGTACAGCTTGTACTTTGCGTTCACTTCCACCCGGACAAAGCCCCGGCAAAGAGTCTACAAATTGCGGAACTACCCTCAAAAGCAGTTCTCGGTATATCCTCTTATCCGCGAAGTTGTCCAAATGAACTTGGAGACAGTCTACGTCGTTCAAGACCCGTTGTGCCGCTTGACCCTGCTTCTCGTATCTGTAATTCCAGTACAATTCTGAATACCCTAGACCCTTTGGAGCTGGCGCTTTCAGATGGAGTTCGAACCATGCATGCGTGAAGCCGCCATTGTAGTGGTACGGCAGGTTGTGCAGGAAAGAGCCGTAAGGATGCGAAAGGAAGAATTTGCCACCAGGTTTGAGAAGACGATGGATTTCGCGCATGGCCGCGAAGGTTAGAATAGGACGAGGAGGAAGAAGAAGTTGTACTAACTGTAAGTAGTTCGTCGTTGTTGTACATGGTCATGGAGATCGGCGTCTGTGTTAGTGTTGATGTTGAGGAGAACTATTGAGTTTAAGAATGAGGATCTGGATGAGCATGAGTTACAATTGGTTTTGTACTTTTTACCACCTCCTTCTATTCGAGTAGGTGTAATCAACATAACACTGGTTCCGGCAAGTGCTCCAACACCTGATCACATACGATGATATCGATGCTGTCACTGGGTAAGGGAATATCGACAATATCGCTGACCACGTCCAAATGAGCGTATCCCTTGTTCGAATTGTGAATGCTGGATGCAAAGCCAAATGGCGACAATCCCAGTCGCCTTGCTTCTTCGTGGATCTTCTTTCCGCGGTCCTCAGCTGTTTCAGAAGTGTCATACATGGCGAAATCTTGTTTCAAGTAGAAAACAGGAACGTCTTTTAGTTGTCTCCAAGCATCTTCGCAAGGAGCGGTGCCAGCGCCCACGTCTAAGACCACGAAACCCCGAGAAGCGGTGCTCTTCTTGTCTTCATCGTCCAAGTGATCAGGAGACGAAGGCGGAGATGTAGTTGAGATCAATCGACCGGATTTGGAATCAATGTTGAGGCCTGGATGGATTGACGGTACCCTGTCGTGTCTTTCTTTTGTACTTGTCGTGTCTACTTTCTCTTTTTCTTTCGCCATCGCCAAAGTCTTCAACTCGTCTATGATTCCGCTCAAATGCTTGCATCCTGCAGCGTCTGCATACAGCATCGTGTCGTCACGGAAATGCAGAAAAGGCACGGCATAACTGGGAATGCTCTCGTTTGTCTTCTTCATCTCTTTTACAACTACGCTTGTTGAAGAAGTTGGAGGAATTTTTGCTGGTGCGTTCCTCTTGGAATCATGAACAAGAGCACCATTTTTACTCGTCTCTAGTACTGCCCTACCTATCTCAGGATCTGGATCTTCAAAAACTTTTGCGATATGAAAAGTTCTATTAAAGCTCAGCATTCAAGGGCCACTGACTCTGAACGGAAGGGACCCCCTTCAAAGCTCTCCCCTTTCCCTTAGTTTTCCCCTGTTCTCTCAAGGGGTCGCCTCTTCGATCTCAGTGACCAACCCCAATGACCATTGAAAGCTGAGCCTTAATTCTTTCTGGTTTATCCTCTGGATTGCCCGTCATCTCTTGTAGTCTCTCCGCTGCTCGAAAAAGCATTGACCAAACTTCACTCCGCTGGTAATCGACTGTCCGCCACCTGCTAGGACCATCAAAAAGAGTCCACAGCTTGTCCAACGCACCATAGATAGCTATGAGGAAGTACTGCTCAAGAGCAGAAGCAAGGGTTCTCCTTGGAGGGAGAGGTGTTGCTGGACGAGGAGATGCACCAGTCCCTCCATTCGAGTCAAACGGCTCATGCTCATGATCTTCTGCGTGGTCAACATCTGCGGCCACGTTATTTATCGCCTGAAATTCCGTTTCGGCCATCTCTACAAGCGGTTGCCAGGTTGAGGTGTCGTTATTGCGGAACATCGTTGTGGCGACTTGCAGTGTTGCTGCCACCCGTTTCAATTAGAGTCTGCTAGCTTGCATCTCGGCCCCCTGCTCATCTCGGCCCCTGTAAATACTACTCTACCCTTTTATCATAAAAATCATTTCATAGGAATAATACAATTACAAGGCAAAAGAGGATCAAGATGTCGAGAAAGATGGATAAAAGCTGACCTTAATTCAAACTGCCTTTTTCCAACATGTCTACAGGGGAAATGACGTCTCCTGGCTCGTTTTGCAAGGCTTCTGCATCGTTCAGGATCTGGTGGAATGCGTCAATAGCTTGTTCGTCGTCAGTTATCGTTCTACTTTGGCTTGTTGAATTTGATCTACTACTTGATGCGTCAGGAGCGTTTTTTTCTTGGAGATAAAGCAGGTCTTGTTCGGGTCGATTGCTTTCCACCGTTTCCTCTAGTCGTTTTAGATCTGCTGCCGCTTTTTGCTTTAGCTCCGCTAGTCTTAGACCGAACAAGGGATGTCGATGTTTTACTGCCTCCACCCAACTGAGACGACGGTTCCTAACCCAGAAAAGATCTTCGTCTTTAGAAGTGCTACTGTCGTGGTCTTCGCTGATGTCGGTCCTAATATGCATCATTGCAGCAGAGGCAGTTCCGGGTGAAGTAGATGATAATGCGGTAGAGGTAGAAGAGGAGTCAACATCCTTTCCCTTGTTGTTGTGGTCTGTACGTCCACCCTTCGTCGTGATCGTACCACTGCCACCTCCTACCAGTAGTCTCGCGACTACTCTATAGGGTGCCGCAGCTTCTGGACACACTTCCTCTAGCATTCGACCTAAGGTTGGATGCACTGGCTCGCCCAAGACGTCATGGCACAGTGGTCCAGGCATAGCCATCGGGACATCGGTCCTCAAGAGCTTGATCATGTCCAAGCGCCGATCGCAGCAGACTTCTGGGGATAAAGATTTGAAGATGTCTTCCGTAAAGCAAGTGGGGTTAATCACACGTCGTCGTGCCGGGTCGTTGGAAGTAGGACTAGATGAAGGGCGTGAGGACGAAGGTTTCGGTTTCCTCACTCTCAATCCTCCTTGTTGCGGCGACCCAGCGTCACAGCATAATTCCTCAGAAAAATCTGCGGTGAAGCACGAGTCAGCGGCAAAGAGTCGGAAAAGGTGGTCGAATCCGGTATCGCAGAAATGGTCTAACATGGAGATCATCTGCGGACATTGAGTTTGCCAACACTGGTCGAACAGTGGCGTGTCGACAGTGCATTGTGGGGGACCAGCGTGCACGTGAAGAAGTGCTGGAGGTAAAAGTATTTGGAAGAGGGAGAAGAAAGCGAAGAGGAAAATCATCAATATGTTGGGAAGACGAAGAGGGCGAAGGGAATAAAGTAGGCGTCGAGGAGGTGGGAGAAGGGGAAGGTGTGGAAGCAGGAGTGGCGATGTTGAGGTGGGATTGTCGAGCTTCAACATCTTGATGGTCGAGGAGGTCGTTTTGCACAAGCCGTACTAGGGAAATCGGAAGGGGGACGCCGACATCTTCATATTCTTCTGGTTCTTGATGCTGGTTTAATTCGTGGTCTTCGACAAAAAGTTGTAACGTTAGAGGACTTATCTATCGAAGTCAATCTGCATGTTGCTCCACCCAGGAGACTGTTCTTGCTTAAGAAAAATCATAGCATGACCGTCTCCTCGCCGATCACGTCATCGCCGCCAGTAAGACAACAGATAACTACGATGTACTTCATAAGGATGTACTTCTGTTGCTTTTTAACAGATTCTGGACCTGACGAAAGATCATTCGTCAAAGGGCGACGACGTCTGTTCAACGTGAGGAAGAGGGGGGGCATAGTTTCTGATGCTCTTGCTTCTCAACATCCTTATGCCCTGACGTGGCCTTCGTCTTTCTGTATCTGTTCTTGTGGACAACATATTTCGCAGACAACAAAACAAAATGTCAAAGTGCGCATCTTCTTCGTGTGCAAAAACCGAACGGCCACCAGCATGCGGGAATGTCTAAAGTTTAACATCATGGCGTGACTCATCCTGTTCCAGCTTCGCTGTTGAGGTCTTGGGTATCGAGCCTATTATCTTTACCACGACTAGCACTAGTAGTAGTAGCTGCGGTACAACTATACATTCAAACAAAACTGTCCAGGAGCAAAAGATTAATATCTACTAGAACTCTATCTCAGGATAAAGGAGATCAACAGACAAGGACAACATATTAGATATTACTTCTGACTACTGCACGTTCAATTTAAACATCACAAAGTTCCCTCCATCCTCTGCTCCATCTTCTAGTTAAACGTGGTTCAACATCACAAAGGCCCCATCCTCTGCATCTTCGATTTCCTCAAGCAGTCCAAAATGTCGTATTTCAAGCCTGGATACAGGATGTTCTCGCGACAAAACTGTGCAAACTCTGCTTGACACACTGGGTCGTTTAGGGTTTCTTCGATGTCCATTTGGAGAAAGAGCCCACGAGCCGCTAGAGACATAAGGCTTTGCACCCACCAATTCTGGGACGCCTCTGTCGTGGACGTTCCTGTCGTGTCAAGAACAGAGGGTACTGCTGCTGGGAAATCTCCCCCTGTCCTCGTGGTGTCAACAGGAGAAAGTGCTGGTGTTCGATGTGAGGACTGTGAGAGTGACGAGTCTCTGTTGGTCGCTGGTAAACCAGGTCCAGCACCATCGTAGATTGTTGCTTCTTCATCACCAGTAGTATAGCGCGAAGAAAGTGAAGGTCCCCTTGCCTCGCTTTCGACAGCATCTTCCGTTAAAGCACCACTTGTTACTCCTTCTTGTTCGACTAGTTCCTCTTCACTGGTGGAAATGTTTAGGGACGTTCGCGAACCGTTATTTTTATGATCCTCGCGGCCCATGAAAGCCCGAAAATTTCCGCCAGACGTTTCGTTCATCGGGGTCAGGAGCTCGTCCTCATATGTACGATCTTCGACCATGGTGTCATCCGGTGAAGAGATTGGAGAGAGAGGAACAGCCGTAGAACTATTTGAGAGACGACGTAGAACGCTAAAAAAGCTACCATTGATAAAGTCTTTCTCGTCACCGAGCGATGACTTTGCGGAGAGAAACAGCGTTGAGGTCGATGCAGGCTGGGGAAGGTGAAGAACAGTTGTAGATGATGTTCTCCTGCTTCTTGAAGTACTTCTCCTTCTCGGCATGATGTCTTGTGACTCTTCTTGAAGATGTTGATCATGATCGTCTCTCTCGACATGTTGATCATGCGTTGCGCCATATTGAAGAATGGGTACTTCTATACCTATACGAGGAGGTGAAGGACGTGAAGAGGAAGAGGAAGACGAACTTACATTCTCTATTCCACCAGAGAGGATTGTCGTAGCTCGTCTTTTTCTGCGTCTTTCCGCGATCTCCTGTAGGCCAGAAACTAGAAGTTTCTCTATCTCTACAGGTAGTGAGCAACGAGAAGGTGAACTTCGAGATGGAGGCAGAATTGAATATGAGCCAGGAGTAAAATGATCAGGAGAAGAAGTCGCTGATGTAGCCGCCTCAGGAGGGTTGTTCAACAAATCAGTGGAAGATCTGGGTACTTCTTGTATTCCTGCGGGTCTGGTTGCTGTTGTTGCCATTTCTCCTTGTCGTGCACGACTTTTTGCCTCATTCAAATGCATCATGCTCTCCTTCCCTCCTAGTATACGAGTAACAAAAATCGCTCCTCCTATACAAGAAACAAGTGCAAGTGCAATCCCCACAATCAGCCATGCACGTCCAGCAGATCCTCCGAACGTGACCCAAAACCGTTTCACAGACGAGGGTAGCGTAGTGGTCGGAGCGAGATCTTGAGATGCATAAAATGCCCCCGATGGTGTTGTTGTTGATGTTGTCCTCGTATAATTTTTCGCACCCTTTGCCATTACCATGATTGCCTCCTCTGTTTGTGTAACTCCTGCTCCTGCTCCTTCCGTCGCTCCAACTGCTGTCCCCTCCGTAAATGAAACAGCCCCAACGGCTGCGGCGGTCGGTGAGAGGCTACTATCGACATCGTCCGGGGTACTCGTTGAGCAAAATCCGCGACTAGAAAGTAGTTGCAGACGAGTACCAAGAACTGTCGTAATAGGACGACTCGACCACGTGCTGTCGCTCGTCGTTGAGGACGTCATTTACGAACATGAACAACGAAGAACATCTTTGAGAACAATGGTAGGCTTTGAGTAGAACAGTTACAGTTGTAGGCTCATTTTTTTGATGTACTTAGTAGTAGTTTTTCTTGTTCTTGTTTAAACTCGACAAAATGATCATGTAGTTGAAGTTGAACAAATGAAATAAGGATTTAACAAGACAAATTTAAAGGAAATCTTCAACAATGATCTTCGCTTCTAAGAACACGCCCTACATCTATCTCAACAAGAATATCGTCATCAAGGATACCCTGACTTCTGTCAAAGTCAACTCTAGTCTTCTACGAGGTTGTTATTCTCCGTTGCTGTTGACTACACGTTCCCGCTCTGACTTCTCACCTTCACAACTGTCCTCACCGAACGTATCGACTTAATTGATGCCCACGTCGTAGTGGTTGCCCCCACAGTGGCTGACGTTCTGTAGATGCTATTGCAAGCAAATTATTATGAAACGAGAGTCATTCCCATCTTCAAGAATCCGAGATAGTACTTTAGCACTCAGAGTTAAAGATGAATGTATGCTCAGCAGCGCAAGCCTCAACCCAAATGCGGAATTCGCATAGATCATCATGTTGACCATGAACCAAAACTTCGATCGTCCCAGCGAAAATATTAATCATAGTCCTCTCAACCAAAGCACTCTTTATCAACCAGAAGCAGAGTACTGAAATTATAGCCTTTTGAGTCTCCAGCACCCAAGATGAACCACAACCAAAAAGTTCTTCAGGCTTGATCAGACGAACTGCAGCAGCGCACAATGATAGAGTGGCAGAATCAGGTTGTCGATTTGGTCTGTGCATGCCTCTAAAATCGCGACCAAGAAATCTGCCAGTGCCAGCCGTAGCCAGGATTCCGTAGACAGGTTGTGGAAGCCTAAGATGTACAGCATGATCGCTTGAAACGCGAAAGCACTGACGAAGAAACCCAAGCTGCCTTCGATCGTCTTTTTCAACCCGCCGGGCCAGCGATGCTTGCCACAACTCGTGCCGACTATACTAGCAAAGGAGTCGCCTACACCAGTACACGTGAGACCAGACAATGCGATTAGCAGACTGCGCGCTTGAAAAATACCACTGTGGTTAGAGCTAGCGCATTGGCATGAAGATCCTTGACGAGTGCATGATCCTTGGGTACTTCTTTTTCAAGGAGAAAAAGGCCTCCACCAAGGATGGTTCTGAGTCTGACTGCTGAGGATCAGGATACTCTCTGCCTATCTAAGTGATACTTGCCTTAACGTGGACGAAAAAAGCATACCAAACTGGCACAGCACAGCCGAGTAAGAGATACATGTGCGTTAGGATGACGGTTCCTGCATCACGGGTGTCTATATACGGACTGATGAACTCGGTAACGTAGTGCGCAACTGGCGGCACGCCTGCACTGCGAAATGCCTTAATTTAGAGCAGGTAGTATTGATGAGAGCCCATTTCATCTTGGTACCTTTTTTACATACTAGCTCTTTTCAAGTGGGAAATGATGCTCGCAAACTTGCTGTAAAAAAAGATGGTGTAAGTAAAAGATGCCAAAGAGATGCGCTGCTCACCCTCACGCAGCACGCGACCCTTAGTCTTCAAGCCTTAATCGATCAGTAGCAACACGGCAAATGCGACTGCAAAAGCGAGACTTGAGAATCGGATATGGACTAAGATCGAAGGCACGAACATCACGATGGCCAAGAAGTGAAAGTATTTCCTAGTGACGATCCGTCTGGCGGAGATTTTGCGGACCAATGGTAAGCCGAAAAGGAGCCCTCCCGCTAAGACGCTTGCGAAATAGGCGATGAAACGGAGCGGTGTCGCGGAATGATGTGTTACGTACTTCAAAATCCAGAGAATCGAGTTCTCGCGAATCCAAACGGAAATCGCTTCAAACAAGAGCAGCACTGCCGCTAAAGTCGTTGGGTAGAAGAGAAGAGAAGCAGTAAAACAGCTTGATGTAGGAGCTTCTGTTCGAGTACTAGGTGTTCGCGGAGCAGGAACAATATTCGTAGAAGTTGTCGTCTCATCGTCCGTCGGAGTGCCAGCATCCGTTTTTGTTCTATGATCTTCATGACTTCCAGAAAATGTAGAAGAAGAAGAAGAAGCTCTTGGTGGTCCACTGAGCCATGAGAACGTGCCTGAAGACCGTCTTCTTCTCTGTTTGCAACAGAAGAAATGCAAGCAGAAGATGTGACCTGCGATAAAGACTGCCCCAAACAAACCCAAAAGGATGACACTGCGTAATTTCGACACTGTGTTAGAGCTTACGACCCTGGTGCTTATCCATCTTGAACTTGATGTTTGAGACAAAGTCTAAGTATCCATCATCCTGAGACCTTTTTCCCTTTGTAGAGAACAAGAAGCTCTTCCCGATGTACCTTTTTCGCCACCTAAAGAATCCTGTTATCGAATATCGATGCACCTCTATTTTTCCGTTCTTCTTCGGAAGCGTGTAGTGCCGGATGGGGAAGAAGCTTGTTATGGTTCTATCTAAAGATAACGAGACCTTATTCCTCAATGCCCCCTTTGTGAAGAAGAACAAGAAGCTCTTCCCAATGTACCTTTGTCCCCTCAAGAAGCGAGCCCTTTCCGGTTTTTCCGTCAGACAGAACGTCTCTAAGATGCTTCTGAAGATGGATTAGGAAAACAAAAAGCCTTAAGTCTGATGCGTTGTTGTACGATGACGAGGTAGAACATGTACGAGAGCAACACGTTGCATTGGGACAACAACGTGGCCTCCCCAAGCGTAAACGACTTCCGCAACACGACAATCACAGCGTACATCGACAGCAAGAAAACGAGTGGAACCCCAAAGCACAGCTCCGCGTTTGTTAATGGCGCAGGCGGTTTCAGCTGGAAAACGAACTCTAGTAGTGCGAAAGCGACCATGGACAAAAAGACGGAAAAAATCGTTGCAGTAAGGGCACCTCTTGATGCCGCAGCACTATTTGATGATATAGATATTCCTGGTTGTCTTCTTGTTCCCGTCGACGTCAACATGGTCATCTTGTTCGAGGAAGTGCTACTGGAAGCAGAAAACACAACGACGCAGTAATAGAGAAGTAGAAAAACCGCTGCGACGATGGAGCAAGCTGTTGTGACGACATAAGCAGCCCTCATTAGAAGATCTTCATCCTCGAATCCATGATCTTGTGAGTGTCACCCTGAGGGTCTGTATATTTTCCCTTAGAGGCCCTGGGTGTCATCCTGTTTTTCCCTTAGATAGAAGGGCGCCCCAAGATGCTCATGCAGCTTCTAGAGATGCTTCTAGTAAAGATGGATAAGGATAATTCCCGAAGATATGTCATTGAAGCCTTAACCTCAACGTCGTGTGCTTCGGAATAGGGGCACCTCTGTGCACGACATCGTCAACCACTGTTGCTGCGGTAGTCCTTAGTGTTGGGGTCGTGAAAAGTTGTTCGTCTCCGCCATCTTCAGCTAGGGCAATTCCTCCTGTACCTAGGTTCAGTAGAACTGCACCAGCATTCCCGAGAGACGTCGTTGCTCCGCTTAGACTGCTGGAATCTAGCATCTTGTGGTTCTGGTGGTCGTAAGGAGAATCACTTGTCCCGGTCGTCGAGACTGTCGAGAATAAGCTGATGAAGTTTATGATCCAGGAGGTCGTAGGTGGTGGAAATAACCCTCCTCCAGTCGCTGATGCTATTCCGGTCACACCTACAACAGCCTCCGAAGCTGGAGCGCCAAAGAGCAATGGCAAGAGACATCCGCCTAAAACAATGCCGCTACTCTTGGCTTGTCTTTCGAGATGAAACAAAAAGCGCGCGTAAAACGCAGCGTGATGTCTCTTCCTCCATGAGCTTCCGGTTGGCGTTTCACTCTGCTGCATAAGTTAGCACTTTACTGACTGGGTTCATCTTCATCTTCCCTGGCTTTCCCCTTCAACTGCATTCAAGACACGACTCGTCCTTCCAAGAAGGAAGTAGTAGAGTAAAAACAGTAACAAGAGATTGTCACTACGTGAGTAAGATGCTCCTGTTGTTGCACAAGATGAAGATGAGTTTAATAAATTATGGCGTAGCCGTAAATTGAGAAATCCTGCAACTCGTCATCGTGCATCAAGAAGAAACTTAGAACTGACTTCCCGAAACTCAAAGGGGTTAAAGAACCTTCTGAACAAGTTGAGTTTGACGTCGAAAATGACGTGGTGCTGGTGGTTGCAGAGACACCTGCTGCACTTGTAGTTGTGAGGTTCTTGGAAGAAGATCCTCCTCCAGTTCTCGTTGTTGAGGTTGCTCCTGGACTTCTAGAGCCTAACAGTGTTGAAGAGGTAAATAAATGGACGTCTTCATCATCGTCTCTAAGTATCTTCTTGGTAGAGATTGCGTTCGGGGGCTCTCGTCTGCGCATGTAATTGGACGAAGATCCCTTGCTGAGGTCAACAAAATCTTCCTCCTCGTTAGCGTTGGGTCCAGCATTCATGGCGTCTTTTGTATCATGTTGATGAGCAGCTGAGACTAGTCCCGGAATTTCAAGTAATGCTGGTGCTCCAACTGCATTCTTCTGATCGACGCCACTTTTCGGGTTCGCTTTTTTGCCATTCCGAATTTCGCTCAGCTCGAGGACTCCCGCAACACGCCTTGAGAGGCCAGGTGCATTTATATCTGCCGAGATTGTTGTACCTGAACCTGAAGAGCCTTTCCGGACTGCCTGCCTACTCCCAGAGCAGAGGACCTCATCTTGAAATGCATCCTCCTCCTGAGCACCATGTTGACCATTCACGAGGACATCCGTCTCGATGGGAATATCCTCGAAGAATGGGCCCCGAGTTCGTAGGAAAAGCGCTTCCAGGAGACATAAAGCCGAAAACAGCAAAATCAGCGTCCATGGCGGGTAAGTGTAACAAAAACAGCCACCGGCGAAAATCACTGCAGTCTCACCAACAAAGCAGGTCCACGATAGCGAGAAATAGGCACTTTTTACTTCATCGGATGGAGATGCTGGTCGTGACAACATGATGGCTCTGCTCGTCCTTACTTTACCAAGATCATGTATTTACTCCACCATCAAGGCGACGCCATTCAATACCAAACACATTAGACTCTCTAGAACAAGTCGAGAAGTGAACCTCTTTACTTCAATAGAACATCATACGAGGAGGAAATTCTTCTTCTTCTGCAGCAAGCAGCTTCTACGTCATCCTATCTCAGCAAAATCATGTTGATGAACCGAGGAAGACCAAAGACTCGATAATATTTCTCTAAACAAATAAAGAAACTCGCAGAGCCTAAATAAACTTCAACTTGAGAGAGAAAAAAACACAGACTCACGAGCGTCCGCAGAAGCAGTCATACGAGTGCGAGCAAAAGCTACAAGCACACGAGATCCTTCAATGTGATTTGGATGTCCATGTCCTACAATATATAACAACCGTAAAAACTACTAAAATAAAATAACCGGCGCTAAAAACACTAGAACTACTAGAAGAGCATAAGTACCTATTTACCTTTTGCGTCTCACCTACATCATTTCAAACCGGGGAGAGTTGGGAAAAAATTTCAGGAAATCTCAGTCTCAGAGGGGTTGAGATTACTTCGGGTTCGAAAACCTTCAGCTACAAAGAACTTAATTGCGTCAGGGGATCGCACGCATCATCATCTCAAAACCAAAAGAGGTGACACCAGCGACCACTGTTTATTTTATCTATGTGGCTCCATCCTTTCAAAATAAGAGGTGACACCACCGTGTTTGTATGGGGCACGACCACTACATCTTCACAACTCACTGCCACTGGCTCCTAAAAATCTACTAACGTCTTGATCTTCTACAGCTCGTGCGGCGAACATCATTCAGCAGATCTGCGGCACCACAGCAACACACGAATAACCAATCGCAATCCTTGTGTCTTGAACTGGTGTAAGAGAACGTCTTCGTGTTAAAAATCTTCCTTGTTTTTTCCGAGTCAGAAGTGTTCCTTAGAAGGTCGATTAAGTAGTAGTTACAAATGAAATATTTATTAATTTTGCTTTTTCGTGGAGATCGATGATGTTGAATAAGAGTTTGAATGGACGGTGTGCATCATATTCAACATAAGAAAAAGGTAAGACTGTGTGTATCCTAAGGCATCGTTGGACAATAAATGTTAGACGTACAAAACTTCTTAAACGAACCGTCGTCCATCCCCTTGGCTTGTTTGCCTTTGATGATGCGATCGCTGATCTAAACCACTTGTGCTGCAATATCATCATCAGTGTTGAAGTGGTCAGCGACTTTCTCCCAAAATTCTCTCTCACTTATTTCGTGGTGCGACTACCTCTACCTACCACGACTCCGTATTCAGTTTCTCCAGCCAGATATCCTCTATCCTCAAGTTCTTCTTGTGCGAATAGACTATGTTTTTCAATGGAGTCAGGATCAGCTCTCTTTGATTCTGCTCGGGGAAAGAGCCATGCAACTCGCCATTGGAGGCTCTTCTCATCTCCGAAAATGTAGGGAAAGCATCATTCTCAAAGCCGGCGCTGTCACCTATTGGTACTGTTACTCCCGCTTCTATGGTGATCTGGCTCAGCTGCGCTTCGAGTACTATGATTCCGTAGTAGACTAGTCTAAGAAAATCGACGACCTTGATGTGAATCTGAGAACTCTTCATTCTGATATCCTGGAGAGTCTGCTTAGGAACGACCAGGACCTTCTGCGGAACTTCAGGAGCACGGTTCTGCGATTTTTCTCCTAGTTCAGCTGGTTTAGCTTTGGCTTTGATCCGGTGAGGCCAGAAGAAGAGTTCGATGCTATCTCCTCCACTTACCGAGCTAAAGCGAGCTGTTCTGACAGATGCTCCTTCTGGTTCTGGTTTTGAAGACACTTCTACTTCTACTTCTTCTTGTGTTTCTGCTGGACACGTCAGTGTGAGTTGTGTTGCTCCCGTTTTTGGTGTTGAGGATGAGGACACGCCGTCAGGGGCTTTGCGAACAAGTCTGGACATATCGATAGCGCGAAGTTCTTCTTGTAGCATCGCGGCGGTTTTCGGTCTTGCACGTTCATACATAGTGTCGAGCCATGCTATAAGGTTGAATTCTTTTTCAGGAGGCCCCTGTGACTTCTGTTCCTCTTTTGTTGTCAACTCCACGTCAGTTAGTAGCAATTTTCTTTTGTCGCAGAACGCATCCCAGCTAAATGACCACAGAAGTTCGCCCTCGAGCTTGCTACTAGAATGCTTTCCACCTCCAAGTTCTGTGTGTACGTTCGGCTGGTCGGTCTTCTTGAAGAAGTCTCGTCTGAGGGATGTTCGAAGACTTGCCCCTATGCCTATGCAAGAATAGTCCCCCGTCCAGTGGGGAAGCGGTTTCCCAGGACCAACGCAACCCATTGGGAGACCTCCTTTTGGCCCACTTGCGCAAAAAAGTGCCTTTTGTGACGCCTGCGTGGCGTCCCTGTAGTTGTGCTGACGCTTCTGCTCGTCCCACGGGCCCAAAATGCATTTCTTACAAATAGTGGACAAGATGTTGATGTTCAATTCCGGCGAATCTGTTGAGCCGCAACTAAATGCTTTGGGTTTTAATGGCGGACTATAATGCTGCGCATTCTTACTCTTCTTTTCAGTTTCAGCCCTGCTCGTTTTTCCCGCTCCCGCAGTAGTTGTAGATGTAGTAGCTCTTGTAGTTTGATGTAGTTCGAAGTAAGAACTTGCGGGAAGAATTGAGTCATCAAGGCTGGTCAAGGGCGCTCCCTCCTCATCAAACAAGTAACTTCCATTTGAACATGGAGGCGTACTCGTCGTAATGTCCGCACCTCGAGTTTAATGAGGGTATGTTGGAACTTTGCTTCAAATTAATAAAACAGAACAATCTGGAAGTCGAAAAATAAAACTATGCTTATGCTGCTCGAAAATAGAACATCAACCTCGAAAAAAATAGAACAAAAAATATAGTACCATCTTCATAATCGTCATCAGCGGATGTGGTATTACAGGAGGGCTCCATCGACGTCAAGTTCTTCAACATATTCGAACGATAGCGAGGCCCAAAGAGATTCAATAGGGTACGCAAATCCGGTGAATTCATGCGGAGAGCAGATTGGTTTAGAGATCTCGCAAAGAAAAGTTGTTCATCTTTTGAGTCTATCTCTTGAGTTCATGCTCATCTTCATCTTCTCAGTTCGTTCTTCAGGATAAAAGAGAAAACCATTCGAGGGAGACACAGACAACCACGACCGTCGACCTACGTACTTACCTATGGATAAGAAGTGGAGATCCATCTATCATTCATCACATGTCAAATTTTGTTAAGACCCTTAATGTCAACTCGTCCCAGTCGATGACTCCCCTTGTCAGCGAGCCCTGAGAGCTAGGGAGTCTTCGACGTAGCGCGTCGGGCGACAAGTGTAGTAAGTCCGGTCGCGACGTGATGAGGTGCGGAAGAAAAGTGTGGCCAAACGTCGACTGGGTAGAGAACAGAAGCCCGCGCACTTCTTCGTCAAGGCGCGGCAGAAATGCAGCGAGCGTGTTCAGTTGCAAAAACGTGAAAGCCACATCTCTCACATTAACCGCAGCACCTGGGGAAGCGAAAGCGATGATGCAGAGGCAACTAATAACTAAGGTTGTGTAGATTTTGATGATAAATGGAGAAGATCATGCCGATAAGAATGTTGTTCTTCGATCTGGTCCACAAATAATATGAATTCTTGTTGTAGTAGTGAAATATTTCCACAAATCTATGAAGGATTTCGATTTAATGTACCAATTTCAAAGTAATGGAGCTCTGTAATTGAGTAAAGTGGTTTCTGCTCTTCGACAAAAGAACTCGTGGACTTCCCCCCGGGTTCACTCGCGACAAACTCCGCTGATGGGTGTTCTTCAGGAAAAACAGCATTTGTCTCAGCATGACCACCGTCGTCACTTGCGATGAACTCTGCTGCTGGAATTCGAGACTCATGGTGCGAAGCATCGCCATGTGCCACACGACTATTTCGAACCTCGGCAGGCGTGGTCAACACTTTCGAGCCTAGTATTTATGTTGGATGTCGAGAGGATATTAAACAAGTCGTCTAGGTGGATTTCTAGGAATCAGAATCTTTAGCATTATCTTCAAGATTATCATCTATCTCTTTCCTAGCACCTTCAAAAGTACGACTAATATTCCGTCAGGCGTCAGCGACGCTCTTACATATAATTGAAGACCGTAGATGAAACTGATGACACGACTATATTTATATTAATGCTCGTGGTATACTACTTACTATGTATATGTGTATTTAAAATGTACTTACCTTGTCCTTGATCGTGGTCACCATGCTCGCGAGCAGAGGTGGACAACACTGGCTCCACCTGCGAGGTCTCCTGGTGGAGCATCTCGTCAAATACACCACCACCCTCGATAATTTCTGCCATAACAGACGACCCTGGGGGCATAAAGAGCAACCAAAGGTGCTGCACCACACCAGAACGCCGCATCTTGCTGATTTCTCTCTCGTCGCCAACCTAGGAGAAGTCCTCCTAGCAGTTTTAGTGTTGGGCAGAATGATAATGGCTAAAGCAGCTACAACGTGAAACGGCTCAGGGTGGATCTCAATCAAGAGGCCCGCCAAGATCGTGAGCCAAATGGTTACAAGATCAGAATCACAGCAATAGGAAGAGCAACAAGATCACGCCAAGGGGATCGCCATCAGGCTGGTCACCAATGGAGTGGAATACTATCGGGATCGAGAACATCAGAAACGAGGCCCCTAGCGTAGCAAGTAGTTTGATACGGATAGGCATGAACCGGCACACTTTGGAACTGCATGAGAATCATCAAACTGAAAGAACTTGCCCCAACCTTCGCAGGTATAGGGAAGGGGGGACTGTTTCCAACTTGACCCCCCTGAGGGTCTAGCTTTCTAGGTTTTCAGTGTTCTAACATTTAGTCTACACCTTTTCTCAGCAACAGATGATACCTCATCAGCACCAGGTTGCTTCCTCTCGTTTACTTGTTCGCGCCACTGCTTGCACAACTGGAGGTCTTTTTATTGATTCATTTCTCACATTCGGTATATTGCAAGATTGATTTGACCGTCATCTTGTCTTCACAGGATAAGAACACACTATTTGTCTTTGTCGCAGTTTTTACGACAACAAACCACGAATAACGCTTGACGTTTACCGTATTGCCCTCGCAACATCACGTGCGAGTCTTCGATATGAAGCGCGATCATGATCCTTAGCGATATTTTCAACATCAAACAACACTCATCACATTCTTAGCGTTTCCGATCATCTACACCCAGTCCCACACACGGCAAGTTAAGATGATGATCTTGCATTCCACTTCGACATACAACAATGCCTGTCATGTTGACCTATTTCTTCCCAACCAGTTCTACAGATTTCTCTGCCGCTGTTCCCCATTTCTGCAGTTTTTCGAGCATCATGGAGGCGTCAAGGTTGCTGCCAGTGACGAGAACTTCCTTCTTCTCAATGTCGCAATCCACCTTACTGACGCCATCTATTTTTGTCAATATTCGCGTTACCGCCCCCTGAGGAATTAAGTTAACATTAACAACAGGATGGACTAAGAGGTAGAAGAGTTTCGAATCTCCGAAAAGATGGAATATCAAGTGGTAGAAGAGTTTCTGTTTCGAATCTCCGAAAACTATTTTTCTTCCTTCTTGAGATAAAAATGTAGAAGTAAAGACGAAGAAGCAAAGTTTCTTGTGTTTGTGATTGATGAGATGAATCATAAAGATATCGTAGCTGTTGTACCGAGCATCCTTCGCACGTCATGCCGACTTTGAACTCGACAACTTCGGACATTTTTCTTCCTGTTTTTGTTCGTTATGATTGGTATCCCTTTTGTCCTGAAAGAAAAACAAAGCCAAACCTTATTTATGTCATGAGGCTGAGGTGAGTAGCCAAGCCTTTGCTTCTATTTTTATACCGATGAATTCATTGGTGTGTGGGTTTTTTAGGCTTGGCTGTGAATCTTCGGTTCATAACCTTCCGTCTCTGGAGAGGGAGGCAACAACAAGGACCCCTGCTTAGTTGGATTTCGTTTCCTGGGATCATCGTAATCAGATATTTCCAAGTGATCAAGACTGAAGCTGCAACACTGCAAGTGCAATCAACGCACAATCTTCGTGTACCTCCACGACTTCTAGAGAAGCAACTACAAGATGAGAAAGTGAAGAATGTTCTTCAATATGAGATGAAAGTGAAGAATGTTCTTGTGCCTGTGCTCTCGTCTCCATAATAGCAACACAATTACGGCGTGATAGAGGATGCACAAGAATCTTCTGGCTCGTCGATTTCCTTCTCACGATTACATGCATGCATGCGTCCCTGTATCAGCATGATGCTGAGTATCAGTATCAGGTTCTTCGTTATAATATTCAAAATCCTGAAGATCATCATCTTGATCTTCTGTATCTTCAGAGGCATAAGATCCAACATCATATTGTCCACGCGCCTGATCATCAACTACATCGGCATCTTCTTTATAAGGTCCAACATCATCTTCGCGAAACACTGCGCATGGCCTTGTCTTCTTATTCGCAACGAAGTCGCATAATCTGTAAATTCGCAATAGGTCTTTTTCCTCAATCATGTTCTTGTGACCTCCATGTATTTCATTTTCCTCCTCCACGTTGTTGTGCCCACGATGTTCAAAGTCTTCGAGAGTCGTTTCGAGTAAGTCTGCGCAGAGATTCGCTATTCGAGAATCAAAATCCCTTTCGTGTGCCGCGTCTTGTGCGGCTAGGATGGCCTGTGCGCGCTCGGAGTCCAAAGCAAGAATGCTACTAGGGAGAACGAGCTCGGAAATCGCATCTGGCTGAAGATGAAGCTCTTTGGTGTCAGTGTTGTTCGATGGGGATGGGGACGATGCGGATGGAGGAGAACGAGAAGGAGCTTGGATTGATGTATTTGTGGGGGATAAGGAGGACGTAGACGAAACAGCATAGACGGCATCCCACAGTGGCCATGTTGATGTTGACGTTTCACTTCCTCCGTCTTGTAGTTTATTTGGTCTTCGCGATGCTGAAATCGTTGTTGACGAGGAATCTAGTACTCGCCTTCTATTCGTCCTCGTCGATGCTGGTGAAGAAGTCGCAGTCTCTACGTCACTTGTTCCTTCATCTGCAACGCCTTCTACTTCCATGGTGCTGTCATCTGCTCCAGGACTTGCCGTGTCCAGGCGAAAAATATCACAAAATTCGTTTGTCGGAATCCAGTTTTTTCGAGGACCCGTCGTAGCATTGTTGCCTGAGCAACTGTGACTGTTAGAGCTACCGCATCGCATCCCCTAGTACATCTTGGAGCCCCTTTTCTCCTTGAAAAAGAGGCCAAGGAAGGGTGGTGCTGCGGATGATGCAGCGGTAGCCTTAACACTGATGCTGTCATCTTCACGATCAGCACGACACCGATCGTCCCGTTCTCCTGCCTTTCTTTGCAATAGGGTTCTTGACGTTGCGTAGAACTTCTCTAACCACAGCGTGATAGCGTACTGGGCGAACCTTTGCTCCAGCTCGGACTTTGGTTGCAAATGAGTCATAACCTGCGACAGGAAATCCGTTTGAGAGAGGTGCTCTATTAGTGGTGTAGCGAATCCATCCCGGGAATCATCTGGCAGCTGGATCTCTTAATACTCTTCTTGTTTTCTCCTTCCACCAGATGACTTTATTGGGGATGGATTTCCCACGACAGCACCCTTAACTCCAGTGCGGTTGTATAGTCCTTCAGACGGGCGTCGTCATCTAGTACGACTGTTCTGCCATCATTTATTTTCGTCTTGTTCGAAGGATAAGAAGAACTGGCACTACTAGTTGTAGATGAAGTTGTTGCCTCCCGAATCCAGTCTGCCAAAAAGTTACAAAGAGGACCAAATAAACCTGATGTGCTGGAACAACTTGAACTTCTAGTATTAGAAGATGAAGCTGAAGAAGTCGTTGCTTTACCAGTTGTAGTTAAAGCTTTTGTTGAAGATGTTGAAGCTTCAGTGATTTTTTTCTCGTTTTCTCGTAATGCTTTCAGCGCACCAACGTCATAGATTGCGGCCTTAGGAGGAGGTGCAATTTTTTCACTTACCAAGCTCGCCAGCGAACTGGTGTTGTCCGCAATGCTGTTCGATTGAAGCCCTTTTATCACTGCACCACGAAGTGTAGATGAAGTTCCAACAGTTGTATGTCGTGACGTCGATGAACGCTTGTCGTTGTAGTTGTTCAAGGCTCCTTTACTAGAGTGCTTGTCGTTGCAGTTGTTCAAGGACAAGGAGGTACTAGACGAAATACTAGACTGGCCTTTCAAGCCCCTCTTGATGGTATAAGCGTTTGCTCCGGTTCGGCTGGAGGAAGACGTTTCGGGAATTATCCCCTTCGTTTTGAGTATCTCCGTTACATCAGTTGTTTGCTCGAGGACCGAAGTAACCTCCTGATCCACTTGAGCTAGCTCATTGCGCGCCAATTTTAGAAGACGTTGTAGTTCTTGCACTAGCATCTCGTCGAAATACGTGGTGTAGTAATAATAGCATGCTCAACTTGAGGTAACGATAGACCTACGCTCTAGGACAACCTGAAAATACATAGTGTAGTAATAAATACATTCATAGTAGTCATTGGTAGACATTTACTATGTCTATCTTTGTAATGAAAAAGAACTACAGGAGATTACCCATTATGCACTATTCTTTCAACATAGTTGTACTAGAAAAAACATATTAAGTAGATCTCCTCATATACAAAAATAGCCTTAATCTTTGAATCTTTGTTCGCTCACGATCATAGTAGCGTTTTTTTCTCTGTTGTACCAGCCGAACAAGCCCAGCACTTATGTCATTCGTCTCTTCGATGACACGGCGTCGTCGTTCCATCCCCTGCACCTCCTCCTGCAGAAGCGCGAACAAAGACGACAATAAATCTTGCGCTTTCGACAAAGAGAAGGGCTCTCTTTTTGCAGCTGGGTGCATAGTAGTCGACGCCATTGTTTTCGTACTAGTAGCTGCACTGGCGTTTCTTGAGAAGTACCAAGAATCTTATAAGTCTAGTACTGACGTCGAGCGTAACAAGCGTTAGATACTGCTGGTAATGATCTTCTGAAACCTACAGTACGAGGTTACCTCCTACTTCTTGTACTTTCATCGAATCAAAAATTTGAGTACTCGTAGTGCTATTAACACAAACTGCTTAGACAGCTTTCTTCGCGACCTGACGTCATTGAGTGTGGGTGCATCCTCCTTGAAAGTTTCAGGTTCGTAGTCTGAACTTCTGCCGGTGTCGATTGGTGGTTCTTTCATGATAATGTGTTCTTTAAGAGGAAGGCTTTGCTGTGGTCCACCTTGTCGTACTTTTTCAACAGCAAAAAATCTGTAGTTCCTGCAGTTTCAAACAGTAAGAATGTCAATGTCTTAGTGGTGCTGATGAACAGAGATTACGATGACATCGACATGAGGACTCCTTGTCCTTGCTTCGATCTAGCCTCTTGTTGATCAGTGCTCACTTCCAATTCCAAAGGCCGCAACTCCTCAAACACAGGTGAAGAAGCGTCATGTATGATATCTACAAGTCAACTATTGACTTTGACTTTGAGACGCTCTTGCTTGTAGGAAATCCCAAACACATGCGTCGAGCTTCTCTATTGCGTTTGCGTAGGGGTACGGGTAGGGGAAGGCGTGTTCTTCGAGAGTGCTAACGTCATAAACATAATTTTTTGGTGAGTTTTTAAAAGAAATGAATTTTGTCTTTGTTTCTGCTCTTCTTCCTTCATTTATTACAACTAAAACTATGGACAGTTTTTTGCGGTGTCTGTCAGTCCATTTTCACCTCTAGTACCGCTAGGCTCTTCTTCTTCAGCAATGATGTAAGTTATCTTTCGACTTCCTTTGATGTTTGTGTCTCTTTGTCCATCTCCATATCTATATGTCAGAATTTTGATCTTCATGTCTTCTACTTCTAACTATAATCCTCGTCTTCCTCAGCGAAATTCAAAATAAGCGTCCTTGTTGCTCGTTTCTTTTCCTTCTCGTCGTCACACATGCAGGAAAGCGCGTCGCTGTTGTCGTTATTGCTTGAGTCGTGGACGGTGGAATCCATATATCATGATGTCATGGCGCGTGGTCTTATGTACCTATGTATAAATATAATTATAAATATTGTCTAGTGTCTATGTATAATTATAAATATTGTCTACTTGTGAGGCCATCAAACATTGCAGTGCCTTCTATGAAAAAAACTGCAGACCACAACGAACTACTCGTCATCATCGTCCAGCACGATGAGAGAGCCGCGATCTTTCTGCTTTTTGATCCAAATCCCAATGCTCTTCACGGCGCAGAGGCTCAGCGTGCCAGCAGAGTGCCTTAGCCAGTCAGAAGATGCCGGAGCTGCTCCCAGGTCGCCTTGGCCTTCTTTTAGAGCTTACGATTACTTCTCCAGGAGGGTTATGGAAAAGAGCAGATCGCCTCTTTCTTATAAAGATGAATAGTTGACGAGGACACGACCCTCCAAGTAAGTTATTTCGATTTCCACTATTGGAATACATATCGAACGACGGACCCCTCGTTCCACCAGGCAGTTCCTTCCCCCCATCAAAATACTGCTCAGCCTTAATGTTAATTCGGCTTGATAGTTTCTTGATGTGGTGCTTGATGTTGTGCTTGTAGCTGGTGGGTTGGCACTTAGGAGTGGAATCAAAGGCGCCCCAAAGGGACGCAGCGGCCAGCCGGCACCATCCACTTCGCTAGCACGTTAGAGCTACAAGATGAAAAGTGTCACTTTTAAAGTGACAAGATTAATTATAGCTTTACTCGCTTCCCCGGTTATGATAAGTTGGTACTCGTAGCAACTACCTGCTCAGCACAGCCTTGATTTCGTTGTTTTCAGTATATTCTAGTTCGACTGCCCAAAAACTGCTAATATTTAGGAACAAGTTGCGGAGATGAAGTAGGACAAAAATGAGCACGGGTTCCATAACCTTCAATCGGCTGGCCATTGAGTAGAAGAGTCGCCACAAACTCCTCCGGTCGTGCTTGGTACTGAGGCGGAACCGGAGCCGCGCTCCTGTGGCCTATAATGCTCGCGACCAGACGCCCGAACCATTGCTGTAATTAGACCTCTCCTCGTCTCCACAGGGGTTCAGCATCGATCCCTGTGGACAAGAGTACGGCACTAATTAATCGATCATTCCTGTGGAGGAAGTCCAGATATCCTCCAAGAACAGTATGCCTGCTCTAGAGTTACTTACCCCTTGGATTTCTTTGGACCCCCACAAAGATGGATCCTTACAGCGTTATTCTTAATGTACAGTACTCCTGCCATCGACCTGGACACCGTGACGCACCACAGTTTCATCGTCTGCCTCCTGAGGAGATCAAGATGTTGTAAATGGACTTAGCAGAAGCAGCAGGCATGCTTCTTAATCATGTTAAGTATGTGCATGTGTCGTCGACGTGTAGTCCGGGTTATTCTTATTTGATGTAGTTTCCGATTTAGATTCTTCAAGCTGTAATATAAAATCTTCAAGAAGTACGTAGAACGAATACAAACTGAAGACAAGTTTTTATACATTATAGTTCTTATTCATAGAAGTTATGAAATCGAAGTTGTACAAGAACAAGAAAAAAGATAAAAGCAGGGAAGAGTACAAAACACGGCGGGCGGTTCTCGTGAGGAGCTGTTGTTCGCGGTGCCAATTCCTCTTTTGTGATTGCACTTGAAAGAAACAAACTCACAACAGCCTCCTTTTGCAAAATGCAGAAAACGTCCCGTCGAAACGTGAGGGCCAATGCGTCTTGAATATTTGGGATTTTACTCTTAGCGTAAAGGGCGAGGAGGAGGAGCTGCGCGTGATGATTAACTCTTCCAGGCAAGCGCTTCTACGATGCCATGATATAGCTGATGTTTAGATTGATCGTGGAGCTCATGCACATACTCATGGTGTTTGATGACATCGTATCATGATAAAGTTGTAGTATATTAATAGTTTTTCATCTAGTTTTTACAGTCAGTTCTAGTTGTAGTTTCTATTTATCTAGTTGTATAGCCAAGAACTATGATGAAGTGTCAACTTTGAGTTCGACATAAGCATGGCGTAAACGAAATATTTGTGACATGGAAGACACCTACACCGTTCAGACTTTGCTCATAATTGCAAGCGGCTCTGCAACATTTTTACCGCCTTCTTTTCCACCTTCGCCAGTAGCATCTTGCTCGAGCTTGACCTTTTTAAGGGGTGGCGCGCTCATTGGTGGTCCACTCGCACTTCCACGAGGTCCTTGATCATCTTCGCGCTGTCTCAGTACCGATGAGGTGGAGCGCGAATCTAGTACACCACGAAAGGCTGAGCCCCCTGGTGCAGCTGCTCGTGGAGGAGGTACAGCAACACCAGTCATATAATTAGAGGAAGTTCCTCCTGCGCCTGGACACGCAACTATAGAAGTTCTTGTAGTGCTAGAGGAAGTTCCTCCTGCGCCTGGACACGCACAACCATTCTCAAGTGACGCAAAAGCAGAAGCTAACGGGTCGGGTCCGACTTGTTCCCGCGATTTTTTCTTAGGAGCTGGACGCTTTTGACGTAGTTCTTTTGATGTAGTAGCGGCTCCAACACCTGCGCAAGTACTAGAAGACCCGGCAATCACATTTGGATAGCCAGCTCCCTGCGGCCCTTTCTTGAGAGCTAGCTCGCGGAATGCTGCTCCAGCCGGTGGCAAAGCTTCCTATGAAACAAGCAAAAAGACACCTCGTGCAATAGTGAACACTACGTCGTAAGTACAAGTAGTGCAGCTCTATTTCTTTGTTCAAGATTATGGAATGCTAATGCAATTCAAAACTTGTTAACTTCTCTCTTACGAGTTCGTTGCTTGTTCACAAGAAGTATCCAAGAAAATTGCAACTGAGTACTACTATTGGAAAATTGTCATATCTTCACTTGCTGCTTCAGTTGTCGGGTCTCGAGCGGGAGACAATCGGGTCCAGCCCAAAAATCGCCGTGAATGACAACACTGCCCTGTTTCGAGTAGACCGAAAAAAAAGTTACTATCATCCCTTTCTTGGAGCCGCCATCTTCATCTTTCGAGCTGCTCGATGCTGTATTCTTCTTTGAGGACGATTTGGTGTTACTTGAACGCGATTCCTCCTGAGCAACATGAGCGGCAAATGTCAACGTGTCGTCCTTGGATGTAGAGGTCGTGGTCGACGGCGTAGAGCAGGTTGTAGAAGATAAACTTGAACTACTCATGCTTTTACTACTACAAGAACTGCTTGTAGAAGTGGAGATTGCACAAGCACTAGTGCTGCACCTGGACGGCGCGCCCTCTTTGGCTGCCGTTGTCTCTACAACGTTCATCTCATCGTCCTCCAGTTGCTGGGCCGCACTGGAAGGATCCCTCAGATTCAGCCAGTGTCTCCCATGACCACCTTTGCAAACGCTCATGAAAGAAAAACAAGTTGTTACTAATGTCGTGACGTAGGTGGACAACATGGGAGGAGGACAAAGAATAAGAATTCGACATGAAGACGAAAATTTTCATGATTCATCTTGGCAGACTGCCACTGCCCACTGGTGATATTGGACGAAGAAAGAGCAGTCCTCCATATTGAAATGCAGAATAGGCAAAGCATGAAGATCATCTAGATCTACTACACATCGATTAATATAAATAAATATTACAAATAATTAGTGGTACAACAGACCATAAAGTTGTCCCCTTTCCCTACCGTGTCCCTCCATCCTTCTTTCGTCCCGCGCCACTCATCTTCTACTATTAGCTGTATCGCTTGGCTAGAAGCAAATAGATGGAAAGTATGTATTCGAAAAACTGAAATAAGCAAGTAACTGATCAGAATAAGCGAGATACTCATGAAAAGGAAGAGTAGCCTTGATGTTAAGCTACCTCCCATATTTCAGTCAGTAACTCGGTTATTTTGAGTTGTGACTTGTTCCTTGTTCATCTACTTCTTAGACGTATATCTAGTACAACAAGTGCTAGTAAGATGTTGAGGTTGAGCATCCACTCACCTTCGTTTCCTTTTCCTTATAATTAATTTGACTTGTTATAAATCGAAATGAATATCATTATCTCTAGGGTCAGGGGTGGATGAGGAAAAGTATCAGCATGCGCTACTTGAGGTAACGATATAACTATAACTTCTCCACGGACACCTTAACCTATATCATCTTAAGAGAGAACTTCTGAAGCAACGATGTTGTGATTGAAGAGGAAAAATTTAAAAAGAAACGAAGATGCCCAAGACATAGAAGCCTTAGAAGGATGTAATAGCCATAGCCTTAGGAGTCCACCCACTTCTTTAGAGGTAGTTACGCAAAAATCGCATTCCTCTGAGAAGCCTCGATTAGTTTTTCACTTGAAAATAATAAATGCATGCTTCATTACTAGCCCTGTTCTTGAAGTGGGTGTACACGTTGACTGAAGTCTTGTAGATGAGGGTGGCGCGGAATGCGATGTTGCAACTCTTAATTTCCGGGTCTGTGGCTTTCCAAGGTCGGGAATCTACAACGCTACTGGTAGCAGTCGCTCCGATTTCGTCCTCCATCAACGCCTGCGCCATCGGACCTCGACCGAGAAAAGCTGAATTGTTGAAAGGCATTAGAAGAAGAATCGAATAGATCACTCTTCACAACTAGTAGCTGAGGAACAAGAGCAGGCAATTGAATCATACACGAGCTACAAGCTCTTGAGTCCTGAGTTTGAGGTGCTACGGCATTGTGGACACCGGCTTAGAAGAAGCTCCGTTCTTGCTCATCTTGCACTGCAGCTGCTGGTGCTGCTCGTGCTCCTAGAAGTACGTAGTCTATAATCAATTTCTATTCAAGTATCATCATTGATGAATGTGAATGTGTTTTTATTAGTGTTCTCCATTTTCTTCTTCTTCATAAAAAGAAACGACAAGGGCCACCGGTTCCTGTTTGGAATGCTCGTAAGGCGTCTAGCTCCTGCGTCTTCTCCATTACGTTTTTGTGGAGCTCCAACGAAAACGCCGCGTCCCTGATGAATGTAATAGTCCCTATTCTTTGCCCATCCCAGCCCCAAATCGGTACTTGACCACTGCGACTAACCCTCGGCTGATCAAAATTGATCGTACACGTAGACGTAGAGGTACCATCAACACCAGAAGCAGAACAAGAAGTCTCAGGAGTCTCAGGCAACGTAGACGGCCCATCACCAGAAGCAGAGTTACCAGTCTCAGTCTGCAATAATTGACGATTAGCATGATTTTCGAGTGTAGGAGGTGGAGCTAGCACGACCGTGGAGGTGCTAACAGAGAGAGGAGCTGGTGTCTTTTTTCCTCCTATAGAAGACAAGGAGGAAGATCCAGCTCCAGCAGTGTCGTGTCCATTTGCTTGGCTGTCCACATCCAATCCTTTTCCGAAAGGACGTTGCGTGCTTCCGCAGCCTCCGAGAGCAGCTGCTCCAGCATTGTTACCTTGCTCTCCACAAGAATCCTCCTGGTCGAGGAGAACCTTTCCGTTTCCAGTACCGCCAAGAAGATCTTCTCGCTGCTCTCGACAACCGTACTCGTTGAGCAAACCAAGAGGACCGGCTCCACCAGCAGCAGAGTCGTGATCTTCCTCTTGTTCATCTTCAAATAAAGGGTCATCGTGGAGGTTGTGGAGACGGAGAGTTGTACTAGCGCTCTTTTTCTTGAGATCAGCAGCACCCATTATATTTTTGGTTTTATTAATTATATCGGTTTCGACGTTTCCAGTTCCTTCCGCGGCTCGTGAGACGTCTTGGTCTTGCTGTCGATTTTCAGAGAGTTGATGTGGATCAGCATTCATCATGGTGCTCGAGTCTCGCTGCTGCTTTCCAGCAAGTTGTCGTTGTCGTGCATCTTCATCAGTATTTATGTTGGTGCTAGAATCTTGCTGTTCTTTTCCAAGATGAGGACTTCTTAGCTGTTCTTTTCCAAGATTTTGTGCTAGCTGTTCTTTTCCACGATGAGGACTTTTTAGACCCTTGATAGTAGATGTGGCGTGGTTCCTGGAGATACCTTGCTTGGCTAGACTAAGACTTTTGCTGGAATTTTTAGAAGAGGAGGTTTCTGTTTCTCTCATGGCGTATCATCTATGTATTCGAAGGAGCATATAATGCTGATGATCATCATCTATTCCCTTGTTCAGCATCGCTTAGTTTCGCTTGTTCTCCTGCAGTTGAAAAGATGATCAATGTAATTATGGATATAACAAGAATGCTCAACATATTAGCAGATCATAGGCGAAATTGTAACATTCCTTAATAGAAGAAGAGGAATTGGACGAAGCTCCCACTCCTTCTCCTGCCTCGTTTTTAGAGGTAAGTTTTTGGTGTTCGTTTATCTTCCCGCTTGTTAGTATGGCTGTACCCACCTAAGGGAGAGAGCCATAACAAGCGGCAACAAAAGCACCTTTAACCTACCCTTAACGTTTTCTGAATCACTGGGGAAGAAGTTCCACTCTTTCGCTTGCTTCGCAGTCGGACTTTCACATAAGAAAAGCCGCCACTTTTCCTTGATCTTCTCTTTTTGCGCAGGGTCTCCGATTTTTAGAAGAGCAGATGCTAGTTGTTGCTTCTCCCTGTTTTTCGTAAGATACATACTAGTTGTTGCTCCTCCACATCTATGTGTATGTCTGTCTATGTATTGATCTCAGGAACAGAACATGGAGGAAAGAACCGTGTCAAGCTCAAGATAGCTTCCAGGTATTCGAAAAACTGAAATAAGCAAGTAATTGATCAGAATAAGCGAGATACTGATGAGAAGGAAGAGTAGCCTTGATGTTAAGCTACCTCCCTTATTTCAGTCAGTAACTCGGTTATTTTCAGTTTTTCGAGTAGTCTCTTACGTTGTATTTGATGTTTCTCCGGATGGTTGTTTCTTCGTCGATCGTGCACTTCACAGGTACGTACTTCTTATAATCGATCCTTTTCGTCGTTTCTGAAGCTGCTTTGATTGATTGATTGATTGATGTGCCTGGCAAGCGTTCTTCAAGGAGAACATGGTTCTTGCCACTAGAAGACGAGGAGGAAGGTGCTCCTGTACTTCGTGTACTAGTACTTGTTTCATCAGGGCTATTCCTGATAGATGAAGATCGACTTGGAGGCCGCGGGGGGGATGACATGTTGATGAACGATAGAGATAGAAGTTGTTGCTCGAGTAGGAGTAATGTTGTTTGATTGTGATAACTTTAACAACAAGTAGTAGCAAACAAGATTTTAGATGACATTGACTTTACCGTAAAGAAATCATAAGTGTAATAGGTAGAGATTTTAACGAAATCACACTTTTTATATCATTATAGTAGTAGCACACGCTACGAGAAGATTCTACTTCTTACCGAACCAAAAAGCATTCCTACTCTTAGATTCTCAGACTATTTGACGAGCATTAGGAGGAAGCGTTCGGCGTGTTTTCTTGTCGTCTGTTTCCTTCCTGAGAGAGCCGAGACTCTACGCGGACGACCATCATCATCCAAATCTCATCGGAGCAGCAGAGCAAGTATTCATAGTTTTAGAAACTAGTACATCCTCTTCTTCGCCTGCAGTCCCGTCTTTCTACGTGTTTCTGTAGAAGAATTTCATCTACGTAACTACAGAAGCCAGTTGATGAACATGTTTACCTTCGACGACCCGTCTACCAAGAAAGGATGCGTCGGCAATAAGGAATGACCACAAGGGCAACCGGAACGACAATGGAAAATATAATTGGACCGATGAAACAGAATCCAATCTCAGTCGTCGACGGGGAAAATGAAAGCGCCACATGCTACAAAGTGGAAGAGCCAGTCGGCGTTCGTGTATCGGTAAACGGAACACCGTACTGCGTATGCGTGCATCTTCGGTCGTTTTTCATCCCAGATAGTAGAAGAATATGGAAAATGCGACGTAGATGATAACTTGACAAGAAAGTGAAGTTGTAGTTGTAATTCTGCGGATGAATATCACAATGAGGGTCTCCTGCTAAGCCTCTGGCACATCAAAAGAAGGGTAAGCGACAGCACCCGAAAGGGGGGAGTTCAATCAGCAACATCAACTCATCTTTCAGATAGATTTGATCTTGGGGTAGTCGTAGTCTTAGGGAGTTCTCAAGCTAAGATATAATCAGAAGTCTGGATATTCGAGTAAGAAGTCCATCAGATTCAATACAACGCACTTCTTCCTTACAGTGGGGATGATTTTCCCACTTCTGCTTCGTTACTTCTGGCGGTGCTCAGCCGTTTCTGCTTTAAATCTCGTTTTATAATTACCGTAATTATTGTTGATGATTGTTTACCTATACTTACTTCAATGATGTGAAGATGCCACATAGATACGCTGATGTTGTATTGTTGAAATCAAGTCATATCTTGTTCATTTTGCTAGTAACTATTGTTCCTTCTACATCTACATAATATATTATACTTTTTAGAACTTGACATGATGGGGAAACAAGATCATGAAAAAGAAAATCAATATCAATTTACCGAAATCACTCTACTATTGCTATTCTCTGCAAAAAAGACCCAATACGAAAGTCACTCCGTTCTCTGCCGTTTTGCGTCTCTTTCATGTCCATCAGGTAGATCAGTTTCATCTACAACCTGGCCTGCGCCTGCCTGATCATAGTGCTGAGCGCTCCCTGGCGCAGCGACTACATGCGCTTCTTCTTCTTCTTCTTCTTCATCTTCTTCGTCATTGCTGGCGTCATGAAAATCTTGCTCATGCTCGGCATCTACTGCAGCTCCTGCCCCAGCACTCACGCCTTGCAAGTTGTTGTCTATGAGTTCGCCGTCTGCGTTGAAGATATTTCCACCGCCCAGCAACTGCATACGTTAGAGCTCAAAATGATTCATCTTCGAAATTTGAACATCTCTCCAAACAGAACGACATCAATATTGAATAGTTAGTGTCCAAATATTGGTATTTCTTATACAGCTTGTATCAGTTGTTTGAGACTGAGTAACAAGACATTATATCGAAAGAATACCAAAAGTCAATAAACAGGGATGAAAACTAGGAAATAAAGGAAATGGAAACTAAGTTAGTAGAATAAGAGATAGACTTAGACGATACGGAAAATTATATATAACATCTGTCGACGAAATGCATGACCGAAGGGCCTTAAATGCGTGTCCAGCAGTAGTCCAGGCGCTCTTCCTGTTGTTCCAATGCTTGGCGTTTTTTCTGTGTTTGCGGTGGTTCCTGCGCGTTTTTCTGCACCGTCTCGAGCTCCTGAAGACGATTGTCTACCCAAACCTTGCGCATCGAGAGCAGCGTGGAATACTTTAGAGCAGGTGATGTAGAAGAATGGCGGCTGCTCTAACTCTTCTTCTAGTATTGACCATGTTTTTTTATAGTGCTTGATGAAATGAAGTGAGTTGAAGATGTACTTAGTCTCTTTGGCTCATGATGTACCAGCAGGTACTGTAGCTGTAGCAACATGAGTGAACCAATAGAAAACCACGCATAATCGTGTGTGCTTGAGAACGGCGTCGACCAGAGTCCGGGACTCGACGTGGAACGTCGCCAACACAGCGCTGTGGATCCGCTGTTTTGACTGCTCGTCCGCCGTGGTCGTTGGATCCGCAAAGACGTCAACTACCGCAGCACTAGATGAAGCAGCGCCGCTGCGTGAAGAAGTCGAGGCAGACCCGCAGGCCGAATGGATTTCGTCAACGTATTCGCACACCGAGCGCTCAACTTCGCGCAGAAATGTGGAAGCATTCAGCTCTTTCTTCTTCATCGATTCTGCTGCCCATTCAAAGCGCTTCTCCATGATCTCTCGCAGCCGATCCGGCAATAGCTCATTTCTCGCGAAGTTCTGCTGAAAAATCGCATTAGCTGTGCCAAAATCGACCTCGAGTTCCAGCGCCTTGCTGCACTCATCACGAAAATACTGGTTCACTTCCCTCTTGCAGAAGGCTCTGAATTCCGTTGCCACTGTATTCTTGAGCAACAGCGGAATTCGGATGGGCCGCAGATATTCTTCTGCGGAGTCGCTGACCACTTTGATCGCACTCGTCATGTATTTCTCCAAGATGGGTTCCCATTCGTTCTGCTGCTTAGAGAGGTGGGAGTGGGTCTTCTATAAAAATGATTCTTGTTCTTGATGCAGCTGATCAGGCACTTCTGCAGTGCCACAGCATCAGCACTCCACAGCAGTTGTGAGTTGTCCGTGTCACAAACACAACGAAGATGAAGTATCATGCAGCAACTACTTGACAGATGAGATACAGATACAGAGAGATAGTAATAGTAGAAAGTAATGCAAATGTTAGTTTACGGAAAGATGAATATGAAAAAGCAAAGGGATCTCATAATGATCCGTCGCAAGCAGTCGTCAAAAACTTCCCCACCTTGAAAAGTGGAACACACGAAGACGTTACGGCCAAAGTTTTTCGTGGTGTACTCCAGCGTTAGTTTGCTTTTGACGCCCTCCACTGCGGTTTGAAACGGGATGAAGGCTCGCGTGCTCAGATCTTGTTGCAGTCGAGGTGTGTTATCGCCCAACTGCGTCTTCACTCGAGTAATCAGCTCGTCACTGCGTGGTGGCCGTCGGCCAAGCTTGTCCAACTCCATGGTCGTCTCGCGGAGCTTCTTGTTGAGGCTCAGCCCCAGTGGAACGATGTTTGTCTTGATGAGCTCAGCGAACAGCGGCGTAGCACGCTCTCGAAACGCAGTGATACCGCACGCAGCGAACGGAAGCTGCATCTTCTGAAGTTCGGCCACCTCATCGTCAGGCGTGAGTTCGATGCCATAACTGTTTCGGTTGATAATCGCATGTCGACCCAACTGCTTTCCTTGTTCGACATCGTTATAAACCTGACGCAAGTGCATTTGGAGAAGAGTGATGAACATGTTGTGCCTGCTACAACTACTTACACCGAATTTTACTCCTGAGTATGATGGTGAGTGTAGTGTGTTGCTGGTTTTATTTCTACTTCTAAAAAAGACCTGCTAAAAGAAGATGGCAAGGAATAATCATGTAGAAGTAAGTGCTTACTACAAGTTAGTAGATTCAAAAAAGGTCCTGACAGATTATGTCCTGCAAACACTTCAACTACTATTTGAATTCGATGTTGGGGAGCGACATTTAACACACGCATGCAGAGGTGGGAAGCTATTGTTCATCTCACCAAGTAATGAGGGCATCAGTATCATACATCGACACTGTAGTTAGTGGTCATCGACGTCGACTCTTGATAATCACTGTAAGTGAAACACGAACACTGTACCCATTTAACTGCTCGCGCTCGTGCTTCTGGTTGATCGAAAACGTCGAACTTTGTGAGCACCTGTATGGTGCGCTCTCCCGTGGGGTCGTACTTCCGAGCCAGCTGCAAACCCCCAACATTATCCTGCGTCTCCTTTGCCTCCGATACCACACAGATCAACGTGTTCTTTTTCTGGATGTAGGAGATGACTAGCTCCTCGATCTTCTCCTTCAACCCCTGCTGATCTCCATCGTTCTGCACGAAACCAGGCAAGTCCACAAGTGACAAGTCAGCCAGGTCAGGCCCTGACGCTTCGACTTTGATCTCTTCCTTCGTTAATTGGCGGAGCTTGCTAACGTCACCACTGGAAAACTGCGGGAAAGCCTCGCACGAATTAGAAGATGTTGCAAATTATAAGAGTCAGGAGCGGGCACGGTAATGTGCAAGCACTGATCAATAGAAGACTTCGTCGAAACATGATGATAGATTAAGCATCTTTTTCTTTCATCTTCAATTGAATTGGAGGTGGGTGTTGAAGATCAAGATTAATTGAAACTATCACGCTGGAGAGCGTCTCAAATTCAGGAGCAATTTTGATTTTGATTTACAACCTGTTCAATAAAAAAAATCATGGGGTGCCAGCCTCGAGCCATTAATACTACTCGTAGTACTCAGCACTAGTAATATGATTCTGATAATTTTGATTTCCGATGGCTAACGTAAGTAGAAGATCACAAGATATTTTCTTTCTAGTGCGTCTTCGGTTAAATATCAGTCTGTCCAGTTTCAAAGAAAGAAAGGCTAGCAGTACCAGTAGCAGTTTCAATTCTCAATAACTATAATAAAAAGCGTCCAAAATCATAAGTAAAAGCGCATCCTGTCGCTTCGAAATTTTCCGAGCGACCTCTTCGAACTTGCATGGCACGTACTTGGTGCCGTCGTGCACCTTGTACGTATAGCCCGCCTTTGTCTTGTTCTGCGCTTGCGTTGGTTCGTTGTTATTGGCGTTGCCCTTCTTCAGGAGCGAAGCAGATGAATCTTGAAGAGGTACAAGTGCCCCATCTCCGCTCTCTGTGCCGCTGTGGCCGCCGGTTTGACCAACATCCTCCATAGCATAAGGCGCCACTTCAGAGCTGGATGATGACGAAGAAGAAGCGCGAGCAGCGCCGGCGGCAATTGTCGAAGGAGTGCACAGGGCTCCACCTTCTCCCGGTGTAGTTGCGCCAACCGACTGCGAACAGTCAACAACCACAGCGCCTTTAGTACACATATCGCTTCCTTGCGGAAACGGAACACCTGGTGAAAGTTATTTGATGAAATCACAGCCACATTGTTGAAACAACAACTCGAGTGCGAAGTCGAAGTGCCCCCAGCACAGGCACAGAACGCGAGGAAATAATGAAAAAGCAACAGTGCTTGGATGTGTAGTTGTAAAGAATTTGAATTGCTATGAAATCATAATTAATAAGTAGAACATCAGAACGACGGTAACTACCAACTACACCAGATCTGGAAACGATGATATTAAAACGATGATGGAGATGGACAATGCACACAGTGAGTAAGAGCACCAGTGAGGCGCGAAAGGAAGCTGCTCTTTCCCGCAGAAGTTGCGCCGATGACGCAAATCTGCGGTAAAGGGAGGTCATCCCTTAGCGAGGCGGCTGCGCGAATTTCGCGCAACACCTTGAGTTGCTCAAGGTACTCTTCTGGTGGTGCAAGTGACATTTTCGACTGTTTGTGCTTTGTTGGATGAGGATAAATGTTGATGTTGCGAAGCACTTACTCACTGATCGCTCTCGGTCAAGAAGAAGAAGAATGAAACAAGTCAATCCTGCTCATGATAGAACCTGAAAAGTATGACTACGACCACCTAGTGCTAGAGCTAGTAGCTCATCATTCAATTCATGAGAATGAGTTCAACAAGAATCAAGAATAAAAAACTCGATTTCTAACTACATGCCTCCGATCCTCATCCCCTTCTAGTTCTAACACTAAGCAATCGCACCTATCAAGGCAATTGAATTTTTTTGCTATAACGAACGTCATCATGTTGCATTGGCCGTAGTCCAATAACAACTGGCAATGTATGAAAATAATTGGGAAACCCCGTCTCATCTTTGAAACACGAAAGTGGACTTGGAAAAGACGATGGACAAGCGATCAACAATACTACTACAGAGGTGTTTTTCCGACATGATCACCTAGAAAGGACGACAGCAGGATCGATCAGGATCTGTGTATCGGTATTCTTGACAAGGGCCACGAGTTGCTGGGCCGTCCCTTGTAAGCTATTTTCAAACCCGAACAATTATGTCAGTGATGTCAGCGTCGTCAGTGATATAATATGTGAGAGGACAGAAGAACCGATCATCGTCATTTGAAGCGTCGAAAACCGATCATCACGACCGGTGACCGTGAGCGTGAGATAAAAAGCGATCTTGGAGATATAATGACCGATCTATCACAAGAGATTGTGTAATCTTCAAATCCATCTTTCTTATGACCGACGATAATCCTCCCCGATGGTTATAATATAACGTACGTGAGATCATCGTGAAGCAGGAGTAGTATCTGAACATGAAAACACAATCAGGCCTACCGATAGCTTGAGTTGGATCTGTACTTGTGACCGAGTTTTGATCATCAGAAATTTGTCCCTTTGCCAGCAACACCTCTGAACAACTGCAAGGGCACGAGCAAGCGCGTTTTCGACAACAAAAATGATGTTCGCGCATGACCGCAAGCAGTTTTCGTGTTGCAACTTCTTAAGAGCGTCAATATTTTTTTCGTAGTTGTAGTTTTAGTGATAATGTTGCACTTGTAGCATTTTTGTAACTGTAATCATTGGCGCATCAGGTAGTGCAAGGACCACGGCCATTCTTCAAGCACGCATCCGCGTGCATGTTGAGGAAGACCGCTTGCCGCATGAGATCCGCGAATGCGTCCACGTTGCCTGCCTCTGTATGAGACGAGCCCGGACCTCGCATATCTACGATACAGGGAAACATTTTCTGCCTATTTTCGTATCTATCTGAAGTTGTAGAGGACTTCATCCTCGCTGCCTCTTGCGTAGCGGCCTTCCTTCTTCTAGTGAGGAAGGGTGTTCTTCTACCAAGTCGTGTGCGCCCATTTCGAGTCTCACTACAACTCTTGTCTTCGGAGGACGATTTCGCAGCCGAATATTCGGAATCGGAGCCGTTTCGTTCATCTATATCTTTTTGTAGCACGTCATATGCGAAACGCTGTGCAACCCAAGATGGTACCCTAGCGTCGTTTTCACTGGCTGTAAGGTAGAGGCGAGGAAGAGATGAGTGTGAGTCATCTTCTACCACAGAAGCAGCAACAGGGCTCGCAACAACAGCAGCAGCATTCATCAAAGGACTCCGTGACCTTAGAGGTCTTTCATTTTTGGCCCACAACTTCCGTTCTTCGCGTGCTAGAGGGTATTTGTCAACATCTTGTTCACGCATCACCCCCACTGGATCCAGGAAGCCGCCGTCAACAATCCCAGCATCAAAACTGCGAAAAACAGATGGTGCTCCGAGACACATTGCGCCAGCTGACCAAGTTTTGAAAGCGAAGAAAGGTGGATCATCTTTGGCATCATGTTCCTGCTCTCGGTGTCGTAGTCGCAATTTCTGCAGACAGTCAAGTACATCCGCTGCGCGCTTTGGGTTTTCGCTTCGAACATGTAGGAATACCAAAGTCCAACCATTCTGGAGGTACAAAAGGTGCTCATGTCGGAATTCCAGACTTAGAGGCTCGTCGTAGGCTCCATAGAAGTAGATGAGAAACTTCTTCCTGCTCTTAGTGTTAGTTTCCGTGAGTTCTTGACCTCGTGGCTCTTGCCCTGGCAAATTTCCAGGTGGTTTGCCATCGACGTCGCGCTCGTAATGCTGCTGACCAAGGAAGTGTTCAGCTTCAGCTTCATCAGAGTGATCCTTCTTAGAGTCCTGTCTGACAATCGCATCTTCTACTTCATCACCACAGAGAGCTGATAAATTTTGAACCTGCCGTTGCTCCTCTTCTTCGTACTCCAGTTCAGACCCGCACGACCCAGTCATCTCAACAATAGCGTTAGTGTTTTTAGTATAATACCCCCCTCGACATCCTCCACGTTGAAGAGATGTCGCTAGCTTTCCGATAATGTTGATGCCGCCACCACGATCTGGACGCCGTAGAGCCTTCTTTGCTGCAAACTCTGTAGAGGCTCGACTTAACGCGTTCTGGAGCACAGAGGCTTGATGATCCTGTTGTAGATGGACGTCTGAACAGGACAGTTGATGATTACGCTCTTCTACCAACGTCATCGGAATTCTCGCAAGTCCGTCGCGCGATGGGGCAGTGAGCGTCTCTGTCCTGTACTTGTCGCCATAATCGTGCAAAGAGTTGATCTTTTTCGAAGCTTGATGGCCTTCTTGTAGGGTTGATGATGATGAATCACGACCTTTCTCAGTAGAGGACATCTTCGACGCAACTACTTTGAAATCCTCGATGACAATATTGCACGATTCAAAACCGTGTTCAACACTTTCATTCTCTTTCTCTGGTGACCCACAGCCTCCATCTACTGCATCTGGCGGGAGTGAAATTTCCACTTTGCGTTCAGAGATCGGCGACGAAAGCTTGACATGCAATGTCCTAGCGTGGAAATCGTTGTTGGCTCCAGGCACCAGACAAGAACCCGATGCGAATCGAAGCACACGGATACTCTCCAGCTGACTTGCATCATATTGTACTGGTATTCGGATCTGCTTGCTGTTGTCGTCGGTCTTGATATCGATTTTGAAGGTGTTCAAAGTACGACATTGAGTTTCCGATTCGTGGATACAAGCGAGCCAACGTTTAGAACTAGTGCTGTCCTCAATCACAACACCGTTTGCCTCTTTACCTTCGCCCAGTTCTCTGACTTTTAACAAGATCAGACATGGCGTCGTTGTCGCCACATGCCCGCAGTAGAGCGCAAGAAGGCCATTCGCAAACGTATCTATATCGCGAATCTGCAAATATTGCTGCGAATCGTTGTGATTCATGGGGAAGCGAAGAAGAGGATTCAAATGTTGTTGACCTTGACCTCCAAATGCGTTGCCCAAATAGACACCGAAGTTTGAGGCCTTCCTAGACGATGAGCCAAGCAAGGAGGTCGCGTTTCTTCTAGCCTCCACCTGTTGTGCTTGTGCTTCATGATTGCTTACCACGACAAGTTGTCCACTCCTGCTTGTCCTTGATGTGTTGCTCCGCCGCGCCTTATTTAATGTTGATGTAGGCCAAGACAGGTGTTCGCAATAGTATTCCACTCCGCGCTGACGTGGTCGAATCGCTGGACCCAAGCACATACGCTCCTTATCGAAAATATGGACCTGAGACCCGAAGACTCTCGAAATTGTGCTCACAAAAATCTGTTGCCCGTCTCGGCTCTTGAAAATGTCCGCAGTACAAGAAGTAGAGTGGGTGGTGGTCGAGATAGATGGTAACAATGACTTATTTTCCGCACTTATCACTTCCTCATCTCCTCGACGCAGCTTCAAGTTCAGGACACAGGTTTCTTTGAGTATACGCAGTTCTGGCGGATCTGGATCTTTAGATGTACTAGTTGTACCACAACGCGTCCTTGAAGTATCGTCCGTCGCCGTCTCGAAGGTATCCCCCATAACCATATCCACCACTTCAATTTCGCGATACCAAACAGATTCTGCACGCTTTGTCACTGGGTCCATTTCGGTTGTAAGGAAACGAAGTTTTTGCTTTATGACCTCCCGTCCGGTGGAACTTGATGAGGCTGCATCCTCTTCGTCTATCATCTCTACATTTCTGACGTTCGAAAACACTGATTCCTTTTTACTTCGAGGTCCTGCAAGAAAACAACCTCTTTTCAAATCGCGGAAGCCCAAACAGTAACTCTCATCCCCAACCGGATCTGCGATGTAGGCTAGAAAACGGCCCTGAGGACCCGCTATGCGCACGATAGGAACCTCAATATAGCCGGCGTTCTTCATCTCTTCCAGCACAAGATTGTCCTTTGCGAAGATTGCGGTTTCTTGCTCGTAGATATTATCACTTCTATGATACTCTTTGTCCACCCCAAAGCCAGGTCTCATGATCCCGTTCAAATGACTTCTCACGTCTGCAGTGTCCAGGATCTTCTCGTCCACATCAGCATCAGGAGGCCCACCCATTGAATCTGATATTGACCCATGACTCGTTGCTAAACAAGCAATTCGTTTTCGATAGAACAGCGTACATCCAGTTTCAGGATCTGTCTCTTCCCAGTATTCGAAATCACCATCACGCTCTCTAGACCCGCTAGCGTTTGCTGCAGCATCGTTGTTGCCTTCTGAGCTAGGAGTATTCGCAGTTGCCCAAGAAAGGTCGTAATTCAGCTCGTCCTGTCCGACTCCGAGCCGTGCTATACTTGTGTTTGCACTTCGAGGGAAACACGAGGAGAAGAATGAGGACGAAGACGAAGACGAGGAAGAAGATGTCGATGTAGAAGTGGATGTAGTTCTTGTAGAACCCTCTATCATCCTATCAGCGTATTTCCGAAATTCGATCGCAGTCTGCTTCTGTCTTTCGACTGCTCTTTTATAGCCGTCCGACTGCATCATTGGCCTGGGGTCATCTGGTATTGAAGGTCTCAGACGTATAGTGCAAACTGCGCGCTTGCAGCACGTCACGTGGCTGACCGGAAGCGAGGATTCCATACTGAAAGTCATCGCGGATGCGGACGACGTAGTTCGTTGACCACGTTGTCGCGAAAGAGTTTTCAGATGTCTTGGCGGTCTCATTTTTTTTGTGATACAACTTCAACTAAGACTACAAGAGGGATATGTGAACGCGAAACGTCTCATAATACTTACTCTTGTCCAGGACTAGCAGGCGCGTGACCGTAGTCAGACTACTTCACCGAATAATGGCCAACAAAACATTGACATTTTGAAGCCCGAGTGCAGTTTTTTACGACTAAAATTTTCAGCGGTTTCATTTTTTTCAAACAGTAACATCTTCAGCAGGAGCAGGACTGACTGTACCGGTATAAAAGTACGTTGAAACCATCTCCTTACATTCTCGATCAACACTATTTTGAGCATAGTTTAGAAGATCGTTACGTCATACATAGGAGCTTCTTGTGAAGAAGCAGTCGGCCTACAATGCCTCCCATCAAGCGGCCTCAGACCCCTTCCGCTTGCAGCTATGACGACAACCAAAAACACGCTGATGTAGTAGAGTAAAGCAACATGCTGCTTTGGCTGCTACTGCCGGTATTTTTTGTTGAAAACGAAGAAAAAAAGTTCTGTTGAATTGACAAAAAAGAAACTCGGTTTTTCCACCTTCAAAGTAGTATGCAGTTTTCAGAATTTTTTTAGAAATCTGTAACCTTGACGATTTCAGTCGGACCCAGCTCCACCTGATCTGGTTCACCAGGACGTCGCTTCTTCTTCTTCCCTTGATATTCCCTACCCTCAAGCGCCGCTTGCTCCTTCCGTATGCCCTCAGTGTATCTACTATATGCGCGTTCGCCCATCATATTTCGACCAAGGGTTTTGCCTGGTGAGCGTAGTGTGTGTTGTTGGATAGAGTTAAAATAAGAGTAGAGTAGAAGATGACGAGTAGGGAAGTAGACGAGATGATGAAGTTGTAGACGTACTACGTGGCAGAATCTTAATTCAGGCTCGAAGAACAAGATCAAGAAGTCAACAAGAAAAAAAAAAACCAAGTTACTAGTAGCGATCGAAGACACGACCACAAGTTTATTGGACTTGGACAACATCTCGAACTAGAAGTAATATTAGTAACAGTAAGTCTAATTAGTTGTACCTATCTTATCGCTCATCCACGCGTTATCTTCTGGATTGTCTGCTATGTCGTCGTATTTTACCGCTTGCATCCACTCGCAAAGTTCACGCTTCTGCCTTGTGTAGAATTTCACACTATTCTGGAAATCCAATTCGAAATCGCTCTTCGCGAAAGTCTTTATCACTTGCGTGGGATATTCCTTCGCTTTCCTCATCATCTCGTCTAGGGTCTCTTCTTCGTTCTTCGCCTCAATGATGACCTCATCTTCAGGAGTAAATTCGAGCGGTTTCGCCCTGGAGGTGGAGGTTACATCCAGATTTCATCTACAGTGTTGAGAGAATGGAGGAGTGTTGTTATGAACGTGTAGTTGTTATCAACAAAGATGCGAACAAGGATGGTCTTTTGAAGCTATGGTATGAATTAACTAACGTGAAAAAACGTTCTCTTCCAATATCAACAAGATAGTACTACTGCAAAGATAATATGATTGACGATCCAGCAAAAAAAAAGATATCAAAACTCAGCCTTCAGTACTTCAGGTACATCCTGATAAGGGCTTCTTCTAGCCCTGGACGTACAATCTTGTCCATCCAATCGAACTGATCCCAAGTATACTCAATAGCGTTAAAAAACGCATTGCGGTGGTTGCTGCAGGTCCACAAAAGTATGAGACAACATATCTCATGCAGGAAGCTGAGGTAATACATCACTGCAGGTACATCAGAGAAAACGATCTTGGAAATGACGCCGCCGACCTGGATGAAGAAGGTGCAGATGGTTTAAAAGTGATGAGGGTTCTTGAAATTTGGACATGGTCGAATTGGTAGAGACGGAGAACGCGAATAGAATTTCATCAGATTGATATTGACATCTTCTGAGTCTCACAAAGACAAAGAGAAAGTCACGTGGCTATTCATTTTCTCCATGCCATGACAAATCACAATATTAGTAGTACCAAGCCAAACGTTGCAACGACCACCAAAGCCACAAACAGCGGTCCCTGTGCGAATTTCTGCACTGCTACATATGAGAACAGCATGGTAGCGAATAATGCGACAACCAGTAACCCAATGGCCACAAAGTCCAGTGCCCCTGCAGACGTTCCGTTTGTTAGAGCTACCGTTTATTTGCATCCTTGAGACCATGACCATCCTTTCTCGACCCGCTATACCGTTAAGAGATAGGCCAGGGATGATGGGGAGGCGAGCCTACCATCCTTCGGCCCTTTTTCCACCCCGTGACAGGCCAACAGGGGTGAAGATGCTTCTAAAAAAGATGTTCATGTTGCTCATCCTCATCTCTTGTTTATTGATGCCTTAACTTTGGTCTGAAAATCATCAACGCCATCATGTTCATCAACAACACGATGAGGCCGGTGAAAGTGGACAATGCCGCGAAGGAGAAAAGGTAGATGACACTAGAGATGTACAGCTCCAGTTCATCCTTCTTCTGCTCCTCAAGAGTCAATGCTTCCGGCATTTTGATAAAGACGTAGGTACCTGTCCTTGTGTAGTAGTTGCTTAAGTTAGCAGAGACGCACGAGTCGTACTGGTACCTGTCCTTCTCCTTGTGTAGTAGTTGCTTAGGTTAGCACCTTGTGGAGTTGTTCTTAGGTTAGTAAAGACGTACGAGAACGAGGCGTTGCGCTAGGGTGAGACGCATGAGTAGATGGAGATGTGCAGCTCCCGAGCGGTGCTACCGGTGCCGTGTCTACTTGATGGACAGACAGATACTATGACTATCGTGCACCGTTATTCGATCGTCGTCGAAGTGACCACAAGGGTTCGGAGCGTGCCTCTGCTTGACGTACACGTCAGCAGGGTGCTTGAGCTTGTTCAGCGACTTCTCTAAAATAGCACCAGTGTACTAGTTGAAGATTCTTCTTGTCTTTGAACTTCGAGCAGCAGCGATGCTCCAGGGGAACTCTCCGCTCCGTCAAATAGCATTGATGACATCCGACGGCTTCCTGCTTCAGTGAAGAACGAGACGTCGTTGTGGTTCTCATGAAGAGCATTGGAAGCTGTTTGCAGGATGAGGAGGAGGTCGCCTGTTGTCCCTCACATCTGATTGTTCTTTCGAAATAAACAGCTGATGAAATGTGGATCGAAAAAAAACTCGTGGCATATTTGGAGTTGTGCGACTATACCAGATATCGGGGAAAAAAGAAGAAAAAAGACTAAAAATGTTGACTACTCTTTAGATTCGAATGTTGACTACGCTTCATCTAGTTCATGAAGAGACAATTGAAGAAGAAGATGATGCTGTAGTTTCAAATAAGACTAGAAGAAATACTAGAAGTAGATCTAGATGCCATCCTGCTGTCTTAGTCTTAGATAGTAAGAGGATTGGAATACTACATCGTGATCATGATTCCATTCTTGGAGTGATAAAATCAAAAACCTCGACATGGGGCAAGAAATAGAGTTGGATTGGGGCATTGTGAAGGGTACTCGTATTCTAGGGATGACGTCTCACTCGCTTCGCACGACATACGATACAGCCTCTGCCTCTCTCAACTCGCTTTCAACTATGATTGACGTAAGAAGTCTTCGTTCAAGAGCTGTCGATACTTTACTAGTACAAGCAGCATGAGTATAGCTCAACCGAATTGAAAGTAAGACAACAATCCGATCATGCAGCGGTGGTGACGGACCGAAGAATATCAACTGATCATCTATCAAGCGAAGAAAATACAGACTAAACCGATCCTTCCGTTGTGGAATCAGGGACTTCTAGTTGAAATCTGAAGATAGCATCTAAACCGAGCCGAGACAAGGGGGCATAGGATTCCAGCGGGAACAAGATGAAGACTCGCTGTTCCTGTACTAGTTGCTCAAAACGAAGACAAGAATTCGTTATCGTTTATTCTCTTCGATAAAACTTCGAAGAGTTTACGTTTGCTGCTCCTAGTACCTACAACAGATTGTATGGCAGAGACAGTCTACTTCCGTGGATTGTGCGTGTCTTGTTTTGAATTTGATATCTCCATCAGCTTCTTCTTGGAAATACAACTCACATAGTGTGGACTTTTATCAGTTTTTTCCGTTTTCTGAGTCTACAACTAAAGATCTCCACCTCTGGAATTTCTCGATCCTTTAGCCGCTTGCCATCCTGCAGCCGCATAGAGAAGATTGTGCGCTCTGAATGCCGCAGCTGGTTTCACGGCCATATCCCTTGGGACACCCGTATTCTCAGCTAGAAACACTAGAGACTGTGCGGCATAGCGCACGCTCTCAGCACCGAAAACGCTTGCGGCTTTTGAAGCGATGTCCTCAGCTAAAGATTTGACAGCTGCCGCGGTAGCAGTGCCGTTACCTGATGAACAAAGAACAGAAGGATCATGTTTGTTGTAATTGCAGTTGTGAGTTTTAAACTGTTGAGTCATGATAACTACGATAAGTAACTTGAATCTACTTATGTACATATTCAGCTGCAAAGAGTAAGAAGTATGATTCGTCAAGTACCGCATATCAGCAATGATCTTGCCACTCCGCGTAAAAGGGCATCAACGGCTTGGAGTTGGCCTGCTGTTGGAGGCGGTCTTCGTCCCGCCTCCTGCCGTGGTCGCCCGGTTCCAGACCCTGCTGCAGCGAAGCCAGCCACTGGAGCACCGTTGTTGCTCAGTCTAGAGGCTGCCTCTCGACAGGCATTTTCGTCTTGCTGATTCACTCTTTGCATTGCTAAAGCGGTCGACGGCGGAGGATCAGGCAGAGAAACGCCAGCTACCATCCCAGTGACAGCCATTCGTACGCCAGAAACTGAAATCGCGTCACCCAATAAAGAACAAAAGGGAAAATTTAGGCCACCGTCTTCTCTGGCGGCAGCAAGATATGAACTAAGGATCATGAAGATGTTGGAATCATGCTGAGATGATTTGACGTTGATCTAATCGGAATTGTTCAATGAGAAAAATCAACATCAAGATTTCCTTATATATTATATTGATGTAGTTCTAGTTCTAGTTGTAAGTAGTTCGACCTGTTTCTTCGCATAGTTCGTGATGCAGCAGATTTCTAATTGATCCCACGACTTTCATCTGCGATAACCTGCGCAAATAAGCCAAAAATAACTAAAAGTACCCTAAAGCATAACAACAATCGATCCAATGGGGGCCAGTTCGTCAACGCTAGGTGTGGCAAGCCACCAACTACTGGATGTGGCACGTTCGCCTCGCAGCGTTCCAGAAGAGGAAGCAACAAGACATCAACGACACAGGGACGCGCACCGAAGAGGAACGGGCCTTGAGTTCTTCTGCCACCAAAGTATGCTTCATTGCCGTCGCCATCATCAGGAAGGCCGCTCCGAGAGTCAACCAGTGTCAAATTCGAGGACCCTCGATTTGCATAAACTTCAGCCCAAGCGTCCATGGCTTTGATGTACCTAGTTTTAGGGTAGTATGGCTTCCTTGGTGGCCCTGGTAAAAGAGATAGATGATTGAATGAAACTAAGTTGTTACAATGCATCTCGCACAGTTTTCAGTGCAGACTGCCGCGCGACGTCATAGTATTTCGTCACGATGCTTACTCCGAAAAAATGTGGAAAAAATGTTCTTCCCGAGTTGTAGACCCAGGTCGCAAAAAAATGCCGAATAAATGTGGAGGAATGAATGAATGAATATTTTATACCCACTCCAGGGGAACAAGATCATGATAATCACAATTCTGATTCCCCAACCACTATCATGATAATCATAATTCTGATTCCCCTAATGCTAATCATGATTCTGTGATCCACAACCACTTCTATCAACATCAGTGAGAGAGAGTTTTTAAAGAAGTTGTTAAGTACTTCCTAGGAGTACTTTTCCTGTGCCGCTTGTGGTGCTCCATCTGGACCTCTTAGAATGCCGTACGCAGCTCCTTGAAGGCCTCCATAATTCTTTAACATGGAGTCGACCACCTTTCGCCGATTGGGCGATCGTGGAACCAAAGCCTGATTCGGGAATTGAGTATTCAACCGTTTCGCCAGATCAACTGCACTTTGAGAAATGAAAGGACAAGGACTGGTGCCGTTGGTGGTTCTAGCTCAGTAGTGCTATCTAGGTACAACACCAAGTCGATGAACTTATTGTTTGCAGGCTCAAGCTCATCAACATCGACTTCAGTGGGCTCAAAGTGATTGATCCAAAAGACCTACTTCTATGCACGGAAGATGCGAAAAGGCGGAACTACAAGAGTTCAAGAAATAATGAAGCTTCCACCAGGCTTATAGACACAGGCATAGTACAGCATAACTTTCTTCACATTCCTAAAACTGAGCACTACATCAACTGCGGAGCACGTCATAGTTTAAAAAAACACGCAAAGGACACTCGTACTCCTGACATAGTTTCAAAGCATATTCTCTTTCCAGGGTCGACTCCACGTCGAGTTTTTTGCAGCTTCTTGGATATAAGGAACTCCATCCGGCGATCCTCCTACTTCTTGTCTAAACGTCTCCAATCTCCCCGAATCCGAGGCTTTGGTTAGAGCTGCCGCCACGGTCGCGTCCCTCCCGGCTCTTTTCCCGACCCTAGGAAAGTAGCCGAGGATGATTATGAAGATGTCCAAATTTGAGGATCTACTGTGGTGCTTCTGCTCTCTTAGTATTACAAATCTAATATCTTACTCTTACTAGTTTTTGATAGATGATCGTGCCTTAATTTGGCGTACATCGATAACGGCACAACTTTGCGTTCATGAGGTATTCGCATGGCTTCTATCAGCAGCCAGACTTGCAGAGCAAACGGGTGCCACACGGACACGTCGTGCCATAAGCGCAGGAGAGGACGAGCCGCACCGAAGAGGCGAGATCTGCCGTCCTCCCACGATTCATACAAGCGTGGAGCTGGTTTCCCAGCTTCTGATGCGAGTGCCTCCCAAGACGAAAGGGAATCTTCCATGATGATGTTCTTTATTCAGTTACGTTCTTCATCAGATGAACAACCTCTTCAAAGATGTTTTCACTATTTCATGTTCCTTATCTATTGTTCTTCATCACCAAAAGATGTTTTCAGTTTTTCTTCCTCTACTCGACTACTTTGTTTAGAGGTAGGCTCGTCTTTTTGGTGTTCGCGTGCCCCGTTTGTATTGCCTCCCTCGTCCCTTAAGAGCGGCAAAACAAGCGGTAACGTGAACGCCTTTAGCCTATCCTTAATTTGTTGAGTTTATGCAGCTAGCATCATCATGAGTCAGAATTAGTGCTGATCATATCTTATTTACAGGAAATAGTGTACTCCTGACATAGTGGTGCGACTCTTGCTAATAACGCCTTACTCCATTGTTCCTTGTTGAAGATGAAGATCATCAAGAACCAAAATGAAAAAGAAATTGACATTTGACCAGACATTGTCAAAAAAGAAATCTGAAGAGAAGGGCTTCTTTTCGTCCCTTCGAGGAAGTACTTCCTCAGGATTTTCACTTACGCGCAAGCAGAAGCGGCGCCTCATGTGAGGAGAAGAACACGACTTTCATCGTGAAGATGAAGAACACATCAAAGGGAAAAATCCTCTCCCTCCTACAAATACATCGAGATCGAGAGCGATATTGGAGGGAGAGGATTTTTCCCTTTGATGTGTTCTTCATCTTCACGTTAGAATTAGATGAAGTACGGTCGTATAATTCTTTCCGTTAGATGAAGTACTTGTTTTCCATGAAGAGGCCTACAGCGCGATCATCGTGAAGATGAAGAACACATCAAGGGGAAAAATCCTCTCCCTCCAATATCGCTCTCGATCTCGATGTAGGTGTAATATTCTTGTTCAAGATCCTTCGGAGAGCTGACAAGTCTTCAGGTTTTGTTGGCATGCTAGTACGGCTACGGGTTTGCCGTGGTTGTACACCATGACCTCCAGAACCTTTTTTGTCAACATGATCCTTGTGGTTTGTGCCTGTATGTGTTGTACTAGTTGTGGTTGTACTACTTCCACGTGCTGTGTCTAGAAGAAGTGATGCATTTTTGTTCTCGGATTCAGGAATGGTTGTAGAACTACTAGACCTAGAGGACTTCATAGTTTTAGATGTGTTAGAGCTTCTAGAGGTGAATCCAACCTCCATTGCCACCTCCAGCAATTCAAGCAATCGCATGAGCCTCTCTGGTGGTACCACACAAGGCCGAATAGACTGAATCTCTGCTAGCGTAGTGAAGAGCAAGAAACTTCTTATTCTTTTTCGAGGACCCTCGTCAGACAGAGAGACCCCATGATCGGATTTCTCAGAGTTGTATTCAACGACCCCAGCATCGATCACTACAGAAGCTTCTTTCAGTAGAACTTTATCTACTCGCGTTTGTTTAATCATAGTCTCTTCATCTACGCTATCCTTCCTGCTGTTCTCCAGTCGTGCTGCTTCCATAGTACTTCGTCTCCACATGCAGTACGCCACTCCTGTCGCCCCAGCTCTATGAGCACCTGCCAAACAGTGAATTAGCACATTCCTGCCTTCTCTCAGCTGCTCATCAACGAAGTCGAAGAGGGGTCGGAAAAATCGTAAGACTTCTTGTAGTTGTTCTTGTGCTTCAGTAGTATTGTGATTGGTACTGCTACTCCTACTGTCACCACTCTTGTCATGCTCTAGCAGCAAACGAGGAAAGCTAGCAATGTCAAAGCGGAAATAGCGGAATTGATTTGTCCGAAGCTCAAACTTATTCTTCGAATTACTAGCACCAAGACAGTTCACAATACTAGTGATTTTCAGGTCTGCAAGTAGTTTCTCCGAATACGCTGCCTCTTTTGTGCCAATGTAAACGCGGGGGCTGCTCTTCTGTTGATCACAAGAGCGAAAAGGAAAAACGCAATCTACTTCGTTTGGTACCGCTGCAGAACGATCGAATATCATAACATCTTCAAGACGATGACGATGTTTACTTTGACCTCCTTTTAAAACCGCCTTTCCGAGACGATCGAATAAGAGAGCGTCGCTCGCGCCGTTGCTCTGCTCCAGCGGAGGCACCATCTTGGTCTCTACCTGCAGACATGAAGATGATGATAGAAATGAACTGCCACTTTGTTACTCTTAAACGCAGCCTAGTAGAGTAGTAGTAGTACTGAAATTTAAAAATTCTAATTCGTAGGGAAAGGTGACTTTTTCTCGAGACTGCAACTTGCGTTTGTTTCTTCTCATGATCTCTACAGGATCTGCATCTCCACCACGATGTTTCTTCTTATTCTTTAATGTATTTTCCGGAAATCAACACAGATCTGGAAAAGAACACAACTTCCTAAACAAAGTCAAGAACAAACATAAGTAGTTCATAGTGGTCTACCCAGTTCTTATTGCAAAGTCTTTCAATTTTGTCCTTGAAAAAAGCTTACTTACACTAGAAACAAGACTTTATTTTCAAGAGACACCGTTTTACTACTAGTTGGTTCATCACATTGTCGCGTAGAACGAGTGCGAGATGGTAAACAATAATGGTCGACAAAAATGTAAATGGTTATGGTAGTGTCGTAGTGGGTGCTAATTCAAATTTTTGTTCGGCGCGCAGGCGGTAGGAACAACAAGGAAAGAACCTACAACAATGAATGTGATGTAGTGATCCAAAGCAGGGTAGAAGCAGAGCAACTATTTCCTACAAGAAAATCGCAAGGCATTGGTGCGGATAAGCGCATCAGCACGCCCAGCTACAACAGCAGGACTTTCTTTTGCTTTATTCGAAAGTCCAGGTGTTGTAGCAGACCAGTGTGTGGCCCTTGTTCTACAAGTACAACAGCAGGACACGATGAGTAGATGTACCACAAACTCAAACACTAACACAAATCACACTGTGACTACAGTCTAAGAAAGTATACAACGTGATCCAAGCATTAAACAAATCCTGTAGTTTGTGTTTACTTAGCTGATAAAGCTACTTGTGACGACACTTTGGTCTTGTGGAGGAACCCATTTGGTCGTGATTTTTTTTCTCTGGGTCATGAATTCCATGCAGCCTTCTCCTGTGATGTCGCCAATGCCAAAATTGCTCATATTCATCCCCCCAAACGAGAATGGCTCACGGGGCACTGGAACTCCGATGTTTACGCCTAACATCGCCGCACTAAAACAGTTCTTAGAGGATGAAGAGGGGCACTTAGTCATCTATCTTCATGAAAATGAAATATATCAATGATTGATGTATTTCATTTTCATTAAGATCTCAAAAATGATCAGATCATGACCATGAGTTACATCAACTAGTCGTGAATTACATCAATTATCTGTGGAGGTGGTTGTTGAGAGAGTGCTGAAGAGAGGTCAAAAAACCTAAGCCTAGAAGAAGTTGTAAGTTGTCTACAACAGACCACAGAACCAGATAGTGTAGTACTAGTTACTAGTGACTAAGAACTATAGGTATAGCTTAATGACCAACTATACCTAGAGCCTTAAGTTTCAAGAAGTAGTCGGCGTGTTGTCCAACGCTGGTATAGATGCCAGCTGCGTTCCCGTATTCGTTCGAGTTCTCGATTGCAATGGCCTCATCAAACGTCTTCACTGCTACAATTCTATGTTAGACGAGGAAGAAGAAGTGAGTCAGGATCACATCAACTAGTACGCTTCAATTATTGTTGCAGCTCTGCATCGTCTTCTTGATTTGATGCTTGTGTTTCATTCTTCAAGTACTAGGCAAAACAAGAACAGCATCGAAGAATGTCTTCTGCTGCTGGGGGTAAAAAAGTATAAGAAAAAAAATGCAGAACGTCTTCTGGGGAGAAAATAACAACGTCTTTCGTCCTCCCTTCTTCATAAGATAAGCATGGTCCAAATATTTCCTCTCGGACTGCAGCGTCGTTCGCGCTTTTGTGCTTCAATATGGTCGGTCCTACCCAAAAGCCTTCCTTGCTAGCCCAACTTCTGCCGTCGACTAGCACCTCAGCTCCATCTCGTTTTAGAGCGTAAGAAAGCAAGAATTCAATCATGATCTACTGGGCTCCCAACTTAATTTTGGCACCTTTCATCTTGTCGTGTTCATCTTCTTCATCTTCGTCTTCCCTCATGGGGCCAAAAGGAAGACTGTTGTTGTTATTGTACCAAGATGCTAGATGAAGAATGTGAATGCTGAGAGACATGAAGAAAAACCGACCATAAACGTTGCTCCGCTTCGTCGATGTATTTCAAGATTTTGTTTTTGGACACTTCGTCAATGACCGGTCCAATCTGCCCAGCTTCCTGACCCGCTTTGAGGGCCTGGGTGATGTGGTTTTAGATTCGTTAGATTTTTAACATTGACTGGCAGTCAGTGCAGACATCAGGTTCATCAAGCACAACTGCAACTGCTGGAGTAAAAATATAATTGCCTCAAGAACCTCATCGCGTGGGAAAACAACATAAGAACTACACAAGTAAATAACTTTTTTGCTCTACTTGAGGTAAATAAAGTTAAAGTACACTCGCTTTCTTGACTAGCATCTCCATGAAGGCTGGTTTAACGTCGCCAACAAGTATAAGAACGCTCGCTGCCATACAGCGTTGTCCTGTGGATCCAGCGAAGGAGTTCATTATATCGGTGGTGCACATGTCGTAGTCGGCGTCTGGCAGGATACAGAGATGATTCTTAGCCCCGCCCAGACATAACGCACGTTTTCCGAGTGACGAGGCGAGGATTAGAAGTAGGAGCAACAGCGGGAATAGGTGGGAGGACCACTCAGCAGGGATTGATCCTTTCTATAATACATTCATTGCAGTTTGAGATTTCATCTCATTTTCCGTTCTATAAATTATTCTATCTTCATATGTACTTGTTATTCGTGTGAAAAAGAAAATCTTCTGCTCGTCCATAACTTCTGTTGCACCATTTTTGCAATATGTGAAGTGCCGACGAAAGTTACTGCCTTGATATCAGGATGTTCTATCAAAGCGTCGCAGGTGGGTTTGGTTCCATTGATCGTTTGGAAAATTCCATCCGGAACACCCGCTTCCTTGATAAGAGAAGCTATATACGTCATTGTTAGGGGGACCTGGAAGGTGAGCGTGAGATTGAGTGTCATGAATGATGTGATGCTGGTGCTGCTGCTGGGATTCAACGTTGAAGTTCTTATTTTCGCAATGAATGGTTTTGTATGTAGTACTCTTACTCAGTCTAAAAATTCTAGGTAACTACACGTTCTAGATAAAGCTATGATGCTTGTTGTATTTGTCTGAATCGGCTTTGAAACTACTTTATCATGAAGATGGTATACTGATGATGATATGATTGAATTTGAAACTACTTTATGATGTTGTTCAAGATTCAGCGACAAGGACCATTACCTTCTCACTCGGTTTCAGAATAACTGCGTTTCCACATGCAATTGCAATCGGAACTGTCCAGAACGGGACCATAACCGGAAAATTGAAGGGGACGATGCAGGCGACGACGCCTAGAGGGTCTCTTTGATCCCTACATGAGATACCGCGCGATACTTCCAGGTAGCGCCCGCAGGCCATTTGGGGTAACGAAGTAGCCCATTCAAGAGTTTCGATACCTGTTATTTGATTTGTTCTCAGATTCACTGGGAAGGGGCGGATGAACTTGAAAGAGGACAAGAGCACGGTCTTGGTTCATACTTCGTTCCAAGAGACCAGCACTCTCCAAGTCCAAGGAGAGGAAAACTTATTTAAATAAACTTTTGAAGACGAGCATGTCGCGTTATACTGGAAATCTTACCTTTCATCAAACTAGCCATGCCTTCAGCTTTGTTCTTTCCATGTTCCTGCTTCACTAGCTCCACGATTTTTTCCGCATTAGCTTCCATCAAGTGTTTCAACTTGAACAAGCTTTGCACGCGAGCTTTATAGGTTTGCGCACCCCACTGAACTTGAGCTTTTTTCGCAACAGCGACAGCAGCATCGACATCCGCTCGAATTAACGCCACGTCTAAGTGATCACTACTTCTATGGGTGGCAGAGTAGCTTGCCTCCTTTGGCTTTATTGGTCCTTTCCCCTTGTTGCATTCCAACCTTGTTGACTTCCAAGGGAAACAAACCCACTCCCCCCTTGTTGACTTCCTCCAAAAGAAACGAACACACCCACTGCGCGTCCGCACTTCTACAACCACTACAATTACTTAGGTGGTAGATAATTAATGATTCATCAACAGCCTTAATTTACCACTGATAGGGACACGGGCAATCACTTTCCCGGTAGCCGGTTCTGTCACGTCGACTGAACCCTCAGAAGCTGATGGAGCTGCGTACTTTCCATCTATGAAATTCTGGACCTCCTGAATGGCACCCATTTTGTTGATCTTTGGAGAGCAGGTGGTCGTGCGACGATCACAATGTCAATGAGGAATAAAGAAGTAAAATGTAATATGACTAGCAGATAGGAGGTGTGCCAACAGAGTTACATCAAAGTAGTCGTGCAGACTACACAGAAAAATTTTTCATCTAAACCAGAAGCAAGAACAAAGTAAGAGTCGTGTAGACTACACAGAAAAAAATTTTAAAATTTCGAGAATACGATGGCGATAATCAACATAATGTACTAGCGTAAGTAAGTACTTTCATCTGAGAACCTCTTTCAAAATGCACCATCGGGATCGAAGAACGTGTACTAAGAACTTCCACAAAACAGCACACTGGGCCCGAAGCGGAAACCGAACCTGCGTCTCCTCTGCTTCCGTGTTTACTCATCGGCTTTCACGTCTGCTGCTGGTGCATGCTCCAGCACGTTGAAGATCTTCTCCAGATCTCTTCAACACTCCCACGCTGAAGATCTCTCCAACATGGATCGTTTGAAATGTCATGTCATGGCGCCTCTTGTGTAGCTATACGTGTCTACCTGTGAGGCCACCCAGTCCGAAGTTTCGAAACCCAGCATTACAACCAGCATGGATCCGGCAGGAGGTCAGAACACCAAAAGCACAACCTTGAAGATCCTCATGAGAGAGGACCAACTACTACGACCAAATTATACTCAGGAGCACAACATCTACATCAAGGTGTGCTGAAGCATCAACTTCAACAAACGATACAACTATCTAAAAAATGCAGCAAACATCAAGGATGACCAGCGAAGGTCCTTCTAAAAAAGACTGATTTGGCTCGAAGGAGTCTTGTTCGACAGATAGTATCATCATTAGTAACTCAGATGACTTGGCGATAGTGTGTCATCTGCGCCCCTTCGTCTGTCTGCAAGAGCCATGGTTGAAACGTGCAACTGGTTCTTTTTACCTTTTGCAGACTCTATCGATTCCCGCCTTGCATCCTCCAATCAATAAAAATTTCTTTAGTACTTCTATTAACTACATGTGTAGTTCGCACTGACTTAAGTTGTTGCTTGTTGTACAACAAAAATTCTAAAACCCGTAATTGATGCCGTTCCTTGTTGATCATGACGAATGAACTAGATGTTGCTGTTCTTGTGGGGGTGCGCAACTACAAGTACAACTAGAAGACACTAGCAATAACAGGTTGTACAACTATACCTACTCGGCGTAGAAATCGTAGGACGAGACCTTGTTCACCTTCACACTGATACTTTGAACTCATCAGAATCCTTCTAGTACATGATAATCTTCAAAACTCAATTATTGCAGCTTCATATCATCCGGATTGGAATTTTTTAGTAAATATGGTGGTCGTCAAGAAAACTATACGTAACCAAAATCAATAAAGACGAGCAGTACGAACAGGTGGTATCAATCAGCATCATCAACGATAGTGATACTAGTGATACAGATACTCTTCCAACAAAATACAATCACTTGCAACTACGTAAAAAACGTTAACGTACAACGAACAAAGAAACCCTAAGTAATGAGAATTAACCTGAAGAAGCTTAATGTTGTAGAGAAGAAGATCAGGACCGGATACAACGATCTGCGGGCTTGTTGCTTTGCGTTTTTGGAAGAAAAAACGAGGAAGAGAAACTTTGTCAACTTGCAACGTTCAGAATCATATTTGTAACTGTCTCTGTACCAATGAAAACAGATGATCATAGGTCTACGCGTACGGGTTCTTGCTCAAACAACTTAATTACAAATGCCATCGAACGCTTTTTTAGCTGTCCTTAGTCATCTGGATCTGGTTGCACTGACTTCTACATTTATCTTTAGTACCTCCTAGCTAGTCAACATATAATTGCTCTTGTTGCGTTGAAAATGATGTATCTATAATGATGAAAATTTGAATGTTGAATATTCGTCCGGATGAAAGAAAAATGCTAAGCCTAAGCCTAAGGCTAAGTTGAAAAATGTATAACTATATAATATATGTAAATCAAAAGGATATTGTGCGGTATGGGAGTAAAAGATCATACTTCTTTAGGAGATACTTCCATAGTAGTACTGGCGAGGACGAACTATCCAGTACGGACATAGTACAAAGAAAGGATCAAAAATATTCCCCAGGCGGATAATTTCAGTCCCAAAAATATTGGTCCTGCTTCAGCAACAGCTTATTTACTCGAAGCAGTCATGTGATGTTTTGCAAAAACGAAAATCGGCGCGACAAGGACATCTTGAAGAGCATGCAGTGACTGTGACTCAGCAGGAGTACGAACTAGTACCAGCTACTGCTGCTTCCGCGGGTCCCTTAATGCGGCCTGATGAAAGTACTACTTCATCTGGTTGTGTTAGCACACCATCTTTTACCACCGCGACACGACCTACCACGACGACCTCGTATTACTGGGTCCTCCCCGCTCATCTTCAGATCGCGAAGTCTCTACTGAAATTGTCTCTGTTGTCCTCCTGCTCCTGAGTGGCCTGATGATTTCCGCTCTGCTGCCAGCGTTTCTGTTGCAGCCCACCGTTTTGTCGGACTAGACGTGTCATGCAGAAAGGAGCTATTCAGTGATGACAAGCCCGTCGTGTTATCACCTGCGGCACCTGCTCCACCGGTGTTGAGATGCGGTGGTAGCGGTACGCCTAGAAGAGGCTGTAGATCCAACAAGGGGCCAGGGTGAGCAGGAGCCATGTTTAGCATCGCATGCTGGGCCGCTTCACTTCCTCTCGATTTTGGTCCTCTCGATTTTAATCCCCGTCTGCCACCTCCAACAACAGCAGGAGCTTCAATTATGCTACTCGATGGCGTTAAGTCACCTGTTGGAGGACTGGCACTACTATGCATGATCGGTCCACCAGGTCCCGGGATCATCGTAGTAGTCGTGCCAGCAAGAGGAACGACCCCATTAGCAGGATTGCTGCCCATCATCATCGGAGCAGTCACGACAGGTTGACTTGTAGGTTGCGCGGCTAAACCTGCAGCTTTCATTTGAATACGTTAGAAGAAGTCTCCTGCAGAGCGAGAGTTCTCTCGTCCCTAAATAAGAGGACATACACGCGTGGAGGTCCTCAAATCTCTCAGAACCACAGCATGATAGTGATAGATCATGTTTTCATCCCGCCACGAGTGATTATCGTGTTCTTGATCTTCACCAATAATCGTAGAAGCCTTATTTCTTTATAGTGATGCTGCAGGCACTTAAAAAAGTTGTAAGAAGTAGTACCAACGTAAGTTGTAGAAGTCTTAACTGTAATGTTGTTGCAGCATGGCCTGTTGTTGCATCATTGCTTGATGTTGGAGTACTGCGACTTGCTGAGCTTGCTGAGTCGCTGCTGCTGCCCTTTGCATCTGCACTGCCGCACACGCTGCAGGACTTATGTAGATTTGCTGATTGGGATTAGAAGTTGTATGAAGAGGATGAGGAATGACCAAAAAATCTAGTGCCAGACTCTCGAATAAGAAGAGCAAGTAAAAATGCTTGGAGTCATGCACAGACTAGTGTGCTCGTACAAGTACGAAGATCATTCACCCTCGAAGATACCTATGTATACTTCTACTATATAGATAATTCCTTTCCCATTCTCTCTTCGTTGTAAAATAATCTTTGATTTTAAAAATTACGCCAGCAGGCCATAAGTGCTCCTGGTTGTTGAGCAGATTGTTGTGCGGCCGCAAGTTGCTGGGCTGCAGCAAGTTGTTGGGCTCGGGCTGCTGGATGGTAGGCAGCTGCAGGTCCTCCAGCCAAGTGTTGTTGCTGCGCTGCGTGGTGCATGTATTAGATTTGGACCTCAGTAATTGCCCATATGAATACATCCTCAAAGGCATGACTTCATATATTTCCCATTTTCGTCCTTGAAAAAGTAGGAGTCAAAGATCATGGTTCAACATCTTCGATAAGGTCGATGGGTGTTAGGTTACTATGTATAAATATGCATTGGGGGAAGTAGCCGTAAATGTAATGTTGATGCATCTGACGAGCATACTGACCCGGAACAAACTGTTGCGCGGTCTGGGCTGCAGCCTGAAAACTGAAATTGTTCGCTGGATCACCTTGTTGAAGATGAGGACGTTCTCGAACCGAAGAAGATGCTCCTGGAACCATTGGAGGTCCTGCTGTGCCTGCTGGAATAGCAGGATGACCTCCAACTACTCCATTAGGTGGATTAGTGCCAAGATTCATCATGTTTGCAGTCGAAGTCGTTGAATTTGCACCACTAGAAGGATGTGCTGGATGTTGAGCAAGGTTGTTGTTCTGAGCCATTTGTTGCAATCCCTCAGGAGAAGGACCTCCACGCCTCATTTGCTGTTCATCGTTCAATCCTCGCCCGCCGGAAGTGCTGCTGGTATTACTGACACCACCAGCACCAGGACCTCCACCAAGATGGTGTTGCTCCATCTGCAGCTGATGTTCCCCAACCACGACTCTATTAACATTATTTCGAGGACCTACATTACCACTACTCGTACCTCCAGGACCGACCTTCGGAGTACTTCCATTTGTAGCTGTGCCTTTCATCGCTCCCCCTGGAAGGTCTGCGGTCTCCATCGTTCTAGGGATTAGAGCTACCGCATTCGTCGCTTCATCTAGGACATCTTGTTCCCTTGCCTCTACTTCTTTTCCAAATGGAAAAACAGCCAGGGAAGATGCTGAAAATCTTCAAAATGCTTTATTTTTAGCCATAAAGTGAAGTTCTCGTGCAAATATCTTCGCTCGTATTCATGTTTCCTCTGCTCCAGCAAAGCGGTCATAGTGCGATACAGCCCTAGAGCCATCTGAGCGTCCTTGGCAGCATAGCGGACTTGCGCAGCCGACAGCGGTTGATCGAGCGACCAATCACTCATTTGCACCCGCTTATCCTTGTAGCCTTTTATTAAAGGTCAGCAGTCATGGGTCACTGACTCTGAACGCAAGAGACTACCTTCAAAGCTCTCCCCTTCGTCTCCCTTCATTTTCTCTCTCAAGGGGTCGCCTCTTCGATCTCAGTGACCACCCCCAATGACCAATGAAAGTCGAGCCTTAATTTCAGGACGTTCTCTCCAAAATAGTACTGACTCATCTGCTCTAGCGATCGGCCTCGCTTCTTACCCGTTGCGCTTGGATTAGAAATCCCGTGTTGCTCAACATCTGTAGTGCAGAATCTCGTGTTGCTCAACATCTGTAGTGCAGACAAAGCTTGTTCTAGTTGAAATGTTTATGATTTACTTATTAAATAATTCATCATCATCGTTGCCTTAATCGTATAAATGTTGCGGAGATCTGGCATGTTTTTGACGCGCACATCAAATGAGTCCTCCAACCGTGGCCTGTCGCAGTCGCCCACAACTGGCTTGACGATCTTTTCGGATTCAAAGATTTGCTGCAGAAAAAGCGGCAGCCGTCGACGTGGTCGGTCCCCGAGCTCAATGCCACAAGCTAAATTAGAGGAGCTTACCGAAGCTGTCCAGCTTCTTCGGTTTCATCATGGAGGAGCTGTTTTCCCCGTTCACCGTGTCGTGCGGCAAGTCCAAGTACTCGAAAAACTGAAATAAGCGAGTAACTGAGCAGAATAACCGAGATACTGATGAGAAGGAAAGGCAGCCTTGACGTTAAGCTGTCTCCCTTATTTCAGTCAGTAACGCGGTTATTTTGAGTTTTCGAATATGTGTAAGTAAGATCAAGATGCTTCTTGTTCACGTTCAGAATGAACATATTAAAATTAAGGTAAGGAGCCTTAACTGAAGTGCGATTGGTCTTCAAGAGGACTTGCTTGCCATCGACAGCAGCAAACTGCATGAGGGCAACGCCGTGTTGATGCTTACATGTGGTGTTATTTCCTTCCGGTTTCCATTCCATATCGAAGCCAAAGAGATCGTGACGCAAAAACCATTCGTACACCTCACAGAGGTGAATCTTAGGTCTCTTTTGGGGTGATAAACCGTTTGTATTAGAGAGCGGAAAAAATATTGTTCAGGAGCAGGTTTTCATATGGTGCCAGTAGAGCTACTTCTAGTACAACTCACTCACTGAGCAGGAGAAATAATGAAGTAAAAGCGACGCCCTACAAGAGCATCAACATGGAATTCTTGAAAGACGAAAGTAAAAACCTCAATGCATCTGAATCCATCTCCTGTCTCTTCAATAAAAAAATGCCCCTGTAATTATATACAGGGGGGCCTCCCTCCCTGGTACATATATTGTATGATTATGATAATGATCGTCCAGGCCTTAATAAAAGGTTGGTTATGGTTTGGTGTCGAGTTGCTGGGTCCGCCAAGGGAGCCCCGCTTCCGAAAGACAGTGGAGGAAACCATCTTCATGCGTTTTTTCGGAGACCCACGAGCAGTTGGCGTTTCCACCACTGCCGCGACGAGAGGGGTACTAGATGAGGTCACTCCATGGTCTTAGAATGGTGAACTAGCACGTGGTCATGGTGTAGTACTAGTAGCTCATGGTGTAAAAATAGGTCAAACTACTACAAGTAGGTGTAGTTGTTACAGTGAAAATGCATCTGAATCTGTAGTGTCATTCAGAGGACCTGGGATCTTCTGGCTTCGTCTCTCCTTCTCGAATGGTTTTATGAGACTGGGAGCGAACCTTGGCTGAACAAAGATGAGAGGTAAAAATTTTCTATCCTTAACCTTCTCCTGTAGAGCAAGAGCTTTCGCGCTGAGCACCTCCAGGAGCTTCTGGGTCCGAGCAAGAAGTTGAGGTTCCCTGTTCCCCCGTCACCCCTGCCGTTTTGGTCGCAATACCAGTCGCATTAGAGGTTGCCCCAGCATTGCATTCTTCAGATGGTCCTTGACGTTGACTCATTTCCTATAGGGAAATATGTCAAGAATGGTAGCGCAGAACGCAACGTGGAAACCCCTAATCGTACTAGTGACACCCTGTTGCTGTTCGACAACAGGTGAATTTGACGCACCATCCGTGCTTCCGATCACAACATCGCTGCCTTCCTTCGACGAGCTACTTGGGTAAACATCTTCATCGTCTTCCTTGGGTAGAAGCCCTGCCTTATTAGAGCTAGTACGCAGTAGCCCTGAGATTCTTCATCTCGTCTGATGTGGGGATCGCGAACGGGATGGGGATCTTCCCTCCTAAAGAAGAGAAAGATGAAGGTCCTTAGATTGTAGGTGCTCTAGACTAGCAATACCTTCACGTGTCGATTTCCATATCGATCACGATACAGCATGTATAGTTATATATCAGAACAGTTTATAAGGTTTCTGGGGGCCGGTTGGCATGGCACGAATGGAACGGTTGGAACGAATGGCAGGCATCCAATCCGGGGCTTCAATGTGCTCCGCCATTCGTGCCATTCGTGGACCTATCAGACCTTCGAGAGCGGGGCGCCCTTCGGGCGCCCTGCGTTTTCAAGCGCTACCTCCCCCGCGGCGTTACCGCTCTCTCCGAATGCTGCGCACATACTTTCGGAACCCCACTCGGGCGCCCTGCGACCAATCTGCCACACCCTCCACGGCGTTGCGCTTCAGTAGCCTCCCCAAACCCGGCGCCCTTCGGGCGCGTTGCTTTTGCTCCAGCCCTCCTCTGCCACCCGCGATCCAAAGCTGCCACGCATCCGACCCGCCCTCCAAGCCACGGCCCGCCCCCGTCGGAGCTCTCCCACAGCGGCGGCGCGGTGGATCAGCTAAGCACCCTAGGGCGGAGGCCGCACGCTAAATCGCCCGCCTTCTCGCAGCATTCCTCTCGTGGAATTCCGCGGGGGTCATGCAAGTCCACCAGAATTTGCGTGACCCGCGCGGTAGTTCCAAGAAAGAGGCCAGCCCTCCGACGGTCAGCCGCACTAGGATCCGCACTCTTTAGAGAGCAGCCAAGTCGGCTTTGTTTCTGGCTAGCTCCCTTACCATTTTCAAAATGGCAGGGGGACTTTCCGTAGAATTGCAGCCCTTCGCATCCCTATCCCTGTCCGCTTGTGCCAACGCCAACCGCGCCATTCGTGGCACTTTTTGGCTTCGTTGGGTTGTTCCAACCGTGTCATTCGTGCCAACCGTGCCAACCGCCATTCGTGTCATAAACTGTTCTAATATATAAGTAGTTGTATTATACGATTGCTGAGGCATCGAAATCGATCCCTATGCGTAGAGGTGGATGATCATTATTTAGAGGCTCTAGCAGTAGTAGCCTTAACCTTGATTAGGACACGGACTGCGGCTTCAGGCATCTCGTCTCGGTCTAGGGACTCTGGAGGGTCAAACACGTACAAATCTTCGAGATCGACTGGGCCCATGACATCTAGACGATCTAAATCGGTCGTTAGAAGTAGAGGTTGGGAGGTGGGAGGTTCGAGAGTGGGAAGTTGGGAATTTTTGGTGGGATACTATCTGATACGAAGCAACAAAGAAGGTTGGGTTAGGTTGTGGATCCTGCAAATCGAGTACCCCCGGCACCTACTCGACTCCGAGGATGTTGATGAGGGAAGCAAGCGAAGAAGTAGTACTACAACGGATTATAATCATGATTATTGTTCATCATCAATCATGCCTTCTCCATTTCCGTAACATCGCAACCACATTTTCCTGTTGCTCTATTTCAAAATTTTGCTGGTATTTGTTTCCAGACGCAGTAGAAGCAAGACCGCTTGCCACACTAACACCAGGTTGCGGCTGTACTGAAGATGGAGGTACAGAAGACGGTTGATGTTGTTGGTGACCTTGGTGTTGCTGGTGACTGTTCGTGCCGAGCGTTCCGTTGTTATATCTCGGAGGGACGCTGGTGTATAGCATCTGAACACCGTCAGAAGCAGCAGGAGTGGGCACTCGACTAGAAGCATTGGTAGAAGGACGCTCTTGATGCTCTTCAAGGTTTTGTTGCTGAAGATGATGTTGTGGTGGCTGAGCAACAACTACATTGCTTGACGCCGTTGCTGTGGGCGGAATTTTCGTTAGAAAGAGGGCTATTAAGTTTCGCTCTCCATAAATAACAAATAACAAAAACGATGATCTTCATGGACTAGTACATAAAGTGAGGAAACCAGAACAAGAACTACATCAATACGAAAATTATCTTCTTGTTCTTGAAGATTTAGTCTCCTACTAGATTAACAACAAGTGACAGCCATCTTAAACGACGTTCATCAGCTTGGACTGTTTGTTCGGGGGATCGTCTCTCTTCATCCATCCCGCTCGATCGACCGCGCTTATTACTTCCGTGCTTTCCGATTCCAACTTCGTGTACATGTTGTTGAGGATCTTGTTCGCGTTCTTGCTGCAACGTTGTACTGGACGAATTTGTTGCAACATGGTCGTGTAGTCCTTCTTGGTGTCCTCGATGAACAAGATCTTCTTCTTGTTTATTAACTTTAATATAATTCTTTTGCTCGTGCTGCTCAGAGTCTACTTCAGTACATAAATTATTAGCGTTAGTTGTGCTAGATGTATCTACAACTTCGTCCTCGACCCCAAGCTGCTGATGTGACTTCTTCGATGAGGAGTGAGTACTGTTTTTAGAAGTCGACTTTTTAGAAGTAGACGCTCCACCGGTTGCCGGACTGCTCTTGCTCGTAACCGGGGGACTACTTTTTTTGAAGGTTGCAGCATTACACTCATTATTACAACTTTACTACATTCTCGAGCTACCTTTTTCCACTTGAAAAAAATAAAAGTCAAGGATGTTACTGGAGGGTGTAATGTGGGAGCCCTTAATTTTTGGACCCACCTGATCGATAGCAGATGTCGTTTCTCCCGTCTCCGCATCTGGTCCGTCGTTTCCGTCATTGTAGAAGAGCATCGGTGGCCCACCTGCAGCCGAACATGGGTACAATTGGAGTTCAGGCGAACCCAAGAATGCCTTTTTAGCGGAGACAGCGCACGAGGAATTTGTACCTATCAACTGCTGACCGGATTTCTGGACACCAGGAAACTGTTGATCCTCAGCAAGATTCAGGTTGTTGATGGTGCTGTTGTTGTCGTTGATCTTTTTCACCTTCTTGTAGTTACTATTGTTGTTCTCAGGAGGAACAGGAGATTGTCGTTGTTCGGAATCAACTACATGCGGATGCAGTTGAAGATTAGTTGATGTTCTTGTTGTACTATTCTTCCCATTTGAAGAAGCAACATTCCGGTGCTGCAGGAGCTGATGTTCTCCCAGCATCTGATCGCTAGTCGGGCTTGCACTTGCTGGTACCGGAGTGGGAGTTCTACTAGTCATAGCAGGCGACCCACCTGGAGGTCCGCTTTCGTTTCCGCTAAGAAATCCAACTCCTCCAGCTCCATGATTAGTTACGCTGGAGGCTCCCGCCGCGGCATAATTCTTCTGCTGCAGGAGTGCGGCTTGTTGCTGCTGTCTACGGGACTCGGACATTTGCTTCATAAGCATCTGATTCCGCATATGAATGCCTGCTACCATCATCTGATAACGCTGCATCGACTGCACAGTCACCGCGCCTCGTATTAGAAAGACTACGACTACTTTCAGGAGCGGTTGTCGTTCTAGCGATTACGTATAAAGACACGTAGGATTATCAATTTCGATGAGAAATGGAGTATATTGTTTCAAGAATATATAAAGTCAAAGTCTTTACGTATACCTAGAATAAAGTTGTAGAGCCTCAGCTGTTGTTACTGTTAGGTGAAGGATCCCAGAGCGAGGTGGAAGAGAAAGGGAAAGTAAGGGCTAGTAAGGAGTCAAACAAAGAAGGCTAAGTAATGTTAAGGTTGACTATGGCACAAAAGAGGAGCATAATCCTTGATGCGGGTGGTGCGCAGCCGCAGCCGCGCTCGCTGCTGCCGCATGTTGCTGGGCTTGTGCTGCGGCTGCCATTAGCTGTAGGTGGTGTTGCGCACTTCCACCCATCATGGCAGCCCTCTGTGCCGCAACAGTTTGAGCTGCTATCGCTGCGACTGCTTGTTGCTGTTGAACTGCTTGCTGCTGCTGATGAAATCCGCCACCCGAGTTTTTAGAGGTCACCACGCTCACATGTAGTAGAAGTAGTTAATGAGAAGATTATTGTTATTTGAAGAGCTAAACCTAACGGTAGAGGGAAAACTAGCCGGCTGTTTTAATACTTATTTTGTCAAGACTATGACTATTAATCATACGGTGTCATTATATAATGTGAAAACACGGTCTTACGAAGGGAACAAAAACAAGGGGAATATGCGGTCATCTTTTTAGAAGGCATCATCATCATGATTAGAAGGTGGAACCAGCGAAATGCTCTAGTTGTAACAAGACTCTGCAAGGGAATGAAAGCCTCTGCAAGAGTACATGACTAGCATGATCATCGTGAACTACCTTAACTGACAGTGCAGCAGCAGGAGGTATGACACCGGGATGCTGAGGAGGGGCTCCAGCAGGGACGCCCGCTCCAGCAGGAACACCAGGATGATGATGCGACGGGTGGAGGATCCCTGCTCCACCAGGATGAGTATGCTGTTGCTGCTGGAGGTGCAAGATGTTGTTTATTGTAGCTGCATTGGCAGCTGCTGTCTGTGCCGCAACAGCAGCTTGTTGATGTGGTAGTAGTGGAGCGCCAACTCCTCCGGCAACACTGCTGGATGATGCCGATCCACCCGCACCAAGAGGCACAGCTACATGCTGTTGCAGATGATGTGAATGCTGAACATGTGGATGTTGCACATGCGGATGAAGAGGGTGGTTTTGCTGCTGCATATGTGCTGGATGAGCAGGATGCGGATGCTGAGGGAGGTTGTAGTTCCCAGCAGAAGCAGACGCGGAAGCATTAGAGCTTGTTAGGAGGACCTATTCGAAAAACTGAAATTTAAGCGAGTTAATGTTTTCATTCGGCGTGATCTCCATCGTCACTGAGGACAGAAACAACCACTGCTAAGTTTCAAGGTCATGGTCATGATGACATCAGCTACAAGTTAAAACGAAGACGAACTATACGAGAAACTGTCTGAAATAAGCAAGTTGCTACTTTGAACACCCGAGATACTGTATGAGGAACAATGTGGCGACTCTTTAATTTCAGGTAGGGGTAGCTACTCGCTTATATCTCAAGTTTTCGGTTAAGTCCCGACACATGATGATGAAGAGAGAACGAGAAGAAAATGATGCTCAATTTCCATTTTTATAATTTCTACTATCTATAAGTTTATGGGTTTATCACGCATGAACAAGAAGATAGAAGAATATGAATTATGGATGCAAAAGGATTCATAAACATATTTCCATGTCGACGCGTGGCTCCAGGTCGTGGGCCACCAGGCAAACTCGCTAGAGGAGGCGTATTGAAAGCATTCGGCTGCTCTATCGAGTTCTGTCGGGACCTTGGCGTGCCCATTTTTTTGCTGGAGTTTCCTGCTGCTGCTAGTATCGATCGAATTGATAATGCAGTGTCCTCCTGGTTCTCCTGGGTGTATTCTGTATTGCTTCTATCGATCAACAAGTCGTCTCGCGTCCTGGTTGTAATTTTGCAGCTATCAGTAGTTTCGATCAAGTGATGTCGCAATGGACAGTCGCATCGATCAAGATCAACATCTGTAGTAAGACGAGACTCACTATGAGACTAGTTGTTCAGCTTGTTCACCAGTACTTGGCTCACCCTGAAAGAATGATTGTAATTGTTGCAGGAGCTGTGGTTGCAGGAACAGGAACGCCGAAGCTTCTTCATCTTTCATCTGTAACTTTAGGGTAGTTGTAGTCTTCTAATTCTACTGCTACCATTTTCTCTTTTCTAATTCTAGCTAGTATTAAAAATTTGGATTTTGAAAGTCACAGTGGGAGATGAACAAAAGTCTCTTTGCCAACACTTTGCGAAGTGTAACTACACTGCGTATCCAGCAAGAAGCGGTATCGTTTTTGTGGACATTACCTTCAAAAATAATGGAGTCAAAAAGTCGGATACGAACAAACATTGACATCAAAGTGACAGTACTTATGTACTACTTCAGGTAACACTGTAAACTTTAACAGTAAGTCTGAAACATGGACTTGGACATCAAAGTGAAAATGTTAGCTAAGTACATTACATCAAGCGTTTTGCATTAGATGATGAACAAGAATGCACGTCTAAAAAACATGAAATTTGAAAATTTCTAGATTATTCCAATGTTGACGAATGAATCTACTTCCTTTTGCAACTCTCATCGTCGTGGTTCCCCCTTTGTTCTTGTGCCCCTCCTCTTCTTCATGTTCTTGATCCTTCATCATGTAAGTACTTATTTTACTCTCAAGTTCTTATCATCTCTCCTTTTTTGCACCTACTTTCGAAAGGTAGTCTTCGACTTGATGTCACGACGGTAACGTTCTTTTCAAATTTTCGAACCCTTTTGGTGCTGCGCGATGCCTTTCACTTTCAGTGCTCTGCGATGCAAAATCAAGATAAACGCAACCGGATGAAGTCACTGCGATTAATATAAGGAAAGCACGACTTTCTTGCCCTCTCTTCTTGAACAACAGTGGCGAAACGAACTTCTGAAGTTCTTCAGCAGTTTCCATCCTCTGCTTTCCTTATATTACCTCCAAAGTGAATGTAGCGGAAGAAATGTCGTCCTTTGTGCCTGCTTCACACTAAACTATGTAGTTATACCTCAACAGCTAGGAGAAGGACGAGGAACAACACAAAGAATTGTACGTAAGACGACCACTCCTGTAGGGTAGTTAATCTCAAGTTAGCTACGACGCTCACAAAAAAGCACAATGAATAGAAGTCTAGAATGAACGACTCAAGCATATCAAACGAGGACTCTTCGGAAAATCTTCGTTCACAGAAGTCCTTGCTTGTACAAAATTTAGAAAAAGAGGAAAATCGTCTATCATATTTTGTTCGACAACTCAAGTAATTTTCTCTTGTTTGTAGTGTGGACCACGGAAGACAACTATGAACAGGCCAGCTTCAAGGACGAGGCAATAACAAGAAGCTGCAAGTTGATAGTTCTATAATTTGTAACTAGTGCATATGAGAGAAATCAACAAGAACATACATGAGAAGGAGTGTGCTCCTCGTTGCTGAATGGTCTTCACGGAATAAATCGAATTTCGATTTTCCAACTCCATATTCGTTTTTCTGGCAATGGGTTGCACATGGGATCCGTACCCCACACACTTCCCAACCCGCCAGCTCCAGCAATCCCTATGTGCGAGACATCGAAGCAAACCCACGTCTTCCCCTCGTCTCGCAGCTCATGCGCATGCTCTGTCGTTGTCATTAGAGGTAGTTGGTACCTACTTAGTAGACAAGAAGGGTTTGTTAAAATCCTAAAAGATAAAGATGACGTTTTCAAGAAGTTATACCTTGATGTTCTACTTCACTCCAAGAATCCTTAATGTCAATTGTTCGATGCTGCAAGGCGTCACTGTTAAAAGAGGCCGAATCTCTGCCACTGGCGCTAAGGTAGACAACTCCTTGTTCTTCGAAGATGCAGGAGCTTCCATTTTTTTCAGTTCTTTTTGTTTTTGTTCTGGAGAGGAACTGCATTTCATGTCGAAGATACGTATCGCCAGTTTCTGAGACTTTGTGGTGAAGAAAACCCATTGTGCGTCTGCGCGGCCGTTGTATTCTTGCGGTTTTGCGTAGGGACACACTGCTTAGACCTTCCCGATTCATTCATCTTGGTACTAGACAATAGTAGAAGCATCCTGAAGTAGAGCATCTTGAAGTAGAGATTAAGGAATGAAGCCTTAAATTGCTCTGGCATTTTCGTTTTCGAAGAGACCCAGATGACAGCTTGCTCGACCACGATCGCAGTAGTTCTCGTAAGGACCTTGACCATAGTAGCTGTATTTCTCGTGGCGACCAGCAGATTAGAGATACTTACACCTTTCCTATTGGGAATACTGAGAGTAAATGGTAATCATCTTCAGGCTCTACTAGTTACAACGTTACTTATAGGTGGACATTGTTCCTACGATCAGTAAAAAAATGATTTGAATCTTTTTCATAAGAGAGACACAATCGAATGCCAACGCGAGGCAAGTATGAAGTGACACAGCGACGACAGTCAACGGTGCATGAAAGAAAGACGCTCTGCGCGGCTCCTTGTGGTCCATCAGGTTGTTGCAGTTGAAGATCTTCCAAAGGAGTACAACTAGTAGAGGTAAAAACTTCTGTTTTCGTCTGGACACCCAGTAAGCGGCTGTCATGCTGAAGCACATATTTGCTGATGTTTGCACTAGGAGATGTTGAGGATGAAGCTGGTGTAGCTCCTGTGATCTGTTGTTGATCCTTCTCCGTCACGACCTCAACAGACTTCAGCGAAAAGCCACCAGCTGCAAAAGAAGTCTTGTTAGCAGGATAGTCTTCGTCAGTCTTCGCTTTCGCAGCATTGCTACTCGCAGCATGATTGCTACTATAATAATCCTTGGGATAGTAGATGTTGGGAATAAACCTGTAGTTATTTTTTTCAGCTGTCCCGGAAGCGGAGCCCTGTTCGTTCCTAGCAGTAGTACTCGTCCATCTACGACCCTCGAATAGTTTGTACACGAAGGTCCAGAGCCACACGTGAGAGAATTGGTTGTGCCACAGCTTTGCCAATCCAGAGGGTAAGTATCCAATCCGGCGAGCCAGAGCGCGACCTCCTACAACCAGTTCCACGTCCATGCCACCGCGGTCGTTCTCGATGGGTGCGCGAACAAAGTTGTACTCTATACTTTCAATCATGCACGAACTTCTTGCTGTAGATGTAGAAGTTCCGCTTGCGAGTCCAACATTTTGTAAAATACTGGTAGTAGCAATCGGCAGCTTGATGATAGGATGTGCTGAAGAAGAAGAGGAGTCTTGCGGTCTTCGGCCAGCCCCGGGAACGTCAAAAACGATCTTGCTCCTCCAACCACCTTCTGCGGTAGAAGATGCGACAACTTCTTGTTCAACACCGGTCATTTCTTGCTTGATCAAGTTTTCTAGACACTTCTTTCCATGCTCTTGAACTACGTCGACAGCTGTGACGCCGCCAGCAGCAGCACTTGAACTTGAGTATTCTGCTCCACCTTTGTGTCCTCCAAGCAGGGCTAGAGGCGTAGGAAACCATTCGCCGAGAATGACGTCCATCGGCGCTAAACCCAGAGTCATATACGCGCGACGCCTCACTTGGTCATAGTGATTCTCCTGGTAGATCGCGTAGACTCGAGACAGCTTCTGGTATGGTCCTTGGGACTGGGAGACGTCTTTTTTTAGAAGAACCAAACGCAATCAAGCAAACGGGGGGCTAGTTGTAGTCCGTGAGTTTTGATTCCTCTGAAGATTAAGTATATTACCGTTCAATTACGCAAGTAAGTACTAAGTAATTTCCTGATCGTAATATTTGGGCAAGTCTACTACAACTACTTGACAAAAATCTGAAGCAGCTACTAAAATTGGTCTTAAGATCTCTATTCCTATCTGCTTCGGCACCTCAATTGTGGTCCACCGTTTTGGTAATACTTGAGGATTCGCGCACTGCAACAGCCGCGATGTTCCTGAGTATTCCGCAAAAAACTGTACATGTCCCAAAGTCGAAAAATCAAAGCGGTTCTGTATCCGTAGGCGCATGGTCGTGCTAGTTGTACTACATGAAGCAGGACATGTAGGACAAGGACTATCTTCTTGCTCCAGCACTGGTAGAGGAGAAAAAAAAACAGGTTGTTGGAGTGCGCGCAATTCCATATAAGTTGGGTGTACACGAGCTCGGTCAGCATGCAACAAGCCGTCTGCAATGAAGCTGTTATCCTGGAATCCAGAAGTCGGACCAAAGTCGCCACCATAATAGAATTTTGCTGGTCTTTTAGCAGTAGCGCTAGCACTTTGAATTAGAGCTGTCCGCAATTCATCTTTCAAGTGCATCCTTGAAAAGTATGGGTGAGTATTCCCGTAGGATACCCTTCCATACGTTTCAAGGATGCGTCCAAAGATGTATTAGGTACAGCCTTAATTGAACCTTGCTAGTGCTTTTCTGATTCTGTTCGTCCACAAGCTTTACTTGTTCTACTTCCGCACAGTCGTGGTCTGGATCAAGTTGATGCTCATCATTCACAAGACGCACACCTGGCCCTAGTACACTACTCAACGCTTTGTTGATGAGTTTGTCACTTTCATCTTCTTGTTGCGTAAAGACCCGACTCCAAGAAGCAAGTCCTCCGGACGAGATGTTTTCAACATAATCTTGGATGCAAGCTCGTCCCGCCGTCTCATATAGCTGATGTAAGTCGTCGGGCACACTCAGTTCCGCATCCGCCCACTCCCATACGAAGCCTCCTTGTATTCCCGGAAAGCGCTCGTCGTAATAGAGATCGAAGAATTTGTGGACACTGCCGCAGCTGTTGCCCCAAGCATGCGAGAATTCGCACTGAATGATCGGCTTCATCATCGCAGGGTCGTAGTTAGGCAAGCTATCCTCTAGCAAGGGCTGTTTTCGCCCAGCGCCCTCAATGTCCCAAGGCCCGTGGTACATGGGGCAAATCATGTCTGAGCAATAGGTTGAGCCGTCACCGCAAGCGAGAACAGGCTCATTCGAATAGTTCCTTCCGCCTTCATACTGAATGAAATGCGTACGAAAGACACGGCCGAGCATGTTTGTAGTCGAGTGCGAGTCTTTCTTCTGCTTTTGCTCTTGGATTGTAGTTTGCGGTTCTCCTGAAGATTTTTCTTCTGAAGTCTGACGGCAAAGCATTCGGACGCCACCTTGTCCTCTAGGCTGATCGACTCCAAGCTGCTCATCAGGATCATCGGAGGAAACGAATTCTGAAAATGCCTTTCTTGTCGATGCTGTGGCTAAAGTCTTCAACTGTGTTTCTACAGGACATTCCTTGTTAGGCGTCCACTTTCGCATACGAAGCATACGCATATGCTTCCATGTTGACGTAGATGAAGATGCTGATGCTGTAGTTGGTGTTGATGTGCCTCCAACTGAAGATGTAGTAGAAGCAGTTGTAGTAGCTGCTGCAGAACGTTTTTGATTACAACAACTCTCTTGCAGTTGTTGCTTTTTGCTAATCGGTGACCCGTCTGGAGACAAACCTTGAAGTAAGGGAAGAGACTCGCCTTGTTCAGGCGTGCCTTCAGATGGACCAAGTACAACTAGGTCGCCTTCTTTTTTGATGTTCTTGCCACCGCCCTCTGCCACTAGTACTACGTTGTTGTTCATTTGATCTTCTTTTGCTATTCCGAGATGTTGAGCGTTCTGCTCCAAACAAGTAGATGACAGATCCACCTGTTCGTACTCTGCGAAATGCGATGTCTCGCGCAGCAGGAAGAGGTAATTTCTATACAAATTCGGCCCGAACCCTGCTTCATTTCCCAGCGAATAACCAATCACACAAGGATGGTTCTTGGTACGATGCTATTAGATCTAACTTAAAAAAGCTATGAAATCTATGCATTGATGTGACGGGTTTCTTGATGAACTTGGTGGAGATACAATTAGTTTAATCAAATTTTTTCCTTTCTTACGTTTTCTATAACGCTCTTCTTTTAATTTTGAAGTAAGATGGATGCCTCATCTGAAGTATCTATGTATGACGTAACAAGGTTGATCATTTTGCAACTTCATTCAAGCACGCCTTAATGATAACAAGCTTCAGCTCTACGAAAGACAGCCTCCTCGAACCTCCGCTCACACTGTACCATGTCCATCTGGCCCCAAAGACAGAAACCGTGCGTTTCGATATTGCACTCGTCCACCACAAAAAGGCCAAAAAAGTCACAAAGCATGTACCACCTAGCATCGTTAGGGTAATGGCTTGCCCGCACTGCGTTGAAGTGTCCTGCCTTCAGCATGCGGATGTCTCGGAATGTTGGAAGTTTGTACTGTAGTTCCAAATCAGGTCAATGAGGATGCTTGAGTCTCGCAAACAAGCCTCTGGTTCTACGTGGATTATAGGAACGAACGGTCACTCGATTCTCACTCGAAAAATAGCGGTAAGAAAATCCCTTGGCCTTGTAGGAGCAACTTGAATTTCACTTGATGTTATTGTAAAAATAGTTCTTACTCCCTCCATCACCATAAGATCATGTCTTTAGTCTTCAGTACGCGTCCTCTCTTATGATGAAACTCGTGTCTGTTCACGCCCTTCACCACAATTGGCGAGCCGTTGACGCATAGCACATTGGGACCAAAGGCTGGATTTGTGCCGCATTCTACCGTACGAAAGCCAACGAAAGTAGTTTCTGATTGGTATAATAGCGCTCTTGTTGAGGTTCTGCTTGGTGTAGTCGTAGCTTCAGAACGACCAGCTGCAGGGTTGCTATTCGACATAAGGCTAATGCGAAGTTGGTAAAGATGTGGCGTTTCTGGGGACCAAGGAAGAATTTTCAGGCCCGACTCGGAGAGGTCGATGGTGCCAAGGCAGAGCTTGCGACGAAGCGTCTTAGTATCTGAACTCGTTGTAACTCCAAAAGTACTACAAGTTTTAGTTTTCCAACTTTTTTCGTTGAATAATGACGATGAAGATTCATCCGAAGAAGCACCACAGGGCAGCACTGGTGATAGCTCAGAGATCGAGAAAGACTGATCAAAGACGCATATTTCTGTGGTGTCTTTCGATTTCACCTCATGCTCGTCTTTCTCCGCAGACCCTCTGCCTTGCAGCCAGGCGTACAATGCGTCTGCATTGTCATCCGCATCGCCTAGAGGTTGCGTGCTTGCTCCTGACCTTCTACCATCCTCGAAATACTCTAGCGACGCAGTTAAACGTAAGGACTTGCTTGTGTCGTCCAATTTGGACGAGGTCATGTCTGCGCTAGCGCTTCTTTCCTTCTCGTTGTTCACGAGCAAGTCTACCTCCAGGCTGAAGGTTCGAGATTGGTAGTCGCAGATGGTGGTGTAATCTGTAATGCAACAGGACGTCGAAGTTGTACTCGTACTAGTAGTGTCCGGAAGAGCTACCACTTGGCCAATTTCTGCATCCCCACCTTCATCTTCATGTCCAGCAGCTACAACCTCCACACAATTATTCGACTTAGAAGTAGATTCCATGCCGCTAGAACTAGAACAAGATATGGGAAACTCTTCTAGGTAGACTTCTCGGTAAATGCCTGAAAGAGTCCACATATCCTGGCACTCGAGGTAGCTCCCCGTACTGTACTTCGGAACCACGGCTACTAGAACATGTTGGCGCCTCTGTGCGTTTTCCGGTGTCGATGAAGATGTTAGAGCGTCTTTGAAGAGTTGCGCTATGCTTGGGGTTAGGGCTATCATCGACGGAATAAAGTTGCTCACAATTATCAATATTTAACATCACATCATGCTAATGCTTCTACGCTACGTCTACACAATTGGTTACAACCTCCCGTGATCCTGCTACAGGAGCACGAGCACCAGGAGCGCAGTTGTAAATCATAAGATATTCACTATCTTCGTTATCCATGAGCAGAAGCATCATTACAAATACAGTTCTTTCATTTCGACCACAACATTTTTGCCATAACGACGTCTTCGTCAAAAACTCGGAAATGTCGAATTCGCATCCGGTCATGCTGTCCTCGGCATAGCCAACGAAATACCCGTCAATATAGAGATACACGCAGCTGCAAACTCCTTCAAAAACCACATGGACCTTCTTCTTGTAGTTATTGATGTTACCAGTTAAAGTGGTAACATAAACCCCACATGGATTTGTTGTGCCAGCAGGTATCGCCTGCGATAATGGAAACCAGGTGAAAGGGTAGCGGACATTTGTGTAGATCGGAGGATCGTAACCCAGGAGTTCCCAGTGACTAGGCACTGGGACCTTTCGGAAGGATGTTAGAAGAGGCACTGCCTCTACTGAGACTCACGTGGTGAGTTTTGGTACTTAGCATGAAGAAAGAGAAACCGTAGTTTTCTGGTCAACATCAGATCATTAGATTCCGCCCAGGTCCATGCGAATGTGGCCTCACAAGGAAACGATCAATAATTATAAGTCCGACAGCGACCGCATCTATCTTTGAATGGATCGAACAACTTCTTCTAGTTCTAGCTCATGCTCATCTAGGAGTCTAACTCTAAGGGTTGTAGCAAACTATCTAAGAAAACCTGTTCACAAGCCTTAACACGGAGGTATTCGGATCACGATCATCTGGTTCTCGACCTGCAGCACAGCTATGCCCAAAATCGTTCTGCATACAGTATTCTATGGCTTGCTGGTATGTCGAAAAGAGGTGGAAATCCCAGGTTGACGATAGCAGAGTCTTCTGGGTGCCACGACGTCGCACGTGAGGTCCCTCTACCCGACCGATGCGGACACAAGTCGCGTCTCGATGATGGTCATGCCCACACGCGCCACCTTCTGCTGTGGGGCGAATCAATATAATGCTACGTCCAGGAGCTTCAGCGTCAGCGTCAAGTTGAGTAGACGAGTGTTCTTGTGCTTGTGAAGAAGTTGCATTTGCTGGCACTACTTCTTCTTTCAGCTTTCTAGTGTTGAAATTCGTTCTCCACGACCGTTCGAATTTTCCTTTTCTGCGATATAACACAGGAAGTCCACGACCATCTTTACTAGTTGCTCTGTACACTAGCAGGCCCACAATAATCTGCAGGGGCAGCAGGAGATAGTACAACACGAAAAGCGGGAACTGCCAGATTGGGTTGTTGGTGATGCTGAAGATGTGATGCTGTCCTGGAGACAGGAGATAGCGGCACAAGAGACTGCAGGTTCGCACATAGTTCACGCGAACTGAGGTCGGAAGCGACAGGTGCCAAGTAAGAACTACCATCACGAAAAAGTACGGCGGAAAGAGAAAAACCAGCTTGAACCAATTCTGCAAAATTTTTGATGTCGCCTGCAGGAGCTCCTCCGAAGGCAAGAATAGTTGTAAACTCAACCCTGTTCTTACGGACTCTTGAAAGTCTTCCCACAACAAGAAAATTGTTGTTCTAGGAAAAGGAAATAGAAATATACGAAGTAGAGGAGAAGAGCTACTATCTTTGTAGTCGATCAGAAAATCCCATGAGAACGGCTGGAAAAGGTGGAATGTTGCCGCACTACTCGCCAAGGCTTTTAGCGGTCCGGAAAAGAGATTTGTGAGAATCACGCAAGTCTGGATACCGTAGAACTCGAGACCTAGAGCTACACCATCTCCAAAAATTGCACTCAGAAGGTTTCGAAGCTGCTCAAGTTGATGTACTGCGAAAATAGAACAAGAAGATGCAGCTTGTACTTGTTGTTGTTTTGGTTCCACTTCGACTTCCACTCCATTCCGAAGATTATTTGTAGAAAGAAAAGCAGGAAAATCAGCAGGAAGCACGGTAATGTCCGACTCCGATTGACCGTGAGCTGCTATTACACCTGACGTTCATCAAGTTTCTACTTAGTGTTTTCATCATGTTCGTGTTCCACGTAGGGAAAAGGTTAATCTTTTCAAAAAATGATGGAAGAGAGTCTGCAACGGCAAATCAGATGAAGCCGCTTCAATAAACAGTTTCGTTCCGTTAGTTTTAACACAACAGTTATTATTGTTTTACAGACAAGTAAGCAGTCCATGATTTCAGTACCACCTTGTTCTGCAGAGGTTGATACACCTGCCGCACCTTCACCTCCAATACTGCTAGCGAAAAATGTGGACTTGTAATTCTCGGAATCTACTGCCACTTCCCGCCCAATACCATCTTCAAAAGAGCAGCACACCCATACGCCTGCGTAGACAAGGGTCAGGATCGCAGGATTTAGGAGGTAAAGGCGGTCTGTGTGTGTATGACTCGCCCATATGAGCAAACCGAAGGTGACAAAGCGAATAATCACCGGGACAAATAAGCATTCAATCTTGTGCACATCTTCTTCTGGAGAAGCAAAGGCATGATGTCCCATGATCATGAACAAGGAGTGGCGCTTCCGTCATTCGTCCACCGGTAGTTGTGTAGTATTAAGCAAGATGAGGAAGAGTATTTCTACATCTACGTTGTTGAGTTAATGAAGATCTGTGCAGATCCTGCTGGCTTTACCTCATCTTGTTGCATCTTGTACTAGTTGTACTTGTTGTTGCTAGCAGGAAAGTGTCTACTTACAAGAGTCTATTTTCAATCGAAACAAAGTTTCTTCCTGGTTTTTTTGATGTATTTTCTATTGTTGTAACAGAGCTGAAGCTTCTTCCTTTCCGCATCATGTTCATCTTCTTAGTCACACGAATACCAGAAACCACTCACGTCTATCAAATGTTGCACATTCTTGCAAATAAATATCACTCCAGCACAGACTTCTTGCTCCTGGTGCCGCTGTAAAAGCTTTTTTTTTAACAACTTCATTGTAGAAATAGTAGAAGCAACCACAACAGTTGTAACAGATTCTTTTTGTCTTCAACATTATAATACAGGTCATCCAGCAAACTACAACAGACTTCTTCATCTTCTCATCATTATACTACATCGATCTATCTTGTTTAGCTGCGCGCGACTAAGTTGTGCATGGGAATTTACATTCAACTCAAGAAGAAGCATACTCGTCTCCTGTACGTTTGAAGTTCCTCAAACGACCGTCCCCACAGTCACAACACGTCAAGATCTTCTCTTCATAAAAACCGCTCAGAACCAGATAACCTACTGCGCGTGCGCACATTGCTGCAGGGAGATGTATTCACTTGTCAAGGCAGGATCACGACTTGTCCAGCTCAAGAACAAATGAAACTTGATCTTGATCCACAGGATCTATGGGATAGAAGATATGGATGAATATTTGAAAGTAGAGAAGTACTTAGATCAAGCTGACTGTAGTGATATTTATCAAAAGAGGACAATAGACGGACCCGTTAAGACCGGGCCACCTGTGGCATTGCTCTCTTCAGCCTCACGACCACTGCTTCTGGTAATTCCTCCACTGCCTCCTGTCAAGCCAGTTGTAGCTCCTCCAATATTGGCAGTAGCCAGTCCGCCAAGAGCAACGCCTCCAGCTACAGCTACATCGTTGTTTTTCTTGCATCCTTCTACAACATCATGTTGACCCTGAGCTGCATCTTTAGCATTGGTCGTGGAGGTCGCTCCTCCCATGGAAAAAGTTGATGTTCCAAAAAGCGCAATCGATGGGAACCAGAATGTTTCGTCGCCTGTTTCAGGGTCTCTATCTAGCCAACAGAGTCCTTCCCGCAAGAAGAAGCGCAACACTCTTTCGGCTCTGCCGGCGTTCCAGCCTAAGCCACGCACTAGGTCCCTAGTTCGATGTAGCGTGCCGCCGCTTCTTGTCGCGACCTCTAAAGCTCGATTTTGATCGGCATCTAGTTCCTCTGGCACCGAAGAAATCATGCGGACGATGGTATTACGCGAAGAGGTAGAGGAAGTGGTTGTTGATGGTGCTTATTTTTAGAAGAGCCTATACATACAGATACTAGATGATGAACTAGAAGTAGAGGAAGATGTTCCGTGCAAAGTTCAAGTTGTTTTCTCTCTGTGATTAATTGAATCTATTCGGCGAGATGCCTAAGATTTCCCAGCCGAGTTCTACCCGCTAGTCTAGCTTGTTGTTGGATTGTTAGTGGTCTGTCGATTGTTAGTGGTCTGTTTTCTCTCTATAAAATTCCCTCAAAATTATAAACAAGATGGAGGCTTGCGGACGACCTTGTAGTTCCGCTCCTACTCCTTTCCGCATTTACTTACGCTTACTACAAAATGAAATGGTAAAAAAAAGCTCTACTAGACTGTGACCACATGATTTTAAGTCCATAATGTGAAGAAGTCTGTGCACCAGCTGACGAATTGTAGATGAATTTTTTCACTGACACTCCTGCTCCAAAGGCTTGCTCCAGTAAGGACACTGCCTGAGCGATGTCATCCTCTGCTTCAGTCCCGAGTGCGCCCATGCTATGAATGGTGTCGAGGCAGACCATCACTTCTAGGCAGACCATCACGGTTTTTATCCCTTTCCCCTTACTACAAACGTACAAGAGCCTACTTACTTCTAAGGGAGGAGCCTCGATCATGGTCTGATCTAGAGGGAAGAAAAAACATCATCCATACATGCCTAAGAGGCTTGAGACCTCTCTTACGTGGACGAGACCGCCGTTAACGCTCCTTGTGTTCAAGCAAATGGTCAAAACTCGCACAGAAAGATCCGCATAGTAGGTCTTCGTTTTACTCGGCAAAGAAGAGGACGACGACGTTTTGGAATTCTTGTTGTTTCCTCCTCCTCCGGGAAAATTAGCGACGGCGATGCTTGGAAATCGAAATGTAATGTTCTTTCTCTGCAGACTGCACATGTTCTTTCTCTTGTTCATCAACTATAAGAAAGGAGACATTCTTAAGATGAGTATCAAGAACCACAAGCACAACATGTGGAAAGATTCATTACCAGTATCGAATACCCTCGGTCACATTCCTTTAATGCCTTAAAAGTGCCTCCGTAAAACTGCAGTGGGTCTACACCTATTGCGAGACACATTTGATGAAACTGATTCCGGAAGTTGGTGTCTGCATTTATCTTTTGTCTATGCTTCACAGCGAACTGCGACAGTTGCTCTTTGAAATTCTCACAATGTGTTAGAGTCGGGCGGCTGGTGTAGTTGGTGTGACGAGGTCGTAAGGTGAAGCAAGGTCGTGATAATGTTAGTAGGTATAATTAAGGACGGCGTAATTCATGGCGGGATCTTCTTTCTTCTCTGCGTCTTCTATCTTCTGTTAAGACTTGTGATATACGGCGATGGGTGGGCCTGGTATTTGGTATAGCCTGAATTTGATCACAAGGATTCCCTTCTTGTTTTCCTTATGATCAAAATCAGGTTACCAAATACCAGAGTTACTAAGTATGCCAAATACCAGAGCCACTCATAACTACTAAGTATGTGAAACCATGCGCCATAAGTGTTTCTTTGCTTGTTCCAGCTTCGTTTGCGAAAGCTCTTCTCCTAATCCTTCCACCTTGGCCTTGCGGTCTTGGGCCTTCATCAAGGCAGCCTTGCCACCAGGACCGATATGACCACGTCGCATCTTTATTTTTCGTTAGATAGTAACGGTAGAAGTCGTGACACTTACTCTACTGATGACGTGAATCTATTCGGGAAGTTGATGCTTGAGGTTTCCCTCGGTAATTACTCTACTAAAAACGAAGAATAAATGTAGTTGGCGATGCCGATGCCGATGGATGTTGTTCTTGTTGGTAGTCCAAGGCCCTTCGAAGGTTAGGCTAGGAGGTTGGGGATCCTACACATAGACCCCCGGACTCCTAGCTCAACTCCGAGGATGATGAGCGACCTGATTAAAGTCAGCAGATGCACCGAGGCGGTGACTTGAGTAAAGTCGTAACCGTATCCGTAACTGTTCTTCGAAACAGTAAGAAAGACAAATATTAGATTAAAGATGATAATATTGACCACGAAAAAATACAACCCATAGATTGATAGGACTGGGAATAAGAACTACAACAGCAGCTAAGATGTTAAAGTTGAACTAAAGCAAGAACGACAAATTGATAAGAGTAAATAAACCGCCTGGCGCGACAGTCCGAACAAGATTTGATTTTATGTTGGGAAGATTTGCTTTTATTTTGGTTTAAAAGAGCCGGACCCTGAAAGTCGGAATTTTTAGTACTTTGACGAGGTAGATTGATAATCCACTAACAAATAAACCTCTTGCTCCGAAACAGAATTATATCAGGATCTGCTGCAGGCGCAAGATCGTAGGAGCTGCAGGCACTCATCCTATTCCTCCTTACGTTATTTCTTGCAACGCAGGAACAAATAATTTTCATCAGCCTCCGTGCTGCTCTACTTCTCTGTTATTACAAGTTTACAAGAACAAGACAAATGGCTTATGAAGAGTAAGTCAGTGGATCATACTGTATTATCGGGCGAAGTTTTTCAATGTACGAACCATGTTTTTCCTTTTACAAGGCGGGCGCATTTGATCATTGGTCCTCCGGTTAGAGAGCTACGTCTTAGAGAAGCCCTGCCACACGTGTGCACAGGGTCCCCCGTGCATGTTGTTGTCCTGATCGTTTTTCTTTGCTCTTCCAAAGCCAGACTGTGCTACAACTACTAGTCCGGATTTTGATACAATTGAAACTGCTGGCTACGGATTGCGTTGAAGTTAATACATGAGTGTCGTGAGTCTATCGCTTTGATGTGCAACGTTGTAAGTAAGTATGTCCTTACGATGATGACAATACGCCTATAATCAACGCTGATGATCTTTCTTCGAGTTGTTTCAACTGTGGTGATGTTTTCAACTGGTGTGATGTGGAAGTTCTGCTTGATGCTATTATATATCGTTGGCACTTGTTGCGTGTGTCGAGGTGCGTGTTCGTCTAAATGGCTCGCGTCAGGCTCTGATAGATTGTATCATTCGTAAGGAGTTTCTGCCTGTTCTTGTATGATGTTCTGACTGACTTGACAAACAATATGTGAACTAAGAACGTGTGCAATAGAAAGGCTTCGCCTGTTTTGTAAGTGAGAAACGTGCTGGATCGCGAAGCTCTGGGATCTACTTAGGTTGATGGTGGCGCTTCATTTTCAATCTTATGCACGATGGTTTCCGCATCTTTTCATCACTTCGTCGCTGTTCAATATCGATAATGCAAATTCTCTTGAAAAAATCAATGGTGTCGTAAGCTGTTCAAAAACTTTGCTCTAGGCTATTACTGTGATTCACTGTATTTCGTTTTTAGATGAGGTAAGTAGTTTCATTTTCATTCTCTTCTAGTTATTGTGGTAAGCTGAGAAGTTTCATGATCCTTTTATATTTAAGACCAGTGGTGGAAATAATATGTACGTCAGAACTACGTTTGAATATCTTCAGCTGAGATCATGTACTTAGTAAGAGATGACTCATTTTCGTATTACTGGGCTCTAGGAGTACAACTACAGTTGAAGAAGAAACCATGCAAGATGAATTCCGACAAAACTAACAGAACTACTATGACTATCTTGATCTATTTTCTAATTCCATGCAGACTATCTTGATCTATTCTCTAATTCTATGCAAGAGTACTGTAATCCTTACTGTCTACAACGAATCTTCTTTTTCAGTATCACGATAGTAAACTAATGCTTCTAATCTTCATTCAGTGTCTCTAATTTCATTCTCAATCTATCACGACAACGATACGACTATTCATTTTCCATTTCCATACACAACGACAACCACGACGACCAGCGTGGGCCGTGTACATCTCTACAATGTGGCGGATGCGTCCAACACGCGACCGCTATCCGAAATTGACCCGTAGGCTACGTGGCCAGCGATTTTCTTACCTGGAGAAGTCGAGAGTTCTGGTTTGGATGTCAGAAAGAAAAATTGAGAATATTCCAAATCCAACATTTTTGATGAGGATCCATGATCCTAATAGCTAAGCCAAGCCACACTAAGACAAAGACGCCATATAATGCAGTTGTTCTAGACGATAGTGGAATAGTTAATCTTTATTAGGTCCATAACTAACACTAATCTAATACACCCGTACATTTCCTAAAACGCCATATAAATATAAAAATATACATAGCATTGTCTTTACTTGACGAAGTACCATGTGCCTCCTTTTCCTTTCGTCCCGTGCGCAGCCAGCGAGAGCGAAACAGATAGACCAGGGCAAACAATACAAATGAGAGGACCACAAGGCCCATCGCAATAGCCACCGACGTCATCGCTTCTGGACTCTTGCTTGAAAAACCACGAGAACCTGCGAGATGAGAAAAAATGTTCTTCAACAAGCGAATAGAACAAGGTCGAACGAAACATGAACTTTTACTTAGAGAAGATTGAGATACATAGAGTTCTTACACTTCGTTTCTTATTCTTAGGAAGGAAATAAATAATAAATATGTCAACAATGATAGTTGTAGCAAGCGAAGTTTTGAAGTAAATTGTAGACTAAAAAAGTCTGTCGCCGTCCATGATTGCAAACTACATATCAAATAAACAATAAGTGCTAGAATTACCTCGAAGGGCTGTCCAGGCTGGTTGCTCTTTTTCCTGGAGAAATGTTGCTGTGGTCGCACAACATTGAGCATTTACTCCAATGCGCGCCGCCTCCTGCTCGTTTTCTGCGTGTGGTGAGGTCGCGTCTACTTTAGGAGCAGTCGTCTGCTGCTCTGGGGCAGACGGCTGCTGCAGCTCTTGCGCATTGGGAGCACCAGGCGCTTGCTCAGCCTGAAGCTCCGGTAGTTGTGGTTGCAGTGGCTGCTGCTGAGGCTGCGGTTGCTGCTGACGCTGCTGCTGCCCCCCTTCCACTGGTTGCGAGGTAGACCGACAACATTGCTCAGTATTCTTAAGGACATTAGAATCCTTCAAAATATGAATACTTAATTCGAAAAACATAACAGCACTCGTTTTCTTTCACACAAGAACGAACAAGAACAGCAAGGGGCTCATATATGATAGCAACCGCATACGCTGTCGCCCCCCAAATGCAAACGAGGAATCATCTTAAGCATGGGCATAAGGATCATCCTGCCAGTACTGAAGTCAACAGCATAACGACCCGCGGGCATCATGATCAAGGAAACAACAAGAGCAAGAAGACCAACACGACAGCAGCACCAAGACCAACATCATCAGCATCACCATCAGTACCAAGATCAAACTCCTAAGACCCTTGACTAAAAAGGTCGCTAGCGAGTGGAGTAAGTGGTTACTTACTTAGATGATGAAGATCGACGGCCGCGATCTAGTTAGCCTAGGCGGATGAAATTGAAAGGCACTAAGCCTGATGGATATTCATAAAATAACAACAAAGGCCAGCCGCTTTGTCTCCTCATATTTATCCGGTGCTTGCGCAGATGGGCACTAGTCACAAGACAAGGGCGACATCGCGGAGGATGATGAAGCACATCATCCAAATCCCTAGCCATTGAAGTTGGGCTACCTTGCGCTTAGTCTAATTTTGATGCTCTCCTGGCCGTGACGTATGTCCTGTTCCAGCATTGATTGCAATTTTTCAAGAAGGTGAACCAAAATTGTTTTTATTTGAATCAGCGTCAACCATCCTCGATCATCAAAATCTCAAATCATTATGCACTACGATTACGGAAAACGACCCTCCTTAATATCTTGTGCGTCGCTTTCCCTCGCCGCGATAGCAACACTTTGCCAGTCAGCAGGGAGTCCGTAGTGATGAAAGACTCTTGCTATCTCAGACTTGGCAGGCTTACACGAAACTCCAGGAGATCTTTGGTGTCGAAATGGAAGCAAGTAGGCCCTTTAAAAAATTATTGGCCACCCTCCTTTATGTACGCTTCTAGTCTTCAAGAATGTCCTCCGGTTTGTGTAAGATATACCGCGAAACTAGAGACGCCGACTTTCCACCACGTCTAGTGAATAGCTTGGTCAACTTAATAAATATTATATTCGATAAACTGAAATAAGCGAGTATAACTACTTAAAATAAGCGAGATACCGAACAAGGAAGAGTAGCCCTGTCAAAGCTGCCTCCCTTATTTCAGTCAGTAGCTCGGTTATTTTCAGTTTTCGAGTACTTCTACTATCCAGTTGGTGCACGAATATTTCGGGTCACCTACCTACGTTCTCGGCTACTTGGGTGGTTACGTTCTCGCGCTTCTTGCTGGATGGCGACAAGTATAATTGATCATTTGTTCTTGTGGAATATCGTTGAGATTTAATAATATCGATGAACCTTAGTTGGACTTGGAAGTTCTTGTCTGCGTTTTTTCAACTGTAAGAAGTATGACGTATAACGAGGAGGTCTTGGTATATACCACCACGTCTAGCGAATATTCCGCAGATGTAATTCACTAGAAGTGTAAAACGGGAGCCGCTTCAGTCGCTAAGACGAAAATGACCACCAGAGCTGGATAGTGCGCGCCAAAAATCTTGCAGATGGCCTCCTTTTTTGCCCGTGCCAGTAGTGTAAGAATATCTACTGGGCTTTAGTGAAATCCGAAGTCTGAGATAGCAAAAGTCTTCCTACAGTTGGAGTTTATCGCCATCCGCCATCGTCCTGATGAATGCTAGGTCGATACCTTTGCAGCCTTCGTTCGCGATAGCGCCTTCGTATCGTATAAAGGCTGGATTGTTTGTACTGTCGCTGAGAAACGAAGTATCTTAGTGGATAAATAGGTTACAAAAATACGAACACGACCTAGGGTCTGCAGGAAAAGGAAGCATCTTGACTTACATCTCCCTAGTAATAGTTGCTATAGATATAGTATATATAATTCGAGAAAAAATCTAGGAGAGCAATGATTAAAACTAAAAGATTCATCGCTGACATAGGCATACTGCTGATTCGTCTTTCTTCATACTAAAAAGAAAGTCGAGATGAACGGTCCTTGGCGGTCGTGAAGATGCACTACATATTTTATACTACAACCAGTCTTAATGATCCTTGTCGAGGACATCAGCTTTGAGGTTGCAAAAATGCCTGCCGGCTTCCTCTACTTTCTTAGCGTCGGTCAAACCTTCCCCTTCGCGGCGCATGCTTCTATAATTCGCTTGAGTATTCTCAGGAATTACAGGTACGTGACGCGCAACCATGCAGGCAGCTGTTAGAAGAGCTACTCATCTTCTCCACCTCCATAAGTGGGGCTTATCTTCGTCAACATCTGCTTAAGTACATCAAATCACTTCATTCACATGCATCTTCAATATCAATTTCTAATGAAGTCCAGACCGTAAGTTTCGTACGAATTCGCAGGCTGGTTTTGGCAATGCCGGTACCTGCGTCATCGGCGCTGGTGCTGGTGCTGGTAGTTGTGATTGTGGTAAAGCTGCTGGTGCTGGCCTTGGTGTCTTTGGCTTTGGCTTGTTCGTGGTCTCCTTGCAGCATTTAGTATTGTCATCTTCTACTTGTGACTCCCAGAAAGACTCTTCGTCGTACTTGCTGGTCCCGAAACGATCCTGAAGAAAATAATACTTTTCTGGGTAGAGGTATTCCGGACTCCTAAACGAGCCTGGGTTCTTCAGTGATACGCTATTCTTGATTTCCTCCTTGATCATTCCCCGTGTGATGCTGCCACACGAATAACCGTCCTCCACTATCTTCTGCAGGAAGGGGTCATTGAAGATGGAGCCATCCCCCTTGTTCCCGCTCACATTACCACACAGACGCTCACCAGCCGGCTCTACGACGTCCTTAGCTTGTGGCCCCGTCCATCCACCATAAAACTCCTGTTCCTTCTGACTTATGTTAGAATAAATGACTACCGGAAATAAATCGAGCAAAGCATCAATCTTGGTGTCCCTTCAAAAAGTTCCCAAGATGCTTGTTCTTCTTGTTATGAATCGAGTGTCAGTGCCTTCTATCTTGTTCAAGCCTTAAGGCTGAGGCATGCGCCCTCCACAGCCTCGCACGTCTCGCTTGCTTTTATGAGCATGTCGTAAGTTTTCGGCTCCGACCTCTCCTCACAACATGCTGTCGTGTCAGCGACGTCTTCGTTGGGCATCTCCCATTCACTCGGCCATGCTTTAGAGCAGTAGACGCACTTTTAGTCGCATCCCGGAATCCCTTTCCGTTTCTGCAGAGGACAAGTGGTCAAACATGATGGTGCCCATACTTATTTCATCTTCTTATGTCGTAGTTACTTCGACTACTTCCTAACAGCACCGTCCATGAAGAGTCGTGCTGTTGTAGAGGTGGCGGACCCCTCACCACACTTATATGCCGGAGATGGATGAGGATGATGTAGAACTAGAAAGATGATTTAAAAATATTTATAATAATAAAAATAAGGAAAGCCGTAAACTCCTCGAAGAACATGTCTTTTGTCGCTTTCTCATTCAGCCACTCTTTCTCTGTATTATCACCCTGCGCACGCGTGATCCTTTCTCGTGTAATGCTTTCGCATTTGTCCGTGTCGTAGATTGTCTTCACAAAAGGGCTGTCTCTGTTAGAAGTGGAAGAAGATTAACCAGACGTTAGAAATGCAAGAAAAAAATTCTGAAAGATGAAGATTAACATCAACAACTCATCTTTCTCCATAATTTAACTGCTTCTACCTCTACGTCAGTCGTGCATCTCAGAAACCTAAGACGGAAGAGCAAATGGTTCGTGGACGGAATAGGAATTATCGATGGATAGCCGTAATTCGGCGATGGGGAAGCTCTGTTTTCACGTTGCAGAGCAAGTCGCCAGCCGCGATCGATACCTCGTCTCGTCCACCAAATCGCCTATCTTTGAACTTCTTCAAGCATTTAGGATCCTGGACAGCCTGACACCTTAGGCGGGCTCTTGTCCACAACGCCTCGTCCTGCTCAGATATGGCTGCTTGAGATGTCCGTGGCATCTTTTTGTACTTCTGCAACAACAACTACGAAAACCAACAAGTACATCCACGACGACACTGAAACTATCGTATTCGTACTGTTGATGGCTACAGGATATGGATAACTGATACTATATGTGTTTGAATTATCTGTGCCACGTGGTTACAACAACAAACGAAGAGCTTCTGCGGAAATGTGATCTACTGGAGATCATTTTCATGAAGATAGGCACTTCAGATCGAATACGATTACGAACAAAGTAGGATGTATGAATGATTCCAAACTAAAGAAGCAATCTAGTCGATGATCGAGCAATCGTCTAGGCATCATTAAATAGTCCTAGATTCGCGATAATTCTTAATCAGTGCACCATAGACATAGTCGACTACTTAGATAGCAGCTTGCCATAGGAAAATCGATTAGGTACTTAGTTCAATTTCTTCGACACTTCCTTGATGGTAGCCTTTTTTCGATTTATTCGTACTATGAGAGCTTGATGCCAACTATGTGTTCTTCGCTAGAGTAGAATATCGGGGACGGGACCTGTCATGTTCATGTATCTTCAGACTTCTTATTATGGTTTGGGTGTGCTAGTGCTACTTGGAGAGGGCTGAGATGAGGATTTGTTGAGGTAGTTCTTCTTGGACCGACCACCGACACGACTATATTTTTCTAGAAGATAACAGAGGGTCATGGACAGATGTCACAAACCACGAGGACGCGATCGTTCAGAGCAGATGACCGCACAACCGCAAGAAGTCATGACAGGACCGTATTACACAACTGACCTCCAGCACGCTCGCATTCATAGCCGCAGTTTGTTAAAACATCTCGAACGCCATGCTGTCCGTTCGTTCTCGATGTCGTTAAGTACACACTGATTTCATGCATCTAACCAAAGTGTACCGAAATGAAGGATCATTCTGATACTTGAGAGAGGTAGCTCTTCACGTTCATGCTATTGCTCTTCCCTAGCGGACTCCCAATAAGCCCACAGCCTGCCACGCTCAGACAAGAATAGTGGAAGATAGAAGTGGCAGAATGATGTATTCATCAACTAGCGTCAAGGAAGTGGATGAGCCGATTTGTTTCGAATGTTCTGACCGACAGCTTGCTGACCGACTGCTCGCGTTCGGAGGGGTAAATGGACACCTCGTCCGACCCGAACCGATTGACTTGCATACACGTACTGACTCGAACTTATCGACTAAGAGTGAGATTTATATTCAGTGGGACTTCCCCTTCAGCCCTGCGCATTGAGCAGCGGGATGGTAGAAATCACACTTGACGTAGTGGTTCTGGTTCTAATATTTCCCATGGATTGATAGGACTACGAACAAGAAGAACAAATGCTAGAATGCTGAAGCTGAACTAACTTACTGGAGTAAGCTCAAGTTCAAGTACAACAAATTGATAAAAGTAAAACCACCTGTAAGTGGTACAAGAACAACACCAAAAGCGGACCGGCGCGTATATTTCATTCTGGAAATCTTTCTATCAAGATCTGGTGCAGAGAGACGCAAGATCGTAGCAGCTGGTAGTCATCTTATTCCTCACGCTTTTTTCGCGTCTTGCATTGCATGCAAGACCACACAATTTTTGTCATCAGGAGCCTCCGTGTCGTCCGTGCTCTCTGTTGAATCATAAGGTTACAGGAACAGGACCGATGACCACTTATAAAGGATAAGTCAATGGAAACTACGGCAGAGCAAGACCACACGGTAGTTTTTCAACGTACTACGCACTATGTTTTTACAAGACGGTCGCTTTTGATCATTGGTCATCGGGTTAGAAAACGTGCTGCCAAACTCGAACTCCTCTTTGCTTTGTATCGTCGAACAAGGTGTAGAAGTGCAGGATTAGGATTAGGATGGAGTCCGCCGTCCACAGTTTTACCTGCTTTCTCAGGCGCGTGTTCTTGTTGTCCTGATCGTTTTTCTTTGCTCTTCCAAAGCCAGACTGTGCTACAACTAGTAGTCCGGATTTTGATACAGTTAAAACTGCTGGCTACGGATTGCGTTGAAGTTAATACATGGGTGTCGTGAGTCTATCGCTTTGATGTGCAACGTTGTAAGTAAGTATGTCCTTACGATGATGACGATATGCCTATAATCAACGCTGATGATCTTTCTTCGAGTTGTTTCAACTGTGGTGATGTTTTCAACTGGTGTGGTGTGGAAGTTCTGCTTGATGCCATTATATATCGTTGGCACTTGTTGCGTGTGCTGAGGTGCGTGTTCGCCTACTTAAATGGCTCGCGTCAGGCTCTGATAGATTGTATCATTCGTAAGGAGTTTCTGCCTGTTCTTGTAGGATGTTCTAACTGACTTGACAAACAATATGTGAACTAAGAACGTGTGCAATAGAAAGGCTTCGCCTGTTTTGTAAGTGAGAAACGCGCTGGATCGCGAAGCTCTGGGATCTACTTAGGTTGATGGTGCCGCTTTATTTTCAATCTTAGACACGACGGTTTCCGCATTTTTTCATCACTTCGTCGCTGTTCAATATCCATAATGCAAATTCTCTTGAAAAAATCAATGGTGTCGTAAGCTGTTCAAAAACTTTATTGCTCTAGGCTATTACTGTGATTCACTGTATTTCGTTTTTAGATGACGTAAGTAGTTTCATTTTAATTCTCTTCTAGTTATTGTGGTAAGCTGAGAAGTTTCATGATCCTTTTATATTTAAGACCAGTGGTGGAAATAATATGTACGTCAGAACTACGTTTGAATATCTTCAGCTGATAATATCATGTGCTTAGTAAGAGATGACTCATTTTTGTATTGGGCTCTAGGAGTACTACAGTCGAAGACTGAACAATGCAAGATGAATTCCGATAAAACTATAACTACTATGACTATCTTGATCTATTTTCTAGTTCTATGCTATGCAAGACCAGTACTATAATACTTACTGTCTACAGCGAGTCTTCTTCTTCAGTATCACGATAGCAAACTAATGCTTCTTCTAATCTTCATTCAATGTCTCTAATTTCATTCTCAATCTTCACGACAACGATACCACTATTCATTTTCCATTTCCATACACAACGGCAACCACGGCGACCAGCGTGGGCCGTGTACATCTCTACAATGTGGCGGATGCGTCCAACACGCTACTGCTATCCGAAGTTGACCCGTAGGCTACGTGGTCAGCGATTTTCTTACCTGGAGAAGACGAGAGTTCTGGAGGTTTGGATGTCAGAAAGAAAATTCGAGAATATTCCAAGCTTAGGATGAGCATGAGGATCCATGATCTAAATAGCTTTGAAGCCACACTAAGACAAGAACACCATATATAAAAATATACATAGCATTGCCTTTACTTGACGAGGTACCATGCGCCTCCTTTTCCTTTCGTCCCGTGCGCAGCCAGCGAGAACGAAACAGATAGACCAGGGCGAACAATACAAATGAGAGGACCACAAGACCCATCGCAATAAGCACCGACGTCATCGCTTCTGGACTCTTGCTTGAAAAACCACGAGAACCTGCTAGATGAGAAAAAATGTTCTTCAACAAGGGAATAGAACAAGGTGGAACAAAACATTTACTTACAGAGATTGAGATAGAGTTACACTTCGTTTCTTAGGAAGGTGGAATAGGAAAATATGTCAACAATGATAGTAATAGCAAGCGAAATTTTGAAGTAAGTTGTAGAAGACTAAAAAAGTCTGTCCATGATTGTGAACTACTCATAGGAAAACAATAAGTAGAAGTACCTCGAAGGGCTGGCCAGGCAGGTTGCTCTTTTTCTTGGAGAAATGTCCCTGTCGCACAGCATTGAACATTTAGTACTCCAATACGCGGCGCCTCCTGCTGCTGCTCTGCCGAAGGCTGCAACTGCTCCTCCTGTGGTTCTGGCGTATTGGCTGCACCAGGCGTTTGCGAAGGCTGAGGCCCCGGCTGCCGTTGCAGTTCATGTGGTGGCTGCTCCTGAGACTGCTGCCGTTCAGGCTGCGGCTGTTCAGGCTGCGGCTGTGGTTGCCGTGGCTGCTGCTTCTGCTGCTGCTGCTGCTGAGGCTCTCCTGTCGCGTCTGGCTGCTCCACGACGTTCTTTGGTGGCGAGATGGAATAGCAACATGACTCCTTGGGACCGGTGAAGTTAGAGTTTCCTACAACTTCACACAAAGACGGAATGAGGTTTCCAACTACGACCTCCTAATTCTATCTTTATTAATGATCGACAAAAATCGAGGTCTGACCTCAGGGTTTTAAGGGCGAGCAAGGTGAACCACAAGGGGCACAAATCAACGGACCAGGACTCTCAGAGTTTTAAGGGGAAAGCCAGGGAATCCCAGGGTTTCCAGGAAGGGCTGAATCGCGGTCGGGTCAGGGTTTGGCATCTCAGGGTTTGCAAAAATGGGCACAAAAGTCAGGATCCAGTTCTCAGGGTTTTGCAGGCACAAACGGCCTCAGGGTTTGGCATCTCAGGGTTTGCCATCGCAGGGTTTGGCATCTCAGGGTTTGGCAGCTCAGGGTTTGGCATCTCAGAATTTGGCTTCTCAGGGTTTCGCAGGCCTCTCAGGGTTTGGCCTCTCAGGGTTTGGCATCTCAGGGTTGGGCATCTCAGGGTTGGGCATCTCGGGGTTTGGCATCTCAGGGTTTCGTATCTCAGGGTTTCGCATCTCAGAGTTTGGCATCTCAGGGTTTGGCATCTCAGGGCTGCCTTCCCCCCTCAGAGTGGCGCAATGTCAGGGTTGCCGCGCCTCAGAGTTTCCCGCCTCGGAGTTTCGGCAAGCCAGGGCGACCCGCATCAGGATTTTGGCGGGTCGTGAGGCACTGTTTCAGCGTGAGGCACGGTGTCACCGAGTCGCGAAGACGTTAGCGAGCTCTAACGCGGCCGCGTGCCGCGTCAGGGCCGTCTAACGTCAGGACCGGGGAAGAAGCCCGCAGAGGCTCTCGGGCCGGGGGCTCCTCGCGAGCCCCTTTGGCATGTCAGGATTTGGCATCTCAGGGTTTGGCTTCTCAGGGTTGGGCGTCTCAGGGTTTTTCTGGGTTTGGCATCTCAGGGTTTGGCATCTCAGGGTTTGGCATCTCAGGGTTTGGCATCTCAGGGTTTGGCATCTCAGGGTTTGGCATCTCAGGGTTTGGCATCTCAGGGTTTGGCATCTCAGGGTTTGGCATCTCAGGGTTTGGCATCTCAGGGTTTGGCATCTCAGGGTTTGGCATCTCAGGGTTTGGCATCTCAGGGTTTGGCATCTCAGGGTTTGGCATCTCAGGGTTTGGCATCTCAGGGTTTGGCATCTCAGGGTTTGGCATCTCAGGGTTTGGCATCTCAGGGTTTGGCATCTCAGGGTTTGGCATCTCAGGGTTTGGCATCTCAGGGTTTGGCATCTCAGGGTTTGGCATCTCAGGGTTTGGCATCTCAGGGTTTGGCATCTCAGGGTTTGGCATCTCAGGGTTTGGCATCTCAGGGTTTGGCATCTCAGGGCTTGGCATCTCAGGGCTTGGCATCTCAGGGCTTGGCATCTCAGGGCTTGGCATCTCAGGGCTTGGCATCTCAGGGTTTGGCATCTCAGGGTTTGGCATCTCAGGGCTTGGCATCTCAGGGTTTGGCATCTCAGGGTTTGGCATCTCAAGGTTTGGCATCTCAAGGTTTGGCATCTCCCGGCTTGGCATCTCAGGGCTTGGCATCTCAGGGCTTGCTTCCCGCCTCAGAGTGGCGCAGTGTCAGGGTTTAGCGCCTCAGAGTTTCGGTATGTCAGGGCTTGTTCCCGCCTCAGAGTTGCGCCAGGTCAGGGCTCCGCGCCTCAGAGTTTCACGCCTCGGAGTTTCGGCAGGTCAGGGCTTTCCGCCTCAAAGTTGCGCCACGTCAGGGTTTAGCGCCTCAGAGTTTCGCACCTCAGAGTTCCGGCGGGTCAGGGTTTAGCGCCTCAGAGTTCCGCGGGTCAGCGTTTTGCCGTCTCAGGGTTTCCCGCCTCAGAGTTGCGGAATGTCCGGGTTTAGCGCCTCAGAGTTTCGCCCCTCAGAGTTTCCGGAGGTCAGGGCTTCCCGCCTCAGAGTTGCGCAATGTCAGGGTTTAGCGCCTCAGAGTTTCACGCCTCAGAGTTTCGGCATGTCAGGGCTCCCCGCCTCAGAGTTGCGTCAGGTCAGGGTTTACCGCCTCAGAGTTTCCAAGGTCAGAGTTTCAGCGGGTCCGGGTTTCCCGCCTCAGAGTTGCGCAATTTCAGGACTTAGCGCCTCAGAGTTTCGCGCCTGAGAGTTTCGGCATGTCAGGGCTTCCCGTCCTCAGAGTTGCGCAGTGTCAGGGCTTCGCGCCTCAGAGTTGCGCGCCTCGGAGTTTCGTCATGTCAAGGTTTTGCGCCTCAGAGTTCCCCGCCTCAGAGTTGCGCCAGGTCAGGGTTTAACGCCTCAGAGTTTTGCGCCTCAGAGTTTTGCCGTCTCTGGGTTTCCCGCGCCGCCTCAGAGTTGCGTAATGTCAGGGCTTAGCGCCTCAGAGTTTCGCGCCTCAGAGTTTCGGGATGTCAGGGCTTCCCGCCTCAGGGTTGCGCAATGTCAGGGCTTCGCGCCTCAGAGTTTCGCGCCTCGGAGTTTCGGCATGTCAGGGCTTTGCGCCTCAGAGTTCCCCGCCTCAGAGTTGCGCCAGGTCAGGGTTTAACGCCTCAGAGTTTTGCGCCTCAGAGTTTTGCCGTCTCTGGGTTTCCCGCGCCGCCTCAGAGTTGCGTAATGTCAGGGCTTAGCGCCTCAGAGTTTCGCGCCTCAGAGTTTCGGGATGTCAGGGCTTCCCGCCTCAGGGTTGCGCAATGTCAGGGCTTCGCGCCTCAGAGTTTCGCGCCTCAGAGTTTCGGCATGTCAGGGTTTAGCGCCTCCGAGTTTTGCGCCTCAGAGTTTTGCCGTCTCAGGGTTTCCCGCCTCAGAGTTGCGCAATGTCAGGGCTTAGCGCCTCAGAGTTTCGGGATGTCAGGGCTTCCCCCCTCAGAGTTGCGCAATGTCTTCAGGGCTTCGCGCCTCAGAGTTTCGCGCCTCAGAGTTTCGCGCCTCAGAGTTTCCGCATGTCTGGGCTTCCCGCCTCAGAGTTTCGGCGGGTCACAGTTTCGGCGTGTGACACTGTTTCACCGAGTCGCGAAGACGTTAGCGGGCTCTAACGCGGCCGCCAGCCGCGTTTGGGCCGTCTAACGTCGGGCCCGCAAAGGGGCCCGAATCAGCTCGCGCACCGGGGGGAGATCGCCCCCGGTACGGTGAGCCCGGAGGCTGGAGCCCGCCCAAGAGCTCCGGGGGGTTGTTTTCTCCGAGAATCTGCGGGGAAACCTGCACGCGCCGGGGGGCATTGCCCTGAAGCTCACGGTCTCTTTATCTCCTGCTCCTAGCAGCTCCTTCTCCCTCGTTCACCTTTCCCTCCTCTCGGACCGCTAAACACACGGGAAACGACTAGTCCTATAATATTCACAAGAGACGCGATTTCAGAAGAGACGCTCTCTTTCCAGTCGTTTTTAGACGTTAATAACTCAGCGACCACCACCAGTTGTATTTTTCTATGTTGATGTGTATCTCCTTCGGCTTCTTCAAAATGAAAAACATGAATTTCATTATACGGATAAACACCTCCTTAATTCCCTCTCCCGGGGTGGCTTGGCTTTTGGCGAGACGCATAATGTCCTCGAAAAAGACCGACATGCCGTCTCCATTACTGGGTGAGATGTAATATTCATCCATCGACCCGATCATCTCTAGGTCGATATTTTTGCAGTCGTTGCTTTCGATGGCTTGAAAGACTGGATTCTCTTTTTTGAATCGCCTCGCATCTTAGAAGACCAAAGTATATTGATGATGATGCAAGGACTAGATTGTAGGTTGTCGAGTAGATCTGAGAAGACTTATCTTCACAAAAGCGACACGACTGTTCTTGATGTTGAGGTCCTTAATATACGACATGGATATTATACGAAATTGACACGAGGAACACGACCATCACTATCTTCTATCGTTATCGATGTCGTTATTCTACTACTTTGTTACTTTTACTAAGCAACCAATTATAGTGAATTACACTCATGACGCCCTTCCAGTAAGAACAGGAACAACCGTGCGTCGGGGAAATATGACATCAGCTTGGTAATCAAATCCTGGGGTTATTTCTAAACGAAGTTAAACTAAAAGCGCTAAAATCAACTACATAGTCTAGTGCTGGTAGCAGCACTACGCCAATAGTACGAGTCTACATTTCTCGTAGTGAAAATGCCTACATGATGAGTGCTCCCCCTTTATCTTTACACTAGATCGGAGCAGTCGTGGCCCCCTAATAAGTTAGTACTAGCGACATTCGGGCCTTCCACCTTTGAATTGTGGCGCCAGAAAAAAAGCCGCGAGGGCTACTCGAAGGTTCAAGGTCCAAGGGTCCGCGAACTTGTGGCCAAGCTACGTTGCCGGGACGAATCAGACTCGACTAGAGCTACTTGAAGATCGAAGTAAGTACTTACATACTAAAAAATATCAAAGCTTGCTTGGTTCTAGTGATGCAAATATGCATTAACTCACCTTAAGTTTCTACTTTGAGGTTGCAAAAATGCCTGCCGGCCGCCACCTTAGTTGGTACATCAACATGATCATGACCATGAAGCATCGCATCCTGAGCATTTGTTTTTTCTAACCTTTCTATACGCGTAACCATGCAGGCAGCTGTTAGAAGAGCTACTCATCTTGTCCAACTCCATAAGAAGTGGTCTTTATCTTTGTCAACATCTACCGCTTACATAAAATCATTTCACTGACAATGCATCTCCAATGCAGTTTCTAATGAAGTCCAGACCGTAAGTTTGGTACGACTTCGCATGCTGGTTTTGGCAATGCCTTTGCCTGCGTCATCGGTGCTGGTGCTCGTTCCAGGTGTGGTGAAGCTGCTGGTGCTGGCTCTGGTGTCTTTGGCTTGTTCGTCTGCGTCCTCTTGCAGCATTTAGTATTGTCATCTTCTACTTGTGACGCCCAGAGAGACTCTTCGTGGTACTTGTAGGCCCCGAGACGATTCGCAAAAAAGTAATGCTTATCTTGGTGGAGCTTCTCGTTGTAAATTGATTTTGGATTCTCTTTTACGCCCTTCTTGATTTCCTCCTTGATCAATCCCCGTGTGATGCTGTCACACGAATAATCGTCCTCCACAATCTTCTGCAGGAAGGGGTCATTGAATATGGTAAAATGATCACCCTTTTTCCCGCTCTCTTCACCACACAGTTGCTCGCCAATCGGCTTGAAAGAAACTTCAGTTGGGACTTGATCCATATGATGCTCACGTCGCCCCGTCTCTGTCTCCACCCTTATGTTAGAATGAATGTCTACCGGAAATAAATCGAGCAAAGCATCTTGGTGTCCCTTTGTTTCCCTTCAAAAAGTTCCCAAGATGCTTGTTCTTCTTATGAATAGAGTGTCAGCGCCTTTCATCTTGTTCAAGCCTTAAGCATGAGGCATGCGCCCTCCACAGCCTCGCACGTCTCGCTTGCTTTTATGAGCATGTCGTACGTTTTCGGCTCCGACTTCTCCTTACAACATGCTGTCGTGTCAGCGACGTCTTCGTTGGACTTCTCCCATTCACTCGGCCATGTTTTAGAGCAGTAGACGCACTTTTAGTCGCATCCCGGAATTCCTTTCCCTTTATGCAGAGGACAAGTGGTCAAACATGATGGTGCCCATACTTATTTCATCTTCTTAATATGTCGTACTTAGTTAGTACTTCGACTAAGTACTTCCTAACAGCACTGTCCATGAAGAGTCGTGCTGTTGCAGAGGTGGCGGAGCCCTCACCAGACTTATATGCCGGAGATGGATGAGGATGATGTACTAGAACAAATAATAGATGACTTAATAACATAATAACTTTTGTGGCGGAGCCGACCTAACTAGAAAAAAGACAGACCAGCGGAAGATATAAAAGAGAAAAGGGTCACTATCAACAAGTATCCTAATGTATCCTGCTAACTGCTAAAACTAACTAAGCGCCGGCGCTATCGTCGTCCTGTCAGCCCCATAGGTCTCACCTTCAAAGGCAGGCCGGAGCCCTGTGCAACGCCTCCGGTGAGTGCTCAGCTCTCTGGTTGTGTGCACAGGTTTATTCGCTATGGGGTACCGGTTCACCAAATAAACCCACAACCAGAGAGAAGGACCCTCGCTACTTTATATCTACTGCGAACCTTAAAACTCTCGCACGGAAGCCGCAGCAGAATACCCAAAGTCAACACTGGCGCCAGCCTTGTATAACCATAGGTCTGCCGCGGATTCTTTACGCCATAGCTTATGCCTAGAATCTATCATGGAATCCGCGACCCGACAGATAGATACTACCAAACTACGACCATGGATATACGCTTAACTTCACGCAGGGCCCCTACGTCCACGCAACTTATGCCGCTGCTGTCCCCATCGTTTCCCAATGGTGTCGCCGCGGTCGTTTTCTATGCTAAAAAAAGGAACCGGATGACATACAAAAACTAGATGCATGAGTTCTACGCCTTGAGTTAGGAAAAGTTGATGTCAGGAGACGAAACCTCCGATGGGTGAGAAGTACCGCCAGGGAACTCCTACGATCCCCAGGTACGCACTTACTACCAGAGCCATCAATAATATTTGTGGCGGAGCCGACCTAACTAGAAAAAAGACAGACCAGCGGAAGATATAAAAGAGAAAAGGGTCACTATCAACAAGTATCCTAATGTATCCTGCTAACTGCTAAAACTAACTAAGCGCCGGCGCTATCGTCGTCCTGTCAGCCCCATAGGTCTCACCTTCAAAGGCAGGCCGGAGCCCTGTGCAACGCCTCCGGTGAGTGCTCAGCTCTCTGGTTGTGTGCACAGGTTTATTCGCTATGGGGTACCGGTTCACCAAATAAAAAACCCACAACCAGAGAGAAGGACCCTCGCTACTTTATATCTACTGCGAACCTTAATAACATAATAACAAAAATAAAAGGAAAGCCGTAAACTCCTCGAACGATTCTTTTCTCGCTTTGTCATCCAGCCACTCTTTCCCGGTAGGATCAGCCTGCACACGCGTGATCATTTTTCGTGTGATGCTTTCGCATTTGCCCGTCCTGTAGATTTCCTGCAGAAAAGGGCTCTCCCGGTTAGCGTTAGATGAAGTGGAAGAAGATTAACCAGACGTTCTGAAAGATGAAGATTAACTCATCTTTCTCCATAATTTAAGTTTAACTATACTGCTACCTCTACGTCAGTCGTGCATCTCAGAAACTACCTAAGAAGGATGAGCAAATGGTTCGTGGACGGAATAGAAATTATTCTTATTGATGGATAGCCGTAACTTTGGGATCGCCATCCGGCGCGTTGCAGAGATAGTCGCCAGCCGCGCGCGATGTGTGATCACCGGCTTTCGACAGTTTTTTGAAGCATGATCTAGCATCATCATCGACAGCCACACACCTTAGGCGGGCTTCTGCCCAGAGCGCGTCGTCCTCAGATATGGCTGCTTGAGTTGTCCTTCTTGGCATCTTTTTGTACTTCTGCAACAACAACTACAACGAAAACCAACAAGTACATCAACGACGACACTGAAACTATCGCATTCACAGTTCACTCTGTTGATGACTACAAGATATGGATAACTGATACTATAACTATCTAGGTTATATATAAAGCAAGACTAACTTTGATACCTAAAAAGGAGCGGACTCACGGCGTTAGATGTACGCAAATCACGAGAAAGATTTACGGGCTAGGAGTATACGTCTGCGATATATATCTCGAGACATTCGTAGATGGATCTTGTACGTAAATCACGGGAAAGATGTGCGCAAGAGATCGACGCACTTACAACACTGGGGCGGTTCATAATCATAGCGGGCCCGCAGATTTCTAGACTTTTGAGATGTACGGAAATCATGAGAAAGATGCACGGGCTAGCTGTATACATCCTCAAAAGTGCCGCGATTTTGCGCACAGCTTTTCCCTGGTTCTGCTCCTGCTAAGTATATCGGCAGCGCCCAAGGCTGAAAACTCTGAACATGTAGAAAAACCATGTCGCAAGCACAAGAGACGAGAAGCCAAGCCAGTCACGCTGCAGTCAATCGTCTGCGTTATTTGTCGGAAATTCTTGCCAGAGTTAAGGACGGCACTACGCTGCTCGCCAATGTATAGAAAGAGCGCATCTCCAAAGTTGGCGACTTTTTTTGGCTCAACCAAGGAAGAGAGGCCGGCGGCGCGGGTTTGTAGTTGTGAAGCTTTGATCTGAGACAGCTCAAAGCGCAGCACGTTTCAAGCAGGTCAAGAATCAGCAGCAACCTCATGAAGCTCCGCGATTTAGATGAGAGGCCTGAGAGAGTAAAGCCAAAGAGCAAGACCTTCCAAGCAGGCCAAAACTAGACAGCACCCGCAGGGAGTGAAGCTGTGCACTTTGGCTGGGCGATCTGAGTCAGCTCACGGATGGGACCCCCACAGCAGGCGAAAAGTAGACAGCCTTCGCACGAAGGTGCGCGCGCGCCATGAATATCGACAGAAGACCCGAGACAGCTCAAAGGGTAAGACCTTCCAAGCAGGTCAAAAATGGCCAGCAGTCTGAATCTCAGAAAACTCCGTGACCTAGATGGAAGACGAAGATCTGAGAGAGTTGGCCAAGACCTACCAGCAAGGAGAGAGAAGAGAGAGAAGAGCGAGAAGAGCGAGAAGAGAGATCAGACTTCCTTAGGGTTTGGGTGCGCTAAGTACATGGAGAGGGCTGAGATGAGGATTTGTTGAGGCAGTTCTTCTTGGACCGACCACCGACACGACTATATTTTTCTAGAAGATAACAGAGGGTCATGGACAGATGTCAGAAACCACGAGGATGCGATCGTTCCGAGCAAACCGTGCCGCCGCAAGTCACGACAGGAGAATATTACACTGACCTCCAGCACGCTCGTATTTAACCACAGTTTGTGACAACATCTCGAACGCTGTCCGTTGGTCAATGTTCTTACTCACCGATTTTTTTGGTGCTTCGTATCTCTGAGAGTAAGAACAGATCACTCGACACTCTGCTTCGAAGCAACTTGAGCATGCTAACCAAAGTGTACCGAAATGAAGGATCGTGGTACTGATACTTGAGCGAGGTAGCTCTTCATGTTCATGTTATTGCCCTTCACTAGCGGACTCTTAATAAGCCCACAGCCTGCCACGGTCAGACAATAGTGGAAGTTAAAAGTGGCAGAATGTGTATTCGCCTGGCGTCACGAATTTAGATGGACCGATCTGTTTCGATCGATCTAACCGACAACTTGCTGACCGACTGGTCGCGTCCGCGTTCAGAGGGGTAAATATATAGACACCTCCGACTCGCACCGCATATCTTGATGAATGGTACAAGCACCGAGTCGAAGTTATTGACTTAGTGTTAGATTTAGAGTAAGCGGGACTTCCACTTCAGCACTGCGCATTGGGCACCGAACGATTGGTAGAAATCACACTTAACGGACTGAAGAATCCGTTCTAAGTTTTCAGGTCCGTTCTAATTTCAAAAAACGACTCTCAGCATATTGCCCGTGTTGTTCTTGTCGCTGTCCCGTTTTATGCATGTGCAGTTCGCAGTTCATTTCCATCACAATAAACAATCTGTAATAGAAACACTGTAGTGCCACTGCCTCCCAAGTCTTAAATAAAATACCTACTCAGCATCTCGGTTCATTCTTTACACAATGGTTAAAATACTGTACCACCAAACTCTTGAAAATATTGACTCAGCATTACTGATTCATGATCTCGGCTCGTTAAACAAATTAATAAGAGCATGAACTTGCGGCCACTGCTACGTCGCAATTGTCACAGCCATATAGAATATGCAGTGCGACTATCCACCACCAGAAAGTCCAGACGAAGATATAGATTTGGTAATTGATAAAATAAGTCTTCACTCATTCATTCATTTACCTAGCAAGAGGTCGCTCGCAGAACTTAATTGCTGCGCTTCCTTTTTCTTATTTTTTCACCTTCTTTAAGCTCTTCGCTTTGTGTCTTCTGTGTAAGTCAGTCCTTTTTGCTCTAGCCTGTATTGACATTCCTGCCTCTTGAAGTTCAACCTTCCACTTCTTGCAATTTAGACATCGCAGATAGTCCTCCACTTCCCATCTCCAGCGCAGCTCTTCAGAAATCCTAAACGAGTCAAGTCTTCAGTCTTCGTGATTATAAGAACATGCTGGTGCATATGATTATAGTAACTTTGCCTAAAAGCTGGAAGATGATGTCCAATGTGGTCTGTTCATAATATTCAACTACTTACTTACATGGCGCGGAAGTAAAATGAAAATTCTATGTCTAAGACTGAGAAGATCTTGCGTAGCGGCTAAGGATCTTGGATTCGCATTGGCTGCATCGACTTGTTGTACTGGAAGGTCATTATATCTTTCTCTTGGAGTTATTGATGAATGCTTATCATATCGCCACCAGGTTGGTGTTGGTGAAGCAAACAGATATATTTGAATCGATACGCTCACGAGCACGAGCAGCAGGTTGAGCTTGAGATCTACCGGCTATCATCTTGATGTGGTTGTACAAGTACAAGAGCGAGAGACAACAACAATAAAATAATAGGTACCGACAAGAATATAATCAGCTGCTATCACTGAGGACGACTAAACACGTCAGGTACTAGTAGTAGTTGGTAAGCTAGTATCTAGAAAAAGAACTATCTTAGACACAAGCCAAAAAAATTTGTGGAATAAATCTTGATCTTCCTTCGTCAGAAAGAAATCCAACTGACTCTGATAGATAAGCTGATTTCAAGAACGTCGCCACTTCCACTTCCTCTCTTCGATGGCTGAACCTGCTGCTTCACTAGTAAGACCTTTCCTACAAGGATTCGAATGCTGAGTTCTAGTCTTCGATGTGGGGATCGATAATCATTCACTTCTCCTCCCGGAAATTGTATATGCTGGTGCTTCGTGCTCGTTCGTTCGACTACTTAATCCTACTTAGTAGGTACTAGATGAAAATGAATCTATCCAACAACCCAAAAAAAATGGGAAGCAAAAAATACCAGACGCCTGTGATATCTGGAAGGCTTCGGCCCACTACATCGAATGTGCGTGGTCCAACACTCAACAGACTCAGACAGCAGCAGACAACTCTGACAGAGTCACGTAGTGCGCATTTCTCTCACAACTCCGATAGAATCTTCACGTGATGCGCATTTCTCCCGTCATCGAAAGTGTACTTATGTGGTCTCTGAAAGATTTATCGAGGACTCTCAAAGATTTACTGAGGACTCACGACCGAATTGCGGTAGAAGAACTCTGAGCCTCCAAACAATCTTCGTCTAAACAAACGCTGCACTACGACAACATGACACCTCCACGTCCCATAAGATGCAAGCAACGAGAAGACGCGATACAGGATCGCTGCTGTTTTTAATGCCCGCGGCCCGTTGCGTGGAGAGCATGGGCAACTACATGCAATCGATAGTACTGGTGGAGGTAGGTCGTCTAGTACGGCGCCAGTTTCCTTGTGGGAGGATTGCAACTTAACCGAAAGTAGCGTGAAAAATAATATTATCAAATCTAAAAGTGAGTGGTCTCATCTCCTGCAGCCACCTGTTCCACCACTCAAATAGTCTTCTTGAAGCGGATGGCTGATATACTAGTTTCACAGTTGTAAGAGCAGCTAAAAATGAATCATAAACATTGAAAGGTTATGCCTCCTGGCTTATGGTGCAGTTTCTGTATATCACAAATAATGCTATGCACTTCTTATTGTCATACTATGCATATATTCAACATTAAGAACTAAGACTAAGTGGCCGTAGCAGTAGTAGTGGTAAGCCCAATCTATCATGGGGTAACGTCCAAAAGCAAAAGGAGGTAGGGTTAAATAGCCTGTTGAGGTTGCAAGTGCAGTCCTCTGTGTGCCGTGCCATGTTGTTGTGACCTTATCCTCTTCGTCCTCTTCCTCGATATAATACTGAGAACAAATAAGAATAACGAGGGCGGAAAAGTATTACTTAAATATATACAACAACATCAATTATGATGTACAACAGGAGGAGGAGCTACTTTTAGAAGAAGTTGAAGCCTCATCCTCAATGTTTTTTCTTCACTAAATTATCCACGGAACGAAGAGGAAAAGTTGGTCTCGAAAAAAAAAGTCGAAAGAAAAATGTGTCTCTCAACAGTCGCAACTGTAAAGTCTTAGTCTCGTCTACTTAGTCAAAAGGTTCGCGTCCTTTGAGTAGGTTGACAAGAACCACCTTGCACCATTTTTGTAGAGTGTCCAGGCATCCCGTGTAGTCCTCCAGTGGCCCGTTGTAGGGATCCGGGATATCGTCCGAATTGTCGTTCAGGAGGAAAATATGCTTAGAGCAAAAAGAAAAAAGTCCAAGTCTAACATTTGCATTTCTTGATGGTTCCACTTCTCCTACTATTCGAAAAACTACTGAAATAAGCAAGTAACTGATCAGAATAAGCGAGATACTGATGAGAAGGAAGAGTAGCCTTTATTCTAAGCTACCTCCCTTATTTCAGTCAGTAACTCGTCTATTTTGAGTTTTCGAATAACTCGTTCTTATTCTTTCGCTCGTCTACATCTATAGAGGGACCATAACTTTTACGCGGTCAGAAGTGAACGCTAGCGGCCCAAGCACGCCTGATATTAGAGCACACTCTAAAAATTCACTTTCACTCACTTGTTATGCGGAGAATCTTGTTTCTCGCACGATCCTACTCAAAGTTCCGCGAAAGAGCTCGATCATGTATTGAGGAAGCAAGTCATATTTGACTCTGGATGACGCGAAGGCGGAGATGAGTCATCATCGGATCGTCTGCGAAGGAAGCTCATGGAAGTACTTATTTATCTTAAATCAGATCGCTTTAAATCACGGCCTTAACAGGAGAGCTTCGCGGTGCTGCCTTGTCATGCAGAAGTAGTACACGAGCGATTCTTTGTCAGTCACATGTGGCGGCGAGGCTGTGAGTGGGAACGGAATTTTTCAATAGGTGTTACTAGTAGCTGACATATCAGTGAGGATTAAGAGTTTCTTCTGTGTCTGTGAATGGGATTCAAGAGTACTTCTAGTCCTGTGCATTGGCAAGGCGTCGTCACCTATACTAAAATAATATCCGCAGCGGATTAGAAGAAATTGGTTCCCTAGACTTAGAAGTTTCTAGGGAACCAATTCCTTCTAATCCGTTCCCTATTGAAACAACCTTTCAGATCCGTCGGCACGAAAATTCTTACCTTTCAGTCAAATCAGACTATCTAGTTAAACCTAGCTATTAAAGTACCTATTTCCCAGAAATATTAGAAGAAATTGGTTCCCTAGACTTAGTACTAAAATAATATCCGCAGCGGATTAGAAGGAATTGGTTCCCCAGACTTAGTACTAAAATAATATCCGCAGCAGATTAGAAGAAATTGGTTCCCTAGACTTAGAAGTAACATTGAAACAACCTTTCAGATCCGTCGGCACGTGTTTCCTCATATCTGCTTCGGGAATCGGACATCCCGACTTTTTAAGGGCTTCTATCGCTGTCGGATGTGGCACATTTTCCCGCAGAGAGGTACCTCGTGATACTAACTTCACAGCATTAGAAGAGTTTTAGTGGTGATAGTTAATACTCAAACAGAACAAAAGAACCGATGTACCGGTATGTACTTGTAAGTATGGTATGTTGTACCACTAACTGCAGAAGTTTCTTTTTGGGTTGCAGGTGGATCTTTCGGGTGTACGAGTACTAGAACCTTGTCGTGATAAAAGAAGTAAAACAGGTAAGATCGTTGTTCATAACATCAGCTGCTCCATGGTATTCACTTTTCAGGGAATCAAGGACCCAGCGGCCCACTGTTTCCGCCATGAAGGATCTGCATGTATTTCCAGCACTTAGCGCTACTCTTTCACTATCCCTGGTTGAGTGAGTAGTAGTAGTTCCCCTTTGTTCCCTTTAATTTCCACGTAAAATCAAGAGGGACACCACTCTCTCAGCATCGTTTGTTCACACGGGATTATAGTGAAAAAAGAAGTATTACTGGCCTTAAAGTACACACGAAGCAAACCGTACAGGTCGGCTCCGTTATCGTTGCCATCTCTTGGGCCACTGCTGGCAAGGGACAGCAGCGGAACAAAAATCAAATGACTCAACCAGGATTGACCACTCTTTATTTTGCTATCTAACGACCTTCTTAAGTGCCTTCTCTGAGACGGAATCCGACTCTTGCTCTCTGGTGTCTCAATCTCTCGCCACCGAATAAGAGAAATGCTGAAAGTTCTAGAGTGAAGGTGTAAATAAGTCAGTTAGATAGTTGATCAACTTCTAGAGTAGGAGAAAGAGAGAAAAGAAGGGAGGGACACGAGCACTGGAGGTGACCTAAGCTTACTACCATTGAAGTCTCAGTGAGTAGCTCTTTCTGTTGACTAGCATCATGATCGCACAACCCTAATCCAATCGTCGACAGGATAAGGCACAACAATGTCCTCTCCTGCTCATCACGCGTATCATTCCCTTCAATTTTTCAATTCAACTTTCTGTGCCACCAAATGAAAATCAAGACCCACTTTCTGCCCAACTGCTAACGCAGGCCAATTAGTCAGAATGTCGAACTCGTATCTGTCGATTAGCGCTACCCCTAACCCATCCCGTGAATCGATCCCGTTAAAATACTCGCCCTCGTACTTGCCTCAGTAGTACAGCCCGCGAATACATGAGGCACTACCAGCGCAGTACTTTTTAACGGGACTCCCTCACGTGGAGAAGCAAGTGGGGTCTTGTGGAGCCTTAAGTCGAGTTCTCCACTCACCGTAGCCACAATTTCTTCTGCGCTTACACTCAACACGCGCACATCCAGGTCTATCACTTTGGGGATGTCTCGTATAGTCACTGTACCACTAGCGCGATACAACTGTTCGGGGTTCTTGTTGTCCTCCTGTGATGTTCTTGAAGCATGTCGTGTATTTGTTGTTGAGACATCTTCACTCGGCGGCTCATCCTTGGACGAGGACTTGCTTCTCCTACGCCAGCATATCCTTCCAGCTCCATCCGGTGTAGATGAGGTACTTCTACTTGACACAGCATCTGCAAATGCTTCTTCTGAAGATGGTTCCAGCACTTTCGGACGAACTGTTAGTGTAGCCTGTGATCCCTCTACAACAGGTCCTGCTGAAGAAGAATGAAACGTCAGTAATGGAAATTTGTCTGCTTCCAAAAACTCGTTTCGCATTCGACGATCCCGAAGCCAATTCTGAGTATCAATCGAGTCCGCACGAACCGCAGTGTCTATACTGGTGATCTCTAGAAGAAGTGCAGGCGAAGATGTGGAGGATGTTGCCTTTGACGTATCATCATCATGTACATCCTCCTCTTTGCCTCCTGAAGCTGCTGATGTCGAGGACGTGATAAATGTTCCCTCAAAGTTGGTAAATTTTCCATGAACGGTAAAACCCCAATGACTTGTGGAAAAATTCAGCTTCGAACGCGCTGGGTCAAACCGGTACTTCGATGATGACGACTTCGATGCGCGTTGGTTAGAGGAAGAGAGGTAAAACAAGTTCAAGTTGTGCGTGTTCTTTTGTAGTGTTCCTTTGCACAACTATGTGAGTGTACAACCGTCGTGAAAATTTAAAGTTGCTGCTTGAGAGATGGGACATCCTCACCCTCCAAAGGATCCACGTACAACTACGAGAACAATAATATCGGCACAGCCACTTGAATCAACGAGAACCATTCCACTACAACGAGATGAACCATAACATTTTTATCCCCACCGCCACTTGAAGAAGCCATTTTGTCCACCTGCTCTTGACCACGAGACCAGTAGTGATAGGCAGTTACGGAAGCAGCAATTCCTGTGCAACCAAAAGCGAATTTGTCTGCACTTTCTTTCGTAAAGAGACGACGCATAGTTTAAGTTTTTCCATCAATCTCATTGGCCTTAGAATTCAAGAAACGATTTCACTTCAAAGAAAGAAACTAATTGCATCTGTGCAGAGGCGTACTCCGCAGTTATAAATAATTCTTGACGTTGTTCGCTGCAGTTGCTACTTGCTAGAAGAAAAATTATGCCAATGATTTTTGCAGCATATTTTACATTGTGAAAGAACGAATTTTTTCGAGTACAACGTAGTCAACGTCGTTTTTTCCCAAACTTCTCAGTAGACCTCCACGAACACGCCGTTTCCTTGTGCCAGCAGCAGCACTACGCGTACGCATGAAAGGTGTCGATGATGTAAGTATTGCCTTAGAAGTAGGGTTTCCCGTTCATCATTCAATATAGAAGTTCTGCAATATGCTCAAGGCCATTCCTTTGGTGCCACTACCATTCGGCACCTCTGCCGCCATACATGACTGAGCTTCACTGGCTATTCTTGCAACGACGTGGCGCCAAGGAAGCGTGTGCTGTTCGTTGCGCAGACACTTGGGGATCCGATTCTTCTGATCTTTCGTCACAAAGGGCATAACACCACCTTCGGAGCCGTCGTCTTTGCCTGGCGAAGAGTGGCTGGTTAGAACTAGAAGAAGCTAGAGTTAAACTGTGCTCTTTAAGTCAATGGGGTACTAGAGAACAAGTAGAAGTTAGTAAGTAAGTAGACTTACAAGTTAAGGCCAAGGGGTACTGCTACTGATTATCTCAACATAAGTCTGACGGGCCCACTATCATTTTCAGTGCTTCTTCCTGCGTCCGCAAACAAGCAGTCTGTGCTCGTTGCAAATATTTCAGACCCGTAGCGATGTTCCATAGCCCATCATCGTCTCTCTTCAAAGCATCACAGAACTTCTGGGAACTTTCTGGCTCACTCACAGGAGAAGCAACTTGTAAACCCATTTTCTCAGCTGCTTCGACCAAATTGTGGAGCACTTTCTTCGCTACTCGCATCGCTTTGGCAACGTGGGAGAGTCGGAGGTCGACGGGTGAGTCATAGGTCGACGATCCTGCACCACCACCAGAAGCTGAAGGTCCGCTTCCATCCACGGCTCCAGAATAAGAGAGTTTCGTGAGCCAATCGTGCGCGCTCATGGGTTCTAGAAATCGATCTCCTGCTGGGTGGATTAGAGCTCCGCTGGTGGGCGTTGCATGATCCTTGCGCATTAGTAAAAAATCTGTATTCAAGGTCTTGATCTACCTAGTCCCAGTTCCTCTGTCTAAATGTTGAAGTTGATGTTTCTCCCTCATAAATGTAACTGATTAACCAGCAACTGCTTCCAGGTTGTGTCCGTTACCATCGGCAATCCCGTAGACATCCCTCCTGCATATCGCTTAATCACGGAAATAGAAGGTGCAACGGAAGTGCCAGCGGTGGCGTCGTCTCCGGCAGAGTCGGCACCTCCTGAACCTCCTCCATTTGCTCCACCACCACCACTTGAAGAAGAAGAACTCCCCGTCCCACCACCTCCTGACGTTCCAGCTGCAAGTACTGTATTCGCATCGGGACTTTGACTGTTGACAAAAGGACTGCCACTACTATCTGGTGCAACGCTGCCACCAAGAACTGCACCATTTCCTGACCCACGACTTGACTCGCCTGGCATCAATCGATAAAGCACATTAGGCCCAAGCGGCATGCCAAGTTGGGTGATTCCGTCTGCGTAGACTCCTGGGTAGATGGAAAAACGTTTAGACGTAGATGAAGTTGTCCCACCACTCCCAGCATCTCCACCACCTCCAATTACATCTACTTTCTCAATTGCTGAATGCTTCAGCACACACAAGCATCCTGTTTTTCCGCCTGTTGTGCACGCACGCTCGTCAAAGCCGACGTCCGAAAACATTTGGCAAGGCCTGAAGACCTCACTGGACTCGATCGGAGAAGGGTCATTGAGTGGCACACACCGTTTTCGAGCATTGACATAGCCAGGTGCAGGACAACCTTCTTCGAAGACGAATTCGGAGCCAGGCTGCACGTCTTTGCCCTTTCGGATGTCGACCTGAGCAGCACAACGGTACCCCGACGGGCATTGATGGAAACTGGAGGATGAGGACATGTTCTTGATGAATGTTTCTTGTAGTTAGCTTGACGAAGACGTGGTAACAAGTATCCTAGTAAGTGGTAGTAGAAGTAGTTGATGATTATGTAGTGACAGGTCGTGCTCGTGGTATGTTGTTCATCTAGTAAAAGCCCTTCAGAAGTTAAAGTTTTTGAAAACTTTTTCATGCTGCACGTGAGGGCTACCACTTTTACTTGATGAACTCAGAAGAACAAATGAAAACGACATTATAATTATATGCACAGTTAAACTTAATATATCTTGTTGCACGGGATAAGTCTACGTTGGTGATCAAGGTGAAAACTAACCGGTTGTTTTACTTAGTGCTTTGAGCGCCGCAGGGCCTAAACCTTCACCAAAGGGTGAAAGCCAATCAAGATTTGCAGCACACCTTGAAAAGAAAACAAAGGGGAATACGTCCTGCTATGGGATGAGGTTAGTTACATAAGTTTTATAAGATTCAGACTGATATGGAAGTTCGAAAAGTGTCTATACTAGGATAGTCACTTTATCAAATGTCTGTCATCATTCTCTTATTGTTGCGCTCCCAGAAGCATCATAGACAGCATTAATATATCATATGGGAGAGTAGCTGCAGAAGCAGTAGTCCGAGGGCTTAACTTGTTAGAAGGGTACCGATTTGACATGGACAGCGTACTTTTGGAACAGATCTACAACCACTTTGGAACAGATCTACAACCATATGGTATTTCCTACCACCCAAGTTTATCCACCGAAATTTTCCATCATCGACTATTGTAGTCCTTGCGCATCACTCTGATTCTCTGGAAATGACCGAGTCGATAGCGTCGTGGTGTCGACAGGCAAAAGCGTGAAAAAGTTCTTGACGAGTTATGATAACATTGCTTCTCCTGCGAGAACAACATCCAACGTTTTTGTGTCCACACTAGTTTCATACTATCAAAGGATCGATAAAAATTTCACCATATCTAGTCGTAAATCATGCATCAAATCTGTCATTGCCATAAAGCAATCCTCGTATGTTGAATGAGGATCCTTATCCAAGACATCTGCATGTGCATCTGAAAAATCTGCTCATTCTTATTACTTCTTTTTTCCCCCGCCCACTCTGTTTTGTCCTACGCCTACATGCAATCCCTTTAGCTTCTTTCCCTTGATTGATGTGGGATTGTACCTGGTATCTAACTTGATCGTCTGCAAGCCGGGTCCTGAACCCGGTGCAATCGCTGCTTGTGCCAAAATATGCTCGATGCCCTTATTGATCTTTCGCGTCGCCACCTCTTTATCGCTATTTCGTGACTTCTTCGTCTTCTTCACGTTAGCATGCGCTTTACGTGCCGTAAAGGCGCCGTTCTTCTGCGCCTTACATTTAAATCCTTGCGGCATTTTTTTGAGTTCTTGGGGATCTTAGTCCTATGTCTAAGTAGTACGTTGTTGAGTAATGCTTAGCAGTTGTGGTACTTCTAAAAACTCAGAGAGAGCTTATATTTCTTGCTACACGACGAGGATCATGAATCTAAAAGGTAAGCTTGTTTCGAGATGCGTGATGCTTCTTTCTAGCCGTTCCTGTCTGGTTTTAGGAGTAAGCAAGAATTGAGAAAAATTATTTTTTGAGAGAAAGGATTAGAGAGTATTACTTGATCTTGAAACTAAAAGTCTTGCTCGTCTTTGCAAAACGATCTAAAAAGTAGATGACCGTTTGACAGCTCCATCTTCAATGTCATGGATCCTTCGTTTTCATAGAGAGATCTTCGTAGCATTAGACCATTCGAAAATTTTTTCTTGGATCTAATCGGTTCTCGTTCTAGGATCATCTCAGCACCAAAGTTCAACTGAACACAGACGATGCTTTTTTCAAAGTGACTTTTTTGCTCTACTTGAGGCAACTTAGTAAACTTTAGCTGACTCAGGAAAGTTGAGCTCTGTCCTTGTGTGATTTCTTTTCCAGGACTTCTTCTTCAGGACTTCCGAAATGCGCCTTGCATCTGTTATTCGTGCTTGAATGATCCTTTTCTTCAGAAACTATTTCTAGTACTAGAAGAAGTGCTCCTGCTGCAAACAGAAGCGGATCAACGATGCTTATTGAGCATATTAGACAGGAGAATCATCCACCTCGTCTTTTTGTTTTTCACGTTTTCATCAATGACACCGACAAGTTTATTGTCGTCCTATTGTAGAAGTAGCCCTAGCCCCTGTAGATATATTAGATAGAGATAGCCCACTCGAAATCTAATTATCCTACGGGATTCTTCGGATACTTGGATGGATACCACCAAAGCCAAGCATTGACTTGTGGAATTACTCATTGATAGGCAAGTGAAGAGACCAAAAGATAGCGTAATATGAGAATGTTACAGAAAATGTGAGTGTATCATGTTGATAGCAATATCAAAGTATTCGTCGGACTCGGAAATGGCCTGCAGATGAGTCAAACAGGTAGTTAGGTAAAAATTGCTCAACTACAACTTCCCCGACTAGTACTTTCCGACACAAGAAAAAATAATCACCCTAGTGGACTTCATCAGATTTGATGTTTCAACGTAACTAACCGAAACAGTCGACACTACTTTCTTCTTCTTGTAGCGAAAGCTACAACTAGTGGAAATCATCGAAGTGTCATAGAGCATACCACATACTTGTTGACCAGGCACATATTGGATGTGTTGATCAATACGCCATACGGGTTCTTGGTAATGAAGATGATATCGTGGCAGCTGAGTTCTGCTCCTGCTGCAGTTACGCGACCCTGTTAAAGGCGCCAGCAGGACCAGGAGTTTTATCTATTTTCTACTAAGAAAGTTGTAGGGAAAGGTGGAAATAAACATCATCAAGATTGGAGAATTTTGATTGGGATCGACACTTCGAAATATATAACTTCACTTCATCTATCTCTAGTCAGAGGACCGAGACTTAAAACCAAGAGTCAATGACATGCAGGTTGTCCTTGAACTTAGCGTAGTTTGCTGCCGTGAGTGCGATTCCCTTCGCGCCTGGTTTCTTCTCACCAGTGGTCTTATCGTCGTAGAATTCGCGAACCTGTACGAGCATGCGACCTTTGAAGGAGTCCACCTTAACGCGCTTTTGGCCCTCAAGCTCCGCGAAACAAGTGTCACCTGGTATTTCTGTGGAGGTGGGCGTAGAATTTGTGCAAGGGGTGTGTATAAGAGAAGATATATTTTTAGTACATGAAGGTTGGTGATGTAAGGGCAGTGTTATATTAGTACAGAAAGGTTAGTGATGTAAGAGTAAAAAGGGAAGTGTTATGTATTAGATATTACTACATGAAGGTTAGTGATGTACTCGAAGTTGCTTTATTGGTCATTGCCAGGTGTATGAACGGGCAGAAGGGACGGATGTTGTAGTCTTTTGTTCTTCTCAACGTGTAGTAATAAGTCAATACCACCACCCTCGGTTAGCTAACCTTAACGCTTGAGATGATGTGGTGGAGGGAAAGTGTTGTAGTAAATGCTGGTTTGGTGAAGAGTAGTGGTTTAGTGAAGAGTAGTTGCATAATTCATCCTTGATGAATAAAGCATTGAAGACGAGGGAAAAGTTATTGTAGTACCTTTTGTTCAGTTCATCTCAACGTCTAACTCTATTAAGATCAATACCACCACCCTCGGTTAGCCAGCTGTCGACTAATGGAAGCTTCTCTTTCAGTTTCTTGTACGCGGAAATGCTAAGGGAGATTCCCTTCTTTCCTGGTTTTAGTTCGCCTGAATTTCGATCCGAATACCATTCTCGCATGTCCACAAAGTTCCTACCCGAAAATTGCGAAAACGTAATTCGTTTGCCTCCGTCTAATTCGATCGGCTCAGGCTTGGCGTTCTCGGCTGGTGCTGGGTAAAAGTGGTGGATCATGTAGTATTGTACCCACTGGGCAAGAGTGAAGTGGTGGATCATGTAGTTGTATTGGTCAGAGGTGGAAACGCATTACGCAAACGTGGTTTTGATATTGATTCATTTGCAAATGCCTAGTAGCAAGCACGATCGCATCAGGTAGAGTTACCAGCCGCTGCTTTCTGTCGCTTCGCTTGCGGCTGTTCCTCAGCACCAGCATCTGCCTCTTCATTTCGTTTGATACCCCCAACATTCTCCTTCTCCTCTTGCTTCACCGCTTGAGGAGCACCTACGACATCTTCTTTTGGTTTCCCGTTGTTGTAGTTCTGGCGAACGAAACGTTCAATATCGGCCTTAATCTGTTCCTTGCGAGTCTGTAGTAAGGAGTCTTGGCAACCCTCTGCGATCAGGTGGTCAGGAATTAGAAGAGAGGAGAAGGAAAATGTTGTTCGAGGTCCTATAAATTCAATTTCAAGTAGACTCATGATACTCCTGTTACTGATAAGTGAAAATTATTCACATCCAACAGCCTACATGTCAAGCTCGTCATACTGTTACTGGTAGAAGATATTAACTACCAGTTCCAATAATAAATGATCCATGCCTGCTATGCCATCATAAATAAACATCCCGACGTTTGAGGACCTCCATTTGACCTGTTGCTTTCGCGTTTTCTAGGTACGCTTGTAACAACGTATCCATCTTCTCCACCTCCTGAAGGAGGTTGTTGCCAGATGCTGCCATTTTCTTGATGTTCTCCTGCTTAACGAAATGAGATGTTCCTTGTACTTGATGTTGTTGTAGTAGTTTTCTTGGGAATCTATTTGTTGACTATAATGAAGTAGTGATTTACAACAATGTGTAATATGTGGACACTCTTATTCATCGAAAACGAATACTACAGCTTCCTTGAGTAGACCTTTTCTTCCTAGGATTTAGGGTGATAAAATGTTGATATGATGGAGCGATTCCGAGTACCTCGTTGGGGTATGCGTAACCAACAGAATGAGAGGATGAAATCGAAAACACAAATTTTTCTTCTACTACTTGTAAGCAAGTAGGTACATAAAACTTCTTCAAGAAAAGAGGTGGGTAAAAGCGTGGGATAAACACATATCTCGAGAAAGTCGCAGTCACTGTGAGGATCATTCGAGAACAAGATGGATCGTCCGTTTTCAATGTTGCTGATAAAAAAATTGCAAACACTTAGTAGAAAGATACCAGATCATCTTCATTCACGATCCTCACGAGGCCCTCAATATTGGTATTCTCTTGCTGTGACTCATCTCATTGTAGTTGACTCCCCTTCACGTTCACGTTGCCGGACTTCGACAGAACAATAACTCAGCTCATCCTCGTTCGCCGTCTAATAGAGCAGTGAGAACACACGACATTTTTCGTCATTCTTGCCAGGCACATCGCCAACTGGAAAAATTTTCATTAGATCGGAAGCGCAAGCGATATTAAGGGATGAACGGAGATAATTCCCACACACGCCTGGTGTTTCCTTTCTTCTATCCGTTGTCTCGCGCACGAAAGCAGCAAAAAGATTTTTATCACTGTTGAGATGTGCTTGTGCACCGAAAGCAGCAAAAGCAGCAAAGAGATTTTTATCGGTGTTGAGATGTGCTTGTGCACCGAAAGCAGCAAAAGCTAAAGCAGCAAAGAGATTTTTATCAGTGTTGAGAGTCTTCAACTTCTCTGTACATCAGTCCCACACGACAAAGCAAGCTACTACAGCCACTACTTCCACGTATACCGATAATTGGTCCCATAATTGATAAAAAGTTCTTCATCTTTTTTTATGTCCCTTAGCGCCTTGAAAAGCGCAAAGCGCTTTATGTAGTATCCAGAGTCCACGTTGTAACCCTTCTCCATATGGTTCATGTAGCTTCCGAATCCCATAATAATCAGGCTGTGATTATTCGCGTTCCTCGTTTTGCGCAGTGTTAGAGCTGACGAGAGGAAGGTTCTTGATGACCCTTACAGCTAAAAGCAGTTGCAGGTGTTGCCAAGAGACATCATCATCATCATGATCATCATCATCATGATCTCTGAGCTAAGAATAATGCCTGTGTGGTATTCATCAAGTCCACACCACGCATAAAAATCTTCTCCTTCCCTTAATGGACTCTTCAGCTCCCCTGCAGCGTCTCCCAGCATAGCCTCATCCTCGCACGCCGAAGAACACGGTAAAAATTCCGGAACGTAAGTGAAATCGTCAAACTTGTAGGCATCTACTTCGGTGTCTATCGTTTTTGCGTCGTGCATCCGCAAGAAGGGGTTTATTTCCACGGGTTCGCCTTTGCGGTAATCACGTCCGGCAAAGACACCAAATCCGGCACCAGATATAGTCGAAGGCGCAAGATAATTGTCGGAACCTAGAATTTTCTCTGGTAGTTGCCCTCGCCAAATTAGGAAATCGACGGAGTCCCTGCGACGATGATGTTGTTCCATGGTGGATGTCGTACTAAAAGAACTACTCGAGCTCGACGTACTGGCATTAGTACTATTAAAGCTCAGCATTCAATGGTCACTGACTCTGAAAGAAATGGGCCCCATGCCTCTCCCTTTGCTTTTCCTTCATTTTCCCCTGTTCTCTCAAGAGGGACCTCAGTGACCAACCCCAATGACCATTGAAAGCTGAGCCTTAATACTAGATATCTGCTCATCTACAACAGCAGCTCCCCCAGTCGACCACAAAGTTGAAGAAGTAGATGAAAAAAATGTTCTCGCCCGAGGTCGAGGGTATCTCCTGAAACCTCGTCGAGTTAGCGGAAAGAGCCGGGTCGCCCCGATCATCTCGATTTGTGAAACTGCACACAGGACCGCTTGGGCCCTGCACTTACGTGCTCCTATTCTTGAATTGAGTTGTTGAAAAAGATTGGGTTTTTTTGCGATGGATGCAAGAGTGTGTTGGCAAAAGTTCTTTTGCACGCACGCAGCGGTAGCTGGCTTTTTACTGATTTTCTCTTGTTCGTGCATGCTCGTAACAGAGCTTTGCTCTCTGTTGGTTTTGTCTCGACATGGACATCTGCATACCAACTTCGAACGCAAGAAGAAGTGTCTTGCACGTCGCCATTATACATAAACCCTCGTATAGTGGCGGATGCGTCCGATCCCGTCCCCGTCACAAAATTGCGCCTGAATCAAAACTTGACTATCACGTAGTTCGAAACGTGTCTATACTCTAAAGGACGTCGAGTGGGGTGAAGATGTTCAGTTTCACAGACACGCACAATTTTTATGACTCTGGTGCAGGTACAACTCAAGAAGTAGAAGTGCTGGCAATAACAAAACGGCAACCGGAATTTCCTATGTCATCGTCATAATGGGGCATGCAACTCGGTATCTTCCCGGCACATAAAATACAAAGGAATGAATAAGGTCGTTCTTTATCGACCACCCGGAGTCTGTCTTCATGACAGCATAGACAACAAGTACACAGTGATGTAGTAAAAGTGAGTGTGAGTGAGAAAATGACGAAAAAAAATCGTATTTATCATATTTATAAGCAGATAACTAATAGATACTAAGGCAATGAAGTAACGAAGAAGCGATGAATCTACTGTTGAACGCGAAGGAATGCTCACAACTTCCAACACTAGAAGAGACGATTCACTCAAAAACCCCACCTGAAACTGAATCGGGCGTCCCATGATACTAGAGTTCGAGATAGAAGTATTCCTATTTGATTTCATCGCGCTTAGTACAACACCAACACCCGAAGATCCCTTGGCTCAGCAAAACAACTCACTCACCACCTCCACTGCCAACGCCAGTAGTACTCGTCCTAGAAGCATCGCCAGTTGAACCACCCCCAGACGATTTCAGCTCTTCTTCTTGTCGTAGTTTTTCGTACTGAATGTCTCGCCATAGGTGAAATCGCTTCTCGAATTTGAAAATTCGGATGACGGTCAACGAGAAAATGTACGTCGCCCACCATGCGATAACAAGAGCGGAAACGCCGAGCGGGAGTTAGAGGAGAAGAATGTTAATCCTAGTGGTAAGGATCAAACACAGGATTCTAAACTATATGGATCAAGGCCAAGGACGAGCAAGAAGTGGTCGACGAGTACTGGAGTCGAGATGATGGAAGATCTACTAAGTAAAGTAAAACTACACGTACAAGAAGTACAGCTTGCAAGAATCATAAATCAAGAACAGCACGGGATAGACACACGGCACCACCAGAATCCAGCCGAGCAGCACAGCAACGTAGCTTACCGGGAAAAACTCACTGGCCAAAGGATAGCTCTCTTTCCCAAACTCGTACAAGATTTGGAGGAGTCCCGAGGTTACCCACCAATAGGCGATAAAGTAGAACTGCACAAGCATGCTGCTGACCATGTAGAGGCCAAGGTAGAGGAAAAATATCAGCAAATGCCGACTGTAGATGCGCCAAGAGACGAGAAAGGTCTTCATCGTCGCGATGTTCTGCATCGACGTAAAGCATGAAAGAGGGTTGACGGGAGTTGTGTGGAATTTCAGTCCTTTTGGCGTTGGTGGTACCTTCAGGATTTACAATACAATGCAATACAATATGATACAATTCGTGCGTAACTTCAAAAGAACCAAACCTGCTACTATCGCCATGCCGATCGATATTCTCAACGCGACGTCTTGTAAAAACGCACCTACATCGCCACTGAGGCCACAGGATATCGCACCTTGGAAGACTCGTATGCCCATTAGCGCATTAGACGTTTCTCCTGCAGCTGAACTCGTGCTCGGTTTATGTAGAACACCACCACTTGTCCGCATTGTAGGAGATGAGGAAGGGGAGGACGTGCCAGTATGAAAGTGTGCTGAAGGTGACTGGACTCCAGAAGAGCCCGTAGAAGGAGATTTTCTATGATCTCCTGATGAAGATGAGGATGTCGAAACAGCACCACTGCATTTGTGAACATCTTCCCCTTGTCGTTCTCTTCTCCTCTTCTCGGACGAGGAGGTTTTAGCCGTTCTTCTCTTGCTATGCCCGCCGCCAGGAGACGAGCCGCCTCTTCCTGGAGAAAAGCCTCTTGGTACCGAAGTTGAACCTTCGTCTAGTGGTGTTCTACTTCTTCGACGTCTTCTTGTTGATCGTGAGTCTCCTTTCTCTCGTTCTTCTACTTCTTCTCGTGGTCTATCAGGTGTATGACCGCTCCTACTTGAGCGCGACGTTGGTCCTCCAGCTTCCTTTTCCTGTTCTAAATCTACTTTTGCTCTCGCGGTCGCTGTCGAAGGACTCGCTTGCTTCGTAGGTGAAAGAGAACTTCTATCTCGACTTCCACACCTCTTACCGCAGGATGAGACTGACCGCCTCCCCCTAGCACTAGAACTTGCACTAGAACTTGCGTTTTCAGAACCTATGGTCTCACCATTCTCGTTCGATGGCATCGATACGCGAGCACGAGGTTTGTTCTTGGTGGTGCTCGCGGTCGCGTCATCTGTTGCTGTGCTCCTAGTAACCGGTGGAGTACTCATGCCTATTCTTGTTCTCGTCCTTGAAGACGCTTCATCTTCCTCCGCTGTGCCTTTCTGCATCTGCTGCGATGAGTCCTTGGGTACTTCTTCTCCTGCTACTGGTATAATTGGGGTTACATCTTCTATCGGTGAAGCTTCCCCCTCTTCTTCGTCAACTGTTTTGACTATCTTAACGCCATCACCGATTTCGAACAGGTCGAGTCGAATACTTCTCGCTGAGTCTGGAGGTTTCTGAGGGTGTACTGTTGTGGTCTCCATGGGCTCGACATCAGTACTAGTATTCGTCACTTTACTAGATGATGTTCCACCTGCAGTGGTTGTTTTTGAGCCAGCTAGGGAGACGTTATTTGATGACGAAGATGCTAGACCTGTTGTGCTCGAGATTTTGTCAAGCCTGATGCTCATTTTATCCAGCTTGGTCTTCGAGCCCGTCTTTCTCCTAGTTGTCCTCGTCCCGTTTGAAGTTTCAGCTTCAGCATGCTCCGCGGGCGGCGTCCTCTCATCTGCCTCACTAGACGATGCAGTGAAGAACCCATCTGTCTTCTTGGTGAGCTTAGAGTCATTGGATGAGACACTTTCCGATGATGAGTTCCAAGAAGCAGAGCTGCTACTTCTACTCCTTGAGTCATCCTCCTGTCCACCTCCTCCTCTCCTTCGACCCTTGTCTGGCAAATAAGCAGGCATATTAGAAGAAGTTGAAGTATTTGCTTCTCGTGTTGTGGTTGTCCTCCTTTCATAATTGCTCGTACTGCTTGATGAAGAGGAGGAACCTCTGAGCCCTGGAATCCAGCTTGTGCTGAAGACTCGACCCAAAAACGACGAAGAGGAAGGGGATGGCGTAGCAGTGGAGAAAGAGACTCCTCTTTGCTCAAGTTTCCTTGATGAAGATGATCTTGCACTTGAAGATCCACTGCTACTTGAAGATGCAGAAGAACTAGAAGATGCTGTCTTTCTGTTCCTCGCTCTACTTCTACTTCTCTCAACATGCTCCTTCGAGGATTCAAGAGAACCTTCGACTAGTACTCCGTTCTTTTCTCGACCACGCCTTGAAGACGATGACGAAGACGAAGAGCCTCCTCGTGCTTTGCCAGGAGTACTACATCCTTCACTCGTCGGGCTAGCTTTGGCACTTGTAGTTCTTTTCGTGGAACAATGCTTAGTACTAGAGTCCTTTTTTCGAAGAGCTGGAGGTACGCCGTCGGGGAAGAGTTCCCTCTGCACCTCCTCCGGCAAGGGAAGGGGCACGGGGCCCAACATTTTTGCAGACTAGCAGGTACTAGTAGCAAGTACTAGCTTCAAAAAACTACTTCAGCCGCGCTTCAATGGATGCGATCATTCTACATATTTCCATCTTCAACTTCATCTTTCCCTGACTCATGATCTTCATGGATCTACTCGTTCTGGTGCTGCTCTTTTTACACCTCCTATGAAACAGTGTAAAGTGCTCAAGCACTTGGCTACATGAAGATTAAAAACCAATGGGATTTCAAGATAATCATGAGCATGACTTGACGCTCAGACAAGTCTAAACTCACCACGCTCGGACAAACTCGATGCGCAAACGCTCACGCAACCTTTTCTTGTTCTTCGGGATACTAGCTGGAATTCTTAACGATCTTCAAAAACAAAAGAAGTGCGCCCCACAATTTCTTCTTGGCTTCTTCAGCATCAGAGTCAGAATGCCTTGAGAGGTGCTAGCATGCTGAGATTGTCTTGTTGTAGTTGTATGGGAAGATTCCATATTCACTGGAGCATTTATAACTTATTCTTTGGTCAGTAGTTTCTGTTCCCGGGATGCTTCTACATTGTGAAGATCCATGGTGCCTCGCCTAATGTTGCTTATTGTGAATTAGAATTTATCCCCAACAACTAGAAATATTGATCAATATGATCAGGTATGGTGCTGTTGCCACTCAAATTTGATATAAAAGGTACAGTACTACGTAGACGGGCCAATGAATCAAAGCACGCACAACGGACCCCTCAACCACTACAAGAACGATGATATTTTTATGTCTCGATGTCCGTAGGTAGGTGCATGGCATGTTTTTATTTCTTTCTCTGAAGAACCGTACATTTCGAGTGAAATAAAAGTCTTCATATTTTTAGTCCGGCATAGGCATGTCGACTCGTAGTAAGAGTAACTCTTTTTCGCCATATATCAGTCAATGCTAATATATAGTCATCATTAAAAAACTCCCAAAGTTGCAGCTAACAAGGCTACGCCGTATCCTGTTGCGCGTTCTCCTCTAAAAGACGGATATGCCATATCCACATGGACCCAGCCTCCAGTCCAAGAATCGGGGATGTGTGCTCTGATAAAAGAACCGGCACAGGATGCCTGCGCGTTAGCGCGATTCGCTACGCTGTTCTTCATATCGGCGACCGCGGATTTGTACTCTTCCATGGGGGATTAGAAAAGGTGTTGTTGGAGGGAATGGACTCCTCGATCTCTTGAAGAACGAGTACGAGGAGGGACAAGGACTATAACATCATGATCTTTGAAAAATGTGACTCGGAGTGGCCATAATAGTTCTCAGGCACGTATGGCATCGGCCACACTAAGTCTCCACTCTTCTCGCCTGCTTTCACCATTTTCTTCTCCCACTCTGCACTGTCCGTGACCAGAGTTCCATGCAGTTGACCAGTCGCAATTCCCTGTGCGCCTGTCAACGTGGCCATGGTGAGAATCAACTCCGAGTTCAAGTCCTTAGCCGCGTAAGCAACGCCATCGGCAAGGACAATTCTTCCTTCAGCATCTGTGTTGTTCACCTCTACTGTTTTTCCGCTGTACATGTGCAAGATATCGTCGTTGCGGAAGGACTCGGCACTGACACTGTTCTCCGCGATGCAGAGAATGCAGCAAACGTTTTCCTTGATATTCGTTCTCACAGCACTGAGAAAAGCGCCAAAGACGCCCGCACTACCTCCCATATCCCTCTTCATGCCGCACATACCCTCGCGGCCCTTGATAGCCAAACCACCAGTGTCGTAGATAATACCTTGTTAGTGAGGATCATGGGGACGAAGATGAATAATTCAACGGAGAAGACAATTTCAATAAATGAAATCCTAGTCCTCAGCTCATGAAATGAGTGCAGAAGGAACCGCGGCTCTACTTCCCCCGCAAAAAGAACGAATTCCACTTTCAATTTAGTACCTGCTTACGACCAAATAAAACGAGTTTCAAGCCAAGTACCCTTCCCCACTAGCGTTTTCCACGGTTTATTGCCGTCGCCGCTTCCTGGGTATTTCAAGACGAGCATTCTTGGCGCGCGCCCTTCGGAAAAAGAGGCTCCTTTCCCGACAGCCCAAATTCCTCCAAAACCACGTTTCTCTAGCTCTTTTCCTTCGACTTTCTCTAGGGAGACCGACAAATACGGCGACAGCACCTCACGAATGTAGTCCTCGTAGGTCGACGCGGCTGTAGTGTCAGTGACAGACAGTGTGTCAATAAAATTTGTATTTCTTGAGTTACTTCTTATTTTGAGCAGAAGAAAGTACTGGCAAAGATGACTTCGAATTCCTATAGTAGAGCTAGACTTTTTGCGCCCGATATCGGGTCGAGTTGCTCGAGTTGCTCGAGTTGAACGAGTTTCATACCAAAAAAATTTCCGCTGCGCCCTTCGGGCGCACTATCTTCGAAGCGTCAAACACGTTGCCCAGGGGCGCAAACCACCTTCACAAGCGAACGCCTCCAGTAGCGCCCTCATTTCTCTGCGAGGCGCTGCATGCGCGGGGCAGACAAGAGCAACGCCACCCAGGGCCCTGCCCTCGTAGTTTTGTGTTACTAAGATAGCGCGCCTGCCTGGTATAGCTGCTGCCCTATAAAACAAGCACACAAATAAACCTACTCCATTCCGATCCCGGTGCTTCTACACTGCTCAGGGGGGCCCTGCTTGTGATGCTACCGCTACCCACTAGGCGGCGCGCTACTCAGTAAGCCCACTACAGCGCAAACAGGGGCCCCAAGAAGCCGAACAAGCTGGCCACTCACCAGCAAAAAAAACCGAGCCAGATCGCGACCGACATCAGCGCACGACCATGCAGAGACACCGACACCGCAAGGAAATCGCTGCACTTCACAAGGCTTGCGCGCGCGCCACTCAAACAAAAAAGGTGGCCCCGGGCTCGCCTTCATACTTTCGCTAAGCCCAAGCCCCGAAGAGCTCGGCCGGGGCGTGTCTCTTTAATACAAACGGCAGATCTGCCACGCAACAACTGGCCACGAGCTTCCCCCTGAACTCCGCGGCATCTTGGCCCGCCATACCGCCGCGGGGTGCTGCGCTTTCAAAGTGGCAAGCTGCCGAGGGAGAGGAACTCGTTAGCAACTCGCTCCGGAATGGGCGTGTGAGTTTCGGCAACTCGTGGCAACTCGAGAGAACTCGAGCAACCCGTAACTCGAAAAACGGACTACTCTACTATAGATACGTAAAGAAGCAAATACTCAAATGACTCGGCGGCAGGTCCACGAGGACTTGTGCGGCACGGACGCACTCGCCAACGACTTGGACGTTTTTCGCTGGTTTGACTATTGTCACAGTTTGCTCATTCCTAGTAGATTTCAAGCTGCAAGCTGGAAACGCCTTGTAAGCAGCTAAAGCCCAGATATTGTCTTTTGGTGTGCCAGTGCTTGCGATAATGATGCCAACGTGGGAACTGGGTGGAGATTCAGTTTTTGAGAATCAAGAAGTTCAAACAGAAGTATTTACTCTGACAGAGTACCAATACTATAAGTGATAGTAAGTACCTACTGAAGAAGGAATGAGCATTGACACCTGGTATTAAATGTTCGCAGGTAAATTCATACATATTCCACATCGCTATCTTCAATTACCTGCTTCCCACCACCGCATCTCCCTGCAGTGCTTTCACCACTACATCTGGCCTCGCTGCTGAGTTATGTCTTGACGTGTCTGAGGGCACAACCACTACTGAGCAGGACGTCTTGCCATCCGGTAACAATTGTGCTCCTTTGAAGTCCGCACGTACTCCTGCCATGTGATTCCCCTTCGCACATGCCTCGGCTGCTTCCTTGGACTCTGCGATGATGATGGTGTGCTTTGTACTTCCCTCCGCATCTTCAGCTTTCTTCTTGGGAGAAGAAGGGCTGGATGAAGTTAGCTTATCAGCACAACGGACGATGGGGCCTTTCTCGAGCTCTTTTAGGACGACGCTTTTGCTGCCACCAGTGCCGTCGGAGATGACAGCGGAGGTGCGCTGCCTCTTCGCGGCATGACCGGGAGAACCATTGCGGGAGGAGGTCGTCATCTTTTCAAAGTCTAGATATCTTCGTGTAATAGAGGGAACGATGGAAGAGGAGGATGATGTAGAAGATGCAAAGGGACGAAGATGAGGTGGGAGGCAAATATTGCTGTAATCAGAAGATTTTTGAGGTAGTACAGGTACAACTAGAACTGATCTACACCTGTTATAAAAAACCGAAAGTCCTCGTCCTGATGATAGTGGAGGACTGCAGCTTGTGAGTCCTCTACGCGACAATGGTCTGCAAAGCATTGAGCGTAGCTCTGCTTTTCGTCGAGACGAAAGACTAAGATAAAGTAGATGCAGCAAGTTATACTTATATCATTTCATTCAACATCTGAAAAGCCGTGGTGTATGTTTCTAGTATTTGTAGTTCAGCGAGACGTTCTTTTTCTAGCACTTCATTCGTTAACCGATCTGGCAACAACAACATCCATCACTATTCATTGGTTCTCTTTTTTGTGAATAGCATCAGAAGCAATACATTCCGACCCGTCTTGGATCCATACAGAGGAACACCATGCATAAATGCGTTGCGAAACTCTCCTGGGCAGGAAGCTTCTACTGACCTCACGGCTTGGCTTGTTCGTAACTACTCTGGGGAAACCAGACGAGTTTCAATTTGAATTGCCTGCTCGTGTGTTCCATACTGCTTTTGTTGACTGAGGAGAACCGCATTCTCGATGTGGGTGGCCGGCTTAGTATACATTCATGGGTTCACTTATGCACAGGGTCGGTGCATACCGTTCTTCAGTGTGACAAAGCAAAGAAAATTCGAAATCATTATGCAGCATGGTGCACAATAATTTAGTTTAACCTAAAAAGCGGACATTTTATTACGGGATCGATTACATTGTATGTTCTAATTAGGCTAACTTAGACGAGTAATATTTTTACGAGTTTCAGTTTACTCAATAAGGGACTTAGACGAGAGACGTAGAGCAGAAAGCAAATTCACGTTCGTCGTACTCACGGGTTTCAGTTTCAGATAAATGCAATTGGATCGATCACTAGAACAATCGTCCATGCGATTGCGATAAAGATATTTTTTTATGAAAGCGGTAACTTGCGGAAATTTCATAGTAAGCGAATTTCAGGGATCGATCGATCAGAAGAAGTTAGAAATTGCTAAGTGATGCTGTTGTGTAGCAGGGTTCATTTCTTTGACAGTTGTTAGCAAGAATGTTAGAATTGAATACGGGATCATGGATGTCCTGTTCAACCTCGATCTTGTGTTCTAATGTTAATCGTTTGCAATTGACATGAAAATTGTTTCAGTTTGTTCATTGTATGAGTCCGTCTAACATCAAGTAGAACGTCCTAGTTCTAGTTGTAGGACTAGAACACAATTATATGTGAAATCAGCTGCTTTTCTCACTGCTTCACATCATCCTACTTCATTTTGTACTGATTCATCCGCCTGATGTTCTCACGAATCTTGAGTTGTATCCTCTGGCAGAAAGCACGACAGACCTTGGCTAATTTCTTCGGATACAAGCTGAGGTTTTGTCCCTTATATTTGCTTTCGGCTTGAGGCAAACCGCCTGCCGCTATTCGCACAATCGCCTCACAGAACTCAGGATAAGTCATGCGGGTGCATTCCTGTAGACGTGTGGTTGAAGAGAGTCAATGCATGGAACAAGGTGAGTCATGGAGTAACTGTAATGTGGGTTCCCCTTCGTACTGCTCCCTTCCATACATAGCTTGGTAGAAACAGGAGAGACTTCTAGTGAGGACTAGTTTGAAATTGAATCAATTCAAAAATTTTTGAATTGATTCAATTTCAAACTAGTCCTCACTACAACAGAGTTTTTAAAACAAAATCAAGCAACTACAGTAGTACATGTTCCGTCTGTTCGCACGCTTTCGGCTTGTACTTTTGTGCCATCGCAAAGATACACGCCAAATGCCTTGCAGTGAAGTTTTTGTCGTTAATCCGGAGAATGTAGATCAATTGCATAAACCCGCTCTTGTGTGTGCCGTATCGTAGATAGGCGTCCTTGAGAATTTCCATACAGTCGTAGCTCATTTTGTTGATAATGGGATTTTGCATGATTTCCTTGGAGAAGGGGTTCAGAGGATACGCAATTGCGGGTTTCAGCTTGCGTTCGACAAGAAGCTCCAAGCTGCGCCCAGCATGTGCGTTGGTCTCGGTGGAAAAAAGGGCGATACCTGTGGTGCATGTGGAGGAAGCGAAGAAGTGATTGCTGCTTCGTGTTTTCATCCGACTCCATTGTTACATGTCTAAAAATACTACAGCGTTTGCTCCTTTTTCAGAACTTATATATTATATTGCATAAGTAGAAAAGGAAAAGAACCACATAGATAGTACCAAGCAGCAAGCACAAATGCAGGAATTCATGACGGAAGAATCGGACAGGAGAGTGTCCACAGACCTCGACGAATTTCATGATCTCCAACGAACTCATCGCTGGCCTAAAAAGTTCGTCAAAAAAGGCCATCACATCGACTGAACGCACATACAGCTCGCCACCGGTGAGGAGAGCTGCGGTTGAGATTGGGGCGGAAGTGGAGGAAGATGGTAGGGAAGTGGAGGAAGATGCTAGAATTTTTGGGCTAGGATGGACAGATAACAGAACCAACAACATAACGCAAGTGGCTGTAAACTACACACTGTTCTTGCCAAACTCAATCTTCCAGCAGGAGTACCATAGGCCTGATAAAGCTCCAAGTAGTTGCTGTGTAGTGTCTTCAAAAACGCTGCTTCGTCGTTTGCTCCGCATATGGCAGTCAATGTTGGCCTGATCTTCTCCATATCGTAGTCGTAACAGTCTTCACAGCGACTACTCTCCTCCAAGGTAATGTGCTCTCTTGTGTAGTTGTACAGGTTTTTATCGAACACGTCCGCAATGCCAGGCGCCACCTCTTCCAGAGCTACGCTGCCTAATGGACTCGCGGTCGGGTATTCGAAAGGCTGGATCCTTCGGTAGTTGATGAAGTTTGGGAAGTCGTCATCGATGTCGAAGATGCCGAAGATGTCATCTAAACTCTTCGTTTTCGTCCCACCCCTCTCCTGAAAATGCAAGGCTGCAACAGGATCATACCCCACAGGAGGATGATGGACATGCAAAGATGATGAAGTAGAAGCAGCTGCAACAGGCCCTCCTCCAGTAGAATCTTGTTGTGAAGCAGATGCAGCAATGTCTTTTCTACCTGCTCCTTCGGCACCTTCCTGGCGAGGATCAGACGAACCTTCTTGTTCACCGTCTCCACCAGTACTTTTCTGCTCACCTCCTGCTCCCGCCCCACTGCTGTCTACGACATCATCCGCGGCTGCTGCCAGCTGCGCTGCTAGACTGCTGTGGTCTGTTTGCGCTATTGTGATTATCTTCAAAAGGTGTTCTCGGACAAATTTCTGCTTCATTTTTTTGGTCAGCCTCAACTTCGGCTGATCGTCAGCGACAAGCAGTTTTTGAGTTGCTGGGTCGTAAAAGAAGTAATAGACGTACTCTAGGTAACTCGGAACGCGGCAACCAACTCGGAAAACGTGATTCCGGTTCGTCTGCATTACTAGGTTCATCGGAATGATCGCAAAATCGTAGAAGCTAGGGAAGCTTAGAAGAGGAATCGTTCTTGTGGATCTATCATGTATCGAACATCATTCAAGATGACCATGATCACGTGGTTTCTAACTATGTATATTTTTAGGGTCTTTTTATCTACTAACTATAACTAGATTAGTAGATTGCTCTGTCACCAGGGAAGAACTATGATCACACCACGTCCAGCACGTCCTCCACTGTCAACATAAACACAATTGCACACTGTGGCCGCATGTACTGCCGCTTTTCGGAAAGTTCCAGACGAACTCCTGCATTTGCACTCTATCCGCTACCCAAGACCCACTCAGCTTCAGATTCGCACTAGGTCGAAGTCTGTGCAATGGATGCGCCACTGAGACGCGTTCTAAAGCGTGGAAGTCATGTGCTTTGGCTGCACCAAAGGGAACGCCATGATCGGACGAAGATGAAGAGGCACTCCCTCCAGCACCACCACCAGCAGTTGCAGTTGTCGTGTCTACTTTGTTACCTCCTCCGTTATTTTGGTTTTCTCCTCGTTGCATGAAACTATCGAAGGAGAGCACTCCATAGGTCTGAGCACGAGCAAGTCCTGGCCTACCTCCTGACTTCGTTCCGCTAGATTCCGCGATTTGTTCGTCTGTAGACGGCTGCACAGCCTTGTTAGCTGAAGTAGTACCGCGGCCCTCAAGATGAGACGTATCTGCACCGCCTAGTGTTAGTTGTTCCTCTAGAAGTGTTTTGTTCATGTCGTCGGAAGTGTTTCCTCCTAGAGCGTCAGCATCCCCTCCAAGAACATTTTCTTTATCCCCATCACGACCAGGATCGATTGTTTCCACACTTGGTAATTCATCTATTGATATTGTCCACTTACTCATCAACGCACTAGCTTCCTCCAGTCGACTGGTGTTAGAGCTTACGGGATTACATTCCTCAGAACATCCCTGGCTTCTTTTCTACAACTAGGAAAAGGGCCAAGGATGGTTATAAAGTGCGGGATGTAATTCGGTGGAAACCCTTAATGGTCAAAGATACGGTGCCTGGAGGTTTCTTCTTTTTCTCAAACATTTTCTGCATCTGTTCTGCTTTCGTCATCTGAGGTGGCCTATTCTTCCAGTGATCTAGGTCTTCTCTTGCCTTCGCTTTTACTGGCCTGGTGGAAACAACGGTGCGGCCTTTAGAGCCAGAACGCTTGCTCATGCCCGTTTTGGACAAGCCTGCGGGTGAACTATCGACAGAGACCGAGGCAATTGATCCGCCAGCAGCTCCTTGGAACAGCGAGGAAGCTCCTGTGACGCCATATGCATCCACAGCACTACCACCTGCATGTCCATGGCCGTCGTCGGTAGCACCTCCAAAGGCAGAAAGGCCACCAGTGGCGCCCATACCAGCTGTGCTTGAAGCCGCGCCACCATGCTGCATGCTACCACCTCCGTGGCGTCGTTTTCTACCGCCAGCGTGTTCGTCTTTCAGATGAAATGATCTCGCAAAATAGTCCATCGCTGCTATGTCTAGTGGGTCTTGACTAGTGTAAGTTCGACCAGCAAAACCTGATCGTCCTCCTCTGGTGCTGGAATTTAGGCCAAAGACGCCTGTTGTAGAACTAGTGTCTGGTGGCGTAGCAACTGCTGCCACTGTTGCTGCTTTTGAGACCGCCACTCTTGAAGCGGCAGACGGACTCCCACCACCATGACCTTCCAAATGATCTCCACCGACGTTCCTCTGTTGCGCAGCTCTATCAACAACATCCTCAGGATCTTTTTGTACAACCCGATCTAGACCCAAAGCGACGTGGCCTAGTGCCTTTGCTGTAGGACAGAACTGCTGTAAGTGCTTGCAGACTTCTAGATGAGGCACTGTAAGCTGTTCGTGTGGCGCATCTAGAGGGTCACAGTACCAAGGAGAAACCTTTGAATCAGCTGCTTCGAAGACGCCGCCAGGAATAGCAGGTTTGCGGTACTCTGGCCTCGCGTGGTGTGGGTTCACGGAGGAGTTAGAAAAGAAAGGGGTGGAAACAAGAGAAGTACTGGCACCCCCAACATGAACTTGGATTATCAAGCCATCAAATCCTTTCAAACCCATCAAATCAAGTGATCGAAAATCTATCAAATCCTTCTTGCCTTAACAGATGGCATATTCTGTCCGCCCGTTGTGCTTTCCTCCAGAGCCGTAGTGCCACCTCCTGCCGACAGTTGCAGTGAGCTCGTGTGCGTGGTCAACGTCGTTGTCGTGTTCATCATCAAAGATGATGTCGATTGCCCACTCACCGTACCCGTTGTAGCGCCTGGCGCAGCTCCTGTCCCCATCGCGACACCAGGAAATACAACACCTGCCGGTGCGCTGGGTCCACTATGTAGAGTGCTTGGATTGTTCGCCTCAGGCCCAAAAATCAAGCTTCCTGGTATTGCTTCCGTGTGATACCCGCCTCGCGACCACCACTCGCATCGTTGCACAGCTGCTTTGACCTGCTTCTTCTCGCAATCTTCAATCACCTTCGTCCTCGGGTAGTGGAAAAAATCTCTACAAAAGGCGGCTCGCCAAATCACGACGTTTTCTTGTCCGCACAGCTTGAACCAATCCGGCCACCCGTATTCCTTGTTCAGCGCAGTCTGCAATCTGCATTCCGGCAAAGAAACTTGGATACAGCTAAGCAAGACTGCCTTGTTCAATAGAGATTTGAAGGAGTTGATCACAGACGGCGCATTCGGGTCTGGTTCTTCCCCTTTCTTCTTTCTAGGCGGGCTGCCACTGCTAAAAGTCGAACTTCCCCCACCAGTGATCGATCCACCTTGCAGCATACTTGAGGAAGATGAAGTCATCATGGTCGCACTAGCAGTAGTGCCGGCTGCTGAACTACCTTGCGCCTCTTTCAATGCTCTAGCCGCTGCACGTCGACTGGCTTTGCTATCTAGCTCGACACCCTCTAGCATGCGGTCGCCCCAAACGTTCTCCAAGAAGTTCCAAAACACTAGAGAGGGATGCTTCTCCAAAGTCTGAAGCAATAGCATGATGCTGTCGTCATGCATCAGCATCACGCTTCGCATGCTCAAGGACTTCAAACTCACGTTGTGCTTCAGTCCTGCGCAAAATGGATGAATGCACAAGTCCGACAGACCCGTGTTGTCGACTATGAGCACTTCTAGAGACTTCGTCCTTCCGAGGAGCTGCTCGAAAACCGACCACGCCCTTGCCGTCAACGCATTGCCGCCAAGATCCAAGGTGTGTAGTCTTGTCACCATCGCTATCGCCAACAGTGGCATCACTACTGGATAACCTTCGGCTTGCTCTATCTCCTCATTGTGTATGAAACGAAAATCTGTGTTATCATTATCAAGTTTCTTATAAGTAGAAAAGTACCATAATGATTGTTTCGTGGGATAAACCTAAGGTTTAAAGGCAAAAACTAACCGGTTGTTTTTTTTTAATGATAACAGATTTTGGTTTCATATTGTGTGTCCCGCTCGTTCCATCAGCACTATTGCTGTTTGCTTGCGTGTCCTGCCAGGCCTGAGGCGGGTACCCGTTCCAATCTGACGTTACGCGCAAGACGTCTAAAGCATGACTCCACATCGGTGGACCGTCAGGAACTGCACGATATTTTATTCCTCGGTAGTACTCCCGATACTTTCGCACATTCGTCTGCGGCACTAGCATGTTCATCCCCTTATTTGCGACACGAATTCTTTTCGCGTAGTGCTTCCCCAAAGAAAAGTCGCCTTCTTGCTGAGCATGCTGAGCAAAAGTGTCGTCTTCGTCATCACTGGCGAAAAACGTACCACGACCTCCACCTCCCGCAATTCGTGCGTTCTTCAGGTGTTTCCTCAAATTCCCCCAAAGCTTCCCACCCCGCGAGGTGGTCCGTTTCTCCATCCTCTGCTTTCGAACACCGCGTTTATACGGGTCGCCTAGGTCCACGTCGCGCCGACTGCTCATACTTGAAGCACTATGAGAGCGAGTACCTGGAGGGAGGAGGAGACTAGAAGGTGGAGAAGGACTTTGAAATTGAACAAGTCTCGAATTAGCTTTTTGTAAGGAGTATTCATTTAATGAAAAATGGACTTCATTCCTTTTATGACTACGACGACAACCACACATGCGTCGATCCAAATTACTTGATGAGAAAGTACCCGCCTCCCTGCTCCCTCCTGTGCCCCTCTCCAAAGCATCACGTCCCACGTCTTCTGCTGCATACTTCCGCTTCGGCTCGCCTCGTCTTCCCTTTCCTCTAGGCCCTGGTGATGTCAGTTCTGTCGACCTCAATCGCGGATTGTGTCTCGGCGATTCCTCGAGGAATTTCTTGTGTTCTGGCGACTGGACGTAGTCTAGCAGTGGCGACTTCGCATAGTCTGGATCTGCTCTAGGGTCATCTTTCGCATATGGCGTATGCTCAGGAATGCCTTCCATCCTATACCTTTTCACGAATCGTCCATCGTCCGGCGGAATTGCATCCTGTTCTGCTTGAAGTTGAGCAGGAGTCTTGTTGTTCACCAGGTTCTCGGAACCAGCTAGTAAGCCGACGCCAGGCCCAGTAGGACCCGCGCCGCTGGCTGGCACTTCCACTGTGCCGACTCCACCGGTGTAGCCACCAAGCAAACTTTTCGAGGCAGCTGCTTGTTGTTGAGAATCCGCTGCTGAGTGCATCCGACTACCAGTCAACGCACCAGACGAAGTCGTCATCGGTCTTTGACTATCAGCTGTCCCAGTACGTGATGGCGGTTCTTCCACGAAAGCGTCAAACTGCCCCAATGCACTTTCGCCACCTCTACTTTCTATCTTCCTCGCTGGCGAACCCCCGCGACTCTTCACCCCAATCATCACAGGATCTTTCAAAACCGGACTCAAGATGTTGCCAGCTGCTGCCTCAGCTGCCAGTGCCATCTTGGACTTCTTTTTACCCGGACTACAAGTGGGGGACATGATTGTCGAGATACTATGCTGTTCTTGCAACATCATGCTTGTTACGTCCTGACTCTGTCCCACTCGTCCTAAAAGGAGGTGACCACCTTGCTCCTCGACGGAAGGCATCAGAGTACTCGAAATGTTCGCCATTGATCCGGAAAGCACCATACCAGACAATTCCCCAGACAAGAATTGGTCCTGTATTCTTGGACTCACCGTTTGTTCTACCCAATACCTCCCGAGTTGATGTTCTCCGTAAGTCTCGGGTCCTAGCCCTTGAAACAAAGCTTTTTCTCTTCTTTGGGCGTAGTCGGCAGCCCGTGAACGTGCCTGGTTTTCTCTGCCAGGATGCATAGGACTGACAGGAGCTATCGTCGAACCACCACCTCCAACGTCACCGGTGCCGTTAGTCGTGAACGGAGCTCCGATTGTCATCATTCCCCCAGCGCCAACACCGTTCCCAAGAAGCAGTCCACCAACTGCATTTTGCTGTTGGCTTCCGGGTCTCCCAGTAATCTCTTGATTAGCTCCAGGTGGAAACGCATCGAAAGCGCCAGCATCTGTCGCTGCACCAAAGGACAAGGTTGAGTCGCCTCCAAAAAGAGTGCCTCCTGCACCTCCAGGATAAATACCAGGAACGCCAGGCAGAGCAGGCATACCAGAGGGCACCTCCTGTGGCATTCCAACAGCACCCCCTCCTAGGTTCGGCATGGAAACTCCTCTCGCCAACTGCTTTTGAGCAGCAACTTGCTGTCGTGCCTGCTGCTGCAATACTGGGTTGTCCTCCACACTGAACAATGGAGCGCTCAAGAGACTGCTACCTGCCGCCAACGAGTCGTCCTCTCGCATGACGGATTGCTGCAGTCTGTTCGGGTCGTTGTCTGTGTAGCCGGTTGGTAATCCCGTATGCGCAGCTTCCATTTTGAAATGGTGTGTCAATTGCGCTGTCCCTCCTTCTACCGAGCTCGACGGCGCCGCAAGCATCCGAAACAACGCTGGCGTAGAAGCATTCTTAAACATTCCTCCTGGCTGTTGAGACAGTTGAGCTGCTTGAGGCTTTGGAATCTTGGGAGCAAAAAACTGTGCTCCCGGAGGAGCACCGTCAGCCTCCGAATCGTCATCCTCTCCTGGCTCCTCGTCATCCGATATCCAACCTATGTAACCAGGAATCTCGTCTTCGGTTCCTAGACCGCAACCTTTCATTAAAAGCTGAACTTGAAACATTTCAACACTTTCTGTTTCTTCAGGTTGTACTTTGCAATGTAGTATATGTAGTTAAGGGAGGAAAGCACTCCTCATGAGTAAGGAAATGTTTCAAGAACCCATAATTTCAAAAACAAGTGCTGCAACACGCTGTCCCTTCTGCGTGGATACAGGGCTTTGTAGATCAACTCGATGGATTGGAGGGAAAGGTTGACATTCTCGAGATGAAGAGAAGTCAAACATTCAACACAAGTCGCCAAGATCATCTGGATGCCAGCGTCTGGAATGAGACAGTCCGTAATGTTCAAAAACTGCGCCGACGGAAGGTCTTCGAGAACTGGAGATGGAGAGAGAAAGAGTGGTTTCGAGCAGAACTGGAGGACGAGAGTGAGTGAATGACGGTTTTTTCTCCGCAAATTAATGCTCACAATTTCTCAATTTGCAAGTGAGACCAAGAACTACACCAAAATTATAAAAACATGAGTGAATTATAAAAAGATTTGAGACAGTGATGTCTAAAAAGCAGCATTATACCTTTCACAATGCAATGGCAATGCATGACGCTGAGATCCAAGCCTTTCATGTTCAAGTTCCTATGTTTTTCCACGTCCTCGAACATGGATGCCATCTGCGCGAGACTCCCTCTTTGCACTTCATTGTTCTCGCAGTGGGTCTTGTAACTCTCCATCGCACTTGATAGTTCACTTTCTGGGATAACGGCAAGTTTCTGTTGCTCCATAATCGTGTCTGCGGCAGTAGAAACAGCGGCTCCTATGTCTTTCAGTTTCTTGTCGCTCTGGATCTTCTTCACTGACGATCCCCATCTCTTTTTTGCGGCACTGAGAGGCGAGCTAGAACCTCCATCTTCAGTAGTTGTCTTTGCTGTAGCATTTGGATCAAGAACTTCAACTCCTGCATTGTTTGTTGAAGAGTTTTCATCACCAGCAGCACCTCCTCCTCCTGTCGCAGAGCTTGTTAACATCCCAGTCGTTGTATTAGCCATTGGATTTTCAGAAGAGGTGACAGTTCTTGTAATGCCTACGGGCCCTCCTGTGGTGCCTCCTGAGGACTTACGACCTGGCGGTGGCGTATTCTCTAATGGATTATCTCCTTCATCGGTTATTTCTGATGTACTATCTGCAACACTGGATGCTCTACCGGGACTAGCTGTACCTCTACCTCCAGCTCCGTGGATGCTCTTAGTACCACGACCTCCTGCTCTGTCTACCCCAACTTGTGAGCCGCCGTCACGACGCGTGAGTTTTTTCTGATGTTTGCCTTTGCGGAAAATTTTCGACTCCTCCTCTTTTCGCATTCTAGTATGGACATTTTTTGGTATTGTGCTCTCGTAGACCGCGCGTTCCGTTAGCCTTTTGCAGTAGAACTTCTCCAGGTCGTCGTCTAACGCGGCAATGAGGTCAGAAGCTGTTGTTTTCTTCTTAGAAGGAGGTCCCTTGATGTTCTTGTCTGTAGCGGTACTAGAGGCCAATAATGGAACCCTTGGAACAAGACCGTCTGGTCCAGCAGCACCTCCTGTCTCTGTGGACGCCTCCTGCAGTGCTGTCGCATTTGTAGGGCTATGACTAGGAGAACTACCAGAAAAAAGAGTCGACGCACCACCACGTGTTGCACCAGGAGGAGCTATGCTATTGCTACCACGACGAGCTTGTTCCCTTTCCTTGCGAGCTTTTTCGAGTGAGGGCTCATACACAGCGTCAAATTCCTGCATCGTTGGGACGCTGTGATGTGATGGTGATGAATGAGTTTAATGAAAAATCTTTTTGGTCCACGCAATCGTCACACGATTTTTTTGAGACGAAAAATGTTCTTTCCAGAACTACAACAAGAACAACCTGTTCATTTTTGTTGTTGGTAATACCGTAAGTTGATCACGTTCAACACTTAGAATCAAGCTATTAACTCATTTAATTTGAAGTACCCTTTCCTCAGATTGCCTGGCCATAGAAAGCTGTAGCTGTCAAGTCTGCGATGCAAAGCTGTCGTGTTGACATTGGTATTTGCCCACTTCTCTTCCTGGAGTCGTAACAGAGTGCGTTCATCATACACCCATTCGGGTGTCTTCGTGCCACTCGCAGGCCGCATTTTTTTGTCGAACTCATCTCCACCGATAGAAGTGTTGCTCATCTGTGTACTTCCTTGTCCATCTGTGTTCACTTTAGACGCGGACCTGCTTGTCGCTGAAGCGCCACCAGCCGACGCAGCACCAAAGGATGCTGATGTTGCATTTGCTGGGTCCAGAAGATGGCCTGGTTGACCTTCCACCCCAGCACCTCCTAGAACAACTGTACCACCTATCCCCGGAAACAGTTTTTCCCTGTCGAATTGAGCGAATTTTGTGCTAAACGCGTTTTTCGTGTAGTGCCTCTTGAAATTCTCCGCGTTCTGCACTATGCGATCGATCTTACTCGGCTCCCCACCAGGCCGCATCGTAGTGATGTCTACCATGTTCATGTGTGCTATCACTGGCCGTTCGTCCCCACGTTGGGGCTCGCGCAGACCTGGTGGTCGCCATGCTAATGGACCAGAAGGCTGGTGTCGGGTCTTGGGTGGAGAAGCAGTGCCACGTGGAGGACTGTGCACCACCCTCGCGTTCGAAGGCAAACTACCGCCAACTTGCTCCATGATGGTCGTGTCGTTTCCTTAAACCCCCGTAAGGTCCTTTACGTCGACGTTTATAACTGCAACGTGTTTCTTGTACGAGGATACCCTCAAGCAGAGCTTTTTGAACTTTCCTTACACAATCATATTCCTTTGCGGGGATACCGCCCAACTCAACGGGTTAGGGTACTAGACCCCCGCGTACAACAGTGCCCTAAGAGATTGATACAGGGGGATGTCAATTATGTCATTGTCATGATTCTTCCCAAGGAAGTTCATTTCTTTGGCTACTCTGGCCTACGCTTATTCTTTTGTACACTACAGACCACATAAGTACTCGAGACGGTTCTCCTGTGGGCTTCTGTGCTGGTCTCTCCTTACTTAAACTTAAGTGTCGCACCGAATCCGTAAAGAAACGATTTTTCTGTATTTTCCACCGAGTCGATACTGTTGTCCCGACGACTACTAGTACGATACTTTTCATTTATTTCGTCCTGCTCTCTCAGGTAACGAATACAGATGAACGACAACGTTCTTGCTCAGATCACGTAAGTATTTCCAAGCACTCAAAAGTCCGACATTCAACGAGAGCAATAAACGCTCACCGACAGTACTTCTTAGTACGCGAGCTCTGAGTTCACGGTAAGCAACCCCTTGTGGAAGTAAGTACGCCTGTGCCGGCATCCGCGATTTCGTCCAAGAACGACTATAATCTCCGCTTTGCTGAACTTTGTCAACTCCTGGAACGGACATGGACATCCACATTTTTATCAACTCCTGGACGTTCCTTAATCAACTCTCATTTAGGATAGGAAGTTTGGGACCCACGGGGGGGGGCACGGATCTATCTTTACAAATCCAACTCTACGTACGAACCATGGTTTTGGTCAAAGGTGAAATTATATTGAGTGAGTATGAGGTTAGGTTAGGAGTGAACAACAGGAGGAAACGTTGAATAAGAATCAGAACATTGGTGGACTGAAAATTGAAAAAATCTTTCAACACAGAAAAACAATCTCAACAACTCATCGTCATCTTCAATGCGTCTACCCAAATCAATATCTTTGTATGATCTGATGCTGATCATTTTCAATGCGTCTCGTCAAATGAAAATGATGATGTCGTTTTCGTTCTTACAAAAAATCACATAGAAATAGGCACCTTTAAATTTACACGAGAGGCGTACGAGGGACGCCAAAAAGAAGGGCGGCGTATCTACGAGTAGATTGAAGACTGAGTAGAGAAGTCTATTGAAGATGACGTTAGTCGATTCGGATTGGGCCTACAACTTTCACCTAAGTAGAGATGTCTCTTACAAGAACTCTGCCAAAAATTACAATTGCCAGGCTTTCGGGTTTTTTGTTAAGAAAAAACTTAAGTGAGACTGAATCAAGTTCAAGTAATCGTAATGCGCTAGTTATTATGTTAGCAGGGAAGAGCTAAAGCTATCACCGTGAAGCCAGTGCCAGACTAGGCCTTTCTGGCTCTAACTACAACAGTTACAACCTGCACAGTCTAACCTAGTAGTACCAATGGACAATAGATTTATTCATATATTTAATCGTGGTTCTTCTACATCGTCATCGCATTCCGCTCCAACATCTCGTCGAGATCACTTTCACTTCCCTGAAGAATATGCTCGAATCTAGTCTGGTTGTAGTCCTTGGGAGAACTAGAACTACCACCAGGGCCACTAGCACCTCCTAGACGTGGTCCTCCTGTTCCTCTACTACCTCCACTTCTGTTACCTCCGCCCCCTTCACCTACATTGTTCAACATTTTTCCTCCTCGTACGGTAAAACAATCGACTAGATGCGGCGGCGAAGCTTTCGCAGAGAAGTATTTCGAAGGCAAAGGGTCGTTCCAAGGATCCATCTTGCATTTCCTGGCCATCGAATCCAGTTCCCAGTGTGCGCCAATTCCTTCGCCAACATTCTCGATGCCTACTGCCCACGCTTTCAGGTTTCCACTTTTATCGATGCGACAGCGCACGAAACTCTTATGATTCGCATCGCGGAGGCTGACGAAAGCTTCATTCTGGTGGATGTAGAGGTAAATCATGCAGAGCGCGAAAAACGATCCCATAACGAAAGCAGCGACCGGAACTGCAGTGGCGTAGAAATAAACGCCCATGCCGAGGCGATAAAAGATCATGCCTTCGCGGGAGATTTTTGTAGTTTTTCTTCCCCCAGTTGTAGTTGTAGTTGCGCAGATTTGCTCCTTGGCGTCGGTTAGTCCTCCAGGAACCTCGATTGCTTGGAGGAGAAATTTCAGAATAGAGTGAAGCACCTCGCGACCGAAGAAAAAGGTGTCATCGACCCAAGTAACGACCTCCGGAGTCGTTTGCAACGGCTTGTGGTACTGCGTGGAGAACTGCAACATGACTTCCAACGAAACCGCGAAGAGAACGATGCACAGACTATGCGCCAAGCCATGCAGCATGCCTGCCAATCGCCGGACATTGACGTTGCGCGCGATACCAGTGCAAGCGTAGGTGTCTTGCGTGACACAAGCGCAACCAATCAGTAGAGCGACGTGGACAAAGAGTGCAATGTTCGTCTCCTGCCAAATGTGATGGTAGCACTGGGGCATCAGGGTCGTGAAGAAATGAATTACGAGCGCAAGAAGCCATACAGGAAGAACGTCATCCTTGATGTTCTGCTCATTTGCTCGCAGTTGATGTAGTTCTTGAGAAGCGTTCTTATCGGCAGCTCCAGGTAGTTGAGACTCTTCAGACTCATCTGGCGTCAACAAAGTGGTAACCGACTCGTATGCTGTAGGAAAGGTGGTTGCGGCCATGATTTTCGCTTGTTGAATCGTTCCTCCCGCTGATTCTACAGAGTCCGCTAGAAGCGAGGCAACCACAGTTAAGGTATCATCGCCTCCAGCTACTTCTTCTTTCTGATTCTGTTGTAGTTTTTCCCTAGGGGCATCCACCTCGTTTCCTGACTCTGTTCTCCACAGCCATGTAGCTCCTGTTCCTCCGTTCACTTCTCGAGTGAGGTAGTCCAAATCACCTTTAGAAGTAGTAGAGGTAGTACTTCCCAAACTACCAGAGGACGTACTAGTTGCATTCGCTGTGCCTGTTAGTGTAGCTACAATTCGCCGTCTTGTCGCTGTTAGGGTCTCAGCACGGCTCTGGATCCCTTTCTGCAGGTCCGCCAGCTGGATGAAGCACAAAGGAAACGCTCCTAAGATGCCTGCCAAGTAGATCATGCCAATGACAATGTCAGCTTGGTAATTTGCGTTACGCCACTTGCGAGGAACGGATCTGGCCATTTTGTTGGTCTGCTCGGCTGTGGGGTACATGGAAACGGGCTTGTAACCTTGGTAGGGCAACCTTGGTTCAGTTTCGTAGGGTTCATAGTGGGTCGTGAGCATTTCTTGGTGCCCCCATGGGGTCGGGTGTGTGAAGGCGCCGCCGCCACCAGCAACGATGAGGGGAACGGCTTCGGAGTGAGAGATTACCTGATAGAGTGACAGTGATGAACAGGTCATATTACAGATCAGGACAGATGAAGGTACCTGCAAGCTCTGCTAAAGTGTTGTGACATTAAATTTGGAACGATATACAATGAGCAGGCTGAAAGACATTGTCTATAATTAAAGGTTGAACGAGCATTTCATTTTTTAGTCGCAATCTTAAGTAGGGCTTGTAAAAATGATTAACAAATGTTTCAACCCTAAAGAACCCTCGTCTAACAGTATTAAAACACATAAATTATCAGAAGTACCTGCGAGAGTCCATCTCGAATCGGTGTGTTTCCCAACGCGTCTGGCTCATACCGCATGTAATGATGCAAATCTCCGCACCATCGCATTGCCAACACGTCCTTCATCACGCCATGAAGCAACTGCATTAACCATGGTCCTGTCCGGTTTCTCATTGCGGCATCGTTGCTGAAGTTTGGCATGTGCGTGATTGCTATAATTAGAGGGTTAATAGGGTCTCGGAGGTCTTGGTGTTTCTATGATCCCCCGTTTGTTATGCCTTTCCACCTACTTACTTTTATTGAACAAGGGCAAACAAACGCTTGTAAAAGATGAATGGTTCTGGTATTTGGTAGCCTGAGTTTGATCCTGAGGGAAAACAAGAAGAGAAACCTTAGGATCAAATGCAGGTTACCAAATACCAGAACCATTCACACTAAGTGAGGAAGAGCATCGTCGTCCCCTTAATATAACACGCGATTTGTGCGGGATCAACTCCTGTTCCACGAAGGTCTTGAAGTAGAGGAATTGACTCGCGTCGATGTCGTTCGTCAAAGAGATGTCTAACCCGAAAACGAACCAGTCTTGGTGGACTTGCGTGATAAAGTAACTGTGTTCCTGCGGCATGTACCAGCCTCCCAGCCACGCACGGTTTAGGATCAAATCCTGGTACGTTGTCAAGTTGTCGTACCAATCGTGGTTGCCGGGAATGATGAAACAAAGAGGGCCAGGATGATCGCGCAAATCCCCCGCATCAAGTTTTTCGGTCGGTGGCTGATAGTAATTGGTTTTCTTGGAAGACCCAGAGGACGACGAGGTGTGTTTAGAAACACTAGAAGGTTCTCCCCTTTCTCGGAGACTGCTCTCCACATAGCCAGACCAAAATTTTGAGAGCATCGAGAAGCGGGCTGAGCTTCTTGGTGATGAAGATACCAAGGAAGACCGCTCTGTGGAAGTGGAACTTAGCCTCGTTTCGCTTGCTCCGTGCACAGGGGAAGTAGCGAACCCACTCAGCAGATGAGGATTGATGTTTCCTACTCCCCATGACGTCAATGAAGAACTTCTTGGATCTCTCTCCCTGTCGCGAAATGTCGTCAACGAGCTTTGTTCCTTGTTCTTCAGGCAAGAGGAGTAGTACCAACGGGAGCTGTGCTTAGGGGTTTGACGTGAAAGCTTCTCAATTTGTTCTTGAACCTGCATCGAGCTTCTTCGCCTGAGCAGCGTCTTCGATCCCGTGGCACTACTAGAAGTCGTTGCGCTGTTGTAGTTCATAGAAGCGGAAGTGCCCGGGAATAACGAAGATTGTGCGTGTAAAGGAGCGCCAGTACTACTTCTAGCGATATTATAATTTGAAGATGTGGCTCCCAATAAATCTCTTCTGTCAACTTCTACAGAGTTCTCCCTTGGTGACTCTAGACTTGACAATGAGGATGTAGAGCCTGAAATTGTGGTTCCACTCGTTTCTCCGTTAGTAGACGCCATCGAATTGTTCTTACCCGGGAAGATTTCGATTTTCTTGCCCATACTAGTACTACTTCCAGAAGAAGGAGAATGCTGCTCTTCCCGTTGTCGGCTACCTCCAGACGTACTGCTAGAAGAGCCACCTTCTTGTTCGTCACCACCTTGTCCTCCGATGCGACCTGATACTCTACGCCCACCACTGCCCGAATGATGGTCCATAGAAGGTTCCCTCAATGCCAAATGGTAAGGAAAGAAGAATCTTTCTAAAAATTCTTCTTTGCTTGGGTTCGGATAGGCAATATCGCCACCATGGAAGTAATACTTCGCACGCGGGAGAACTAGGAACTGCTCTTTCTGTGTTGCGTCAGATTTTCGTCTCAGATGTTTGGAGAGAAACTCAGTCGCTTTCTTCTTCATGTTCCTCGACATACTACTAGCAGTAGCAGGGAACTGCCATTTACCTCTACTATTAGACCCTCCCGGAATCCATCTTGAAAGGCATCCTGGGCTTGCGTTTCCCTTAGACGAAGCTCCCAAGATGCTTTTCAAGATGGATTACGACCTGAAGCCGTAATACTAGTACCGTTACCGCTACCACCTCCCGTAGTCTCGCTTCTTGTTCGTAGCACTTTGTTGGGACTTCTACTGCCGACTTCTTCTTTCGATTTACTCCTACCACTCGTTCCAAGAAGCGCTCCACCTCTGATTTTTTTTGATGTGCAACATGTCTTGGCGTCCTTGTCCTTGCCAGAATCTGCATCATCTTCTTCTGCAAGGCTGTTCAGTGACAAGTTGCTGATACTCTCAAAGAGTCTACTCACTCCCCTACGTGGAATCGCAGTAGTGAAATTGAACAGCGTCTGCGCACGCGCGACTGGTCGACTTCCCGTCAGCACTTCCGCCAACATCTTCTGCCTTGGGGGTAGTTCTTCAGGCACGCGGACACGCAGCTTCGGCTGTGCTTGTGCACGAGCGATCGCATACTGAGCATTAAACCCGTCTCCCGTGTCTGCCACAAAGTCGATCCATACTTCGCCATCATCAGTGCCATCCGAACCAATGTCGTGACCGAGATCGTCAGCGTCGCCATAGTTCGAGGAAGGAGCTGGAGAAGGAGCTGGACTGGGAGAAGGAGCTGGACTGAAAGGAACAACACGTGCTGCGCCTTCTGCTCCTGGTCCACCCAGGTTTGAAGATGAAGATTCTGCGTCCGCGTCCGCATCGACCACGACTAGACTCTTCTTCCTGGGAGATGAGTCTGCGTCTGCGAATGCAGTCGTCGTAGAAGATCGATGCCTGAGAAATGCGGGAGGTGGTGCGTGCCGACGGATCTGAGTCTTTGGACTTAAAAAAATTGGAAAAGGTCCTTCTTCATCGCCTTCTTCTAGTAATTTGCTCAGAGGACTTTCACTTTCTTTATCTTGTTCTCCAAAAAGACCGGTACTGGTTGTAGCTAGAAGGTGGTCGTCCCTAGAATTTAATGCGTCACTGTTCGCTGATGCAAATCTCAATGGAGGTTCCACCTCGTGTTCCTGCCAAGCTATGTTATTAGCACTAAAGCTCCCTTTTGATGAGCTCGATCTTTCTCTTCTATGCGCGCTTCGCTCTGACGCCGATGCTGCTGCACTAAAACCACCTCCCAGATGCTGAAGAGCGGGCATGGTTCGACTGAAAATTAGACCTCATCAAAACATCAATTCACTTCTTGCCTGCACTGCCATTTCTGCCACCCGATCCTAAGTACTTGAGGGAGATTAACACTGAGCAATGAGTTGTAGATGAACTTCTTGATCTGAACAAGTGAATTGTATAGAAGGTGAGCCTTAACATTAGCACTTCTTCTAGCGACTCGAACTTTCGCCAGAAGCTGAAGACTCTGGGTGGCCCCTTCAAAGCTGTGAGCATTTGCCGCATGTCGAAGCGTCCCAAGAATAGACTGCTCGTCACCGTTACCTCTATGGCCGCAGACACTCGCATAATCGCGTACCAAGGGACCATCTCCTTCAACGTAGCCGGGTCTAGAAACTTGGCACTCTTTCTGCCAGACATCTCGTCCCACTTCGGGCCGTAACTAAGCAGCAGCCCTTTGACGTCGAACTGCACACTTGGGAAACGACTGGCGAGGAGGGGCGCTAGTAGTTTCTCCAAGATGATGGAAACTAAGAGGAGGAACGAGAAGGTGATGGAAAAGACACATTGCAACCCGATTGGCGTCCTCATTAAGGTGGCGACTGGGCTGCCGGTTCCAAAGAAAATGTGAAGGAAACCACGATGACTGCTGGTAGTCAATATAGAAGTCTGATGCTGAGCTCCTGCGGCCAGAAGCAGATCTGCATCGTTGCCATTTAGTCCTACTTGGTGCAACTTCTGATGTTGCAGTAGTACCTCACCATTCTGTCGTAACGCTGCACCTCCGTCATCTTCATCGCGCATCAGCAGTACTACCCAATACTGCAACGCCACAGAACTAGTCAACAACGTGGCATTCGAAGCGAACTCACGATGAGTGCGATGCGCAGAAAAGGGTGGTGGGTTCTTCGCGTTTAAAAAGGTCACACCATCACTCTGTAAACGTGAGGGAGAACTTTCTGGTATATCCTCCTCTAATGAGACACCCCCTGCTAGGTCTCCAATGTCTCCTGAACCTGATTCTCCACGTTCTCCGAGGACTTTACTTTCTTGTCCTTGGCCTTCTTCATCTTCATCGCGACTGCGTTTCTTGACTGGCGAAGAAGTGTCACTGAAGATATCGGTATCGTCTGATTGCACAGATGGACTTCGCATCTCATCCGGGACGTCGCTTGCAGTACTAGCTGCAGTTTTCTTGTTGGTCATTTCAATATCATCGTTCTTTCCCCCTGGAGAAGCACCTCCACTGAAGGTTGCTCCTGTGCTCGTCTCGTCATCTTCGCCCTGCTTTCCCGCAGAATAAAACGAGTTTTTTCCACAGAACATCGACAAGCGTACAACCACTCCACCGGAAACCCCCCACACCATATCAACCAAACGCCTGGTCCGTCCTCGTCGGCCTCTGAGGCAATTTACCACGCCGAAAAGCAAATCACCGCTCCAAACCGTGAAACAGCCAAACGGCGTCGCCGCCATCGCGAAGTAGACCACATCCCGAATGCCGGACGATCGAAAGACGTCTAGAGCCTTGATTTTTGGCATATAGGCGATCGCGGTCAGCGCTAGCCACAGAGACATGTAGTTGACGAAGAAGAAGTAGCGGTTCCCATAGTCTCGCCTCTCAGTAAAGGGGAAACTGAAGAACCGAAAACTCAGGTACAAAATCGTATGACCAACGAAAAACAAGCAAGTGTCTTCCCAAGAGTCACCGGCTGACGCGGAGGAAGCTAGTTTGAAGCCTGAGGACTCCATTGGTGGAGGACCTACACGAGCCTGTTCCTGTCCTGAAGACGCTGCAGCTGATGTTACCCCAATCATTTTGTTTGTTTTTCGTTTTTTTACGTTAGACTTAGAAAATCATGGGACGATAAGTGCAAGTGTAAGATTGGCAACGTTTCTAGTCTCCAAAAAAAAGCAAGAAAAGACTGAGTCACGAATTATACCTCGAGATAGTGAGGACTCACACTCATCAAGTAAGCTAAGTGAGTAGTTGTACTACGAAGAAAAAAATGGTCGACTTCGAATAAAACTAGCAGTTGTTACTCAACAATGCACAACAAGATAAAGCAAAAATCTTCGGATCTATATTCCACAACAAGTCTTTAACATCATGGATCCTCGTTCAGCACCAGGAGGATGCTTTGGTTGGAAACCACAACCACTAGTTCGCCTGAGATTTTTCATCAAGAAATCGGACTACACTTAATAAATAGAGATGGAGTCCCTAACCCTTCTCGTTGTTACAAGTTACTATCCTATTCCAACATGTCCATGCCCATTTAAAGAATCGAATTATTAGCTCGCAGACTTACACTTCACACTAAGATTTGCGTTAGCTCTGACATGCTAGAGATTCAGCACAATTATACATCAGGAGACATTATTTGCTTCTGACGGACCACGACAGCGAAAAAAACAATGGGTCGTTTTCATGGGCTTACATCAGGGTTTGCGGGTGAGCATGAAGATGCGTTGTAACACAGTCAAACCACAACTGAAGATTGCATGCTGCGTGTGTTGTCGCGTAAAAAACCATAGATGAAAAAAACTGTCAAGATGTTGAGGACTTTCACAAGAATAAACTGAAAGGACAGAATCGACAGACGACGACGAGGCACGTTGCTGATCTTGAATTGCATCTCGTTATGCAGGTTTTCTGATAGAAATGATCGAACACATAGAAGTACAACTGACTGATGCTTCCTTCTCCTTCTCGTCATTATCAAATCTGTTTTACCATCCTCTCGATCATGGTGATCACCCTGCTCGTTAATAAAACTCCTACTCGTAATTGATGTGTCCGCTCGTATACTTCTTTGTATATAAAATCTACTTGTACATGTACTTCGCACCGATATTTATAATGAATCTTCACACCGATACAGGGGGGGGCTCCCTCCCTGGTACATATATAATGTACAGCATTACGACCACCGGGGACAGGATGTATTAGGACATTTTGTCTTCGTGCATCAAAAGAACACTTCTTGTCTGCGATCTAGGTAGAGGCAACCTCTTCCAATAACTGATGAATGGTGATGAAGATGATCTTGTTCAACACTAGATCATTCTTCTACCTAGTAGTAGTACGTCATTCTTTTCATAAACGTTTCAGAGACTGATGCCAGAGTTCTGCGGAGTAGAACCGACTTTTCCCGAGAGAATTTGTTGCTCGCAGATATACCGCGTAGTATACCACACTTACCAGTGTGTGCACGGTGTAGAGTGCTGAGTGTGGGTGAAAAAGGAGTCAGATGATACTTCTTTCATCCGGGAACAATGAAGAGGAAGCTGAAAACGACCACCTACGACTGACCACCTACGACTATGTTCTTGAAAAAAATAAGGTCACCACCAGTACCGACGTAAGCGTCGTTGTCCCAGTAGTCGGTAATTTTCCAGTCTCCGACTGCAGCTAAGAGTCTTGGTATTCTGCTCGCTAGCATTAGGATCAAGCGAAGCATTCCTATCAAATATATACTGCGAAATATCACAAACGCCTCTCCCAAGAGTCCAAAGCGCAGAAGAAAGGTGTTCCACAGTAGCGTGAAGTACAGGAGTAACAGGGAGCACTGCGAGATCACGACGACTGGAGGTGGGTTCATGTTGGAGGACCACTTGGAGAGTAAATTTCGATGAATTTTAGTACACGATTAATAAGTACTTATGATGAATCACCATATTAGCCTCTCCTCCTGGATACTTAAATTACTCACGATGTTGCCTGAAGAGGAAGAGGATAAGAATTACTTAATTTTAACAACAGCACGACCATCAATGATGATGTTAGTCGATTTGGACTGTGAATACCTGCAAACAATGCCACCACGATTCCGACGTTGTCTTGGCCCCATAGGTGCTCTGTAAACGAGTTTGCTATGCAGTCTATGACGACCATCGCAAGCATCGCATTCACCTTCCATGAGAAGGATGTTGGTGCTACACTTTGCGGCTGCATCCTCGTGTATTATTTGGTGGTGGTAGAGAGGTTGAGATTGTTGTTTCTGTAGATGCGTGTTGTTGTAGTGGCTGTAGGTCTCCTTCTCTGGTGTTCGTGTTACAGAGATGTCCTCGTTGTGAAGTCGTCCGCTTGATGTGGTCGTCCTTCTTGAGGAGCTGCTCTCAGATGGCGTTGCTGTGGATGTCAAGTAGCACTCGACAGTGGAATATGCTGCTGTGTACGTCCCGTGCTGTTGCTTCAATAGGAAAAGAAGATCCATTTGCTTTTACTGCGTTGTGTCATGAAGATCATGTGTGAAGCTAGTGATAGATAATTGAAGAGACGTCGTCGTCGTCGTACGTCTTTTCATCTTCGGACAATATCCTAGTAATCAATGTGTTTACGAAAGCAAAATCGGCGCGCAGATTGCGTTTTTCAAGGCGATATTGGGCTCGCATCCTTGTGGTCTACTCCATTTCTTCTAGCACGATTACTCTTTTTCATTTCTCTTCTATCCTCGTCTCTCGCAGTGCATTTCTCTCATCTAAGTTTACTACCAACTCCTGCAACGCCTACATATAATTTCCATCTTAGATTCTAGCAAAACGGAGACAGCGAAACTAAGAAGTATTTGCAAACCACACGCACTGCAGCAGCACGATTGTCACAGGTGCGACAACAAGCATGATCTCAAGTAGTACTAGTCGCTTTTCCCAGAAAAATAATCTTCAGGTATCGGTATTACGTCCCCATGCATGATTTCTCTTCGAATTACTTCTGCCAAAGGTAGTTCATGAAACTTGACACTGCCATGCACAGTGGAGAGGTCTTTTTCTTTAGTCCTAGAGAAAGTGAAGCTTAAAGATATGTCCGCATTCACTTTTTTCTTCAAGGCGTCAGTACACCAATTCAGTGGATGTGGTTTTTCAGGGTCCGCGCCATCAACAGGATTTTCCTCTCCATTTCCTCCTCCAACATATTTCGCCACAAACTCTTCAAACCTTCCCTCTCCCACAGCAAATTCAGCATGCTCCCACCCACTAGGATAAGGACTGCCTCTTTTTGGGCTAGGGAGTTCGATCACTGAACACTTCATGACCATGTTGTTCGTAGTACGCGAGTCTCCAGAGGATAGTACTCTGTCTCTCGTTCTACGAAAAACCAAAGGCTCCTTCAATTGGAACGTCGCAATCGGACGCCCACCGATCATAGACTCGAGCAACATATCGGCACCATCTCCGTCTCCATTCAGAGAATCCACAAGTAGCTGTTGACGTATCCGCAAGTATTCTTCAATATCTGCACATCGCCAGCATACGTGATCCATTTCGAACATACTGTCTCCTTCTGGTAGTTCTAGACCTGGAATGTGGTTGGCATAGTTCGCGAAAATGGCACTGACCAAAGCGGAGGGGTCAGAGCCGCCGAATACACGGGAAATCACTGGATGTGAGTCGCATTGGAAGACTGCTGATGGTGCGCCGGTCACGCCGCCGTCGGACGCCATGATTTATATTTTTCTTACAATTTTTATGAGCAGGTAACAAGTATTAGTATTTATTAATATGTTTACCCTAAAAGTCCTTTTTTCTGTCGGATCCTTGATGTTAATGTGAAAGCCCCGCTTGGATGCGTCGACAATGAATTGTTTGAATTTTGTTCTTTCGCCGCTTCCTTTCCAACTTCTCAGATCTAGCAATTAGTACATCAGCGAATGCATAAGGGATTCTACATGTAGATTACAATGTTGAACACTTCGTCGAAAAACAATGCCAATTGATCCCGCATTGTGATGACCTGCTGTTGAATGCTGTTGGCTGCCCGTGCCTAACGACTACGACCAAGGTCTTCGCTATTTTTATTTTTACGCTCTGTTCGTCCTATGCAACAAGCTCTATTCATTGAAAAGAACAATCACAAAAATTTCGCTGCCAATCCAGCTGCATCCCGTATCCTTTTCAAGTCTCTTACTACCATGTGCTCGCTCACTTCCACCCTTTGAGCGGCGTTCTCTAGATCTGATATTTCTTGTCGTATTTGCCTACCTAAGGTTGCTCTATCTGCATCACTGTCAGTTAATCGTTTTTTCACGAGTCTGTACAAATTGTCGAATCTATCGGTTGTCCGCAATCGTCGTGCTTCGAATGTCTGCTGATGCCGTAGGGCACGGGTCGTTATATCCTTTACCAAATCTACAACGGATTGTTGGTCTTCGATGGAAATTTTTTTCCTCGTTGCACTCTGTAATCTGGCTATCTTCAACTGCGACAACAAATCGTTATCAGCCGCCATTGCCTGTTCTCGTAAAGCCGTTAGTCGTCGCACACTACGCGTCCAATGATGCAAGCATTCCTTGTTGACCTGTTGTTCTACTCCTTGACTATCTGTATCTGTTCCACTTGATGAGGGTACTTGAGGATGACCATGATGATGTTCCTCATTACCTCCACCTCCAGGCATCAAAGACGCTTTCGCATTCGCATTATTGCGCTCCATGTCGTCAATCCATCGTTGCAACCGTTTTCCTAACCTCGAAATCCCACTAGCGTCAAAGTGGAAAGTCGGATAAGCGTGCCGCAGATGACGCTTGACTAGTTTGTGATCTAAGTTCCTCTCACTCTGCTCCAAGGCATCATCGACACTTTCACGCATCGCGTGCAGCAAGGGAGAGATGCGTTCTGCAAAGGGCGGAATTTTAGGAGCATCTTCAGTACCATGCTGATCTGCATCATTCGTAGCTTGGCCCCCTGCGCCTGCATCATTCGTGGCACTGCTCGTAGCAGACAAATCCACTTCAGCATTGTTCTGAGGCAAGAAATCCTTTTCATGACCCTCTGAGGCCTCCTTATACGCCGTGAGAATCCGTCGAGATTGTTTTTCCAGCATCTGAAACAAATCGTACAGCAGCACTTGGTGCGAACGAATGACTCCAGTCTCGTAATCAGTGTTATCGGGAATTCTAGCAATCTCAGCAAGTGGCACATTATCACCGTGAACTACGACTACTTCTTCTGGACTATCTTCTTGTTCTGTTTTACCATTTCTTGATGATGTTTTCAGTAAATTGTCCACGACATCTGAGAGTTGTTTAAGCGCAGATGGTGTAAGTGATGCAAGCTTCTGCTGGATCTCAACAGGATCCTGGTCCCGGTGCTGCTGTTCAGGGACATCTTGTTGTTCTTCCTGCTGGTGTCCAGGGACTTGTCCATTCGTGATCGGCGACCCTACCCCTGGACCACCTGCCTGAGCTGGCAGTTGTGCTGGTGGAGCTGTTGTAGTGCCAAAAGACGTCGGCTGGGAGAAGTGTCTTCTCGACCCCAAGCTCACCTCCTTGGAAGCAGTCAGTGTGAACAGAGCCTCAAAGCCCTGATCAAAGAGAGATCGGTGTACGGCCGTCATCGTTTTTAGGCTTCCTCACATTTAGATTCATTCTCTAGTAAGTGCTACGAATGCTGATGGTGTGAATCTAGTCGGCAAACTACCTCAGACTTCCCTGGCGACTTCTACCACTAATACTATCCTAAGCCAAAGGTTTTACTGCTTGTATTCTGAAAGATCGTTTTCATCAGGATCAGAGGTCTCAGGAACGAGTAGAGCAAGATCGAAAACGACGAAAACCCACCTTCGATCTTCAATCGAACACTAGGACGAGCAATCCCAAGTAGCACCTCGTCCGATGAGCAATGAAACCCGAAAGTGAGCAGTCTACAACTCTACAAGTACAACACACGGCTACGATTTTTGAGCGGCGTTGCGTATCAAAAATTCTTCTACAGCTACTTCATCTTGGTGTCGCGCGAGACGAAACTAAAGAAATCACTACTTCAGCAGCGACATCATCTCCATCAACATGAAACACATCTACACGACGTCAGATGAATTGATTCCCACAATCGAATAAAATCAAACTCCAACCAAAAGCACATCAAGCTCCAGCCAAAACCACTGGCCGCCAATCTCCTTCCAGCAGTTCACTTGATATACTCTCAATTGCCGGTTTCGAATAGGATATTCTCTGCAACGGTCCTTGCGCCATTCTATCGTCTTCCTCTACGTCGTACTGGAAAATGTTCAAATGCTCAAACTTATCTGCATGTCGCAGCAGCCGTTTTACCACGTTTGCGCCTTCTTTGCAGCCTAGAGGGTTCAGGTTCGGCAGAGGGCTCAATTGCTGAACACCTGACGAAGATGAAGACGAGCCTCCACCGTGCTGTGCTGGAAAAAGCTTCAGTGTTTTCTGCACGTGCGCTACTAGACCCAGTAATCTCAGTCGCTGCACCCAACAGTCACGGAAGCAAACGCGAGACACCTCCTCTAGAGCGACGCATCTGCTGACTACTAATGCGATGTCCAAATCTACGCGATTTACTCGCATCACCAAAGCTAGGACGCTTTGGAGCCACGCGAAACAGCCGAGAGCCCAAGCGTAATGGAAACGGCCGAAGGACTGCGGGAGTTAGAGGATGATGCTGTAGTTGTAGGGTAGTTGCCCACGGGAGTACTTAGGCACGACACGGTTTAAGATCATACACAAGGATTCGAGGCTAAAATCATACTTACACAAGCAGGATTCGAGGCTAAAACAACTAGTTGAATCTGTCAAGAAAAGCAATGAAGATCACCATAATCCAATTCTCCCAAATACGCCTCCTTTCGTTCCAGTTCTTCTACTATTTCCGGCAATGTTCCTTTCGGCGAATTGTGATCTAGCAAGCTAGGAACTGACTTTATCAGAAAGTCTTCTTTTTTCTTCAGTTCTTGTGTCAATTGTTGCTCTTTGTACCCACAGGACGTGCAAAAGTAGACATCGACGACTGAGTCTGAGACTCCTTCGCTCGTGGTTTCTGTTGCGGAAGAGGCGGACTTTTTTGTCACTGTGTCTGGTCCAAACTTCATGCCACAATAAAAGTCCGTGTCTGCGAGATCTGGTGGCAAAAGTTGTTGTTGTTGTTGTTGTTGGAAGTGGACTTCTGAAAACAGTAACAGACGCGGTGGAAGTCTTTCTCGTAAGTCTAAGTTGTAAGATGCTCCTCTGGAAAGTCTCACCTGTACTACCTGTGTAGGGTCCAAAAATGAATCTATGTATAATGGAAAGCAATCAAATTTTCAGAAAAAGGGAGATAAAACTGTAGTGCGAAGTACCAGGCACATCGTCCATCTGCGCTTCCAAGAATGGGAATTGTGCCTCATCATCTCTCTCATCATTCCGTTTACCGCATTTGGCCAAGTCTTCTTTTGACAATGGCTTTTTCCTCCGACTTACCAGAAACGCACGCTCACTGCCACACTTCGAGCACTTCACGCCACGAGAGAAGTCCAAACCTTGCATGCATCTAAAACACGCACAAAGGAATTGAAGTTTTCGCAGTTCTAGGCGACGCTCCATCGTTCCACCACAAACATTGAGGCCATCCCCGAAGTAGGAGAAAGTTAGCATCTCACCTTTAAGAATAGGTCGAACAGCGACATATCGTAAACGGCGCTGAGGCGTGAAGGTCCAGGTGAGGCATTAGAGGCGCGAGGACAAGAAAAAATTTTGATACTAAGTATAGACTGAAAATGTAGACGAAATCATAACAATTTGCTGCACATGAATGGCCCAGCTTACTTCCGATCACGAAGAGACCAGCTAGTGAGTTCCCTCCATGCCTCGTGTTTTTTTCTTGGTCCTTATGCACGTTGATGTCCGTGATACGCAGAAAGGCGAACAAACGCTCAGCGTTGCTGGATTTGTCCTTTCCACTAGCTCCTGTCTTGTTCGAAGAGAAAGCGGGATGCGAGGCCAAAGGTTCGACCTTAAGCATCTTTTCGCAGACTATTGTTAGAAGGGCATTAATGCGTGCTTAGTACGAAAGGGAACTAGACATGAACATGCTAGAAGGGAAACACCCTCCTAATGCCCTGATGTCCCTATCTTCACATTGCTCATCATCAAAAGAATATTTTGGATGATGCGTGTCGGAGCCATATCTTCAAGTTCAAACTGATACTCGAGCTCGAGGATATAAATCACAGTCGATTATTAGCTGCATGTAGTACCGTGAAAGGTGTGAATTATTCACTAGAAGAATGAATCCACGAACAAGCCGGCGTGGGGATATAAAAACCTAGATCATAATTTCAATATCGCCGCTTTCGTCCCTTGCCATCCTGCGTTTCCCTCAGGCGGTGGTGGTCCAGGATAGAAGGCCTCTAAAACCTCATCAAATTTTTCAGCTGTAGGAAACTCCGTTCGCCAATCTAGGAAGCAGGCAGGCGCGAAGAACTCCAGTTCTGGTAGGTTTACAGCTTTTGTTAGTAGGTTTACAGCTTTTGTTTAGCAGAACATCCTTGGCTGCTTTTGTTCTAGGTGAAAAGCAGCCGGGGATGATTGAGATTGAGATTGTTGTAGGGGAACGGGAAGCACAGCAATGTTGATGTTGCAGCTCTTAAGTTTTTTTTAGGCGAAGCTTGTTTTCCAACCTTTTCCTTTTCTTCTGCATGGACATTTACCAATGCGCGAACTTCTTGTCTTCTTTGCTCTTGCTTCCTTTGTTCTTGTCTTTCTAGCCCTTTTGCTGAGGGCGGGAGCATGTTGAATCCATCGACACTATCGGCTTCCTCCCAACTGACGAAGGGTTTTTCATCAATCACGGTGTCTCCAACCTGAAAATCCTTACAGGCGAAAGCAGTGCGACCTTGGTGCTCGCGGACCTCGACAAACGGGAGACCATATCGCCTGAGCTCCTCAGCGACGGGAGCTGAAGCAGCGGTAGACATTTTCTTGTGGTTCTGGTCTACTGTCGCTGTCCTCTAGTAGAGGCTTACTGATATTTTTGTTGTAGCTAGTGCTGTTGACTTTAGTCGTTACAAACTACCCATTATAACTGCTCGTTGTTCTACAATTCGTACGCGGAAGCGATGGATACTTTTTGTTAAAAAATGCAACCTCGTCTCGGTACATGTTTTGTGTTTTCATAAAAGAACTGAAATGGAGTTTCCATATCGGAACACGATTCTCCGCTAGACGCGATGAATTCGTGCGCCTTTAAGATTAAGTGCTTCTCGGCAAACACTGCTCAGCAGATCTATTTTTCTTACAACTAGTTGTTGCGATGATTGATTTTCTTCGAAAAATTGCTTACATCACGTTCTTTGACTTTGAGGCACTACTTCTTTTTTTACTTGTTTTCATCTGAGGTGCATAGGGTACTAGCTCTACTTGCGGATGCAATTCCTTTATCACTGTTCTTGTTGTTCACTCGTGCGATATGGCACAACAAAAACACTTTGGTGCAGATACTTCTATGCATGAACTTGCAAATTCTAAAATTCCCATACTCCCAATCTACCAAATGTTAACTTCTCCAAAAAGTTCCGTCGAGAAGCATCTTCATGATGTACTTCTCCCCTCCAATCCGGTGAGCTTCAGTATATCCCGTTCCAACAACGGCCAGTACTCGTCAGCCGACACAGCAACTTCGAACCTTGTCTTTACTCGTCGAGCTCGGACACGACAGTGGATATAGGGCATATACCAAAACAAGCCGATTCCGGACACCGCGAAGAGGACAGACGTTGCGCTATTGCGTATCCAGTTTGCCCACCGCGTGTTTTTCTGGACGTAGACTTCGTCCAGTTTTCAAGGGTTAGAAGCGAAGAGAGTGTGAGGGCTTGTTTTTGATGTTCAACATTGTCAGTCTCAAATGTGATGAAGTCTTACTCATTTATTGTTTCTTCTGTAAGCACTTTGATGCTTTCCAAGATTAAAGTCAGTGATCATTAAAAAATGAAGATGTCTGTAAATAAGAAGTGAAAATAAAAATCAATCGCCTATCATAATGTAAGACACTGATATCTGCCCGTGAAAGCCGCCAGCCCGTCGCAAATGCTCTCGTATTCTGCGCGCTACTGCAGGAAAAGATACCCATTTAATGTGCTTCTCGATAACGAGAACATCCAAGTCTCTCCTTTCATCTTCTAGAGAAGACCCCTCTAGAAAGGAATAGACTAGTTGCGGCTTATCGAATCTACTTCGGTCTTTATTTTTTGATGATGTTCTTGGTGTTCTAGAAGAAGATGGTAGCTCCTCAGGTCGTGGCGTCCGCGAAGAAAGTGTACAACTTGTTTGTACAATCTCCTTGATGCTTGCTGCTTTTGCACTTCTACTCGTGCTTGAGGAAGACGAAGACGATCCCTGTTCATCGAAATCACGCATCGAAGGCGTGGAAGAGGAACTGCTTGACGAGGAGCCTCCAAAAAAGCTCGCTTCATCACTCGATGAAACGTACGTCGAAGATGCTGATGTACTGAGAGTAGATGCGTTACTCTTCACATCGGAGTAGTTTTAGCGAAGAGAAAAGCCCAACCTGCTTACGCCAGCAACCCAGTATGGATTCCCCTTGTGTAAATGGGGAATGAGAAGAATGGGCTGTGTAAAGGGTTGGGTTTTTCTGTGCCTTAATAGTTTTTCTTCCCTTTTTTATCGAAATGGCCCATTCCACCCTTCTTGTCAGAGGTGAACGTTGCTCGCTGTACTTCTTCTTCACTTGTCACGACTGAAGGACCACTTGTGAAACCCTCTTTATCCAAACTGACGAAATCCCGCAAGTCGAGACGAATATCGAAGGCCGGAACCAATCTTTTCCGTCCGAATATACCATCAACGAAGCCACCGCTGGATGTGGATCGTCAAGAGATAGGTATTGTCTAAAATGCTTAGATGGCAACACGGCATCCGTCAAGAGATGATAGGCATAATTGTCTATTCTTAGATGGCATCAACTCGTCATGATCCGACTAGCAATATTTTTAACATCTTCTAGTACAACATCTACTTCAAAGAAGCAGTATCTCTATCATCTTCATCAAAGTACATGAACGACAGCCCCGCTGCGTCGTCGCTTAGGCCTAGTGAACGCGCTAGAGTCAGGGTTTCCGATCGCCATCCGGTAACTCTGAGAGAAAGATCTTGAGGCGCCGCAGCAAAGCAACGAACAAAACCTTCATACTCAACACTGTCATGAAAGAGGACTTCCTGGCAGGTCGTTTCGCGTACTCTAGAGCAACAGAGGCCTGCGAAACCCGCAGAGATACCAGGCCGCTGGATATGCAACCAATACCGGAGACGACGTATAGTTTTGTGGTATAAGTGGTAGAGGTAAGTTGCGAAGTTGTGGAGGTGGGTTGTTATCGCATGGATCATGAAGAACCATGCTGACCGTGCCTGAGAAAAGCAGGTTGAAGCGAGATTTGCGCAAAAGCTAGCAGAATTGCGCCACAGGGATGTGATAGAGGAGCATGAACAGAACCACGCGAAGGCGCTATTTTTGCCACGCGCTTTTACTGCAACTGAAGAGGGTTTCCGTGGTGGAGCCCCACGACTTTCCGGATGAGCATCATCTGTAGATCCATGCGCGTTTCCGAGAACAGGTCCAGCACTAACACTAACACTATTAATGCTAGCTGTAGCTCTACCTGCATCATTTCTCCTCGTCCCATCTCCGCCTCTAGTACAGCCTGTAGTTCTAGTATTTTTTTTCCTTTTTCCTTTTGAAGTTGGAGAACCAGTACAACAATCGACTACTCCTAATGCGTTGTTATAGAACTTTACGCTCCAGGTATCCGCATCCCGACCTAAGCGATGGACTAAGAGTAGTCCGAGTCCTATGCTTGTCCAATAGAAGCCTAGGAGCATCAGCAAAACTAGCGTGTCTTGGACTGCTAATCGACGACGCAGTGTGTACTCCAGATCAGTAGAGGGTAAACTCTGATGCCCATCACGTTCTAAGCCGGTACCCTCTAGAGCGGCAACGATGGTTTCCTGCAGTGTGGTTGCTTTGTCTTGGCAATAGTGGAGAAGAGAAGAAAAACCGGAAAGCAAGTCCTTGCTGAGATCAATCAGAAAAACTGATGTAGAAACGTCGACTTGTTTATTTGAAGACGGAGAACTAGTAGGTGCTGGTGGCTTCTTCGTTGTTGCTTTCATGTCTCTATCGGCAGTTTTCTCTGTGGTGGTCGCAGCACGACTTGTTCCGGACGAGGCACCACTTCCAACTACAGTAACAGTCCCTTTCTCAACATCTCTTCTGCTCCTGATGTTATTGGGCTCGTCAATGTCAAAGGTGGATGAGGGTCGTACATCTGGTTCTCCTCTTTCTCCGCTTTCCTGAAGTACTGTATTTTTAGCACTCCTCTCTTCAGAATCCGTCAAAACCTCCTCCGAAGGACCTCGTTTAAGACTATTCGAGCTTGTGCTTCTTCCTTCCCGCCTAAGTAGTCCCGACTCCTTGTCAATGCCAGTACCGTCGGGAACTGCATGATGAAGCAGGTCTGCAAAGATGTCAGCGTCTGAGGAGACTACAACTCGGTTCTGCTCAGCGTGCTGCTGGCTTCTAGCGTGGTCGGTGCGTCTCGTGGAGTAGCCATCACATGGCAGAGACGCGAAGAAGCTTAACCCGAAGAAGATGAGCCAGGTAAACATTGTGAGGACTGAACAAGAGGATGAAATAAGGGCGGAGAGATACCTCCCTGGCTCTAAGCTGCTCCTCGTACTGTGATCGCGTTTGGAAGGTGGGGGTGGCTGCATGTTGCAGCTTAACTACTAGACTTTGTATACTATAAAAACAGTCCGATCCTGCATTTCATATTTTCCTGATGATAATCGCGATCAAGGATTGATGTGATCTGGCATATTTGTGCACTACCTGCACATGCAGATACGATCTTCGAAGCCTTCTCAATTACATAGCCCAGTAAAAAAATTGTCAACCTAAATCTCAGTCTATGGCCTCTAGCTCGTCAAAGAGAACATTTTCGAAAAGCAAGGTTCAAATTTGGTCTCTGTCGGTGCGATGATGTCTCGAGCGATGTTACCCTTGTTCTTATGCCGAGGAAGAAATATTCGCTAGTTCATCCGCAACTTCAATCAAATCTCGACGAATACGATTGCATCACCACTCACATCAACGAAACAACACAATCCACTATCTATGATCATGTGCCCGACCGCGACCATCCGATTCGAGTATAATCGGTCCTTCTCCTTGCGTCGAGTGTAATATCATCGCTTCACATGAAGAAGATGACTTAGGTGGCAAACTATGACCTGTACTATATTCCTAGGAAAAAATGATAATCTATCAAAGAAGTAGATACTTGTTTGGCAGAAATTTCAGAAATGTCGTGTATCGCCATACTAATACTAGCTAGGTTGAGACATCTAACTATGTTTTCAGGTTTCTTTAAGAAATTAAATTTGAAATGAATAAATACTAGTTGTGATGGAAGTATTTTACAACGAAGAAAACCAACCAACGTGTCATCTATGCTTTTACGGGTGGTCCACGTGCAAGAACTTGTTCACCTTTCTACAACTAACAAAGTTTTCTTACAACAAACGAAAAAATAATTATATCAACAAAGAAATCATGCTTGAACCATGATGTTATTATGTCTATGCATTGAAACAAATGTGTTCGCCATTGATGATGATGATCATAACCCGCGTATAATTATGAAATATTCTCAAGTAGAAGTTGTTCTTGTTCTATGATACAGCATGCAAATCTACCACTTCCGCTCGGAGGAAATTTCTTCTCCAGCTTCCGATCGCCGCGCACCTAGTAGTACTTCTACTTCTTAACTACCTACTACAACCTTCGTTCTTTACTTCTTATCTCTACTCGTTTACCTCTCATCCGCCATCTTGTATTTCGCTACTTCTCATCAGCATCCTTATGCGATCCTTCCATTAGGCTTTGTAGTTGCGGACAGTTTTTCAAGTAGCGGCCATGAAATTTGTCCTGATCGCGGAAAATGCAGATGTACAACGCGTCAACTGCAGTGGTGTAGGTTTGCTTAGAAGTGAACTGTCTGTTTCTGGTCGTGCAAAAAGCCTTTGATGCATGTAAGGTATCCTTTATTGAAGATCTCGTTCTCGTCTAGACCGATTAAGTATTCATTGTCCTCACAAAGAATAATAAAACTGATAGATAAAAATGATAGAACGATGAAGCAAGTGTTGCTAGTTCCCTCGTTGGACCAGCCTTAATCTTTGTCAATGAGAACAGCATGAGAACGCTAATCCCGGCACAGACTACCGGCACCGTGAAGCCCTCTTCACCGAAGACCAAAAGCTGTTCGTATGCCGATTTCGCAATGTCGCTTCCGCAGTCTGAATTCTGCAAGCCAATATTGTGCACTAAAAACGCCAACAACCAGGTACATGCAGGAACCAAAAGAAGCAATAGCGCCTTCACTAAACGCGTCAGAAATACATTTGTAGCGCATTGAGCTGGATGCTGAAGCATCAATTTTGTGACGCGGACAGCGGAGCGGCAAAAGCCGCGACCCTCGATGGCCACAAAAATAAACGCCTGCCCAGTCACGTAAAGGATGGCCCAGTTAATGGCCAACAGTATCCGCTCAAGCGAACAGCAGGAACAACCACCTCCAGAAGACGATGAGGAACTCGAAGACACTCCCAGCATCCCTTCTGCGGGACTGGTGACTGTGCGGCGAGCCTTCTCCTTGGCCCAACGTAGGATGGCAGCCAGGACTTGCAAGGTCCAACACACCGACAACAGGAAAGCACCGAAAGCACAGGAACCTTGTTCGGTATTGCAGCGAATGTAGCTAAGTGCTAGCGTGATTGCTAAAATAAATCAGTCAATAGAAGATACAGGTCCAGTTACTTCTTGATCAGGCTGGGAATAAAGATAAGTTCTTTATGACCGATTTCGGTCTACTTAATCGTTCTACGATTACGATTTAGGTGTTTTTTATCTCACAGGAAAAGGACTGTCAATGAAATTTAAATACCGGCATGTTTCGAGACCACCAAAGGCAGTAGGCATAGAGCGCGAAAACAGGCTCGATCGTGTTCCAAGTCGTAAAACATGCTCTCGGGATCGTTGCGTTCGAAATACCACTTCGACACGCACAAAGCGGTACAGGTCTCAAGCAGAGCGTTAAGGAAAGGAATGAACGGTTCAGGAAGACAAAAATAGGCACGGAAAGTAAGATTTAACTTTCGATAATTCTTGACGTCGTAAAACTAAAAAAAGACCCAATAGATACGAACCAAATCATAAAAAACAGCACCCAGAAGAATCCAAAGAGCATGAAGATGAAACCAGACCAACTCAATGCGTTGGCACAGCTGCTGACGTCTTTGCCAAGTATCTCTTGGCCAAGGCTATCTCCGCAAATAGTTTGCACTAGAGCAAAAGCCTTCACTTCGTCTAGGTTCATGGCCCACATCAGCTGTGGTTAGAAGAAAATAGATGGTTCAGTTGTTGGCACAAGACAACCATGGCACAGGCGTTATTCAAAGTGTATCAAACCTAGAAACCTTAAAACTAAAAGACGCGTCCCTTGTATGGTGGTGGAATTTGGTAGCCTGAGTTGGATCCTAAGGGTTCTCTTCTTGTTTTCCCTTATGATCAAATTCAGGTTACCAAATACTGGAACCATTCATCTCTACTACTAGTAGTACTAGGCGCTTGATAGTAAAAATTGTGGCCTTAACACACAGGATATCCGAATATCGCGATGACCATGCCAGTTAAGAGTATACCCAAAAAGCCGAACCACAAAATGCCTGGGAGTTCCAAAATGACACGACCCGTGGTCTGCAGTAGCTTCAAACCAACATCGATGCGCCGCTTCAACAGCACAAGCAGTAGTAAAAGCACCGCACCCGCGACCAAACCAACAATAGCCCACTGAGATTAGAGAGCGAGGGTTGATGATGGAATGAAAAAACCAACACTTGCTTCAACAATTTTTGTATCACTCCTTCCTAAGTATAAGTAATCCATGTGGCGTGCCTTTTTCCATTGATTTTCGAAGAAAACATCGAGAACAAACTGAGGAGTGTCTAAGTGCTTGTTCTTAATTTTGCCAAAAGCTCGCTTCTGCTGCGTTGTAAGTCAAAACTTGAGGCCAGTGACACCCTTCTTGATTGTCCGCGTCCAAGCGATCCAGTAAGGCTGAGGGCAACCAGCCCGCTTTCAACAGTAGTAGCAGATTCCCTAGGATGATAAACAAGAACGAAACAGCGTAGATGATCCACGTTAGGACTCGAATGCAATGCGGAATCAGCCAAAGGCACACGCAGCCAAGCAGAACCGGGAAGACAACGCCGTGATTAGAGCGTGGTACTAGTGATGGTTGGCTTGTTGATCTTCATCACTGTCCATGCAGAAACACCGTATTTTCAACATCCCTTGCGGAGTTGTATTCTTCTATGCATTTAGTGCAAAGATATACCTACTTGTTATCATGTGGATAGGAAGCTAAGAAGTAAAACAAAACAAAGACCACAAGCCATAGCAAGAACTAGCACGACTGCCCAATCGTTGCGCACAATATCGTAGATCTGAAATCCCCATCTGGATACCAGATCCACCAGTTGATTCTCCGTTTCTGCTTGATCAGATTGTCCTCCATCTGCATATTCTGCACCACAAAACTTCGCGCGTTCATTAGAGCTCGCCCGAATCCATCTCGAGATGCGTCCTCGGTGTCTTTCCCCCTTGAAAAGCAGACTCTTCAGGATCGATGTCTTTCAAAAAGATGGATTAGGGGAAGCCTTAAGTTTAGTTGCTGTAAAGGTCGGACGCGCAACGGACTCGGTTGGGGCGAAGTAATTTTTCTTCTCGCTAGTCGGTGGATACGGGTACAAATTGGAACGCACTAAAGGGAGATCCTTGTCGTCTAAGGATTCATCTGCGGTTCGTGGGTCCCATCGCTGCAAGTCTTTCCGAAAACGATCGAGGATTAGAAACGAGTAATCCAAATGAATCTTCTCCTACAGCTACAGGTATCTCTAATTGTCTAAATTAAAATTTGTGTCTTGTTAATTCACGGCCACGGATTAAGATGAATCTTTATCTTAGACGGATTAAGATGGGTAGTACTCAAGATGAATCTTATTAGTACTCAAGATGAATCTTTATCTTACTACAGTATGTCTTTTTGACCTCAAATCTTAACCACATGCTCTTGACCCCGGACACCAATTCGTTCTTTTCTTGGACGATTAAGCGGAACACGTCCCTTACGCTGTCTTCAACGTACTCGAAGGTTTCCTCCGCTTGCTCAGCAATGCGCTTTTTAAGGTCTTCCATCGCCGACGAACTGGTCTCAGACTCCTGTCCCTCTTGCTCCACACCTGCACGCAAAAATTAGAGCTGCTACGAACGCCTAGTTCATCAATCCCTGCTATGGGAACATCTTCAATCCCTCCCTTGAGTTAGTGTTAGTCCTCTTTGGCATTGTAGTATACCTAGTGAGTCGGAGGAGAGTAGATCACCACAAGTAGATAGCAATGGATTAGCAGTAGCCTTAAAACAAGGCAATACCCGTCCCACCAGTGGACGTCGTGGTCGCATTTAGGGCAGCGTTTCTTTGTCGGATAGCAGGCGTTCCCAATTGGCGTACCGATGGATAGAAAGAAGATTCGTAGTCCATCTGTTGTCTATTGGAAACTAGCCAGAGTTAGAGTGGACCTCAATTCATCTCGGTGCCCCTTCTTGGTACCTTTGTTTTCTCATCCATTTCATGAGAATGGGGTACCAAGATGCTGAGAGTTGAGAGATGAATTAAAGCTGACCAACATAACAGAGAATCTTTGTGATTTGGTTATTCAATTTGTCCGTCTGTTTGCGGCTCTCATCAATTGTACCCGTATAATCTGCTAGTAGATTGCTCTGCGTGTCGCTGTTAAAAGGCAGAAACTGCCCAAAACCATCCACGTAATAGCACGCAACATCGTTTTGCAAAAAGTTCCGTTCAGCCGGAGAGAAAGCGGTTGAGGAATCCTGAGGAAACGACTTCAAAACTTGATCAGGACAGCAACCACGGAATTCGAAATCATCACCTTCTCCACGACGTCCACGAGGAAGTCCAGCTACAGAAGCCGGCGAAGTGAAATTAGATGATGAGAATAATTGCACGTACACTGACACTCGTAGTCGACTCTCATTATTTCGTCTTCCAGAGTCTGTCATAAGCACTCTCTAGTCTAAATATATCAATCTGTGTAGCTAGTGGAATCAAGTTATTTAGACCTCTAATTTTTCCTGACAAGCGAGCCTTAATCGAAGAAAAAGGACTACTAGTTTCATCGGTTCTAGGACTAAGTCCGCCACTGCTCTGGCGTATTTGCGCAGCTGCCGAGCTCAAATTAAAGCTCAGCCTTCAATGGTCACTGACTCTGAACGGAAGGGACCCCCTTCAAAGCTCTCCCCTTTCCCTTCGTTTTCCCCTGTTCTCTCAAGGGGTCGCCAGTGACCAACCCCAATGACCATTGAAAGCTGAGCCTTAATCAAAGCAGCAAGATTTGCTCCATCGGAACGAGGCGGAAAGCAGAGAGTATCCCTGGGAATACAGTATCGTGCCGGTTGCACCTTGTACCGTAAGCAACGTTTTAACGTTGGCACATAGCGCGAAACAAAATCCACCGGTAAATAGCGACGATCCGTTATTCTTTAGAGCTCACCTCGTCCCTGACGTTATTCTTTGAGAAGTCGTGTCCTCCTGCTCTCCTTGTTTTTCCAGTGAGAACCTGCCCCTTCAAGAAGAGGATGCATGGATCATGCCTCCCAATATCAACGGGGATGGATCAAGCGGGGATACGTACTTAAGAGGATGATTCTCAAGATCAATGGGGATGGATTAGAGATAGCTGAGCAAGCTTGATGAACAGGATGCTTCTGAAGATTGATCATCATGATGGATTTAGATTTTTACGCGAACAAGTACTACTAGCCTTAAATACTAGTATCGCCTGTGTTGGGATCTACTCGTCGCCGTGTTACTTCCTGTGTAAGCATCGTACGTCCAGGACGCCACTGAGGGCATTTTTCTGTTGGAGTGAAGCCCGGATCTGCACCCCTTGCTTTCTTAGAAGAGAACATATAAGCTCTTGGTCTCTTCTGTGTTTCAACCTCTTACTAGACCTAGAGGTAGAGGCTCCTCCTGGGCTAGATAAGTACTAAGTACTCAATAAGTGCAAGAACTGCTGCGCCAAAGTCAAAATTGTTCTTAATGTTGCTCAAAGAGGACGACGACCATTTGCTTGTTTTGCCAGGTTTTATGCAGTATCGATTCCACAATATCTCGTCACCTTCACAGGCGTTTCCTAGTATTAGAGTCTCAAAAAAAACAAAGCTTTGAAGCTGAAATGAGCTTTGAAGCAGAAAGAACAGTGCAAACACTCATACACTCTACTCTACACCTACTCATTAGTAAGATACCTCCTGAAGAACAACCATCATTATACATGGTCATACATACTAAACTACTGTCTTCAAAATGAATTCAGGCAAGCCTTAAGTCCAAATCTCTGGGGGTTCCGAGTGGCGAGTGCGCGATCAATACCGACGTAAAGCAACACAGGCAGATGAAAAATGCTGTGAAAAGTCCACAGCAGATTACATCCGTGCATCTTCGCTTTTGAACAGGCGCCGCCATTATGTGGTCCCCACCTCCGCGTGCTGTACCGTATTCGCTTTGATGTGATGAAAGATAAAGATGTTCATTAAATGAGGGTGCTGTTTCTCCGCACTGTTTTAGTAATATTACGACCCATTGCTCATGAGCTGGAAGTAGGAGGCTCTACCGGGACAACAGGATCTTTTTCACTTCTTCACGAATCGGTATCCGGTCGACGGCCGCTAAAAAAGTAAATAATATTCGTGGCGGAGCAAACCACCTATGGAGTAAGACTATGCCGAAAGCGAACCACCTATGGCGCACATAAAGCCCAGGGATCAGTTGGGCAGTATTCGTCTCAGAATGGAAAATTTTCATTCTGAGACGAATAATGTAAGTAGAAAAAGGCGCTTTTTTTCCGTTTTTTGTACTATATCAAGTAATAGCCTCCGTTTTTAAGTAATAAGAAAGTCATACATCTTTGAACTTCAATTATAGTTGTAGGTGAAGAAAAAAAACTTGATCCATATCTTGTTTCTCAAACTGGGTTCCAAGGAAAAGCTAACATTTTCTTCGTTCTCACTGCAGCTTTGCGATTCCCGGCCACCAGAAGAACCCCGCGAAGACGAAAAGATGCCCATTTTTCTCGTACTTTGGATATATGCTTATGGATGATGAAAGAAAAAAGATAGATGATGTAGATGTTCAAGAAGCGAAAAAATTGTTGTACTTGTAGTTGTATCCGTAGTAACAAGTTGTAGTTGCATGCTTTTTCTTCCTTCTCTCAGCTAGACTCGGGTGATATTCTTTTTCATCGTAGTTCCCCTACGATGAATGCTGAATTATACTTAAGAAGCGTTGCTACTTACGCTAAGCCGTATAAGCAGACGACGCACGCCCACACTCCAGCTCCACTCGTACTCTCAGCACGTACGTATAAGCAGACGACGCACGCTCAAGTCGTACTCTCAGTTACAGAATATGAATGTCTCACTCCTCCAACGTCGCTGCAGCAGAGAGTGCTGGAACACTACTTTTAAGAGCGTCCAAGTAGAGGCGGCACAGGCCGGGAAAAAGATGTTTTTTTTATTCGCAAATACCAACATTCTGAAAGAGTAAGAGTTGTCAACGTTTTTCACTTGTTTCCACTGATGGCGATGGGTGGAGGTGCTTTTTTCTTGAATTTGTGCGGACGAAATTCATTGTATGTAGTCAAGAACAAGAACTATTAGTATAGTATCTAGTACTGCTTCAAATTTTGAATTTCGCACTTCATTCTCCACTTACAGCATCTTTCGAACTTCTAAGTACTTACAACACCCATCGTGGTCATCGAGAAACTATACCAAGTCTTGGCGAGAACTCTTAATCCAATGATCATGTTAGAATTTGCATACTGTTTCCAAGATAGTCCCAATGAATTCCATGCATATAATGTTTATCACTAATTATAGAAGTAGGCAACGACCCATGGAGGTAGTAGAACTACAATGTCGAGTGCAACTAACTAAATAGTCATACTTTCCATCGTTTTTAGCCTGGACGCTCGTTCCAAAGGTATATGAGTGTTCGTTGTTCCTGGAAAAAAAAGGATATGCTTGTCATGTCATGTGTCCGCTTCATGTTGCGATCCTTACTCGATCATTGTCGAGTCATCTTCGTAATATTACACCTGCTAATAGCATAGTCTTAGTCACCCTCACCACAGGAAAATCTATCGAAGATATGGAGCCTTAGTCTCTCCGTTTGGAAGCTCATCGATTCAGGAATCGAACATTGTTCCCAAACTGGAAGCGACGATTTGAAGTGTTGAGACTACCCAGCGCTAGTGCCAAAGCTCTTCTAGGTGCCCCTGTGTCTTTGCGGGTCGTGGGCCACTGTCTTAGACGTAAGTGCTGTACATGATCACTTGGCTTGGTGTACCGTACCCTGTTGATTCAAGCCACTGACTCGATGACATCGATGTAGATAAAAAAAGCAAATTCGTTTGGATATCGTTACTGCATGTCCATGTTGGTTTTTTCGATTTTGTTCTTTCCAAATCCCAGATAAGCGTCTGTAATGCGCGAAATAGTTTGCCTTAAAAATTCGTTTTTCCTTTCTTCAGGATACTCTGTTTCATAAACTCGTCGGCTGTCTCAATAGAAAAGAAAATCATGATAAACAATAAGAATACTTAAACGGCCACACTCGTATTTTTTTTCAATCTGCGAGTCGCTTTAGGCCTGTGAGCGGACACCTTGTTCTCCTTCAGTGGTCTGCGCGTCGCTGTCGTAATTTCAAATCCAAATAGATTGATACCCCCGGCTTTATCATTATCAATAAATGTAGGAGCTGAAATTGAATTACTTAGACTATTCTACAATCTCTATCCCAGACCCAGAGCAGCAGCAGAATAAAAAAAAATCAAATACATTTTCAACCGGTAGATCATCCACCCAGCAATAAGTTTTATCATATTTAGTGCCTTCCGTTTTCTACTTACCGCTCGCCACAGGCTTGGCCTGCTCCCTCGTGAATTGATCTACTGAATAAAAAGAAAATTCATGGAATTGGGATCCTCCTTTATTTGATGCTTCGAGTTGCAATAACCAGAAGCATTTACACTTTTAGCCCGTCCCTTGTTATATACATCAGCATCATCATCACCATCTCTAGTGCTGAAGCTAACTCTGTCTCCTCAGGGTTTATTACCTTCAACACCTAATCGCCTTCCCCTTCAGAAAAACCCGTCCACAATCCACTTTGGCACACATCGCAGTCCCCGTGCTACAAAGTAGAAAGGGAAACCCACATACTTCATCCACCCCTTCTCGTACTCCTTGTCTCCTCGTCTCTTTTACCTTGTCATGAAACAAAACGTTCCTCCTGCACAAGCCGGAGCTGACTCACCAGGAGCAGCGCTCTGTGTTTTTGTTGCGATGGTTTGATGGTCCTGCCTAGACGCAGATGCATGCCCACCCGCATCTCCTTCCGTAAATGCTGCACCACCAGGCACTGACGCGCCACTTTGTGTGTGCGGTCCAGCTCCTCCTCCCTGCATACCAGCTCCAGATGGTCCACCTGCCGCAGACGCGGAGCCAGCTTGATATCCTCCACCTGCCGCGGACGGAGTTGCGGCATGAGCAGCCGCATTCGCAGGGGATCCACGAGACGCAGAAGTAGGCGTGCTAGCATGTGGCACACTTTGCCCCGCTACAGCGGGATCAGCTTGGATCATCGCCCCCGCCGTTGGTGCCGCCTCCACCACTGGCTTCCCCACATCAACTTGCGCCACCTTTGACATCTCATGCGCCGGTGCAGCAGAGTCCGCCGCTGGCTGCTCCTCCACTGGTGCAGCAGCCTCCACTGGCTTCTCCTTGTCGTCTTTGCGAGGATCGAAGGCGAGACGAGCCGAAGAAGGGGTAGAAGCCATGCCTCGGTCCGTGAGGAGATCGAACATCGCCTCGTCGTCTTTGCGAGGATCGAAGGCCTCCTCTAGTAGTGCAGCAGCCTCCTTTGCCCCATCTGCAAGTGCTGCATCTGCACCAGAAGACGCCGGCACGTCACTTCCCGTGGGTGGTCCAGCTCTTCCTCCCGCGGCAGGCTGCATCCCAGCTTGATATCCTCCACCGGCCGCGGACGGAGTTGCGGAATGAGCAGCCGCATCCGCAGGCACACCAGATGATCCACGTCCATCAGGCACCCCTCCAACTGGAGGTGCCATTTGCACTCCCTCCTGCACCATCACCCCCTCTGTTGATGCCGCCTCCTGCTCCGCTGGCTCCTCCTCCGCTGGTGCCACCTCCGGCCCCGCTGGCTCCTCCTTCGCTGGTGCCACCTCCGGTCCCGCTGGCTTCTCCTCCGCTGCGTCCTCCTCCGCTGGTGCCGCCTCTTCTGCTGGTGCCGCCTCCTCCGCTGGCGTCTCCTCTGTTGATGCCACTGGCGCCTCCTCTACCTGTGCCGCCTCTTTATTTGGTACCTCCTCTGCTGGTGCCACCGCTTTTGGCGCCTCCTCGACTGGTTCTGCCTTTGTTGGCTCCTGGCCTTTGCTGACCCCATTCGCATCACCATGCCAAGACCCCAGGGCCCCAGCTTGAGATCCTTCACCAGCCGCATCCGCAGATGGTCCAGGTCCACCAGACTCAGCACTCGCAGACGACCCATCAAGCAATACACCCGAAGATGCCGCGTGCCCCTTCACTGCCGGATTCGGTTCTTCCACTGTCTCAGCTTGAGGCACTCTATGTCCATGTGTTGCAGGCGTCAAGTGTTCATCACGCGGCTCCGTCGTCGCTTGACCCTTTAGCGACGCATGTCCAGAATTCGCAGAACTGAGGGGCAGCGCATCAAGAGAATCTCCCACCGGCGTCGAATCATCAGTCCGATCTCCTGCCTCCCCCATGTTTGCCAAAACATCCGCTAACAACTTGCTGACATTGTCGTTTCCCTTGCTATCTAAAACTCCCTCATCTTGTCCAGCCTCCAACGGGTCCGAATCTACTTTACCCTGAACAGCTCCACCGTTCTTCCGAGCATGTTCGTCCAATAGTTCCTGATGAAAGTCTTCCAGCCACTTCCGGTTCTGACTGTCTTCCGCTAAAGCGCCAGGTGAAGGAGATTGTGATCGAGAATGATCACTAGGCGATCCTGCTGGGTACTCTTCTAACCGGGAACTTTCACTATCAGGCGCCTCTGTGCTGGCCCCGCCAGAAAGAAGCCCTTCAGGATGATTAATGACACCAGATAGATCGCCTGCAGCTGCACCAGCAAGCTTCTGCGCGCCCTCGTTTGTCCCCGCCTCGTACACGACTTGAGACCACTGCGATTCAGAGTCCTTAATATCAGTATCATCAGGAGTACCACCTTCGCCTCCCTCCACCACTGGGTTCTCCTCCGTTGATGCCGCCGCCTCCTCTGGTGGTGCAGCAGCCGCCTCCTCCTTTGGCACCTCCTCCTCTGATAGTGCAGCAGCCTCCTTTTGCCCATCCGCCGCTGGCGTCGCCTCTGCCGCTGGCTCCTCACTTGCGGCGGAATTAGCCTCCGGCAAGCGTGAGCCTCTCTCGTCCCTTTTCAAACCGAACCTTTCCCAATCTTCAGGCTCTAGCACATCACGGAGAACACCGTCCACGTCCACGTCGCTGGACTCAACTGGCGCCGCCGCCCCTACTGGCGTCGTCCCCACCCCCGCAGCCTTTCCCACCGCCGGATCCTCAATCGCATCCAGCTCGTCGAGAAACTCATTAACACCCATTCCTTGTTCTGACATCCCGCCAGCAGGCGTTGTCTCTGGTGTCTTCATCTCCTCCTCTCCTGCTTTGCCATCAGTTGTCCCCTCGTCGTCCACTTGAGACCACTGCGATTCAGAGTCCTTAATATCAGTATCATCAGGAGTACCATCTTCGCCTGCCGTTGATTCTTCATTATCCATTGCCGTGGAGGGCAGCCCGAATTCGGATAATTTCGCATTTTTGACTTCATGATCAGTACGACCACCAACAAGACCCCCAACTATATTCTCATGCCCCCAATTTTTGAGTGCGTCGTGCACTTCCGTCGTGCCATGTTCTGCTGCTGGGTTCAGCTTTCCAACATTCTCACCTCCACCGTACAAAGATTTTAGCGCTCCCATCGACCCGCCAGATATCTCACTCCCTTCCTGCGGCAAGAAGCCTTTAATATCCACAGCCAAAGTATCGTCCCCACCTTTATCCAGCGAGCCCAAAGAAACCTGCTGCGAAGCAACCACAGGATCTGTCTTCGTCCCCTGCGAAGACACCTCCTGCTGCGAAGCACCCACAGGCACAAAATGCGTCTTCGTCAGAAACGACTGCCCCACACGATAATTGAATGGCATTTCACCGGCAGAGGTAACGGTAACCGTTCCGAGGTCAGCAGATCCGAAGTCAGTTTTTCCGATTCCGCCAGCAGTAGAGTTAGAGTAGGCCTCTTTAATATTCTTAGCGCTTTCATCATATCTATTTCTTTCTATCTATGTCTTGTTCTTGATGCATTAGCATTACCTAGATAGGTGCTACGTCACAAGAAAAAAGCTGCTCAAGCTCAACAACACGTTTTTATTGGCGGCCTTACAATCAGTGGACGAACTGGAAGCAGCACCTGCAGGGGTCGAATTTGGCACGAAAGAGAAAGATTCTTGCATGAGCCGTCCCTTCGCCGAAGAAAGAAATCCGCTCTGACGAAGTCCAGTTTGGTCCTGAGGATCCTGAAGACGCTCTTGGTCCATCTTGTCCAGGGGTTCCAGGAGCATCATCGCGGCTACCAACCAAGAGCAAGGCCACGACAAGAAAACAGCCCAAAAAATCGACTGGTGAAAAACCGTCTGTTGCAGCCAGGGCAACTTGAGACGGCGCCCACCGTGGCCCATCTTCGAGGAGAAGGCGGACACGGACGACATTTTTTTTGAAGATATTAATATCAGAGTAGAACGAGAATGAACCTGATGAACAAGTTATAATTTAATGCCGATAATTCTTGATTCCCCCCGTTTGACTTACTTTTTTTAGAAGTGCGATTGCGCTCCTTGTGATAGGTTAGTTATAAATGCCTTTTTCTCGGTAAATAAGGGTGAATGAGGTTAAAAGCGAAGAGGGAATAAGAGGATCGTTTTAAGGGGAATAATTGTTTTGAAGGGATTGTTCGGGATTAGGATTATCATAAGATGACTCAATGAATCATCGCCAGAAAATTTCCTGCTAAGGAGTAGAAACAGAAAGTGAAGATTTATTTATGTGGCTGTGGTTAAAACAAACAAAGACAGGTTCATATAACTGAACTCAAGATCAAGTGTTGACTGCATGAATGTACACTTGAAAAAACTGTTCTCACACATACCAACGATTCTTTGTCTCTTCCCTGTGTCAGACATGCTTAGTTCTAGTGCCTCTGTTCTTCAAAACTCATCGGTTCCGCATTGTACGTGTAGGACAGTCCACGACCTCTCAATACTACGCAAAGCCTTCTTCTTTCACTAACAGACAGGGTAAAGTCCTCTTGGTTCACTGACAGACATGCCAAAATTCTCATGTCTCGCTAAAAGGTAGTTGGTGCAAGCCCTCATCATCGGTCGCGGAAATTACTGATAGTGAATAAGGGGTTCTACTCCCCCCCTCTACTTTTCACTAGACAGAGACGCTGTAGACAGAGACTATCATCCTCACGCACAGACTGAGTACCTGATTATGTGCTCATTCTTGAAGCAAAAGGTCGTTTTTCGGGGTTCGGACTACATGCATTGCTTCCACCCGCACCCTACGTATTAAACAGAGACATAATGATCGATTCCAAGCGGAACAGGGTAGACAGAATTTTTCTCTTGGGAAAAGTACTAGGAAGTACACCAGGTAGTTCTTGGGTACCTCCTTCGCTGCAGTGAACAAGAACACTCTCATCTTCGTAGGACGCAGTGCTGGTCACGAAATAAAATATGTACATCTCGAGAATGTACATACCAGCCAGCACATGCTTGCGTGGTCCTGGTCGCTCTCTCTCTGTTGAATCTAATATCTTTGTCCAGCAGCATCAAAAGTTCTCATCAACAGACGTGTTGTGATGTTGTGATTCTCATCAACCGACATGCTCTTGTGATCTTGTTCTCATCAAGAGACATGTTCTTGTAGTGATAGATGAAGTATAAATTTTTCGAGCAGGTCGGAGGTGAATAGGAATGGTTAGATACTACAAGTACAATCATGGTTAGAAGTGGTGCGCAAGTGAAACTGTTTAGTCATCATGGTCTCATCCCCATAATTGACTTAGTTCTTGTGACTAACTACAAGTACTAAAAACCTGCTCGCTGTGTGACACATATATTTTTTTCATTCTTGTTGAGATATAGAAATAAACGCCATTCTTGATTGTGACAAAATTATTCTTGTATACTTGTTAGAAGACTTGATTAATGATTGAATCTACAGATTAAGAGGTTATTTGCTGTTGAATTTAGAAGTAAGTAAATATTGTGATGAATCATAATGTTAAGTGGAACAATTGATGTATTAAGAATTAGGAATTGGAATTAGGAATGAATTGTAGGCAGAGGAAACGAAAGATGCAAACAAGAACCAGACAATGACGTTGAATTTTTTCTAACGGATAATATTAGGTGCACTGGGGATACTGAGGATAGTAAGGCTCGCAGCACCTTTAATATAGTTTCATTCATCTTCGGGGAATTCAAGGTGCACCATCAAGGTAGTTGGATGAAGAGGTCGCGTACTGCGTCCGACAAGACGACATGTCATCATTGACAAGCTATCTCATCAAGGACAGGCAATAACAACAACCTCTTCCACGTGAACATGATTTTCTTTTTTACCTTGTAGATTGTGTCATGCAATATCAACGCCTTTGCCTGGTCCCCTTTCGTCTTTCCCCTCGATCACGACTAGTAATTAACTCTTTTATTCATGATCTGCTTCTTCTGCTAGAATCATCTGATAAAAATAGTAAATAGTGATGACTGAATTTATTGTGATAATGAAGAAATAACAACAAAGGATTGAAGATCTTATTTGACATTTAATACATTCACGATAACGACTTTCATTTTCCTTCCAGCGGTTAAACTGTTGTGATGAGTCATATCTTGTTGAAAATACTGAAAACAATAACAGAATCAATGACGTGTAGTAGTAGTTACGCGAATAAATCAAAATCATTAAGACATCAAGCAACTATCAGCATCAGATAAAACAAGTGGAGAATATCTTTCTTTCTCAGTGTGTGTGTGACCATATAATCTTACATTTTTAGTAAATAGGACAAGCACCTCAACAAGCTTCACCCCGCGACCAAAGAGAACGCAGTTGGCAGCAACGTCTCTTGATCACAACTAGTAGACGTAGTAGGCAGCTGAAGAGCCACACTGGCGACTTTCTGTGTTGGCAGCACAGTGAGTCTACTTTGTGGTTCGAAAGGTGCCTTCCTTTCTAGTACTACGCCTATAGTTGGTTCTACCTTTTTGAGGTGGTGCTGGCGGCGGGGGTGAAGGATCATTGTTGATGCTTAAAAATATTGTGCTACTACTTCCTGAGCAGTTTAATGACCATGACGACGAATACAACATTTTTTAGTTGCAACAAGATTTCAACAATGATCATGACGTCTAACACTACCTAACACGACTTAATACCTAACTAACGACTTTCTTAGTACAGCATGTGCATAATAACCTTGACTCAAAGAACATCAACAGAACCTCCATTTCAATTTCGTTTCCTCCACGACTTCTGTCCACGAAAAATTAGAACCTTTTTTAGAAGTCTATGCATTCACCTTTTTCACCTTTATAATCCTCTACCTTCTTCTTTAAATCCTTTAATACCTTATTTCAAACATTTTAGTTCAAACACAATAACTACAATACTTTAGCTTTACAACTTCATCTTCTTATAAACTTAATTCTAATTGTTTGTCGAATCTATTTATCAGAGTGTTATTTCTAGGCATGCCCCTCTTCTTCCTGAAGGAGGTAGCACGCTAGACGAGTGATTTGTACTGAAAAGATAACCAAAAAGAGCCATGGCCGCGACTGAATATAATCTAATAAAAGCTGTCTGTCTCTGTTGTTCTTAACATTTTCATCTCGTGATCTAACTAACTACATGTAATCTCTCCTAAACTGACGAACGTTTCTATTTCATATGTGAATACATAGCGAATAAAACTCTTGTGATACTTTCTTTGACAATACTCCTTTGGACATATTTTCTCCTTTTCAATATCTCACATTGTCAACATTCCCACGATGGTCGCGAATTGACTGACCGGCTTGATGTAGACAAGAAGGTTTTAAAGTGGTATAGTTCTGCCAGATCGATCAGATTTTCTTATAACTGTGTCCACTTTCACTTATGGCGCATGAAGATGAATCGTCTTTTTTGACAAATCTTTATTTCGACGTGAAGTGATCTTTTTTCCTTTGATTTTTTCCTCCACCGGTTGTGTTGAGCCAGAAGTAGAAGTTCTACTTGAAGATATTACATTTCTTGTCTTTATCCTCCTCCGGATGTTGAGCCAGAGGTTCCAGTTCAGAAGATACTAGTTGCCTCCAGATGAAGAGCTAGAAGAAGTTCTTCTACCTGAACCTGAAGTAGATGTTGACAGTTGTTTTTTCTGCTCCCGATCACTCTTTCGTCTCCTGAGTTGAAGTTCCGCAGCTTCCTCCAGCCTGTCGTCCACTCGCAGACGTTCTAATTCGGCCTCTAGTTTCCTCAACCTTTCCGCTTGTTCGCGGACACGCACGTCCTGCGAAGTCAATACTGTCTGTTCGACTTGAGACAACGCATTCGACACATGATCTAGCTTCTCCATACGCTGTTGAACCATCAGTGTAATCACCGCTGACAAATCTTGGTAACGGATACCTGAAAATTTTTCATTTCAAAAAGGTGAAGATGAGTGAGAAGTTGTTGATGTAGTTTGTTGATGTTCTTTTAGTTAATATTTTTGACAAACTACTTTTGCTTGACGATTTGAATGTATGATTGAGTTTCAAGTTAGTGGGTCGTCATACAGCTACACCGTTTCCGTTACAACTACGCACGTTGAAGATGAAGAAGATATTCTACTTTGTTTCAACAATTTCATTTCAAATAAGTATTGTCTTACCAAGTGCCGCTCCTTCTCCCGGTCTGCCTTGTGCGGATGATATCAGGCCCGGATAGATCTCGCCTAGCTCCTGCGCGATGAAACCGAAGTACAATTGCTTCGACTCAACGTCCCGCTTCATGTGATACGAGACTGGCTTCAGACTTCGGAATTCTACCTCGGCTTGGAATTGCCTAGCTTCTCGCTCGGTCGCGAAGGTGTCTAACGTAACCTTCGTTCCGTTCGATAACAATTGGGAGACTACCCATGTCGACGTGGAGGTGAACTTATTTGAAGATGAGGCAGTGCTACTAGTAGTACTATTGAAGATGTTCTTGTTGTAGGCCGCGTTGTAATTCTCCTTGGAGTTCTTGTCCACCTCGTTGGAGGTATCTTGTTCCGCTTGTTGAACCAAGATGTGCAGTCCTCCTGAAGATTCTCCTGTGCTATTCGCCGCGTGCTCAGGTATCTCGCTAGGATTGAATCCAGTACCCGCGATGCGCCTGTAAGGATTTTTTTCCAAATCGATGTATTGAAATACAACAAATCTTGATCTTCTTAGACACTGACCTACAAAGGAAGTTTTTGATTCTGGAGAAAGAGCTTGTTCTAGTATGGTCGCATCTACGAATTCGTCATCAGACCAAAAAAACAAGTAGATTTGAGGCGTGTGACACGAGAGACATTCTCATTTTTTCAAACAAATTATTGAAAATAATAAGTACGTGTCCTTGACTTGGCTTAGCGCTTCGTAGAGTGGCTTGACGTTGCGTTTGAGTCTCAAATCTGAGGTCGTTAAGCCGCTTGGGCCTTCCCAGTTGCCGTGCAAAACGTCGTTGCTCGCTTTGTTGAAGGTGATCGCCTTTTGGACAGAGGAGCCAACCGAGCCACTGCGGAAGCCCCACGCATCCGCACTACCAGATGTGGTGCCACGGAAGATGTAATTCCCGCTATTATCGGAAGTGTCAGCATGTTGGAACTTCACTGGATACTCAAGCGTGTTACTGTGCGTGCCATAGAAGAGCACGCTGCCCTGGACGCTGACACCTGCGTTTGTGGCGGAGTGGAAAAATGAGACTTTCAGGATGGAGTTTGAGATGGAAATGGTATGGTAGCATTGAGTTTGAGATGAATACGAAATTTTTCATTTAATAACACGGAATAATGGTGGAGGTCTTCGTGTGCTCCTTGTTGAAGAAAAATAACAATAAACTATCTTACTAGAAAAATTAGTTGTCAAACAATTCCCTGGTTGTAAAAAAAAGTCTAAGCATACTGCTTCCCAGTCTGGCAAAACTTCTTATTGAGACGGAGCTGCCCACGGCGGACATTTCCAGCATGGACAAAGCGGATCCGAACCTCGCGAATGATCGCACCGAAAAGGTATCTCCCATGGTCACCAAGTCCAGTACACTAATGCAACTTCCCAGTTGGCCTCTTGCGAACACACTGAAGCTGGAACCTGTCCTAGTGACAGACCTAAGACTGAGCGAAGACCCGAGAGCGAGCATGTCGTAGCACGAAGCGCGTGTGCCCAATCGGACAAGACCGCGGACACTCAGAGAGCTACCGCAATTCGCAAAGGACAAGACCGAAGCGGTGCTGCCGAATCTGAGAATTATTATAATCAATGGGATAAGTTTAAGTCCTTGTGGTGGATATGAGTTGTGAGAATCTGACATTGACACAATAGTTGAAAGCTAAGTGTTCTTCTCAGATAAATGAACTTCTACACGTCCTTGAAATAGCAGAAGCTTGAGCACCATAATCGTTGTACTACTATCATGATCTCAATTACAATGAAGTACCTCATACTTGCTCCTCTTACGCTCAACGAGGATCCGCAGTTGACGCAGTTGAAGAGCGACAAGCAGGTTGACGCGAAGGAACCTACACCTGAGATGGACAAGCCGCTTGACATTCTGGAGAATGCTCGCAGCGACATGGTAGAACCCGTAATTCCGTAGTTCAGGACACTAAGATTGTTCCCCAATCGAGCAACGGATCGCACGCTGAGACTACTGGCGAGAGTCACGTACGACAAGACACTCACGACGTTGGCGCCGAAACGACCGTGGCCGGCCTGATGTGTGAGGAGGGATGTTGGTTGGGTATTAATTTGATAGATAAAAAAAAATCAATTTGTATTTGACGGAGGACGATTGCATGTAGTTGATAGAGCAGGAAAAGATCTCATTTCTGATCAAGAAGTGGTAGTCCTAGTCGTACTCGTAGGTCTACGCAAACCCTAAGTAAAAAGTACCGCCGACAGAGTCTCTGAGACGCGCAAGGAGCTTCGGATTGAGATATTGCTTCCTACAGCAAGATAGTCTAGAACAGACATCCTAGAGCCGATTCTGCCTACTGACCGTACAGACAAGCTAGATCCGCAGTGCACGTATTCGGTTACACTGAGCGCAGCTCGAATAGTTGCCGTCTGAAGATTTAATGGTTATAGAAAGAACTAGTTCAATGAATTATAGAAACTGTTGAGAGCCGATGGTGTGGTGGTGGAGGTTATAAATATATTCTTTTTGAGCATAAGCAGAGAAAGAAATGATCTCCCGACACCAGTATCGACATGCCCATCATGTTCCGCTGTTGTAAGAGAAGCAACACAGCAAATAAGAATAACTTAGAGTGACGACATGCATTAAGCCTTCACAAGTGATTACTAATGCGTGTAAGGTAGTAGAAGAAAGGGAAGAATGTTTAGTAGTAAATCTCCAAGTATAAGACAAGCAACAGAGGAAATAACTTAGTAGACCTGTTAGTTGAATCAAATAATACCTGTGCCGTGCGTGCTTCGCCCACGACAGAGAGGCTTGAGCCCAAGCGCATGAAGGATCTGATCGACAGCGCGGATCCCAGGGCCATCGTCTCCACTAATGACAAACTGCTTCCACATCGGACTGTAATGAATGTTAAACAAAAGATCTCCTCGTGTCCTTTTACTTGTACTCAGACCAGTTGTTGTGTAGAAGGAGTTGGTTGGAGGTGCTGTCATACTACTTGTTAGTGCTGTGTGGTGATACTTGATTAGCGTCGTTGCTGGAAAGCTGGCTGGAGGTGAGTAACAATGCCTTTTCCATTTTTCATAACCAGATCGATCTAAAGCTATACTTAGCGTTAGAGACAAACCGAAAGCGAAACCATCAAATACAACTTACATCAATCTAATAATCGTGTAGTACGGCATTCTCGCACGGAGAGTCCCTGTCCGATAGTGACGAAGTCTAGGACTGACGTGCGACTACTGCATCGTCCGTGTCCACGAACGGAGATCGAAGAACCTGAAATTTAAGGTGATTGGAGAGTCGGTCCTTTTCTTCCGTGCCTCATGGCTAAGGCTTCTGCTTATGAGAAAGGAGAAGGCGATGCAGAATGAAAGCTTTGTTTCGAAGATACTCTTTCGAGTTTCGAACTATAATACGGTAGCCTTATAATCAAATTGTAGTGAATTATACCTATGTTCAAGAAATCCAGGACTGACAGGTGTCGGCCAACTTGCGATCGCATGCGGACTGACAATGAGCTTCCGAGGCTCACAGCATCTAGGATCGACATCCTGGCACCCGCACGAATCAATCGGCGCACTGAGAGTGCGGAACCGTACGTCACTGCATCGGAGACCGACATAAATCGACCACAGCGACCGAACGATCGCACCGACAATGATGAGGCTGAGGTTTAGTGGTGTTAGTGGATGCAGTGGTGGTTGTGTTGGATTGAGAAAAAGGAGTGAAGTTCTAGAGAAGTTCATGAAGATGTCACCTTTTACCATTATGCTTATAGCACCAAAATTATAATGCAGAAGCTCAAGAACACTCAAAAGCATATTACAGCTGCGACTCTATTTATAAATGTATAAAGTACCACAATGTGCCACATTGACGACCGACAAAGCGCAGATGCTTCCTAATCTCGTTTTGGCGAAGACGGAGCAGCTACTTCCCAGCCTTGAGAATGCTCGCAGACTAAAGCAGGAACCCATAGCCACGAAATTTAGTGCCTGTAAGGTGGAGAATGGTGAGGTGAGGAAAGAACAACTATTTTGCCTCAACAGTGCTTATGCTGAAATCGGTATTGGTTTTGGTTTTTTGTGTTATATATTTATAATAAATTGACAATCTTCGCATGCACGTACTAGTACAAGAACCAAAATGAAAAAGCATGTTGGTCAATCATATGAAACATGAGAATACCGAGATAGCGCTGCCCATCTTAGTGAAGCTGCGAACGGAGAGACTCGATCCCATCTTGGCAAAGCTGAGAACCGACAAATTATCGCTGGTTTGCATAGTGGACCGCAAAGATAGAGCGTTGCCGATTTGCAAGCAATCGAGGACCTGTGGAGAAAGGTGTGGAAGGATGGATGGGTGCGTGTGTGTTAAAGGATTGAAAAAAGGCACATCAGCTTGCTCCAGAAGATTCATCAAATCAGAGTACTTCAGTACGTCGAGTAGATCAATCAATACCCATGTAGTACAAGTACTGGAATCCTCGACTAACTGTGGCTAAGTATTTATAACTACGACAAGCTTCAAAAAATCTACCGAAAGTCTGCTTCCGAATCTGCTAGTTCCACGTACTGAGATCGACGATCCGAGGGTCGTGTAGTCCATAATGGACACTGCAGGCACAAACACAATCTTGCCGATTTGCGTGGTCTTAGATATGCTAAAGGCAGACCCCAGTCGCACGAAGTTTCGGAGAGACAAGCTAGAGCCCAAACGCACTGCATCAATCACAGAAAGGCCGCTGCCAAACCGAGAGAAGGAGCAGACCTGATGGTGGTTGGGAATGTTTAATCCTTTCCGGAAAATTAAGGTGAAGGTACTTACAACAAACAACATATATTGACAGCTATAATTGCAGCTGCAGCTAGTGCAAGAACTATCTTCTATTTTGAACAATCAAGTAAGTAGTAGAAAGAGTACGCTGCAACTGCTTCCAGCATACGCCTTGCCATTGACAGACGCCGCACTTCCGATCCTCGCATTTCCTACTAGCGACAGCGAGCTGCCGACGCGGCCAAAGCTACGCATTGACACCGACGATCCGCAATTCGAGAAGTCCAACACGGAGAGCGCACTTCCGAAGCGCATGTGGCTACGGACCGACAACGTACTGCCACAGGCCACTTGGTCGATGAGTGAGAGTCGCAAGCATTTGGCGGAATCGGAGTTGACTAGACCGTGAAGGGACACCGAGGAGCCGATGCGGATCAAGGATCGGAGACTCAAGGTACTACCAACGTGGAGGAAGTCGACAATCGACATGGTAGATCGCATGCGGGCTTGCACGCTAGTGCCACACCGCACAGACAAGGAACTGCCGATGTTGAGGAGGTCCAAGATGGAACAGGAGTTGCTGATTCTGGATTGTTGCCGGACTGAGAGCGAAGATCCAAGGCCGACGAAGTTTAGCACCGAAGCGCGTCTCTGGAATCCATGGTGGATGCCATTACGCACCGAAAGCGTGCTGCCAACGTGCAGGTAGTCGAGTATTGACACCCTGGTGCCGAACTGCGCGAAGCTTCGCATGCTGCAAGCGCTGCCCATGCTCACCATATCGAGGACGCTGCAGTGACGACCGACTCGCACTTGACCGCGTATGGATAAGGAACTACTCAATCCTATGGCTTGGATGACGGACAATCGGTGCACGCTTCCTAAGCAGACTTTCCCAAAGACGGACATCGAACTGCTGCAACGTGCGAAAGCTCTCAGAGAGCAGGAACTGCTCATCATCACGAAGTCAGCCACACTCAAGTTGCTGCCAAACCGTCCTAAGCTGCGCACTGACAACTTCTCGCCGAGATGCGCAAAGTCTAGGACCGACAAAGCACTGCCGAGGCGCGCAAAGCTGCGTGCAGAGACCGAGCTCGCTAATGAGACAAATTCCAGAATGGAAATGTTGATGCCGCATCTTGAGAATGCCCGTACTGAGAACGAGCTTCCGAGATGCATCTGGTCAATAACGCTGCACCTTGATCCACCTCGGAGCCAGGTCGTTGCGACAGACATGGAACTGCCCAGGCGCATCGCAGATCTGACGCTTATCGAGGAGCCTAGCTCAAAGAACGAGAAGGCGCTCAAATTCGCCTTTTGGCCAAACCGCATGAAGCTGCGCGTCGACAGAGTGCTACCGAAGTGCACGGCATCCGCAACGGACAACGTTTCCGAGAGTCTGAAGCCAGAGGCCACGCTCAAGGCGGAGCCTAGACGAGCGAATTGTCGGAGACTGCAACTACTGGCAAAAGCCACGTGATCCAGAATACTCAGGTTGCTGCCGAAGCGCGCGAACGATCGGATGGAGATGCTGCTGCCGCATTCGCCCACTGCAAGAACGCTCATCTTGCTGATGGAACCCAAGTTGTACAACAAGCCATGCAGAGACAATGATGAGCCGCAACGCGCGAACGAACGCAAGCTGATGCTGGAAGAGAGGTTGACGAAGTTGAGCACGGACAAGGACTTGCCGAAGCGTGCGCCAGACCTGACGCTGACATCGCCTGCGATGTGACTGAAGTCGAGCATGGAGAGTTTACAACCCGTGGCACAGCGACTGCGCACCGAGAAGGTGGAGCCTAGGTGCAGGCAATCGAGAATCGACATGCCTTGATCGACCCGTACGAAATTGCGGACAGAAAGCGAGCTGCCGAGACTCGCAAAGGTGAGCAGAGACGCAGCGCGTGTGCTGCGCACCACACCTCTAACTGAGAGGCTCGAACCTAAGGACAGCGTATCCAAAACGCTCATCCTGTCACCCTTGCGTACAATGCCGCGAAGAGACAGCGAAGAGCCTAGATTTGCCGAGTTGATCACCGAGATCTTGCTGACTGAGCCGAACGCGCAGAGGCCGCAGACACTGGCTGCTGAGCCAATGCGGACCCAGTTGCGCATCGACATGCTGCTGCCAGCAAACACGAAGTTCAAAACAGAAGCTTTGCTGCTTAATCGCGCTGAGATTGCACGAACACTCAGGGAACTGCCGAGATGCAGGCATCCAAGCAATGACGCCGTCATGCTACTGCGCACTGTAGAGCGCACGGAGAGCGAACTGCCAATGTTCAGACAGTCGAGCACACTTGCGCGCGTGGCAATACGGACAGCTCCTCTGACAGAAAGCGAACTCGACATGTCAACGCAGGAGATGACGCTCATAGCAGCGCCAATCTGCGTGTTGGTCATCACGGACACGGAGGAACTGCATCTTGCGACATTGCGCAAAGAACAACTGGAAGCGAGGCTCAAGAAGTCCAGGACACTGCATCTTGAACTTAGACGAGCGTGGCTACGAGCAGACAACTCTCCACCTAAGTGCAAGAAGCTGAGGACGCTGAGAGCGTTCTCGCCAAGGCAGCGGGAACCCGCGACCGACACACTGCTGCTGCAGCGCCCGAATTGTCGCAAACTGAGACAGCTGCCGACGTGTAAGAAGTCAACAGCGCTCACGCGGCTGCCCATGCGCGTGAAGGATCGCACACTGAACGACGAGCCAACGGCTAGCGAATTCACGAGAGACAGCGCATCGCCTCCTCGGCAGTAGTTGCGGACACTGCAAGTCTGACCGATCGCAACGAAGTCGAGCACGGACAATCGGCTGCCAGCGCGGCAGTGAGCGCGAACGCTCAATGCGCTGCCGAGACCGCAGTGATCAATGACCGACATGTGAGCGCCCATTCGACTATAGTTTCGCAAAGACAAAGTACTACCCAAGTGTGCCGCATCCAGGACGGTCAAAGACCTGCCCATACGCACGTAGCTGCGCAAACTCAAAGAACTGCTCATGCCAGCGGTGTGCATGACCGACAAGCGCAGCATTGAGCCGATTCCAGCCATGCCCAAGCAGCTGATGCCCGACTGCATTCGGCAAAAGTTGCGGATTGAGCACGAAGAGCCCATCGTTGCAAAGTGCAGCACCGACAGAGCGCTGCCGAAACGCGCTGCGCTTCTCAGAGACAACCCACTCGCCATCTGCACGAAGGTTAAGATCGACAAAGACCCGCCAATGTTCACGCACTGTCGCATGCTGACGTTGCTGCCCACATGCACAAAGTCCAACACTGAGCACACACGACCACTCAGACGGACTGTAGCTCGCAAAGAGAGCGCTGAGCCCAAATGCGACTGCTCGATTACGCTCAAACTAGATTTGCCGACCGTTCCGCCAGCTCCGATTTGCACCTTGCCGAGAACGGACAGTGCAGAAGCGCATCGGCAACAGCTGCGCAACGAAAGCGAACTGCCGAGTTCAAGGAATTCCAAAACCGACGCTCTAGTGCTGAATCGCGTGGCACTACGCACACTCAAGGAGCTGCCGCAGTGTAACTGGCCGATCACACTCAGGTACAGACCGCCAGAGAGACGACCCAGAACCGACGTGCCGGAGGAGATACGTGCGAAGCTGCGCAATGAGAAACTGGAACCGCAATTTGCCATGTTCAGCACGGATAGAGCGCTACCCAGTCGCGCCGTAGATCGCAGCGACAAGGTGCTGCCGAGACGCACGAACTGGATCAACGACAGGTGATGGCTCATCTTGTCGACGTAGGTGTGGCCGTTGCACGAAATGCTGCTGCCGAGTCGGACCATGTTTCGCACGCTGACTGCCGAGCCAATCTCAATGGCGTCCAACACGGAGAGCATACTGCCGAAGCGCGTGGTGGCGCGCAAGGACAAATTGCTCCCCATACCAGTGACGCCGATCAAGGAGAGCCTGCTTCCGCCGTGCGCCCGTCCTGCGACGGAGAGACCGGAGGACAAGCGGCAGAAGTTGCGCAACGAAATAGAACTGCCCAACTGCAGGTAGTTCAGCACCGACATGTTACTCGCGAGTCGCATGAAGGATCGTAACGAAATCGAGCTGCCATAGGTCTTGAACTGGAGCACCGACAATGCGTAGAAGCTGCCAACCCTTGAAACACCCTCAACCGAGAAGCCACTGCTCAATCTGGCGAAGCACCTTACGCTGAGCGAGGAACCGAAGCTCGCCATGTTCAGGAGCGACAGCGAACCGCCCTTCACGCCAACCGTGACGCGATTACGCACGGACAAACTGGAGCCAAAGGAAACGTGATCCAAAACACTCGCTCTCACGGACGACTTGAAATCTGTCATCACACTGCAAGAGCTGCCGATGCGGCAGAAGTTTCGCAACGACAGTGTGGACCCCAGAATCTGTTCCTCCATCATCGACAGGTTCTTGCCGTAGCGCGAGAAGGACCGCACGCTCAAACTGCTGCCCAACTCGATATGCGAGATCATGCTCATGTTGTACACGGATCCCTTGACGCAAAGCAAAACGACGCTAAAGCTGCTACCCGAGCGCTGGAACTGTCTGAGAGAGAGACTCGAGCTGCACCGGAAGAAGTCGAACGTCGACATCGATCCCCGGACCAAGCTACGCTGACCACGTACGCTGAAGCTGCTGCCCAGAGCCACGAAGTTCAGAATGGACATCCTGTTTCCGACCTGGCCGTAGGAGCGCAGCGACAGGGAACTGCCAAGCGATGCTGCATCTAGGAGCGAAAAGCCTCGTGTGCCAACCGCTCCTGCCGCAACAGCGCCAGTGATCGACAAGCTAGATGCTAACCGATTAAACCCGCGCAAACTCAGGTCGCTGCCGCAATTGATCATGTCTAGGATCGAGACCGGCCTTCCCGTACGCGTGAAGGCGCGCACCGACAAGTTGCTGCCCAAAGTGACGAAATCCAACATCGAGGTCTTGTCCTTCACCACTCCTTCGCGTCCGAAGATGCTGTGAGCGGAACCCAACTGCACGAATCTGCGCAAGGACAAGCTGCTACCCATGCCGACAAACTGCAACATGCTAAGGCTGCTTCCCATGCGTCCGAAACCGCGGACACTCAAAGAGCTTCCCATGGACACGAAATCGTACATGCTGGCACGCGACTCAGACCCGAACTGCACGAAGCTATCGACGGAAAGGCGTGTTGCGTCACCATACAGTCGACCTGTGGAGACCGAGATGGCGGAGCCACAGCGTGTCAATGCGCGGACACTCAAGGAAGAGCCGACGTTGACGAAGTCCAAGACGCTGACTGCGGAGCCGAAGCGACCGAAGCTGCGCAGGCTGAAGGCTGATCCGAGTGCGCCAAAGCTGAGCAGAGAGAAGTTCTTTCCCATCTTCACGCTGCTGCGGACGCTAAACGTGCTGCCCAATTCCGTCATGCAAATGACGCTCATCTGGAGCATGGAACCGACAATGGCGCTACCAGACACAGAGAGCGAAGATCCCAATCGAGCATGTGCTCGGACAGACAGAACAGAGCCAAGCTGCGCGAAGTTCAGCGCAGAAAGACTCTTGCCGCACCGAGCAAAGCTGCGCATGGAGAGCGAAGATCCGAAACTGGTGGCGTCTACCGCACTCAAGGCCTTGCCGAAGCGTCCGAACCTGCGGACCGACAAACTGCTTCCGATGCTGCAGTTATCGAGAACAGACAACCGCATCACCTGCAGGTTGCTGCGAACGCTGCAACTGCTGGCTAAGGAGCAGAAGTCCAACACGGAACAGCGGGTACCTAACCGTACTTGCTGATCACCGTAGATGGAGAGACCACTTCCTAGTCTGGCAAAGTTGCGCAATGAGACAGAGCTGGAAAGCGACACGAAGCTGATCATGCTCACTGCACTGCCCAACCGCGAGAAGCTGCGGATGGAAATACTCGATCCAAGCGTCGTCGCAGCAAGGATACTCGAGCTTCCTAGAACCTTGGTCTTGCTGTAGAGCGATAGGCCCGAACCGGTCCTACAAGCGCCGCGCATGCTGATGCTGCTGCCGAAGTGTGCGAAGTCCAGCAAAGTAAGACCACTGCCAATTCTAGCGTGCGATCGTACGCTGAGACTGCTACCAACAGATACTGCTTCGAACGCCGACATAGCAAAGGTAGATCCGACGCTTGAGAGGCCGCGGACGCTTACCGAAGATCCTATTCTTACCAATGAGCGTAAGCTGAAGGACGAACCAACATGCATGAACTGCAGAATCGAAGCCATAGATCCCGTACGACCCAACGACCGCATCGACAATGACGATCCGAACCGCAAGAAGTCCAAAACACTGACTCCCTCTGCCAATCGACCGTTGGTCACGACTGAAAGGCTGCTAGACAGACGCGCAAAGTTTCGGAGAGAGAGAGATGAGCCCATGCCGACAGCGTCCATGACCGAGATTGCGGCGCCGTGTCTGCTATAGGACCGCAAGGACATCGAACTGGCCAATTCCGTGAAGGCAATCACGGACATCTTGCTCACAGAGCCGATCGCGCCAAGACCCATCAGGCTGACACCGGAACCAACGCGCAAGAACTTGCGCATAGAAAGCGTCGAGCCTAGATGGACGAAGGAGAGAACGGACATGCTGGATCCGACCCTGGCGATAGAGCGCGTAGACAGACTGCTACCGATGTTGCTGTAACTCAGCAAAGAATTCATGTCCGCGCCAGCTACGTTCATGTGCGAGACAATGCTCACTGAAGAGCCGACACGCATGTAGGTACGGGCACTGAGCGACGACCCGAGGGTCATGAAGTCCAGCACAGACAACTTTCCGCTGATCTGGAAGGTTGAACGGACTGAAAGACTGCTACCGCAAGACGCGTAGTGCAAGACAGAGACCTTCTGAACAGATCCGAAGACCGCAGCACCAATAGCACTGCAGCTGCTGCCGATCCTGGCGAAGGAGCGTAGAGAAAGCGAGGACCCGAAGTTCGAGAAATTGAGCAAACTCAAGTCTCCACCGAACCGAGCGTGGGACCGCATACTCAAACTGCTTCCTAAGTTCATGCAATCGAGAACGGACACACGGTGCTGCAGAGTGCCAGCTCCGAGAACAGAGCAGGTAGAGCCGAAGCGCATGTAGCTGCGCATGCTGACGCTGCTGCCGATTTTCACGAAGTCCACAACGCTCACCGCGGAGCCGAAACGAGCGAGAGAGCGGATGGACAGAGTACTACCAATGCCCACGAAGTCTAAAATGCTGCAACTCTGACTGCAACGCACGTCTCCTTTCACGCTGAAGGCGCTGCCCAGACGCACGCAACTGCGTAACGAAAGACTAGTGCCAATCGAAACGAAGTTCAGAACGCTGACTGCACTTCCGAAGCGCGTAAACGAACGCACGCTGAAGTTGCTTCCTAGGGACAAGCAATCGATCACCGACAAACGCAAGCAGCTGCCGACCGCCATAAGACCGTTAACAGAAACGCTAGATCCTAAGCGCATGAAAGCGCGCAAGCTGACCGAACTGCCCATGCCGCTGAAGGAAAGTATGCTGACGTCCGATCCCATCCGCACGATGCTGCGCACCGACAGCGAGCTGCCGAGAGACGTCGCATCCACAACGGACATTGCGCCACCCTTTCGCAACTCGGTGAGAACCGAGAAGGAGGAGCCGAGACGCACGTAGCAGCGGACACTGATCGAGCTGCCGAGGTTGGTAAAGTCTAAAGCGGAAGCTGTCATTCCAACGCGTCCGAAACGACGTACAGAAAGAGAGCTGCCTAACTCTACCTGTTCTAGGACGGAGAGACGCGCGCCGAAGCGTGCGCACTCACCAAAGACGGACAGCGCAGTGCGAGCTGTGATTCCGCCACGCAAGGAGATGCTGCTGCCGAGGGCGACGTAGTCGAGCAACGACAAGCAACTGCCGGCGCGCGACAGGGAACGGACAGAAAGACTGCTGCCAAGCTGCGTGAATGCGATCACAGAGAAGTTGCCACACGAGCCGGCTTTGACTAGACCCAAGACCGAAAGAGCACTGCCGGTTCGTCCGAAGCTTCGCAACGAGAAACTGGAGCCCGCAAGCGAGAAGTTGAGAACTGACATTGCATCGCCCATGCGCTTTGTAGAACGCACAGACAAGCTGCTGCCAACGTGCAGGAAGTCCAAAACAGAGGCGCTGGCCGACATACGCGAGAAGCTGCGCAGAGACAAGCTGCTACCGAAGGTCGCCATGTTGATGATCGAAGCTTCGCCGTCCAAGCGGATCAAACTACGGACACTCAAGGAACTGCCGAACGTCACACAGTTGAGCAAGGAGACCTTGGCATCTGCGAGTCGCATCAATTTGGAGATGGACATGCAGCTGCCGAGACGAACGAAGCTGCGGCAAGAGAGCGCGCTGCCCATCTGACAATAGTCGATCACGGTTGCGGCAGACCCAAATCGGAGGTAGGACCGCATGCTCAAACTGCTGCCCAAAGTCGCAAAGCTCAGCATAGAGCAGTCCTGCGACAAGGTTGCTCTTGCGGCAACGGAGCAAACACTACCAACTCTCGAGTAGCTCCGAACGGACATGCAAGAGCCCATTGCAAGACAGTCAAACGTCGAAAGCTTGTTGCCAAGGCGTGCGAACATGCGCACACTCAAGCTAGAGGCCATGTGTACTGCTTGTACAACAGATGCTGCGAAGCAGTTTCCGAAGGAGCGCGTTTTGTCAATTACGGACATCGAGCTTCCGAAGCGGACCATGCTGCGAATACTCACCGCCGATCCCAGAGCCATGAAGTCGAAGACCGACGTTGAGTGGCTCAAGCTACCCAGCATTCGCGTTGACAAGGAACTTCCCAGGGAAATCGCGTCCAGAACAGACAATTGCGAGCCCAAGCGCGTCATGGATCGGAGAGACAAGGAACTGCCGATGGTAGCACCCTTCATCAAGGACATCATGCTGCCCAGGCGTACCTCGCCGTAAACAGACAAAGTGCTGCCCATCTTGGCGCGACCGCGGAGCGAGAACGCACTTCCCATGGCTAGCATGTCCAGGGACGAAAGCTTGGCGCCGCACCGCACGAAGCTGCGCAGCGAGCACGAACTGCCCACAGACACGAAGTTGATCACAGATGCCAAATGGCAGCTGCCCATCTTGAGGACTCCACAGAGACTGTAGCCGCTACCGGTACGGCAAGCACTGCGGATACTCAAGCTAGAGCCAACGTCGATCATCTCCACCAACGAGAGCGTCTTTCCGAACGGCACCGTGCTGCGAATCGACAAACTGCTACCCATGTTAGAGTACTGCAGGATGCTGAATCGTCCGCCACAGTAACCGTCGCCAATGACCGACATGGTGGAGCCGACGCGGCAATAGTTGCGCAACGACACAGAGCTAGCTAGCGCCAGGTGATCTAAAACAGACGCGCGAGAGCCAATGCGCATGTAGCTGCGCACCGAGAGCGAGCTGCCGCACGCTGCGAAGCCGAGAACCGAGGTCGCGTAGGTTCCGAGACTGCGGACGCACCCACGGACGGACAAGCTGGACCCCAAAGTGACGCTGTCGAGTGCAGACAACGTGCTAGAGGCGCGTCCGAAGCTGCGCAAGGAAAGCGTAGATCCAAGATGCACCCAGCCGATCACGGACAGGGATTTGCAGCTGCCCATAGACTCCAAGCCGATCACACTGCATGCAGAGCCGATACGGGTAAACGCGCGTAACGAGTAAGAGCTGCCCAGCTGCACGAAGGACAAAACGGAAAGCGACTTGCCGAAGCGGCTGGCCACTCCACGCAAGCTTAGGCTAGAACCGCAGTGCAACTGATCAATGACGGAGAGTCGAATGCAGCTGCCGGTGTTGCTTATGAGGCCGTGTGCGCTCATGGAGCTGCCTAGTCGGACAAAGGAGCGCACCGAGAACGAGCTGCCGAGGTGTCCGAACTCGAGCATGGAGAGGGCGCTCCCCATGCGCACGTAACCTCTCACCGAAAGCGAGCTGCCGATGTAGAGGCAGTCGAGGACAGAGACCTTTGAACGTAGATCTGTTCCTGGAGAGAAGATCGACAAGGCAGAGCCGATCTGCATGAAGCCACGTAGACTGAGGCTGCTGCCCAGGTCGATGAACGTCAGTACGGAAGCGTGACTGTGCGATCGCACGCGACCGCGGACCGACAACGAGCTGCCCAAAGTGATGTGCTCTACTAAAGAGCAACGATACACGGAGCCGAACCTTGTGACTGACATCGCGGACAGCGAGCTGCCGCAACGGCCGAAGGACCGCAGAGACAACGTAGAGCCCATAGCCAGCATGTCGAAGGTGGATGCACGGTGGCCGAAGCGCGTGGACGTGCGCACAGAGAGCGAGCTCGCGAGCGCCAGCATGTTGAAGACGGAGGCGCGGCTGCCAAAGCGGCTGCAACATCGCAATGACATCGAGCTTCCCAGTGTGACACGATCTAAAACGCTGTTCATGCATTGGTTTCCGCTGATATTCGTCCTCCCCATCACAGAAAGGCTGCTGCCGATGCGCATCATCTGCCGGCAGCTACAGCTGCTACCCAACAGTTGCGCGTCCATGAGGGACAAGCTGCTGCTGAAGCGCAACGTTCCGTAGATGCTGCAGCCCGAGCCGACGCGGATCGAACCCCGCAGAGACAAGGCACTGGCAACCGTGACGTAGTCCAGCACGCTGATGCTCCTACTCGAACGAATAAAGGACCGAACGCTGAGGGTACTTCCTAGCTCCACTTGTTGCATCACAGAAAGCTGCTGTGCACTTCCGAGCATGCATACACCGGCAACACTCAGAGTGCTTCCGAGACGCGTAAACTGGCGCACCGAAAGTGAGCTGCCCATTTCTGCGAAATTCAGGACCGACATCGCACTCCCGAAGCGCAAGTGTGACCGGACGCTCATGGCGCTGCCTAGAGACAGGAAGTTCAGACAGCTCAACTGACTTCCGCCGCGTGCCAGTGCGCGCAGGGACAAAGAACTGCCGAGCGACGTGGAGTCCAAAGCGGACATGCACGATCCAAAGCGGCCGAAGACGCGTAGAGACAACGTGCTGCCAATGCAGACGCTGTCCAACATGGAAACTGCGCTTCCAAACCGCGATGCGTGGAAGACCGAGAAGGCGGATCCTACACGCACGAATCGGCGCACTGACGTGGACGAGGAGATGTGCGCGAAGTCTAGAACGCTAATCGCAGATCCGCATCGCATCACACTGCGTACGCTCAAAGAGCTTCCTGCGCAGATACTGTCCAGAACGCTGATTGAGCTGCTGAGAAATGCTGAAGCGCACACACTGAAGCCGGAGCCCAAACGAACTAGATTTCGCAGTGAGCAGACGCTGCCAAAGTTCAAACACTCGAGCACGCTCAGGTGGCTTCCGAAGCGCACGAACGAGCGCATCGAGAGACTGGAGCCGCAGTGCGAGAAGTTCACCACTGACATGGCGCTGCCTAGGCGTAGGGTAGACCTTACCGAAAGGGAGCTTCCGCAATGTGCGAAGTCCAAGACGCTAAGGTTTCTGCCTGGGCGCAGAGGTCCTCGCACACTCATACTGGATCCAAGCTGCATGAAGTCAATGCAAGACAATTTCAGCACCGATCCAAGCACGTTCATCTGGCCGTGAATCGATAGGCCAGAACCGAGACGTACAAAGCCCCTAACCGACAAGGAGGATCCAAGCTGCAAGTACTCGAGGACACTGTGCTTTGCGTGGCCAAGACCCTTGCTGCGAACAGAGAGACTGGAGCCCAAGTCGACGCGATCAAGGACCGACAGCTTCACACCGCACGTGCCGACGCCGCCTTGCACAGATAGAGCACTGCCGAATCGTTGAAAGGTACGCAGACTCAATGCAGATCCCATGTTGGTTGCGTCGTAGATCGACAAGTCAAGACCCGCTCGCATAAACGACCGCAACGACAAGCTGCTTCCCACCGTTGCCAGGCACATCACAGACTGGCCAGCACCGCATCTGACCGTATCGACGACGCTGAAACGCGATCCGAAACGCGCTGCTGCACGGAGGGACAAAGCGGAACCGAGATTCACTGCGTCAAACAAGCTCGTACGGCATTCGAGTTTTGCGAAGCCGCGTACTGAGAGACTACTGCCGAGTTGTGAGAACCTGAGAACCGACATCGACGCGCAGCTGCCGACCATATGCACCATTCCAGTCACGGAGAAACCTGACCCGGCGCGACAGGCGGTTCGCAGTGACAAGGCTGAGCCAAGTTGGCACATGTCGAAGACGCTAGCTCGGCTGCCGAACATACCTGCTGATCGAACACTAAGTGCTGATCCCAAGTTCACGGAAGTCAATACCGAAAGTCCGCTTGCGAGCTTCGCGTTCTGGACACCTGTGTAGACGGAGAGGCAGCTGCCGATGCGTGCATAAGCACGCACACTCAAGTTGGTGCCGATGTGCAGGTAGTCGAGGACAGAAAGCTTGCTGCCGCAACGAGCGAAGCTGCGCAACGACATCGAAGACCCGAGTTCGGTGGCGCCAAGCATCGACAGTTGGTGCAGGGAGCCGCAAATGACGAGTCCGTGTGCAGACAAAGCGCTACCAATGCGTAGAACGGAACGCATACTCAAGGAGGATCCGACGTAGGTGAAGTCTTGCATGCTCATGCGGCTACCTAGGCGTGCGAAGCTGCGGATCGACACTGCAGATCCAAACTGCACACTGTCTAGAACCGACAGCATGGTGCTGACGTGCACACGACGTCTCAGAGACACAGAACTTCCCAAGTGGAGTTGGTCTATGATGCTGATGAAGCTGCCCAATTTGTTCTGGGCGCCACCTACTGATAGACCTGAACCCAGCCTACAGGCTGCGCGCAAAGACACTGCGCTGCCCAAGTGCACAAAGTTGAGCACCGAGAGCTGCTCGCCAGTGCGCATGCTGCTGCGGCAGCTCAGAGTGCTTCCGAGCGACACGAAGGACAACGCTGAAAGTGAGCTGCCCAAAGTCATCATGCTGCGAACGCTGAGACTTGATCCGATGTTGATGCAATCCAAGATTGATGTTTTCCTTCCGTGGATATCCAAGGTTCCCATGACCGAAACGCTAGATGAGATACGCGCAAACCGCCTCAACGAGAGCGAAGAACCGAAGGCCGCAGCGTCCAAGATCGAAAGCGCTTTTCCAAAGCGACCCGTGGATCGCACGGAGAGGGAACTTCCTATTGTGAGGAAGTCAACCAAGGACATGCAGCTGCCCATCAGACCGTAGTGTCGCAACGAAACCGAAGATCCGAGTGTCAGGAAGTCCAAAACGGACGCCGTGTCACCCAATCGTCCATGACCGCGCAAGACACTGCACGAAGAGCCGATCTTGCAGACGCTGCGCAAAGACAAGGAACTGCCCAATCCTATCATATCCAGGACGCTTGCAGAAAAGCGGAAGCGAACCATGTTCCGCACAGAGACCGAGCTTCCGACGTGCAAGTAGTCGATCACTGAAGTTCTCAGTAAGCTCCCAAACACCGCAACGCCAACCGCGGACATGGCGGAGCCTGCGCGCACGCAGCTGCGCAAGCTCAGCGAGGAACCGATATCGAGCATGTCGAAGAGGCTCATGGAACTGCCATAGCGACCACGCGTGCGGACAGACAGACTAGAGCCCATCTTGGTTGCGTCGTAGACGCTCTGCAGCAGCACTGACCCACAACGCGAGAGACCGTGTGCAGAGAGCGACGATCCTATGCGCACGAAATTACGCACACTAATCGTGCTACCCAACGCAAATGCGTCGAAGATGGAAGCGCGCGAGCCCATCTTGGCGTGTGTTCGTAGTGACATGGTGGAACCGAGATGTGCGCAGTCTAGGACGCTCAGCTGCGAAGCCATCTTTCCGTAGGAACGCAAAGAGAAGGAGCTGCCGAGTTTCAGAACGTCGACCACAGACATCCTCAACACCGAACCAGATGCAGTCAAACCAAGAGCCGAAAGCGACGAGCCGCATCGTGCCAGACACCGAATCGACAACGCACTGCCCATATGCAAGTAGCTGAGCACACTCAGGCGTTCGCCCAGTCGTGCTTGAGAACGCAAGCTCAGAGAGCTGCCGATCACGATGTTGTCCAGGATTGAGACCATGGATCGTGCGCGCAAGTCCTGTCCGCGCACGCTGAAACTAGAACCGACTCTAACGAAGCATCGTGCTGACAAGTTGCTGCCGAGATGGGCAAAGTTCACCATGCTGACACTAGCTCCCAAGCGAGTGAAGGAGCGGACGCTGCAACTGCTAGCCAGATTGGTCCAATTCAGGATCGACGTGGCTTGACCAACACGCGCACTGCCTAAAATCGAGACGCTGCTGCCAGTACGCGCGAAGCACCTAACACTGCATGTCGAGGCAAAAGCCACCATGTTCAGCACCGAAATCGTGGAGCTGACACGCGAATGCGCGCGTACGGAGAGAGAACTTCCGAGATGGAGGAAGTTCATGATACTCGTCTGATGACAAGAACCACCTACTTTCGTCAAGCCCATCACGGAAATGCTAGAACCGCAACGTGCGTATGATCGGATCGACAGGGCACTGGCCAAGACTACGAAGTCCAGAGCGGATGTTCCTTCACTCTGGAACCTGGCTGTGGAGCGGATAGACACTGTAGATCCTAGGTGCGCGAAATCGATCACGGACAAAGCAATGCAGCTTCCGCAGTTCTTGGTCAGCCCGAAAATGCTAGCAGAGCTCCCAAGGCGTACAAACTTACGAAGCGAGAGAGTGCTGCCCAATGCGCACTGGTCGAAGACGCTGGCACTGACGCCGCAGCGCCCTGTTCCACGCACTGAAAGACTCGAGCCTAGTTGTAACAGGTCCAGAACCGAAAATCTCGATTCCACTCTCACATCTTGACCATAGACGCTCAGTGAGCTGCCGACACGCGTTAATGCGCGCAATGACAACGTTGATCCGAGGTGCACACTGTCTAGGACAGAAAGCAAGCTTCCACTGCGCACGAAGGACCGCATAGACAGCGAGCTGGCGCATGCGAGCTCCCCAATAATCGACAGCTTGCCTTGCATGCTGCTCAACCTCCCACTGGCAATGCTAATGCTCGATCCCAATCTTGCAAAGGTGCGCAACGAGACCGAACTAGCAAGTGTGATCGCGTCGAACACGCTCTGCGTTGATGAGAATCGTGTGCCACCACGCACCGACAGAGACGATCCCAGGTGAGTGGCGTCCATGACAGACGCTAGGTACACACTGCCGATCTTGTTCAGACCCATGACACTAGCGCCAGACGACAACCGCGAGTAGGACCGCAAGCTCAAGGAGCTTCCCAGGTTGAGGCAGTCGTAGATGCTAGCCGTCTTTCCGAAGCGAGCGCTGACGCGGACGCTGACTGAGCTGCCGATGTGGAAGAAGTCTACTACGGAAACCGCGCTGCCCATGGAGGAGACAGAACGGACACTCAGAGACGATCCAAGCTGCAAGAAGTCAAGAACTGAAGTCCTGCTGCCGCGTGCCAAACTGCGCACGCTCAAGCTGCTGCCCAAGTGTGTGGAGTCAAGCACAGAGGCTGTCATGCCAACGCGCATGGTGGTGACGAGTGAAGCAGCGCTGCCCACACGCACGTAGTGGCGCACCGACAAACTGCTACCAAAATGGGAGAAGTTCAAAACGGAAACAGCCGATCCCAAGCGCGCGTAGGCGCGCATGGAAAGCGAGCTGCCGACGTTCACCTGTTCGAGCACCGACAACGGTGCCGCACCTCGAGCGACGCCGAACATCGACACAGTGCTTCCGAACCGAGCGCATTGTCGCAAGCTGCAACTGCTACCAATCATCACAGCATCAATGCTGCTCATGCGACTGCCGAATCGGACGTGCGAACGGACGCTAATGGTACTCCCAAGTTGCATGAAGTCGATTACGCTGGTGCGCAGCACGCTTCCGACCGCCACACGGCCCATAGCACTGCAACCAGAGCCGATGCGCAGGAAGTGGCGGAGCGAAATACTGCTGCCCACGTGCAGGTAGTCAAAGACACTGGCCTTCTCTCCTAGTCGCAGAATCTGTCCGCGGAGAGAAATGCTGCTACCCAAATGCGCCTGATTGATTACAGAGAGCGTTTCTTGCAAGTTCGAGCACAATGAGACCGATAAGGAGCTGCCAGCGCGGCAGAAGCTGCGGACGCTAAGCACGGATCCCAAGTGAAGCAAATCCAGGACAGATGCTGCACTGCTCACCCGCGTGAAGGACCGCAGAGACACGCTGCTACCGAAAGTTCCGAACGCTAGCACAGTGCAGTCGTTTCCGAATCTACTAAAACTGCGCAGTGAGATGCTGCTTGCCATGTTGGTGCAGGCGAGCACCGACATTCGCGTGAACGATCCAAAGATACCCAATCCGAGAGCAGAGAAGCTGCTGCCCAAGCGCACGAAGCTGCGCAGAGAGCAGGTGCTTCCGAGTGCAGTGAAGTCGCAGATTGAGACTGCGCCTTGAAATCGACCGGCTTTCTGGACGCTGAAGTTCTTGGCACCGTTGAAGATCAGGCCACCCTTGATGCTCAAAGAGCTGCCGATGCGGCAGAACGAGCGCATCGAGAGCGCGCTACCGCAGTTTGCGAAGTCCAGGGCAGAAGCGCCACGTGTGCTCCTGTTCTCGACCATTGAGCGCACACTCAGAGAGGATCCGAGTGCCAAATAGCCGAGCACGGAACAAGAGCCCTTGATTCCAACGGCGGCTCCAGTGAGCGACATCGAAGATCCTACCCGGACCAAGGATCGGAGCGAAAGAGACGATCCGAAGAGAGCAAAGTCCGACACAGAAAGTGCATCTCCAAATCGTCCTGTGGAACGTACGGAGAGCGAAGAGCCGATGTCTACGGCGTCAAGGAGACTGGTTACGCCCCTCAACTGGCAGTTATCCTTCCATCCCGTTGAGAAGATGCTCATCGAGCTACTCAGGCGTGAGAACGATCGCAGCGACAATCCGCTGCTAGCTGTGATGGCATCCAAAACGCTGACCGCAGATCCTAAACGCGTGAACGCGCGCAGAGAGCAGCTGCTGGCCATGTGTGTGTAATCCAAAATCGAAATCTTGAATACTGAGCCAACGTCAAATCGTCCCATCGCAGACAGGTTGCTGCCCATACGTGAAAAGTTGCGGAGCGATAATGTGCTTCCCAGACGTAGCTGATCCAGAACGGAGAAGCCGTAGCGACCAAACCGAATCATCTGTCGCACGCTTACTGAGGAACCCAGAGATACTGCGTCCACTACGCTCACGGTCTTGCCGCATCGAGTCCACGCCACAACGGAGCAGCCACTGCCAATGCGAGCGCTAGCGCGCAACGACAGGCTGCTGCTGCAAGTCGCGAAGTCGAGGACGGAAATAGAACCTGCCAAGCGGGTGTAGGACCGCAACGACAAGTTGCTGGCCAAATGCACGTACCCCATGGTCGATACTTGCACAATACTGCCAATCATGGTTCTGCCAAAGACAGAGACTGTGGACCCGCACTTCACGTACTGCCGCAAGGACAAGTTGCTGCCAAAGGCGACAAAGTCTAGCACAGACAAATGGCGACCCTGTCGGAAGTGGTGGCGCAACGACATCGAGCTTCCAAGTGTGATGGCATCGACAACTGAGACTCCACTGCCGCAACGAGCGATTGATCTGAGCGACATGGTAGAGCCCATCGAGAAGAAGTCAAATACGCTGGATCGGGATCCTAGTCGAGCAACTGATCGGATCGACAAACTGCTAGATGTTTGCAAAACGTCGAATATCGAAATGGCGGCTCCAGAATAGTGTGTTGAGAACTGGCCGTGCATCGAAATAGCACTGCCAAATCGCGTGTAGCAGCGCACGGACAAGGAACTTCCCAAGGTTGCGACATTTAACATGGAAACGTTGTCGCCCATACGGCTGAAGGCGCGCAGCGACAGAGAACTGCCGAGCATGACTTGGTTCAAGACGCTAGCGCCAAATGCGCATCGAGCATGTCCACCGGAGTAGAGCGACACGCTGCTCGAGATTCTGGAAACGGCTCTGAGCGAGATGCTAGATCCACAGTACGCGTAGCTCAATACGGACATGCCTCCAGCACCGAATCTTCCGAAGGAGCGCAAAGACAAACTGCTCGCCGCATCGACCGCACCAATGATCGAGAAGGCTGCGACAGAGCCGGTTCGGAACAGGCCTGTAAGCGAACAACCACTGCCTGTGCGGCAATAGGTTCGTAGAGACAGAGTGCTGCCCAAGTTCAGGTAGTTCAAAACCGAAACTTGGGACCCAAAGCTCGTGCACGAACGCACGCTCAAGCTGGAGCCAATACGCGTCAAATCGAGCACAGAAAGTGCGTTCGTGATGCGCGAGTGTTCGCCCAGAATCGAGACCGAACTGCCAATTCTGCCAGCTGCTCGCAGAGACAAGCCCGATCCGCATTCAGTGAAGTCCAAGACCGACGCCGCACCCGCGAAGCGCGAGAAGGAGCGGACGGATAGGGAACTAGCAACTGAGGCACTGGCGAAGACTGAGAGGCAGCCACCAGACTGCGCGAAGCTTCCGACTGACAGAGTGTTGGTCACACGCACATCCCCAGAGATGCGGCTGCCACCAGCAGCCACGGATAGCGAAGATCCGATGCGCTGGAAGCTACGCAAACTCATAGCCGAACCCAAAGATGTCATGTCGAAGATACTCAAGTTGCTCGCCAACTTCGTGAAGCTGCGGATGGATAAACTGGAACCCACCTCGAAGAACTCAAAGAGCGAGAGCGACGCAACACTGCCAATGCCGTTCAAACAGCCACAGGCGGAGAAATCGTGACCCATACGCGTGTAGGCACGCACAGAAAGCGACGATCCAAGACTCATGCAGTCGAGCACGCTGGACCAGCCGCCGCGCTGCATCTTGCCGAGAGCCGAAAGGCTAGATCCCAAACGCGATTGTGTTCGCAATGACAACGCACTACCAAAGGCAACCATGTTGAAGATGGACATGCCGCGGCCGCCGGCTGACAACATGCCAGTAGAGCGCACAGACAACGAGGAACCCAAAGTGAACGAATCTAGCATTGAGAAGCCACCTCCAATCCGTGCAATCGTTCCACCCGATTTGATCGACAAGCCGCTGCCCGTCTTGCAGTAAGCCCTCAAGGACAGCGATGAGCCCAAGTTCAGGTTGCCGAGTAACGAAAGGCTGCTGCCGAGACTAGCACGGCCAAAGACACTCGCGTAGGACCCAAGACGCGCGGAAGCTCTAAGTGAGAGCGAACTGGCGCAAGCCATGCTGCTCGTGAGTGAGAAGTCGTGACTGAACAAAATCAGACTCTTGACCGACAACGAACTTCCTAGCCTCATCAACGCGCGCATCGAAAGCGAAGAACCGATACTTGTGCTATCCAGCACAGAGATCGGCACGTCACCGAAGCTCTTTCGCGTGGCTCCAAAGATGCTCATGTGAGATCCAATACGAGTGTAGCTGCGAATGGAAATGGTTGATCCCACGCATGCGCTGTTGAGAACGCTGAAGCACATGCTGCTGAGTAACACACGTCCGTAGACGCTCAAACTGCTGCCGCATCTGGCCATGTCACGCATACTGAAGCAGGAACCAATATCCACGTTCTCCAGAATGCTAGCTGCCGCGGAGAAGCGCGAGCTGCCGAACAAGCTCAAGCAACTGCCTAAACGCACGTGGGCACGCAGGCTGACCGTCGATCCGCCATGGGCGAAGTCCAGAATCGAGGTCGACGAAGCCAGGCGGATGAACCCGGTGACTGAGTAGGCACTGCCGATGCGCCCAACGTTGCGCAGTGAGAAGCTAGATCCGACAAACGTTTGTTGCAGGATGCTCGGACTCTGGTTGATGCGGAGTTGTCCGAACAAGGAGATTCCGCTGCCACTCATAAACATTGAGCGAACCGAAATACAGCTGCCAAGCTTCAAGAAGTCCATCACCGAGACCTTTTCGGCGCAGTTTCGGCTGTAAATCGAGACTCCAGACCCAATGCGCGCAAAAGAGCGCATGCTCAACGTGCTGCCAAGACATAGAAGGTCAAAGGCAGAGAGCGAATCTCCGATTTTCACGAAGTTGCGCAAGGAGACCGAACTTCCAAGCAAGACGTAGTCTACAACGGAACAGCTGGTGCCGCACAAGCCGAAGAGCTTCTTCTCGACGGCTCCCATGATGCTGATGCTGCTGCCGATGCGAACCATGTTGCGGATACTCACACTGCTAGCAGCTGAGGTGTAAGCCAACACAGACAACGTTCCGCATTTGAGCGACCCAAGAGCACTCATCGAACTGCCCACACGTGCGTAAGCACGCATTGAGAGGGACGACCCAAGAGTTACGAAGTTCAGCACCGAAGTGTAGATGCCGATGCGCGACATTCCCCGTATGGACAACGTCGAACTCAGATGCGTCTGGTCCGTCACCGAGCAGTCACCGTGATGAAAACTGCGTTCTGCAACTGAGAGCGCAGATCCGATGCGGCAGAGGTTCCGCAGGGACAGGCTAGAACCCAGATTCGTGAATTCTAGGGTCGAGAAGAATGTGCTCATGCGGATATGAGACCTGCACGATAGACCGGAAGCTAAGTTCGCCACTTCAGCCACAGACAGGGACTGTCCTCCGCAACCGCGGTCTTTGCCGAACGTACCGAAGATTGACAAACCAGAAGAGAGTCGCACGTAGCTGCGCAGAGAGCAAGAACTGCCGAGACTCTGGAACGTGAGTGTGCTCAAATCACCGCCGACACGGAATCTGGATCGGACTGAGAGAGAGCTCCCGAGGTTCAGGAAGCCTAAAACAGAAGTCTTCGCGCCAATGCTGACCCTTCTGCGAACAGAGAACGAGCTACCCAGTTCTGCGTGGTGCATGATGCTCACCGTGCCGTAGAACCGTGAGGCGACTTGGTAGGCAGATAGGCAACTACCTAGTCTGACGAATTCTCGCAAAGAGACAGACGATGCTAGGGTCTGGAAGTCCATCACGCTGAGTTCCTGGCTACTGCGCATTCGGCCACGTAGACTCAAACTGCTGCCGAAGTGGACGAAGTTCAACACTGACATGTTGCTGCACAGACGCCCAAAGCCACGCACGCTGAGGCTGCTGGCAAGACATGCGGAATCCATGACGGACAAGTGGCACATGGCGCGCGCGTGCTGTCCATAGACGGAGCACGTTGAGCCGACGCGCACAAAGTTTCGGATCGAAACCGTGGAACCGACTTGAGCGAAGAGCATCAAGGACACGTCCTGCGCGACACGGCCGTAGTTACGCACGCTGAAGCTACTGCCCAGTGTCATGACGCCCATGGCTGAGACCTTGGACAAGAAGTCAAGGCGTCGTCCAGCAGAAGCTGCAACCGATAAGGAGCTGCCGCATCGACTGTACGAACGCAATGACAAAGAAGATGCCAATTGCACGTATCGCAGTGTCGAGAGCGCACCAGCGCCGACGCGGCACTGGCTGTGGACGCTCATTCCGCTTCCGACTCGAACGCAGTTCCTCAAGGACAGGTTGCTGCCGAGATGCGAGTAGAGAAGCACAGAGAGCCCACGAGTGCCCGCTTGCGAGTAACTGCGGACCGACAAAGCGCTTCCGAGGTTGACGCAGTCGAGAACGGAGACCATCTGGCCGATCTTGATGATCTGACGCACACTGATAGAGCTGCCCAACGCTAAATACTCCATCACACTCGCGCGCGAGTAGAGTGTGTTGCGACGCGGATCCGAAGCACATCCTACGGACAAAGTGCTGCAAAGCCTAGCGTAGCTGCGCAAAGACAGAGCGCTGCCAGCGGACAAGAAGTCCAGGACTGACATGCGGCTGCCGAACCGACCGAAGCTGCGCAGACTCACAGTGCTGCCAACCTTGGTTTGCTCGAGGACCGAGACGCAACCAGCCTGAGCCAATCCGTACACGCTGAAGCCGGAGCCCGCACGCGTGTATGATCGGACAGACAAAGTGCTGCCCAAGTGCAGGAAGTCGAGAACGCTGACTTGACTGCCCATGCGCGTGAAGTCTCGCAGAGAGATGGCGCTTCCGACAAAGGTTGCATCCAAGACTGAGACTCTGGCCATCACTTCCAAGCGAATGGCGTTGGTGGATCCGATGCTGAAGCTGCTGCCGATGCGCAGGTAACTTCGACACGAGAGCGCACTTCCGAAGCCGACGAAATCCAGAATGCTCGTGCCACTGCCGAATCGCAAGAGCGACCTCACACTCATGGAACTACCTAGGTGCGCATGCGACAACACGGACAGAACGTTCGAAAACTGTACGCTGCCACTGACGGAGCACGTGCTGCTCAGTCTGGCGCACGCACGTAGCGAAAGTGCACTGCCCAAGCACACTGCGTCCAAGACCGACAGGTTCGTTGCCAAACGCTGAATGCCACGCAGACTGAAACTGGAGCTCAACGTCGCGTGGTCGAACAACGACAGGCTCGCACCACCGTACGTTCTCGCGAAGATCGAAAGACTACTCGACAAACGCGCGTGGCCACGCAAGGAGAGACTCGAACCAAAGTAGTTCGCATCCAAGACGGAAAGTGTGTCTCCACCGATGACCTTCGAAAACAGGCTCAACGCGGATCCAAGTTTCGTCAAGCCCCTCAGAGAGCAGATCGAACCGAGATTCATCATGTCCAGCACTGAGACGCAGGGATTCAAGCGACCGTGATATCGCAAGGAGAACGCAGAACCCAGAGTCACTGACTGCATGATCGACAGCGACGGCCCCAATCGCAGGGCCTCGCTCGCTCCTCCGAAGAGGGACAAGGAGCTTCCGAGCCTCGAGCAATGGCGCAGACTCAGGCAGCTGCCGTAGTTGTTGCACTCCAAGACTGAGAAGGATTCGCCAGATCGGTATCGGCCAAAGACAGACATCGTCGAACCTTGTCTTCCGTAGGCTCGCAACGAGAGTGCAGATCCGTAGATCGCGTACTCCAGGATACTGACTGAGTCGTGTGCACGACCTACTCTGCGCACTGACAGCGAGCTGCCTAAGTGCGTTGCCTGCAACACAGACAGCTGTGTTCCGGCATCGACTCGTGTCCAGCAAGACATCAAGGAGCCGAAACGCGTTGCGGACCGCAGACTCAACGAGCTACCCAGCGTCACGTAGTCGAACGCCGACAGCGACGAACCAAACCTTCCGAACCCACGCAAGGAGAGCGACGAACCGAAGTCTAAGGCTTGGATGATCGAGTTCGCATTCTGCAGCTTTGAAGCTGACATGAACGAGCAGTTACTTCCGAATCGCACAAACGCGCGGATACTCAAAGAACTGCCAATCGTCAAGTAGTCGAACGTGCTCATGCCTCCATGCAATCGTGCAAATCCACGTGCGCTGATCGAACTGCCCAGAGCCATGTAGTTTAGGACAGAACAAGTGCCGCCAATGTCTGTCCCTGTGAAGGTTGACATGGTGCTACCGAGACGGGCGAAAGCTCTAAGAGACACCGTTGATCCTTGTCGCAGGAACTGCAAAGCGGAAATCATGCTGCCACCTCTGAACGCGGTACGCACCGACAAGGAGCTGCCGCAGTTCATCTGCGCGAGTAAACTCATTTCTGCACCAAGGCGTACTTGCGACCAGACGCTGAACGAGCTGCCAGTGCGCGTCATCGATCTAGTAGACAGGTTGCTACCTAGAGCGACGTAGTTCAGCACAGACAAGTTGTCAGAGAACCGCGCACGCAAGCGGACGGACAGTGAGCTTCCGATGTAGCCAGAATCCAAGACAGAGAATTTGGCTGCGTCCACGTAGTGGTTGTAGATGGACAACGAGGAGCCGACCTTCAGGAAGCAACGTACCGACAAGGATGAGCCGGCGGCTGCGAAATTCAGCACCGAAGCCGTCTTGGAGCATCGCACGAAGCTCCGCAAAGAGCAACTACTGCCTAGGGTACTCGAGTCTAAGGTTGAGATCGATTCTCCAAGTCTTGTGAACTTGTACACGCTGACATGCGAGCCCATCTGACCAACAGCTCGTAGAGACAATGTGCTGCCCAAATTCGCGAACGCAAAGATGCTTCCGCTGCTGCTCTGCACGAACATGCGTACGCTGAGCGACGAGCCCATGCTCACGCAGTTCAAAGTCGACAAGAAGCTGCCGCACCGCACGCCGTTGAAGACACTCAGTTGCGAACCTAAACGGATGAATGCGCGCAGCGACAAGCTGGAACCGAACTCCGCATTGTCCAGGATGGACATAGAGGAACCAAAGCGCAGCTTGCTCATCGTGCTCATGCTGCTTCCTAAGCGGCAGTATCTCCTCAAAGAGATGGCACTGCCCATGCTGACCATGTCAAACAACGAGAGAGCCATGCCAAAATTGTTGAAATTCCTGATCGACACTGCACTTCCAAGGTTGGCGTAGTCGATCGTCGACAGCATGGATCCACAACGTGTCTGGCTGAAGATGCTGTAGTTGCTGCCAAGACGGAAGTAAGCCCGGAGAGAGAGACTCGAACCCATGGTCACAGAGTCAAGAACGGACAATTGGCTATTCTGTCGCCAGCTGCGATTCCACATGGAAACTGCGGATCCGAACTTCGATACAGAGCGCAAACTCAACGTGCTACCACAGTTGGAAAAGTCCAACATGGAGAGAACACTGCCTGCTTGTCCGAAGCTGCGCAAGGACAGAGAACTCCCCAAGAAGGCGCTGTCGAGAGTACTCAAAGCAGCACCGGTCTGGGCCAAGTTGCACACCGAGAAGGCACTTCCGAGTCTGGCCATGGATCGCAAGCTCATGGTGCTGCCTAAGAACATAGTGTCTAAAACCGAGCAGCATCCAGATCCGAATACGGCACGGCTGAAGATCGAGTAGGAACTGGCCAGTCGTGCAGTGCTGCGCATGCTCAGGGAACTACCCATCTCCACCACGTCAATGATAGAGCAGCAACTTCCTACACGACCAGCACCAAAGACTGAAGCCGAAGATGCAAACCGCGTGTACGCACGAATGCTGAGAGAGCTACCCAGCCAACTGGCATCCAAGACTGAGATGCAGCTGCCGAATCGTCCCCACGAGAAGACACTCAAGGTGCTTCCCAAGCGAGCGACCGCACGAACGCTGATGCTGCTGCCGAAGGTCACCTGATCCAAAGTGGAGATGTGGCAGCCGAAGCGTCCCTTGCCGTTGTTGCTGAGCGAGAGCTGTGAACCCATGCGAGCGTAGCTTCTCAATGACAGCACCGATCCAAGAACGGCGTAGTTGAACACCGACAAGGATTTCCCCAGTCGTTGGTAGGCACGCACTGAGCAGCTAGAGCCCATGGTCAGGCTACTCAAGGCCGACAAAGAACTGCCGATCTTGAACGCCGCAAAGACACTCAGAGAACTGCCCAAGCGATTGAAAGACCGGACTGAGAAGCTGCTGCCCATCTCGATGGCGTCGAACACGGACAGTTCTTGCCCAATGCGTGTGCGACCTCGGACACTCAACATGTCACCCATGTGAGAGTAGTCCAACATGGAGAAGGAGCTTCCAAACCTTGCTTGCTGCATCAGGGAAAAAGAAGAGCTGAGTCTGCCCATGCAACGCAAGGAGAGCGAACTGCCGCACTGCACGTAGTCTAAAAGCGATAGGGTCGCTTTCACCGCGTGTCCGTAGATGCTGATCGAAGAACCGATACGTCCTAGACTGCGCAACGACAACGCGCTGCCCATATTCTGGTACTCCAGAACAGAAAGCACACCCCCTAAACGTCCGAAGCCTCGCAACGAGCACGTACTGGCCAGCGTGACGTAGTCCAGGATGGAGAGCAAACCCCCATGACTTGCGCAAGACTTACTGAACACGGAGAAGACGGATCCGAACCTCATGTGGTGCCGAGCGGAGCACGAAGAACCGCAGGACACAAAGTTGAGAACGGAGACTGGATTCCCGAATCTCGACACCGCACGCACGGACAAAGAACTGCCGAGATACACGTGATCGCACGAGGAGATCGTGGATCCCATTCGCACGCGGCTGAACACGGAGAAGTTGCTGCCGTAACAGCCGATCACACGCAACGAGAGCGAACTCCCAAGGTTCAGGCAGTCGTACAGCGAAATGCCCGTTCCAGACGGTCCGCCGTGTCGCAGGTCTCCGAAGATACTGCAACGCGATCCAAACCGCAAGTAGGTACGCACAGACAGACTCGAAGCCAACGAGAACCAATCGAGAACGGACATGGAGGATCCCATGCACATCTTCGAAAAGATACTGAAGTTGCTTCCAAATCTGGTCATAGATCTCAAGGACATTGCGCTTCCCAGTTCCATCTTGTCTAGGATCGAGATCGCACTGCCCATCATCGAGTAGCTGAAAATACTGCAGTTGCTTGCGCAGTTCGCGAAGGACCGCAGACTCAAAGTCGATCCAAAGTGCAGTGCCTGGAACCCGGAGATCGTGCTGCCCAGATAGGAGCAGCGGCTCACAGACAGCGTAGATCCGATGCGCATGTGACCTCGCAGCGACACCGCGCTACCTAGATGGGTGAACATGAGCACGGAAAACGTTTCCCTGAACCGCGCAGTCGAGTACACACTGCAGCCACTGGCTAACCGCGAATAGCTACGCATCGAGAAGCTACTTCCCATCTGGAACGTGTCTAAGATCGAAATGTGTTTGCCACATTTGAGCATGTCACGCAACGACAAGGAACTTCCGAAGAAGGTCGAGTCAATCACAGAGACGCCTTCCCCGAGTCGCATTTGACCAATGATGGAAAAGGTGCTTCCAAACTGCGAGACGTGACGCATCGACAAGGCAGAGGCGAAATCGGCAAAGTCCAAAACGGAAATGCTGTTTCCTAGCACTAATTTGCTGCAAAGGCTGAATTTGCTACCCATCCTCGAGAAGCCACGAATGGAAAGCGTAGATCCAAGGCCGTAGCTCATGGCTAGCGAAATCCTGGTACCCATTCTCATTCGCCCGAAGATACTCATGCCGCTACCCAGCATCGCACGAGAGCGCACCGAGACCATGCTGCCGAGATGTGCGCTGTCTAAAATTGACATGCCCACGCCCAACTTCGTGTGTCCGAAGATCGAGAAGGCACTCCCCAACCGCGTGTAGGCTCGCAAAGACATGCTACTGCCCATGCAGAAAGCATTGAGAACAGAAGGCGCTGGACCTGGAATCATCGCCCGTGCAAACACCGAGAGAAGCGATCCGGCTCGCACGTAGTGTCGAATCGTTAAACAACTTCCCGCACAGACCGCGTCCAACACGGATAGTGGGGACCCTAAAGTGTACCTCTTGAAGACGCTGAAGGCTGAGCCGCAGCGACTGAAGGAGCGCACACTCAAAGTCGAGCCGAGTTCAAAATAGCCGCAGACTGAAGGCACACCTCCAAAGGCGACGATGTTCCTGACTGTCATGGCACTACCAATACGCAAGTAGGCTCGAATCGAGATCGAGGAACCTAAGCTCAAGTAGTCGAAGGTCGAACAATTGTTGCCGAGCCAACCGCGGTGCCGCAAACTCAACGTACTACCGCATCGACTCGCATCTAAGACGGAGATCGCGCCAGCGATGATCGTGCGGCCCTCATGACTCGAGAGTGCGGAACCTAGACGCGCTGTACAACGCAGAGACAACGTGCTACCGAAGCAAGCGCGGTCCGTCACGGACAAATAGCTGCCCAAGCGTCCGTGATTTCGGACAGACAGGGTACTCGCGAGGTTGAAATAGTCGATGATGCTGCAGAAGCTGCCGAACTCCATGCGACCGAACACGGAAAGGTTGCTTCCCATTGGTCGGATTCTGCGAAGGGAGGTCGAACTGCCTAGTTGCGAGCAGTCCAGCATACTCAAGCTGCTGCCGAAGCGGCTACGACCAAAGATACTGCAGTGGCTGCCGTACCTCAAGACGTTCCTCAAACTAATCGTCGAGCCCAGAGCCGTGGTGTCAAGCACTGACACGCAAGACCCAAGCGCCATCTGAGAGAAGATAGAGAAGGTACTGCCGAACCGTACGAACGACCTCAAGCTCAGCGCGCTGCCCATGAACAACGAGTCCAGCACCGACAAATTGCTGCCCGCACTGGTGCTGCCGAACAAGCTGAGGATGCTGCTATGGCGGAAGTAGGAGCGCAGACTCAAGGATGACCCGATCGTTAGGAAATCGATCATGCTAGACCCACTGCCGAAGCGGCACATCTGACGGAGCGAGAGGCTGCTTCCGAATTCGGAAAAGTTCAACACGGACAAATCTCTACCACATCGTGTCGTTGACCTGACGGAGAGGGTCTTCGACAAGGATAAAGAATCCAGAACGGACAAGGAACTTCCGAACAGGAAGCGGTTGTAGACGGAACAAGTCGAGCCTAAGCGCGAGTATTGTCGCATACTGAAGCTGGAACCCATCTCCAGCACGTCTAAGACACTGCAGCAACTGCCAACACGCACGTTGCCGAACATGGACAGGTCACTGCCTAAGTGGAGGAAGGATCGCAGCGAGATAGAGCTGCCCAATTGCATGTAGTCAAAGACGCTCAAGTAGCTGCCGAACCGCGAGAAGTTACGCACTGACACGCCAGAGCCGAACGAGACGCTGTCCAGCACGGATAGAGTCGATCCGAAGCGGAAGTTTCCGTAGATACTCAGCGCACTGCCAACTCTGGCGTAAGCGCGCAAAGACAAACTACTGCCCAGGTTGAAGTAGTTGCAAACTGAGCACCGGTCCGCGAGGTTGAAGAAGCTGCGCACAGAGAGCGCGCTGCCCATTGTCGCCACGTCTAAGACGGAACAGAAGCTGTGGACGAAGATGCGGTCGTAGATCGAGCAGGTGCTGCCGATGCGCTTGTAGTTTCGCATGGACAAGCTGGATCCCAAGTTCGTCATGTCCAGAATGGTCACGGTAGAACCAAACGGCACGTGCGTACGGATACTCAGCGACGATCCGAGCGTCAAAAAGTCGCAAACAGAGGTCGCATCTGCGAGCTTCAGATGTCGGAAGATTGACACGGTGCTGCCAAAGCGCACGAATGATCGGATACTGCAGAGACTGCCCAATGTGAAGTGATCCAACACTGACAAAGCGATGCCGCAGCGCATGTTCGACAGGACAGACACAGAGGATCCAAGTCGCGTGTATTCGCGCACACTCATCGTCGACCCCAGGTTGACGAAGTCCAAGACGGAGAGGTTCAGCGAGAATCGCGTCACCTCCATCATGGACAATCGGGAGCCTAGCTTCGAGAAGGAGCGCAGAGACAGGGTGCTTCCAAAGGACACGAACTCAAACACAGACAAGTCGCGTCCAAAGTAAGTGTTCATACGCATGGAGAGACTGCTTCCGAGTTGTAGCTGGTCCATCACGCTCATGTGCTCCCTGACGTTCGCTTTCCTGAACAGCGAGAAGGAAGAGCCCATCCGTTGGAATTGACGCAGAGACATACCGCTGCTCACGCCGATTTGGGACAGCACAGACAAAGTGTCTGCAAAACGACAGTTGCTCAGGACCGACAAACTGCTGCCCAGTCGGGTAGCCGCTCGCACGGACAAGTTGCTTCCGAGAGAAATGTTGTCTAGGACCGAGAAGTCCGCGCCGAACTGCATCTTCGAGAAAATCGTGAAGGCAGAGCTGAGTCTCGTGAATGCGCGCAAGCTGATGCTGCTGCCGTAGGTCATCATATTCAGCACGGAGATGCTGCTCCCGAAGCGACCGCAGGACATCACGCTCAACACACTGCCCAAACGGCAGCCACAGCGCATCGAGATCGAACTGCCGAGACGCATGAAATCGAGAGTACTCAACCGAGACCCGATCTTCAGTTTGCCGAACATACTCATGTTGCTGCCAAGACGCATGACGCTGCGCAAGGAGAGCGAGCTGCCCAAGTTCAACATGTTTAAGACCGAAAGACTCGATCCGAACTTTCCAACTCCAAAGATCGAGAGTGCACTGCCGACGCGGAAAACGTTACGCAGAGACAGAGAGCTCCCGTAGATGGCGGCGTCGAAGAGCGACAAGGTGGATCCCATTCGGCCATGCGACCGCAACGATGTGCTAGACCCGATCGTGATGAAGTCCAAGAGCGATAGACCACGATCACAGAGTAGGGGCCCATAGCAACTCATCGCTGAGCCAGTGCGGATGTACGCGCGCAAGGACAAACTCGAACCCGCAGACATGAAGTCCAGGACTGAGCAGCTCGTTCCGGCACGCACGTGTCCGAAGGTGGAAAGCACAGAGCCGCACTTTGCCATCGAACGAATCGACATCGAGGACGCCAACTGCAACGAGGACAACAGCGACAGCGAGCTACCCTGTCTGCACTGGCCGAAGCAACTGAGCGAACTGCCCAGTCGAAGGAAGCTTCGCAAAGACAAAGAACTGCCGAGGTTTACTGCGTCGTAAGACGACAGTGCCGCGAACTTGCCGAAGCGAACACGGCTGTTCACTGAACAGGTGCTTCCCACGCGCATGGCACTGCGCATGGACAAGGTGCTTCCCAAATTGACGAAATCCATGTAGGAAGCGACCTTGCCAAATCTGGCAAAAGCGCGAACAGACACCGCTGATCCGCACGTTTGCGCGCCTAAGAGCGAGATCGTCGAGCCCAGGCAGAACTTGCCGAACATGCTAAGGCGACTGCCAATGCGCGCATAGACGCGGATGGAGAGCGAAGAGCCCATCCCGCAGTAGTCGAAGCAACTAATGACAGTCTGGGCACGAAGCGAATTTCCACGGAGCGAAATAGAACTGCCGAGGGTTACGGCGTCCAAGATCGAGAAAGCGCCACCAAATCGGCCAACGGCGAAAATTGACGGGGTGGCACTACCCAGCTTAGCGTACGCACGCAACGACAAACTGCTACCTAAGCACTGGTGCTCGAGAACAGACAATGCGTAGCCATCTTGGTTAATCCGACCAAACAGGGACAAGTTGCTTCCGATGCGCATGGTTGCGCGCAACGAGGTCGAAGAACCTACCGTCGCGAAGTCGAGAACTGACATGCAACTTTTGAGCAGGAACTTGCCGAACACTGAACAGGAGGAAGCCAAGCGCAAGTAGCTGCGGACGCTGGTGCTGCTTCCCACGTGCAAAAAGTCCATCACCGAGCATTGACTGGCAACGCGCGTACTACCAAAGAGCGAACAGCTGCTGGCTAGTCGTGAGTAACGACGCAAACTCAAGGAACTACCGAACATCTGATGTCCGTGTGCGCTGTAGCAGGTTCCGCCAACCTTACAGCTTCCTAATAGGGACAGGCCACTGCCGCACCGGTTCATTCCTCGTAGCGAAAGCGAGGAGGCTAAAGTTGCGCTGTTCAGCAGAGACAATTGCAATCCGAACCTCGTAGCCGAGAAGATCGTCAGAGCCGATCCACTGCGAGCATACTCACGTAGAGACAGGCAAGAGCCAAAGTTCACGAAGTCCATGACCGAAGTGGAGGATCCGAACCTGAGGAAACTGCGGATCGAGAAGCTGGATCCTAGAGCGAGCCAGTTCAGGATACTAAACACTGAGCCCATGCGCGCGTTGCCGAAGACAGAGAGAGTACTTTGGCTGCGGCAGAAGCCTCGCACAGAAAGCGAACTTCCGAAGTGCGCAGCATCCAAGACGCTCATGCTCTCACCACCCTTCGCGTGGCTGAAGATGGACATGCGCGACCCCAGTTTCAGGAAGCTACGGACGGAGAACGCGGAACCGAAGTGCACTGCGTTGAGGATCGAGAACATCGCTAGCCCAGAAGCCTCGAAGCCGCCAAGCATGGTTCTCCCGTAGAGCGAGACCATGGAGCCTGCGCGGCAGAAGTTTCTACACGAGAGCGTGGAGGCCAAATCGGCTTGATACATGATACTCAGGTTGCTGCCGAAGACAGCTCTCGAAAAAACGCTCATGGCGGATCCGATACGCGTATAACGACGAATCGATAGCGTAGATCCAACGCGCATATCGGAGTAGATGCTCAGAGAACTGCCCAAACGCGAGACACCGTAGAGGGAAAGCGCTGAGCCCACACGCGAGAAAGAGCGACAAGAAATGCCGGACCCTGCGTAGACCATGTCTAATACGGACAGAGCACTTCCGATGTAAGCCAGACCGTAGACGCTGACGTTGCATCCGAATCTCATGTAGCTGCGGCACGAGAAGGCGCTGCCCAAATGCGCGAAGTCTAGAGTACTTAGAGAGCTGCCGAAACGCGTCATGCCGAAGACACTGGCGCTGCTGCCGATGCGCACGAAGGAGCGACAAGAGAAGCTGCTTCCCATCGCCATGAAGTCGAAACTGGACATGCTGCTACCAAACCGCGTGATGCCGTAAATCGACACTGTGCTTCCTGCGCGACCGAAGCTACGAAGCGAGCACGTGGATCCGATGCTGATGGTGTCTAGAATCGACAGCGAAGAACCGAAGCGGCCAACGCCGTAGACACTGACAGTCGATCCGAACCTGGTCAGACTACGGATGGATGCGCTAGAGCCGATGTAGATCGAGTCTAAAACGCTCATCGCGGACCCTAGTCTGCACAATCCATAGATGCTCATGGAACTGCCGAAGCGGAAGAAGCCACGAGCACTCAGCGTCGAACCAAAGTGCATGCAGTCTAGGACGGACAAAGAGCTTCCTAGTCTGCAGTTCCAGAAGCAACTGAGGCAAGAGCCGTGTCTGTAGAAGTTCCTTGCGGAGAAGGTTGACCCCGCATACAGGAAGTCAACAATCGAGATCGACGAGGCCAAGCGGGCGACACCGAACATCGAGAACGTACTTCCAAGTCTTGTGAAGGAACGTACGGAGTAAGAACTGCCCACGTTGACGAAGTCCAGCACACTGATCGAAGACGCAAATCGTCCGAACATGTACACGGACATTGTGCTACCAACGCGTGCGAAGGATCGGAGACTGACGGAAGAGCCGTAGGACATCACATCCAGCATGGACATCGAACTGCCGAAGCGGCCGATTCCGTAGACGCTGAGAGTGCTGCCTAGTCTGGAGAATGATCGCAGACTGAGCGAGGTGCCAAGCCACAATCGGTCCAAAATGGACATGCAGCTGCCAGCGCGCACTGCTCCAAGAACCGAGACGCCGGATCCCTGACGGTAGAAGCTGCGGACAGACAGGGTCGAACCGAGCAGTGCCCAGTCGAGTGACGAAATTCCGCTTCCCAACTTCGCGATGCCGAAGACGCTCAAGGAACTGCCGCACCGCTTGAAGCTGCGGATAGACAGCGTGCTTCCTAGGTGAAAGAAGTCCACGATCGACATGCTGGAACCCAACGTGACACAGCCGTACATCGAGAAGCTGCTTCCTAGACGCATCAGATTTCGCACGGACAGTGCACTTCCCAGGTAGACGGCATCCAAGATCGAGCAGCAACTGCCCATCCTGAACTTGCTCATCGCAGAGATTGTTGACCCAAGACGGATGAAGCGGCGCAGCGAGAGCGACGAATGCAGGCCCGTTTGGTCGAGGACTGAGAGCGTGCTTCCGAGTCTGGTCATGCCCATCACACTGACACGACTAGCCAATCGCACGAAGGATCGGACGCTCAAGCTGCTGCAACAGAACACGCTGTCCAGGCAGCTTAAGATCGAGCCCAGACGAACGAGACCGAATACGGAACAGGTGCTGCCGAAGCGCGAGTAAGCGCGCATCGAGAGTGAGCTACCGATCAGGCCAGTGTCTAAGATGGACAACGTAGATCCAAGTCTGGCAAGGCCGTAGACACTCAATGCGCTTCCAAGACGCGCGAAGGATCGTAGTGAGCACGAGGACGCAGCGATCATTGAGTCCAGCGCCGAGAATGCGGATCCTAGGCGGGCCATCCCGTACACTGAGATGCTGCTGCCGAAGCGCGTGAAGCTGCGGACGCTCAGGCTACTTCCCAAGCACAAGCAGTCGAGGAGAGAGAGCTGAGATCCTAGACGACACACCCCGTACATGCTTACCGCGCTGCCGAAGCGCGCGAAACTGCGCATGCTCATACTGCTTCCGATGGTCACCCAGTCTAAAGCAGAAAAGCAACTTCCCAACTTCGTCTGAGAAAAGACCGTCACGGCACTGCCAAATCGTGCGTAGCAACGCAAACTCAAGGCACTGCCCATGGTGATGCGATCCAGCAACGACAATGAGGATCCAAACCTCGCGACGCCGAAGACCGATCCACTAGATCCGATGCGTGCGAAGTAGCGCAGACTCAGGGTAGACCCCAGAGAGAGGCAATCGTAAGCTGAAATGTTGGATCCCATAGTTGCACGACTGAAGATGCTCATTTTGGAGCCCACACGCATGTAGCTGCGCAAACTCATCGCCGATCCCATCTCCAGGAAGTCCAGCACTGAGAGGCAACTGCCACTGCGGAAGGATCCGAAGATGGAGAACTGAGAGCCAGCTCGCAAGTAGCTCCTGATGCTGAACGCTGATCCAAGGTGAAAAGTGTCTAGCAGAGAAACTTGAGAACCGCACATGACGCGTCCAACCAGACTTACGCCGCTGCTTTGGCGCACCACGCCACGAAGAGAGAGCGCAGAACCCATATGGAAGAAGTCTAAAAGCGAGACGTTGCTACCGAAGGTTGAGCGGCTGAAGATCGAGACTGCGGATCCCATCTTCCACATCGAGCGGAGAGAGAGGCCAGAGCCGAAGTTGACGTAACCCAAAACACTCATGCTTCTTGCCAACTGCATCTTACTGAAGAGGCTAACGTTGGAGCCGAAGCGTGCGTAGCTGCGGAGAGACAGCGAACTTCCGAACCGAACTACGTCTAACATGGACATCATGCTGCCCAGTCGCGTCATCCCGTAGATCGACATTCCAGAGCCGAGACGGCAGAAGCTGCGACATGACAACGAAGATCCTAGGTTGACAAAAGCCATCACAGACGTCTCGAAGCTGCCCTTGTTCATCCTTCCGAATACGGAAAGAGTCGAGCCCAAGCGAGATGCGGATCTCAACGACAGCGTAGATCCTAGATGCGTGTGCTGCAGCACAGAGAACCGCGAACCACAACGAGCGCGGCCGAAGACCGACAAGGCGCTGCCGAATCGCGTTACTGCACGAACAGACAGTGCACTGCCCAAAGTCGTTGAGTCCACCACACTGTAGTTGCTGCCGCACCTGAGGATGCTAAACACGGACATCGCGCTACCCAGTCGGGTCACTGCGCGCAGCGAAACGACGCTGCCTACTAGTGCTTGGTCGAGCAGTGAACAACAAGATCCCGCTCGCATACGCGAGAAGATCGAGAAGCCACTGCCTAACCGTGACCGGCATCGCAAGGACATGTTTGAGCCCATGCTAAAGTGGTCCAAAACACTCATTGTTGAGCCCAATACGTACTTACTAAACACGCTGATGGCACTGCCCATACGCTGGAAGCCGCGCAAAGACAAAGTGGATCCGATGCTCAGCATATCCAGCACAGTCAAACTAGAGCCGAACTGAACCATTCCGTAGGTGCTGATGGAACTGCCGAACCGTGCCATGCTGCGGATGGAAACGCTAGAGCCCATGTTGAACCAGTCGAGCATCGACATAGACGATCCGAGGCGTGCTAATCCGAAGAGACTAGCTGCTGAACCGAAGCGAGCGAAGCTGCGTACGGAGACAGCGGACCCGATATAGATTCGGTCCAGAATGGAACAGGCAGAACCTAGAGTTGCAACGCCGTAGGCACTTAAACTGCTCCCGAGTCGGTTGAAGCTGCGCAGAGACATGTTGCTGCTGCAAAGACTCTGGCTCAGAATGGATAAAGCGGATCCCAGTCTTGCGAGACCGAAGATGCTCACTGTGGATCCTAGTCTGGCGAACGAGCGCACGCTAGTTGTGCTTCCAAGAGCCAGGAAGTCCAGGACAGAAACGGAAGATCCGAGTCTGGCGAATCCAAACAAGCTCATGGAGCTGCCACAGCGTGCGAAACTCCTGGTACTCAAGTTGCTTCCGAGAAGGCACTGGTCCAGGACACTCATCTGTCCGGTTTCACCAACCACAAACCTGTGGAACACGCTCAGACTCGACGCTAACCGTATGAAGCTGCGCAGCGAAATCGAACTACCCAACGTCACAGCATCTAGAATGCTCAATTGGCTGCCGAATTTCGTCAAGCCGTACACGCTAGCAGAAGAGCCCAGACGAGCACAGCTGCGCAGACTGACGCTGCTACCCAACGTTACGCAGTCGAGAATCGACAAAGCACTTGCTAGGTAGCTGCAGCCGAAGACGCTGAGAGAAGATCCCATTCGGGAGCAGAAGCGCAAAGAAACTGCAGATCCTAGAAGGGCAGTGTCCAAGATGCTGATTCTCGTTCCGATCGTCGCTAGGCTGTAGATCGACATAGAACTTCCCAATCGTACGAACGTTCGCAGCGAAAGACCACTTCCTAGGAAGGTCTGGTCGAGAATCGACATGCTGCTGGACAGGCGGCAGAGGCCGTAGAGACTCAGAGTGCTGCCCAAACGTCCGACACTGCGGAGAGAGAGCGAAGAACCGAGTTGCAAGTGGTCTAAGATCGAGACCGTGCACTGGTTGCGGGTCCAGCCGTAGAGACTCAGCGTGCTTCCGATCTTGCCGCAGCCGCGGATACTGATCTGCGAGCCCAGATGGACCGTGTCGAGCAAGGAAATCGTGCTAGCCAGCGCGAGCATGCCATAGACGCTGAAGCTGCTACCGAGACGAGCATAGCTACGGATTGACAATGCACTTCCGATAAGGCCTTGCTGCAGAATCGACAACGAGCTGCCGACAATCTGCTTCGACCACACGCTAGGCCGTGAGCCGCATCGCGCAAAAGCGCGTAGCGAGAAGCTGCTGCCCATGGTCAGGAAATCCAACAGAGTCAGAGCACTGCCCATTCGGGTGAGCCCAAAAACGGAGTAGCTGGATCCTAAGCGGCAGAAGCTGCGAATAGACATCGCAGATCCGAGGGTTCCTATGTCGAGTGTGGAAAGCACTGACCCTTGCAAGTTGGTGCTGAAGATGCTGAACGTCGATCCCATACGAGAGTACCTCCGCAAACTCAGCGTAGAACCGAACATCGTCACGTCTAGCATGCTCATACTACCTCCGCATCTAGCACGACCAAACACGGACACCTGGGACCCAAGGGCCATGTAAGAGCGAATGCTCATGCACGAACCTAGGGAGAAGAAGTCCAGCACACTCAGAGAACTGCCTAATCGCGAAACCCCGTAGATCGAGGTACAAGACCCAAGACGGTGGAAGCTGCGGACTGAAAGTGTACTGCTGGTCTTCATGTTGCCGAGTTCAATGCCATGGAGCCAGCCAGCGCCCTTGTTGTCCAATTTGCTGTATTCCAGTCGGACCTCGCCATAGACGGAGAGCGAAGAGCCCAGACGGAGCATTGAGCGTGTGGACATCGTGGAACCCAGGTTCAAACAATCCAGAACCGACAATCCAGATCCCAACATCTGCATGCCGTAAATGGACAAGGAAGATCCAAGGCGGATGAATCCACGCAGCGAAAGAGAACTTCCGAAGTGGCAGAAGTCTAGCACGGAAAGGACGGAGCCGAGCCTGCAAGTTGATAAGACTGACAAGCAGCTGCCAAAGCGATTGAATCCTCGGATTGACAACGTCGTTCCGAGAGTCAAGTAGTCGATGATGCTCAGCTGATTGTGTTGTCGGAACTGAGCTGTGACGGAGCAGCTGCTTCCCAACCGCACGGCGCTTCTGAAGGACAGGCAACTGCCAAGTGCGAACGTATCCAAGACAGACAAACGACTGCCTAGTTGCACCCGGCTGAAGACCGAAATCGTCGATCCTACTCGGAGCATACTTCGGAGAGACACTGAGGAGTTGATCACCATGCAGGAAAGCAACGAGAACTCTGCACCTAGTCTGGTTTGGCCGAAGATGGACAAGTTGCTGCCGTACCGCAAGAACTGGCGGACACTCAAGGTTGAACCAAGATGCGTCGCTGCTAGAACGCTGGTATCTTGGCTCCACAGTCGGACTGTCTCGAGCATGCTGAAGTTGCTGCCTAGCCTCGTGTAGGCTCGGAGCGAAAGGCAACTACCTAAAGTGAAGGCTTCCTTGAGCGACAGAGGCTGTTCCAGCTGAATACGGCCAGTCAATGAGCAAACGCTTCCAACACGAACGAACGAGCGCACACTCAAGCACGAGCCGAAGGTGCAGTAATTCAGGATGCTGAAGGACTTTCCGAACTGCGCAGCCGTTATCACAGACAAAGAGCTACCGATGCGCATGTAGTTGCGCAAGCTCAAACTGCTACCCAGGTTGCAGACGTCCATGATCGACATGCAGCTTCCGAATTTCGTCGTAGCGATGACACTCAGCGACGACCCAACGCGGATGAAGTTGCGCAAGGAGAGCGAACTGCCAAGGTGGACTGCGTCGATCACACTAGATATTGCGCCGAATCTGGCAGCGCACACAGCGGAGATACTGGATCCATATCGCACAAACGCACGTAAAGAAAGTGAACTTCCGAAGTTCGAGAAGTCCAGCAACGTTACGTTGTCATTCGCACGAGTCACTGCCAGCAAAGAGAAGCCACTTCCCAAACGCGAAACATTGCGCAGAGAAAAGCAGCTTCCGACATTCAAGATGTCGATGACCGACATGCAGGATCCGAGTTGGCAAGTACGCAACACGCTCAAAGAGCTTCCCACACGCAACATGTTGCGCACAGAGGCGCTGCTGCCCACATCCAAGAAGGACATGATGGACAAACGTGCGTATGGTGCTCTTAGCATCGGTCCGTTGACAGAACATGTAGACCCGAGTCTGCAGTAGTGTCGAAGACTCAAAGAGCTTCCCACATGGATTTGGTCCAACACGGAAATGTAGGAACCAATGCGACTGCAACCGTAGAGACTTAGCGCACTCCCAAAGCGCATGTAACTGCGCAACGAGACTCCACTACCAAGCTGGAGGCAATCGAGTATGCTGCAAGCGCTGCCCATGCGACTGAGGCCGTACACCGAGAGAGCGGAGCCGAATCGTGCAAAGTTGCGTGTTGACAGTGAGCTGCACAGCATGAAGGTGTCGAGCACACTGATGTTCGATCCTAAGCGTGCGCAGCCGTAGACGGACAAACTGCTGCCGAATCGTGCGTAGGATCGCGCGCTCATCGAGCTGCCGACCGCAACGAAGTCTAGTAGACTGAGATCAGAACCCAATCGCGTCATGCCGAAAACTGACATGCTGCTTCCAAACCGCGCATACGTTCGCAGAGACACTGTGCTTCCCAACTCCAACATGTCGATGAGCGAAATGTTGCTTCCCAAACGCGTCACGCCGTAAGTCGACAGGGTAGACCCCAGTCTGGCGAAGTTGCGAACAGACATCAGGCTTCCGCAGTGCGCGAAGTCCAACACCGACAAGTTGCTAGAAATACGCGCAAAACCGAACACCGACAACGACGATGACAGTCGAGAGTAGTTCCTCAGACTGCAGCAACTTCCGACGGAGACGTAGTCCAGTACCGACAAGCCTGAGCCGAGACGCGCCAAGCCGTAGACAGAGAAGCCACTGCCGAGACGGGAGCACATGCGGGTTGAGATGGAACTTCCGAAGAGGCAGAAGTCGAGCAAAGACAGGTTGCTGCCGCAGCGCGTCATTCCGAAGACGCTCAAGGAAGAACCCAATCTTGCGAACATTCGGACTGAAAAGCTGCTTCCCACTTGCGCGCAGTCCAGAATGCTAAAGCTACTGGACAATCGGCACAAGCCAAACACGCTCAAGCTGCTGCCCAAGCGACAGTACGTGCGCAAAGACAAGTTGCTGCCCAGCGTCAAGACGTCCAACACAGACATCGAACTGCCAATTCGCGCAATGCCGAAGACGCTGACTGACGATCCGAGACGCAAGAAGCTGCGGAGGGACAAGGACGTTCCGCAGTGCAAGTGATCTAACACACTGATAGAGCTTCCAAGCCTCGTTGTGCCAAACACCGAAACCGAGCTTCCCATACGGAAGAAGTTGCGCACCGAGAAGGCAGATCCTAGCTGGACAGCATCTAAGACGCTCAAGCAACTTCCGAGGCTCACCTTGCGCAGAACCGAAAGGGTGCTGCCAACTCTCGACACGTGTCGCAACGACATCGAACTTCCAACAGCCAAGATGTCCAACAGGGAGAAGTTGCTTCCCATCCTGGTCTGCGACAGTAGGGAAAAGGCAGACCCGAATCGTGCGTAGTGGCGCAAGGACATAGCAGATCCAAGGAACACGGTCTCGAGTACGCTGAGCTGCGATCCCAGTCTTGCGAGTCCAAAGACGCTGAAGCCAGAACCCACGCGCGCCCAATGCCGGCAGGAAATGCTGGAGCCCAATTGCAACCAGTCGAGGACGGAAAGTCCTGTTCCGTCACCAGCGGAACCAATGCGCACTGTCTGAAGCACGCTCAAAGCACTGCCCAATTTGCAGAATCTACGGAGACTCAAGGAGGAACCAAGAGTCGTGTGATCCAGAGTGGAAAGTTGAGCGCCGAATCGGTATTGGCCTTCGTTGCGGTAGATGCTCAAACTAGAGCCCAGTCGCACATACGCGCGGAGCGACAGGGACGAGCCCAAATCTGTGCGATCCAGAACGCTGAGAGTGTCTGCAAACTGCGTCTTGCGGAACACAGACGCGCTGCTTCCTAGCCTGTAGTAGCTTCGCAACGACAGAGAGCTGCCCAGCTCGTGCTCGTCTAACAGACTCAGAGATGAGCCGATCAGCGAAATGCCAAAGACACTCAGACTGCTGCCAAGTCGGCAGAAACTGCGCAAGCTGCAACTACTGCCCATCTGGAACCAGTCCAGCACACTGATGCAACTTCCGAGTCGTGCCTGACTCATGACACTCGCAATAGAGCCCAATCGGATGTAGGACCGCAGAGACTGCGCAGAGCCCAGGTTCACGATGTCCAATAAGGAGCACGACGATCCCATCTTGCACAGTCCATAGACGCTCAGGGAACTGCCGAACCGCATGTAGCTTCGCAGACTCACGTTGCTACCCAAGGTTAGCACGTCGAGGACGCTGAGGAAGGATCCGAACCTGGTGTGCGAGAAAACCGACAAAGTGCTGCCCATGCGGAGTGTATGGCGAACTGACATGCTGGATCCGAGGTTCACGAAGTCCAACGTCGAAAAACTAGACCCAATGCGGATCTGGTTGAAGACCGAGATCGACGAGCCTAGACGGCACATGTTCCGCAAAGAAATCGAAGACCCAATGTGCGCGAAGTCCAAGACCGACATTCGCGTTCCTAGTGTTACGCGCGAGAAGACGCTGCAAGCGGAACCGAGACGCGTGTAGGACCTTACGCTAAAAGAGCTTCCCAGGTGCATGCAGTCCAAAACGCTCATGTTGCTGCCGAGACGAGAGATTCCATAGACTGAGCAAGAACTTCCCAGTCTCACGTAATAACGCAGAGACAGGCAGGAACCCAGCTGCAAAGCGTCTAAGACCGAGAGACAAGATCCCAGCGACTGCTTGCTGTACACGGAGATTGCACTCCCGAGTCGGCTGTACTGACGGATACTGAGCGATGTTCCCAGTGTGACGAAGTCCAAGGTGCTAAGAGTGCTGCCCAAGCTGATCTTGCGGTAGATGGATGTTGCAGAAGCTAATCGCATGTAGTGTCGAAGGCTCAGCGAACTGCCGAAGGAAATGCTGTCTAAGACGCTGAGGCAGCTTCCTTGAGACATCTTCCTGAAGACGCTCATGGAGCTGCCAAGACGCAAATATTGCCGTAGAGACAGGCTTGTGCCTAAGGCTGTAGCATCCAATACTGACAGCGTAGTTCCGAGTTCGGTCTTTTGGATCACGCTGAAGTTGCTGCCGAATCGGGAGAAGGCACGCAAAGAGAGCGCACTGCCGACGTAGCAAGTGTCTAAGACACTCAGCGTGCTGCCGCAGCGTGTCCAGTTGATCATGCTGCAAATGCTGCCCAATCGCAAATAGCTTCGCAACGACAACGCCGTTCCTACGTTGCAGATGTCGAGTACTGAGATGGCGATGCCCGTGTTGCCACACCGGATCTTGTCGAACACCGACAGCGTGCTGCCGGACCGCACATAAGAGCGCGTAGACAAGGATGACGCCAGGTGCAGGTAATCTAGCACGCTTAAGCAGCTGCCGAAACGCGTCCTGTCGAAGACCGAATTGCAGCTTCCGAAACGCACGTAGCTTCGCAACGACAGTGTTGATCCAAGTGGGACAACGTTCAGCACACTCAAGTAGCTGCCGAATCGCATGTAGCTGCAAACGGACAAGTTGCTGCCCAAGCGGCTAACTGCGCGAATCGACAAAGAGGAACCGACCGGCGGAAAGTCCAAAATCGACAATACGCTTCCAAGACGCACCTGCGAAAAGACACTGACCATGCTGCCGAAGCGCATATAGGATCGGAGAGACACGGAACTTCCTAAGTTCAAACAGTCGAGCAGGGACAGAGTGCTGCCTAGTCGCACCACGCCAAACACGCTCATGGAACTGCCCATGCGGAAGTAGCTTCTCACACTCAAGCAGCTGCCTAGCTGATTGGAATCCAAGATGCTCAAGGTCGATGCCATCCGCACTGTGTTGATGATACTAGCGCAACTGCCTAGTCGCACGTAGTTACGGACCGACATCGCGCTGCCTAAGTTGGTGAAGTCTAGGAGACTCACACTGGTGCCAACGCGGAACCAGTTCATTACGGAGCAGACGCTGCCAATGCGGAAGAAGCTGCGCAGACTCAGACTACTTCCGTACTCGATGAAGTCCAGGACTGAAGCGAAAGACCCGAGTCGAGCCATGCCAAAGACGCTCATCGAGGATCCAAGGCGCACGTAGCTGCGCAAACTCAAAGCACTGCCGACTTGTAGACCATCTAGGACGCTCAGTGAGCTACCAAGTCTGGTCCAGTGCATCACGGATGCGGCACTTCCTAGTCTGATGTAGTGGCGCAGAGACAGCGACGATCCCAGGTGCACAATGTCCAACACGCTGAGCTGCGATCCGAACCGCGTAAGACCGAAGACTGACACCGTCGAGCCCAAGCGCGCAAAGGAACGCACTGAACAGGTCGAGCCGATGTGTCCAATGTCCAAAATGCTGATGCAACTTCCCATCTGGCACATACCGTAAACGCTCAAACTAGAGCCGAGTCGCGCGCAGTATCTCAACGACAAAGCGCTTCCGCAGGAGACGAAGTCCAGGACACTGAGCATGTCTCCGAACCGCGCCTTCTCCAGAATCGAGAGGGAAGAGCCGATGCGGAGGTAGTTGCGGACGGAAAGGGAGCTGCCCAATTCAGTGCAATCCAAGACGGAGGTCGACCACTTGTTGTTCAATCTCGCTACAAGAGACAGCGAAGACCCGAGTCGCACGTAGCTTCGCACCGAGAGATTACTGCCAAGCGAGATGGTGTCGAGGAGTGACATCGAGCTTCCCAGTCGGAACATGCCGTAGACGGACAAACTAGAACCCAAGCGCAAGTTGTTGCGGACTGAGAGGGTGCTGCCGAGCTCGAGGAGATCCAGGACCGAAAGACAGCTTCCCACCTTGCTAATGCCGTACATCGACAGCGTGGACCCCAGCCTTGTGTAGTTGCGGATGCTCACTGCTGAGCCCAGCTGGATGCAGTCTAGGATGCTCAGGTTGCTGCCTAATCGAGACATTCCAAAGATGCTCAGTGCGCTGCCGAGGCGCGCACATGTGCGCACGGACAAGCAGCTACCGAGAGTGGTGAAGTCCAGCACGGATAAGGAACTGCTAAAGCGTGTGATGCCGAAGAGAGACAACGTAGATCCCAACCTTGCAAAATTCCTCACACTCAGGTTGCTACCCATCTCGCAGACGTCCAGCAAAGAGCAGCTGCTTCCCATACGCAATACGCCGTAGACGCTCAATGTGCTTCCAAGCCGGGCGTAGCCGCGCACAGAGAGCGAAGAGCCGATGTGCGTGAAGTCTAGCAAGGAAATGCAGCTGCCGACCTTGGCAATACCGAATACGGAAATTGTGCTACTGCATCGCGTGAAATAGCGCACAGAAACGGCACTTCCGAGATGCGCGATGTCAAGAAGCGACAGTGCCGATCCTAGCCGCGTTGTGCCGTAGACTGAGCAAGTGCTACCGAGCCTGGCGAAACTTCGGAAGCTGATGCTGGATCCTAGGTGCAAACAGTCCAAGAACGACAGGTTGGAACCCAGTCGCACCAAGCCGTAGATACTTGTAGAACTGCCACACCTCAAGAAACTTCGGAAAGAGAATGAGCTCCCCATGTGCAGGCTGTCTAGCAAAGAGACATTGCTTCCCAGTCGATGCATGCCGTAGACACTCAATGAGGAACCCAATCGCGCATACGATCGTGTGCTCAAGCTGGATCCCAGCTCGAGACAATCCAAAACGGAAATGTTGCTACCCATACGCAGAAGGCCGTAGACGCTGACACTAGAGCCTAAGCGTGCGAAATTGCGCATTGACAAACATGACCCCATCCAGAAATAGTCCAGCAAACTGACGCTGCTGCCTAGACGGAGGCCTCCGTAGATGGAAAGACTGCTGCCGACACGCGAGTAGGTTCGCACAGAGACCGAACTGGAGAGATGGAGGAAGTCGATCATGCTAGTCGCTGAGCCAATGCGAAGCATGCCGTAGACGCTCAACGCACTGCCCATCCTTGCGAAGTTGCGCACTGACATCGATGAGCCCAGCTCGATCGCATCCAGCACGCTAAGGTTCGAGCCCAAACGGCTGATGCCGAAGACGGACATCGAAGATGCAAGTCTCGCGAAGTTTCGCACAGAGAGCGTAGAGCCCAGTTGGATCGCGTCAATCAGGGATAAGCAACTGCCGAGACGCGAGATGCCGTAGACGGACATGGAACTGCCTAGGCAAGCGCACATGCGGACACTCAGAGAACTACCAAGGTGGCAGAAGTCGAGGACGGAGCAGCTAGAGCCAAGACGCATCATGCCGAACACCGAGCAACTAGAGCCGAGTCTCAAGTAGGATCGCATGCTGAAGCTGCTTCCAATCTGCATGAAATCTAGCAAACTCATCTGCGATCCTAGCTTCAAAGCGCCGAAAACGGACACGGAGGATCCCACGCGAAGCCAGTTGCGCACCGAAAGCGCACTGCCGATGTGCAGGTAGTCGAGCACACTCAAGCAACTGGAGATTCGCGTCATACCGTACACGCTGCAAGCGCTGCCTAATCGTCCTAGGTGGCGTACGCTCAAGGAACTGCCGATGTGCGTGAAATCCAGCACGCTCAAAGTTGTTCCCAGTCGCAGAAGGCCGTAGATGCTCAAGCTGCTGCCACACCGCATGAAGTTGCGCAATGAGAACGAACTACTCAAGCACATGTGGTCGAGCATACTCAGGCACGTGCCCAACCTCGTGATACCGAAGACGGACACACTGCTTCCGAGTCTGCAGAAGCTGCGCACGCTCAACGAGCTGCCCAAGTGGAACAGGTCTAGAAGAGACATGGTGCTGGCGCAACCGCGGATGCCGTACACGGACAACGAGGATCCGATACGAGCAAAGTTACGTACACTGCAACTACTGGCCAAGTTCAGGAAGTCGAGCAGCGAGATGCAACTTGCTGCACGGCTGATGCCGTAGACCGACAAGGAGCTTCCAACGCGAGTGTAGCTGCGCACACTAATCGCAGATCCACCCTGGATAAAGTCCAAGACGGAGATGTAACTGCCCAGCCGGGAGATGCCAAACAGACTCAGTGCGGAGCCCACACGCGCGAAGTTTCTAACGCTCAAAACAGACCCGCAGCTGACGAAGTCTAAAGCGCTCATGGCGCTTGAGACCCTGCACATACCGTACACGGAGTAGCTGCTGCCTAGACGCGCAAAGTTTCTCGCACTAAATGCGGATCCAATCCCGACGTAGTCCAGAACGCTCATGCAACTGCCGATCTTTGCGATGCCGTAGACACTGACTGAAGACCCCATACGCCAAAAAGTGCGCATGGAAATCGCACTCCCCACTTGCACGAAGTCCAAAGTAGACAACATTGAACCTAGGCGAATGTTGCCGTACAACGACAGTGAGCTGCCCAAGCGGCTGAAGCTGCGCAGACTGAGCGAACTGCCAAGTGAAATTGCGTCCAAAACTGACAGGTCACTGCCAAGTCGGCATAAGCCGTAGACACTGACGCTGCTACCGAGTCTTGCACAGTTTCTGCAGGAGAACGATGAGGAGAACGAGAAGAAATCCAAGATCGACAAGGAACTGCCAAATCGTCCTACGCCATACACGCTCAATGAACTACCTAAGCGTCCTAGAGAGCGCAGAGACCATGAGCTTCCGATATGGAAAATATCCAACACGGAGATTGAGGATCCCACACGCGTCATGCCGTAGACTGAGCACGAAGACCCCACTCGCGCAAATGTACGCAGAGAGATCGTGGAACCCAAACTGTTGAAATCGACCACGGACACGAAGGAGCCTAAACGCTGCATACCGTAGACGGAGATCGAACTACCTAACCGCGCGAACATCCTCAAGGAGAGACTAGAACCCATCGTACAGAAGTCTAAGACGGACAAAGAACGGTTCTCGTCAATGCAGTCGAAGTGCCTCTGCGCGAACCTAGCACCGCCAAACACGCTCAAACTGCTGCCCAAGCGATGGTACTGTCGCAAACTCAGTGCGCTACCCACGTAGCAAGCGTCTAAGACTGAGCACGGGTGAAACTTCGACAGTCGCGCCAGTCCGTAGATCGACAGACTGCTGCCCATGCGCATGAACTGCCTGACTCGCATGCCTCCTCCACGCACGTTAGCCTTGAACTGGAAGTGGAATCCTGCTTGCCCAGCAGCTAGAGACGTACTGGGGAAATAAGCCATCACGTATCGCGGATTCTCAATCGGAGTTCCAAATGTCACCGACCCAGTGTGAAAAGTCTCAATCCTGTTCCAAACTGTGGCAGAGTTAACTGCGAAGTCATGCGAATAGTACGCTTGAAAGTAGTTCTGGATGTAGTCGGTGTCCGCGCCAGTGATCTCAAAGCCGAAGGGGTGCTGGTCTCGGAGGTCAAAGGTGATCTCGAAGTGCCCATCTCCACTGACGGCAATGCCGTTCGTGGTTCCTCCACCAATCGGATCGGGGAATATGATGTCGTCAACCGGACCCGCAGAGGACAGAGTGGCCACCCCAGACGTGATGAAATCCGTCATGGACAATTTGCCCGTCAGTGGTCCTCCTCCAACGCGGGTTGGGAACATACCGCGACCTAGATTGACGAAATCTAGGACTGACAGCGATTTTCCGATCGTCGCGACGCCGTAGGCACTGCAGGAACTGCCTAACCGCGTGAAACTGCGCAACGTCAACGAAGATCCCATCTGGCAGAAGCTCATCACGGACAAGCTGCTGCCCAGTTGCACCAAGCCGTAGTTGGACAAAGCCGATCCTAAGCGGAAGAACTTTCGGACACTAAGAGTTTGGGCTCCGATTCCGAAGTCGAGGATCGACAAGCAGCTTCCTAGTCTGGCGCATTTGTAGCAACTCGCTTGGCTTCCGACGCGGAAGAAGGTCCTCAAGGACACGGAAGAACCGAAGGTTGCGAAATCCAGGCAACTGAGACAACTTCCTAGTCGAGCCATGCCGTACAAACTCAAAGCGACGTTCCCTCGCTGAGCCCTCGACTTCTGGTTGTTGTAGATCGAGTAGGTAGCTCCAATCCTTGCAAAATGACGCACGCTCATGCTTGACCCCATGGAGACGTAGTCGAGAATGGACAAACTCGAGCTCAATCTTGCAGTTCCGAAAACGGAGATGCTGCTGCCCGCTTTGACGTAGCTACGCAACGACAAGCTGCTACCCAAAGAGATGAAGTCCACAATGGAAATGCTCGATGACATGCGCGTCAAGCCGTAGACGGAAATGGAGCTCCCAAATCGTGCAAACGTTCGGAGCGACAGCATACTGCCAAAGTGCGTATGGTCTAATAACGATAGGGAACTTCCGATCGTGATCGTTCCGTAAAGCGAGCACGAGGATCCAAGTCTGGACAATGAGCGAACGGACATGCTGGATCCAAAATGGATCGCGTCAATGACGGAAATCGCACTGCCGAAACGTGCGAAGCCGTACAACGACCAGCTGCTGCCCAAACGCAACACGTTACGTAGAGACAAAGTGGATCCCAGGTGGAAGAAGTCCAGAACTGAGACTTGAGATCCCAGTTTCAGCAACCCAAAGGTCGACAAGCTTGATCCAAGCCTGGCGAAACTGCGCAGCGAGTAGCTGCTTCCCACGAATAGGTAGTCCAAAACACTAACGCTGCTGCCGAATTGCATCAGACCGTAGCAGGAAGTGCAACTTCCGAGTCGGTTGAACGCTCGTACTGAGATCGTAGAACCGCAACTGATCGTGTCGAGGAGTGAAAACACTGATCCAAGTCTCGAGATTCCGAAGACGGACAGAGAACTGCTCATCTTGCACAATTTCCGCACGGACATTCCACTAGACAGCGACGCAAAGTCAAGCACTGACAAAGAACTGCCCATCAGACTGAGCCCGTAGATGGACATGGAGGAGCCCAAGGCCATCAGCGAACGCAGAGAGTAGGCGGAACCGAAGGTGACGAAATCCAAGATGGACAATGCACTTCCAAATCGATGCAAACCGTACACAGACAGCGTGCTGCCAACGCGCGAGAAGCTTCTGCACGAAAGTGTACTCCCGATGTGCAGGAAATCGTACACGGAAAGCGACGAGCTCAGGTAGCTAAGTCCGAAAAAGGACATGGAACTGCCGAACCGGCCATAGCTGCGCAAGGATAGACTACTGCTGGTGCTAACGTAGTCCAAAACGGACAAGGATGAACCTAATCTGGACAGGCCGTACACCGATACCGCTGAGCCAATCCTCAAAAAGTTTCGCAGGCTAATCGTAGATCCAATGTGGAACATGTCAAGGCACGAAAACACGCTTCCCAACTTCGTCAGTCCGTAGATACTGCAGCCGCTACCCAGTCTTGAGAATGCTCGCAAAGACATCTGAGAACCCATCGAAAACAAGTCGAGAAGGCTCAAGGAGCTCCCCATGCGGTAGGTGCCGTAGATGGACAGTGTGGAGCCAAAACGCGACATCGATCGCATGGAGACGCTGCTGCCGAGAGAGGTGTGGTCCAGCATGGACAAGCAGGTTCCAATTCGGACCAGACCGTAGATACTCATGCCCACGTTGGGCATGCGCGCAAAGGAACGCAACGAAATCATACTACCGATGCACAGGTAGTCTAGCACAGAAAGCGAACTACCAACATTCAGAATGCCGTAGACGGACAGCGTGGAGCCTAATCGTGCGACACAGCTTCGCAGAGACATGCTGCTTCCTAGACTGAAGGTGTCCAAAATACTGGTCTGAAATCCCAGATTCGCCAAACCGAATATCGAAATGGAACTTCCGTGTCGTCCGTAAGACCGCAAAGACAGCGAACTTCCTAGTTGAAGCACGTCGAGGACGGAAAGCGAACTGCCTAAGGATGAAACGCCAAAGAGCGAGAGACTTGACCCGAGTCTGCAGAGTCCTCGTAGACTAAAACTACTGCAAAGTCGGACGAAGTCTAAGGTGCTCATGGCGCTGCCCAATCGTGCGAATCCAAAGAGACTCAAGGAACTGCCCAGTCGGCTGCACGAGCGGAGCGAGAAACTGCTGCCCATGCTAACAACATCCAGAATGGAAATAGCCGAAGTAACTCGGGTCATGCCGTAGACGGACATCGTGCTGCCGAAGCGTGCGAAATTTCTGACTGAAAACCCGCTTCCAAGCGACATCATGTCCAGCATCGACATGCAGCTTCGAATGTGCTGTACTGCGTAGAGCGAATACGTTGACCCAAAGCGGGTGAAGCTTCGCATGGACAGACCACTCCCGAATGACACCGCGTCGCAGATACTGATCTGCGAACACAGCTTCGTGATTCCGAACAGGGACAGCGAACTTCCGAGTCTCGTGTAGGTTCGGAGCGACAAGCCACTTCCAAAGGACACGAAGTCGAAGACGCTCATGTTGCTGCCCAATCGTGCGAGTCCATACAGACTGTGGGCACTACCCAATCGCACGTAACTACGCAAGGAGGTCGTGCTCGCCAGTAGCAGGCAATCTAAAACGGACAGTGAAGATCCGAGTCTTGTCAGGCCGTACAGAGAGCAGCAGCTCCCGAAGCGCAGGAACCCACGCAGACTCAGGGAACTGCCCAGAACTAAATGGTCGAGGACAGATAACGTCGAACCCAGTTTAGCCAATCCGTACAGCGAAGTGACCGACCCTAGTCGGTAAAATGATCGCACGGAGAAGCTTGAGCACAGCACAGAGCTATCTAGCAGCGATAAGCAGGAGCCCATGTAGCTGAGACCGTAGACGGAAACTGCGGAGCCCATGCGGAAGAAGTATCGCAACGACAATGAACTTCCGATTTGATGCGAATCCACCAGCGAAAACATGGATCCAAGTCTCGTCATGCCGTAGACGGACAGCGAGCTGCCTAATCTGGTGTAGGTTCTAACTGACATGCTGGAGGCGAGTTGCAGACTGTCAAAACAACTAGTCATTCCGACCATGCCCATCTTCACCATGCCGTAAATGGACAAGGTGCTGCCCATACGCAAACTCGTTCGCACGGAGAATGCGCTAGCGCAACCGAGGGTATCCAGCATACTCAGGGTCGATCCGATACGGAGAATGCCATAGACGGAAACCGAGCTGCCCAAACGAGTGTAGGACCGCAAGGAGAGCGTCGAGGCCATGTTGCTGAAGTCCAAAGCGCTGACCGCGCTTCCTAATTTCGCGATTCCGTAAACTGAGCACGAACTGCCGATTCGGTAGAAGTATCGCGTCGAAAAGGTCGAACTCAAACTCGCAAATGCCAATACTGACACACAACTGCCCAGTTTCACGCATCCGTAAACCGAGCAACTCGACCCCAATCGCAAGAACGATCGCAAAGACAGCGAGCTCGCAAATATGCACGTTCCCAATGTACTGGTCATGCTGCCCAATCTGATGCAGCCATAGACTGAGCAACTTGATCCTAGACGTGTCGCACATCTTGCCGAACAGGAACTCCCGAAGCTGATGAAGTCCAGAACGGAGACTGAAGATCCCAGTCTGTTGGTGCCGAACACGGAGATGGAAGATCCGAAGCGCGTGCAGCCGCGCAACGACAAGGACGACGTGAGCATCACCGCTCCAAACACAGAGAGTGTGCTGCCGTACCAACCGTAGCTGCGCATGGATAGACTCGAACCCATCTGCATCATGTCCAGCACCGAGAGACTGGAACCCAGCTTCGTGATCCCGTAGACTGAGGCATAGCCACCTGCCCTTCCGTACGTACGCAAGGAAAGACTAGATCCCAAGTTCATGAAATCCAACACGGAAATGCTGGATCCCAATCTGCTAGTACCGAAAAACGACAAGGTCTTTGCGATGTTGAAGTTCGCGAAGAAACCATCGCAACCTACGCGGCCAAAGCTTCTGACGGAGATGGAGCTACCGAAGGTGCACCACTGGGCTAGCGACATCGCGGACCCGAGCTTTCCGAATCCGAAGACGGAGAAGGATGAGCCGTAACGCGTGAAGGAACGCACGGACATCATACTACCGAAATGGATGAAGTTGAGCAAGGAGAACGCGGATCCAAGTCTGGCACAGCCGTAGGACGACATTGCGCTACCGAGTCTGGTAAAAGATCGCATGGACATGTTACTGCCCAAATGGAGCAAGTCCAACACAGAGAGCGCAGACCCAAGCTTGGTGAAACCGTAGATGGAAAGCGAACTACCCATTCGCCCGATTCTACGGAGAGAGATCGAACTCCCAAAGCTCACGTAATCCAAGACGGAGAGAGCACTGCCGAAGCGTGCTGTACCGTAGATGCTGCAGGCGCTTCCTAGACGCGTGAAACTCGCGATCGAGAAGGAACTGCCGAATTGCACGAAATCAAGGACTGAACAGGAACTGCCCATGCGTGCGCAGCCGTACAAGCTGGTCGCGCTTCCTAGACGCAGGAAGCCACGTGCGGAAAGCGTACTGCCGAGTGCGATGAAGGCTAGGATGGACAGAGAACTTCCGATCCTGGACGTGCCGTAGACGGACAGCATAGAGCCAAGGCGACCAAACATCTTGATCGAGATGGAACTACCCATGCACATGTAATCCACCATCGACAACGTGCTGCCCAAGCGCGCAACACCGTACACACTCATCGCTGGTCCGAACCTAGAGAAGCCTCGCAAAGACAAACTACTACCGAAAAGCACGTAGTCTAACATGCTAGTGCTAGAGCCGAGTTTGCACAAACCGTAAATGGATGTGCTGCTTCCTAATCTGGCACAAGCACGCACAGAGAGTGTGGAGCCTAACGTCAGGTAGTCCAACAGTGAATATGCACTACCCATTTGAGCAATGCCGAAAACACTCAATGCTGAGCCCAATCTGCCAATAGAGCGCAACGAGATCGCACTTCCTACGCTAATCGTGTCTAGGATAGAAAAGCTGCTTCCCAACCTGGCGCTTCCGTAGATCGACAGGGTACTGGCCATACGTGAAAAGGTTCGCAGACTCAACGAACTGCCCAAATACACAGCGTCCAATACTGACAATCCACTTGCGCACAGGGCTAATCCGAATACGGACACTGTGGATCCGAGTCGTGAGAAGGTTCTGAGCGACAAGGCAGATCCGAAATGTATCCAATCCATGACTGACATGCTAGAGCCCAGTTTGGCCATGCCGAAGAGCGACAGGGAGCTGCCGAGTCGCGCAATCGAACGCAGACTAAAGCTGCTACCCAGTTGCATTTGGTCCAATATAGAAACCGTCGTCCTCAGCTTGCCAATTCCGTAGAGCGAAACGGAGGATCCTAATCGGGTGAAGCTTCGTGGTCTTACGCCGCCAAGGGAAAGGAAATCGAGTGTAGACATCGAAGATCCCATACACGTAAACCCGTAGACGCTCAATGCGGATCCCATGCGACCCATCGAACGAAGGGATAGGGAACTGCCGAGAGACAGGAAATCCAAGCCTGAGATGCTGGACCCCATCCGCGAGAGCCCATACACGCTAACCGTGGAGCCTAAGCGAAGGAAACTTCTGCAGGAAAAGGCACTTCCAACAGTGCAGAAGTCCAGCAAGCTCAAGGCCGATCCGAATCTGGCCTGGCCGGTCAGGGACATCGCCGAGCCGAAGCGCGAGAAGCTGCGGACGCTCAGGCTGCTTCCCAAATAAACCGAGTCCAGAATGGACAGCTCCTTTCCAATCCTGCTCATCATGTAGCAACTGACGCAGCTGCCACTGCGCATGAATTGTCGCAACGACAAAGACGAACCAGTCGCGACCAAATCCAACACAGACAAGCTGCTGCCGCATCGCGCAGTGCCGTAGATCGAAAACGTGTTGTCGCCCATTCGGAAGAAACTACGCAAGGAGACACTCGAACCAATGGTCATGAAGTCCAGCTGCGAGATCTCAAAACCCAGTCTGGTCAGTCCGTAGATGCTGTAGCAACTTCCAAGTCTCGAGTAGCTGCGCGTAGAGAAGTCGATGCCCATGTGCAAATGATCTAAAGCTGACAGTGAGTACCCCATCTTCGCGACGCCATAAATCGAAACACTGCTGCCAAATCGTTGTAGACCGCGAATCGACAGGGCTGAGCCCATAGAGACGCAGTCTAGGAGCGAGAGCGTAGATCCCAAGCGTGCCATTCCGAAGATAGACAGAGAACTACCGAGTCTAGTAGCCTTGCGACATGAGATGGAACTACCTGCGTGCACGAAGTCCAAAACTGACAGTTGAGACCCAATGTTCACGAACCCGTAGATCGACAGACTGCTGGCTAATCTCGTCAATGTTCGCAAGGAGAGTGCCGAACTGAGCATGGCCACGTCTAAAATCGACAGGCTGCTTCCAATGCGGCAAGTCGAATACAGTGAGCAAGCGCTTCCTAGTCGGGAGAAGTTTCGCAAACTGAGACTGCTACCGAGTGCGAATGAGTCTAATGCGGAGCAGCTACTGCCGAGACGGCCAATACCGTAGATGCTGACGGAACGGCAGATTCGCTGCATGCTTCGGATTGAAATCGCCGATCCTAATTGCACCGTGTCCATCACAGATATAGCTGAACCCAGCATGCCTAGACCATAGATGGAGCAGGAACTACCGCAGCGCATGAAGGTACGGACTGAAAACGTAGATCCCATTCCAAGCGCGTCTAAGACCGACATAGCCGAACCCATCCGCGTCAAACCGTAGACTGAGCACGAACTGCCTACTCGCAGGAAGTTGCGCAGCGACATTCCGCTGGACAGGATCACGCTGTCTAGGATGGACAATCCGGATGCGAAGCGGCTCAAGCCGAACACAGAGAGCGAACTCCCCAGTCGCAGGCAACACCTGAGAGAGATAGCGCTGCCTACGTGCACGAAGTCGAGCACGCTCATTCCGGATCCTAGTCTCGTCAAACCGTAGACACTCGTTGCACTGCCTATCCGCGCAAAGCCTCTGCATGAGAAGCTGCTGCCAGCGTTGAAGAAGCCGAGAACGCTTACGCTGCTGCCCAAGCGACTGCACCCGTACATACTACACTGCAATCCTAGGCGAGCGAAGCTGCGTGCACTCAGTGAACTACCAAGGGCTAACACGTCTAGCAAAGACACACTGCTGCCCATCGTGTGGACGCCGTACAGACTCATGCTACTGCCGAATCTGGCGCAGTTTCGCACACTGTAGCCCCACATCAAGCCATTTGTTCCATCGCCTAACTGGTTGGCTAGGAACACAGCGTCTAAGACGGAAAGCGTGCTGCCCAGTCTGGCGATTCCGTACACGGACAGAGCAGATCCCATGCGCACAAATCCACGCAAACTCGCACTACTACCGATCGTGGCCATGTCTAGCAAGGAGAGACATGACCCTAATCTGGTAAATCCGTACACGGAGAGAGAACTACCCAAACGCGCCAACGTTCGCGTAGAAATGCTGCTTCCCATGTGCACGAAGTCTAGCAGTGACAAGCTGGAGCCCAAACGGCCTGCACCGTAGATCGACAGTGTGCTTCCAAGTCGCATGAAATTTCGGACCGAGAGCGCACTGCCCAAATGCGAGCAGTCTAAAAGACTCAGGGAACTACCCAGGTGTGTGATGCCGTAAATGCTCATCGACGTGCCAGTCTTGTACATACTGAAAACTCGACCTACACGCGTGAAGCGGTTGATCGAGATCGAGCTACCTAAATGCGCGAAGTCGATCATGCTGACTAGAGATCCGAGTCTGCTCATCCCGTACACGGAATAGGTGCTTCCAAATCGGCTGTAGGATCGCAGCGACAAAGAACTGCCCATCGTCACGAAGTCCAAAGCCGACAAACTAGACCCGAATCTTGCACATCCAAAGGCGGAGAGTGCCGAACCTAGGCGTTTGAAAGATTGCACACTCACGCTCGACCCATAGTAGCCCTGCTGACCTACAGACAAGTAGGACCCCAGTCTGGTGCTGCCGTAGACACTGCACGTGCTGCCTGCTCTGAAAAACGTACGCAGCGAGAAGGAACTACCCATGTTCCCCTGGTCTAGGACAGAAAGCATACTCCCAATACGCGTCAAGCCGTAGACGGAAATGCTGCTTCCCATACGCGCAAACCGTCGGACACTTAACGTCGAGCCGATCTGCAGGTAGTCTAAAGCACTACAGACACTTCCTAGTCTCGAAAGGCCGTAGATGGACAGCGAACTGCCCATACGGCACGCTGCACGAAGACTCAAGGTACTACCGCACGACAAATAGTCGAGCATGGACAGGTTGCTTCCTAGTCGGGTGGTCCCGTAGACACTCAATGCTGAGCCCAGGCGCGCGAAGTACCGCAAGCTAAGCGCGGTCCCGATGTTCACAGCGTCTAGCACGGATAAATTGCTGGCCAACGTGAGAATCCGGAAGACGCTCAAACTACTTCCCAGTCTTGCGAAACTACGCAACGAAACGGCACTGCCCAGGTTGATGTGGTCTAGGATCGAGCAGCTACTACCGAGTCTGGCAAGCCCAAAAACGGACATGGAACTGCCACAGCGCCCAATCGTTCGCAAGGAGAGCGAACTACCAATGTACACCACGTCTAGGACTGAGTATCCACTGCCGATTCGGTTCATCCCAAACACACTCATTGCGCTTCCTAGCCTGCCGAAGGATCGGAGAGACAGAGAACTGGCCATGCTCAGGTAGTCTAAGAGCGAAAGCATGCTGCCGACTTTGGACACGCCATAGACGGAGAAGGTACTGCCTAACCGCCCCATCGACCGGATCGACATGGCACTCCCTAATGAGATGATGTCCATCACGGAGAGACTAGAGCCAATCCGCGCCATTCCGTAGACGCTGACGCCACTCCCAAATCTAGAGAGTGTTCGGATGGAGTACGCGCTACCTAGTTGCATGAAGTCCAGCACCGACAAACTTGAGCCGTACCGCGACACGCCATACACGCTCATGCCGCTGCCCAGTTTCGCGCACATTCGCAGGGACAGGGTACTGGAGAAGTCTACGCAGTTCAACACTGATGTGCAGCTACCCATGATGGTCTTCATGTACACGGACAGCGACGTTCCTAGTCGGACGAAGGGGTAGTAGGGTCGGTTAAACTGATCCACCGGCAACGGTCCCGGTCGGCCCAGTGACAAGGAGCTACCGAGATGCGCACATCCTAGAACGCTCAGTGGGTCGCCAAATCGTCCGAAACCCGTCAACGACAAGTTACTACCCAACCTCGCGAAGCTTCGCAAAGACACCGCAGAGCAAAAGCTCACGAAGTCGTAGACTGACAGCTTTTCTCCGAATCCCATGAAGTAGCGGACAGAAAGCTGGTTGCCGAAGTAGCCCATTTGCGAAATGGATAGTTGAGTCCAAAAGTTGCGCAATTTTGGGTTCCTCTTCAAGGTGATGTAGTCCTGCGGCAGATATATGGGCTCGATCAAAGGGATCGTACCCAATGGCGGGTAAGCACGCGATTGCACGCTCGTCGCCTCACCGAGAATCACCTAAGAGTAAATGGGTTTTTATGATGCATAGCAGAAGTTTAAGCTATTTGTTCATGTGATACGAACTGTTGTAAACGATGAAGATATTGCTTTTCCTAAATTCTCCTCCTACACACTAGCCTCTCAACTAGCCTTTACTTCAAATTCTTTACCTTCTCCCCCACGCTCAAGTCGTTTCCTATTCGCACTTCGTTTCCAATAGACAGTTTGCTCCTAACAACCGTATAAGCCGCGTCCTCCACCGGTTGTGTCGTACCAATACTCGTCCTCACGCCCATGAGATAACTCTGTTCAGTGACTGACAAAGTCTTTCCCATGGCTACGGCGCCATCCACGGACAGAGAGGACACTAAGAAAATCTCTGCCGGGTCTCTTGTGAGTGCGACGTAGGTTCTGAAGCGCTCTTTGTCCACGTCTTCGGAAATAAGGAAGGCTTCTGGGTTGTCAAACCACTCTTGCATGTGGATGTTCCACTTGCGGACGCCGTTATACCTGGAGTCTTGAGATGAGGAAGTACATGAGCATTCTGATATCACAAATCATAAACGTTTTCTATTGCTGCTTCATACATTCGGTGCTGTCGGCTTGAATTTCCTTTCTACTGTAAGTATGCCCAGATGCTTCTTCTAGAAAAAACGCAAATGCTTTGCCTGTAGGGATAAGCCTAAGAATAGGGGGAAAGCTAGCCGGTTGTTTTACGTATGTGCTTGCAAGTAGTGCAAGTACTAGAGAATCGAAACTACCTAAATCGAATCCCTGCTTGTGCTGACATGTTTTCGGACTCTTGACCCTGAGGATCAATATCGATTGGACCCAACATCGAGATTTCACCCGAATTAGTAACCAACACAAAGGCATTCGCCGTCGTCGCAAGCGCTAAAGCACTACTCAAGACTCTTCTTAGGTGTGTCATTGGTTTTGTTTTTGTGGAAGTTGTTGTGGTACTACAAGTAGTTCTCGTATTCTTGACGTGTGCAGTTTTGTGGGAAGACGAGGCAGTTCTCCTTCTGGTTCTCGTGGACGTTCTCCTCCTCGAAGATGGTTGTGGCAAGCTCCCGCTAGAAGGAGCTTGCTGTACACAACCTGTCGAAGGATCATCCGAGACTTCTCTCTGATCTCCAACATTCGCGCTACTGCCAATAACGCTCCTGTTTTCAAGAACCGGAGATATTACGAAAGCCTCCTGCTTGACCTCGTGCTCGTCTCCTACTACGAAATGTGCACCATCCTCTTCTGCTATTGAAGGTTCTGAAGATGTTCTCGACGCCTTCTCCGCCTTCCTTCTACTTTTTTGCCGTAGCAGAATCATGAGCTGCCAACACACGATCTGCCATAGCCAGACAAGGACGTTCTCAACGAGTTGTGTTACTATGATCATCCTAAGAGACGATGTAGAGTTTTCATCTATGAGCTCTAGCACCCATGGTGGATATTCATGTAGTTGTCTGCTAGTTCCTGCTGCTGTGTCATTGTCATAGTATGACACATAGCTTTTTCTCTTCTTCCTATTTCTACTATAGGAAGTGACGAGGCCCAAAGGCCTCCTTCTCCGACAACTCTTAAAAAAGGATGATGTTGTCCATGATTGTAACTCCTCATTGCTTTGTTCTGCTGTAGTAGAAGTGGAAGAAGTTTCCCTCAGGTGAGGCGTCGTACGACTCTCCTTCGTCCCTGAAAAGTCTTCAACATCTTGCTCCCTATAATCTACTTCTTCTAGCCTCGGTGGAAAAGCACTAGTTGATGAACATGATGGTGTCGGTGCATCTCTATCTGGTGCATCAGCATCTCGATCTCTCCTCCGCGCCCTTGATCTGTGCGGCGGGGGTGCCGCACAGTCCGTGTCGGCACCACCCATTATCCTTCTGTTAACCGTACGGAAGACACCACCGCGACGACCTCTGCAACAAACATCATGATGATGATTGAGTTTAAGAGAGCAGGAGATCGCCAGAATTTGCGCCAAACCGTTCAGCAAGAGGATGTATCCCCGGATGAACGTCTTGTAGACACACGACAATGAGCCATTAATTTCGACATAAAAAACTTAACTGACGAAATCTTTATCGTACTTATGAATCTTCAAGACTGAATTACATATAGCGAGCGAAAACTTATAACAAGAAATAATAAACAAGATGATTCAAATGCGTAACAAAGAAAAAATAAAATACATTACAATCACAATCTAATATATCTAGTATCCTATAACTAGCATTGAGATTGAATAATACCCTATAATCGACCTAATACGAGCGAAATGAAAAAACGATAATAAGCAACAAATAAGCAAATGGAATAAGTGCTATATTAGTCTAAGAGAAATCTATTCATCAGAGTGTTATTCTAAAAACCGTATCAGTTACCACGATCGATCTGTACCGATCAAAAAACTCTATAAAAAGTCTATTTTCAGGTTGGTTTGGATGAGAAGAAGAAAGACCAGCGTCATGAGTTGTTTTTGATTGGAGAGCGATGAAGACGTGTGAAGCTTGATGGAGTTTGAGTGATAATAAAGGTTATTCCACCTATGCTGAACAGCATTGAAGTAACCAACTTGCCACGGTAAGCCGGAGTAAGCACAATTTCAATTATTGAATCTAGTGTCTCTCAAAGTCTAGTTGCTCGAAGACAGATAGTCAGGCTTCGATAAACCGTCTCGAACACCATTTGGCAAAGGACGGACGAAGACAGTCTCTCGTTTCATCTATAGAGGTGGACCCATTTGCTTCTCTCGTCTCTGATGTTTTATTCTCTCGTCTTTTTGCTATCATCTTCTCCATGCTCGCTTCATCTATGGACGAAGTTGGTAAAAAAAAACCAAGGGTCATCAACAAGAGTACAACTATCATCAGGATCTCATGAACACTCGGACGAGCATATTTGCGTCCCTTTGCATGTTATCAGTGTTTTTTCGAACGAATAGAAGGGGGATCAGTTCAAACCTTCTCCACACAGAACAACAATCTCTCGAAGTTTCAGATCTCGTCTGTTCTTCGTATTCTCTCGCTGGTCTTTCTCTCTGTTATAGCTCGAAATGATCATCTTCTTTCAAGCGAACACTCTTGATCCTACTTTCAACCTTCAATGATAGTCACGTCACAAAGGTCATCATTAGGTCATATCTTGTCTTAGTACTTTGCTTTCTTCTTAGGCGATATTCTAAACAGCACATATTCTTGCGGTGTTCATATTTTTCGTTCGTACTATTCGAAATCGGTGTTCTTGAATCGGGTAAGTTATTGACTCATTTTGTCATCGTTCGAGAAGAAAAGTAGAGGCAATTTTTTCATTGGCGTAATCATAAGCGTAATGTAAATTCAGATTAATTTCGGCTGGGTTCTGTGCAGCTGCTAAAAGCTATCGGTAGCGATTTGCATGCGATTCATTTTATGTACAACGATCATTAGCTATCATTTATGTCCATGTGCATGCTCATGGTCCTCTTTTTTGATCTATGATTGAAGGCTAAGATTGCGATTCTGTGTCGTTTTTTCTTATTCGATAAAGTCATTGGCATATCTCTTACAGTCCTAGTTTCCTTATATGAGTCGTATCTAGCTCTTGTGTGCGTGTGCGATACTCGTGATGGAATAAACTACAGGATCAAACTTTTGAGGAAAGAATGGGGAACGACAATATCAGTTGAGTGATGGGTGCATTTACTTTTACAATATTCAGTTATGACATCTTCCTTACCTACATGATGATACCTCTTTCTCCTCACCTCCGACCCGGTCTCAGACTTTTCGCCATCGCAGAAATGTCTCCCGTCTCATCCTCCCCTAGAGCGTCCAAAGCTTTTGCTAGCCTTAGTCCCGCACTGTATTCTTTCTCGCTCAGAGGTTTCTTGCGTTGTCCACGCTCTCTACTCGAGCCGAAAACGCCGGTTCTTGACTGCTGTTTCGCCCTAGGCGGTCTTGTGGCTATCGCTTGACAGACGGTTTCAAAGTCCGCTGATTCTACATCCTCTAGATCGATACTGCCAACTTGTTCTAAAAATTGGCTGGAAAGCAGTTGATTTGGGGGAGAATTGTCATCGACTAATTTTAGAACTCACTACAATCCATCTGCTGCCTCATCTACTGTGTCCACTTTCCTAGTAGGAAGTTCCTAAATACTTGAAAACAGCTTGCTACAGCTTGCTCTTGCAGATGAACTTCTAAAAGATGGATAAAAAAGTGAGGCCTTCATAATTGAGGTGGTAGTTGTTGTCCTCCAGAGAGTGCGGGAGCTTCACTAGATTCTCCGGTGACAGCACTTGCATCCATCAGTTGCTTGGATGGTGATCTACTTGATTCTCCTGCTGTCGTCCCTTCGGCTGGAGTTCCCTCTGGTCTAGCAGGCTGGAGCGTGCCTGGACCTGGACCTGCCTCCTCCCCTGGACCTACTAGTGAAGAAGTTCCTTGATCCGTTATTGCTGCCAAAACAGGAGACCCACTCGCTGCTGCTTGAGCTAAGAGCTGATGAGGAGAAGTTCTCGCAGGTCCTAAAGGTGACCCTGGCGATGCACCTGCCATTGTCAGCGCCTGTGCTACTGCTTCTTTTGTTTTCCTAGTTGAGAAGTGTTGTGGCTTGCCTCTGCCGTCTTGCGCGTTCTTCACGCTATTGGCCACTTGCGCTTGCCTTGCTTTGTGCGCTAGCGGTTTTTGGATCTGTGCCCATATCCTCTCTGCCTCGCTGTACTGCAATGTGCAGTGCGAGTAGTTCATACTCCACGCTGACGGATCTCCCTGAGGTAGAGCAATGCCACTACTTGGCACTACGCCAGCTCCACTACCAAATGCTGTGGACGAAGATGCTCCACCACTCGTTCCTCCTGGATTAGCTGCAGCACTACCACTTGTGTTTCCGCCAGCACCACTCGTTCCTCCTGGATTAGCTGCAGCACTACCACCAGCACCTGCGCTAGCACCACCCGCAGCATCCTTAGACCCTCCAGCACCACTACCACTTCCTGCCGAGGGACCGGATGATGACCTTGCTGCCGGATCAGCACCACCCCCATCCAAGGTCTCTCCCATGTCGTTCAAGGCTGTCGAAGGTCGTGCGCCTCGATCAAGGCTGCTACGCTCCCTAACAGGCGCGGGCCGGTCGTTCACGTTTTGGCAGAGGATGCCTGACCGTTGGGGTGAGTAGAGTTGAAATTTCTGAGTTCATAGAAGTTCTGGAATCTTCAACAAATATAAGCTAATAGAAGTACAAGAAGATGTTCATCTGAAGAGTCCACAGAAATTCTGCATCTGTACATCAACGTGATGTACCAAAGGGAATAAAGCAATGAACGTATGACGAGCACAGAAATAGTATTTTCACCTCTCGACGTCAAATCCCTGCATGTCGACAAATACACTTTCTTGTCCAACCCCACTGTCAATAACACTGAGTCAGGATACACGTTTGGATGATCACCCGCTTCGCCTTCGATTTCTTTGCCGCTCTCATCGTCCGCTGGATTTTCCTCAGCCATGTAGTCTACCACGTCGATTTGCGTGACCGAGTCTGTGTGAATAAGCATTTCTGCGAGTGAGATGACTAGTTTTCTGTTCCCAGCGCCTGCGAGAATTCCTCCACCACCGGAGCCGAGGAGACCAGCGTGTTGCTGCTGTTGCTGGGCTTGCAGCTCCATGTGGATGAGGTACTGGAAGCACGGGCTCATATCCCAAACGCGCACTTGACCTTTCATGTCACCGAGGTAGACTAGAATGTCCTTGACGCCGTTGCTGTGGACTTTCATGGATGTCAAATCGGCCTGCGTCGCGTAGTAGGGTAGTAATTCGACTTGGTTCCATTGGTATCTGCGGTTGTAGTAACGTTTTTGAAACGATTACGATTCTTGACGATGAGAAGGTACTTAGTGTTCCTTGTAGCTACTTGAAAAACGAATGTCTGCATTCAAGGTTGAGAGCAAACAGTCGTGAAATAACTTGACGTTATCACATACAGTCAAAATGTAGAGAAGTACATCCTCTTCCACGGCGCCTCCTTGTCCGCTTTGTCGAATACCGAAACGCTTCCACCCGCTTCCGCTATGATCATCAAATTCCGTTTGTTAATCCCAGAATGGCTCACGCTCAAGAACTCCACTCCAACTACGAGGTCGCTGAACAAGGCCAAAGTTTGTTCGATTTTCAGCGTCTTCATGTCATACAGCACAACCGTTCCATCAGTCGACCAACTAGCCATTTTGTCCTGTCTTTGGCCGACACTCAGGCCGACAACAGCATCGCCGTGGGCTCCGGTAAACTCTGCTTTGCAGTTGGGAAGGGAACTGCCGGTGTCGAGGTGGACTTTTACTGTGCCACGGCCACTACCACTGACGACCAGTGGTCCTTCTATGGGCGAGTCATAGAGGGCCATTTGGGTTACCTTGGATGGATGTTTCTTGGATGTCTTGTCTAAATAAGTCATAGAGGGCCACTTAGGTTACCTTGGATGTATGTTTGGATCTTTTGTCTATAAGTCATAGAGGGCCATTGAGGTTACCTTGGATGGATCTTTCTTGGATGTTTTGTCCAAGTCATTGAGGGCCATTGAGGTTACCTTGGATGGATCATTGGATGCCGAGTACCTCTTCCCCCACCGCATTTGGCACCGAGAATTCTCGCATAAACTTCCCATTCGTTGAGAAGCTCGCGATCGTCCCATGCGCGTTGCCTACGATCAATTTTCTAGCGTTGGAGGACACACAGAAAGCCGTTAGCTCATTCGGTATTCCAGGGAATAGGTCCTTCAACATGCGAATCATGCATCCAGTCTCCGCATCCCAAATTTTGAGGTTTTTCCTGCTTAAGGTGACGAATCGGCCTCTATGTGGTTCCCACGCACAGCAACGGACGCGGAGGTTAGAGGACAGAGGTACTGAGATGAATGCAAGTGGTCCTCTGAATACCGAACGTCAAAGTGAAACTACTTCTGAGAAAGTTGTAGTCTCAACAAACATTTCACATTTACATCATAACCAAGGGATCTGTCTCTTCCTCCGCCCGTCCACTACTGCCACCATCACCCATTGCGCCATGCTCTCGGCTGTCGACATAGTCGTAAAGTCGGATGTTACCGACACCGCAAGCAATACGTTTAAGTTCCGGTATTACGCAAAAACAAGTGAGATCTGTTACAGCATCGGTCGCGCCGAAGACCTGTCAGAAGCTATTTCAGGTGGAGGTGAAGCAGCAGATTGTCCATGATGGAACTAGGTACTAATATTAATTTGACCACAAACAAGTTGTACTTCATCTTCTTCTTCTTTTCGATCGTAGGGTGGGAAAAATGATAGGCACTTACCTGTGCACACCGAAAGTTCCTGACATCCCACACTCGCAAAATGCCACCTATATCTCCCGTCACGAGTTGCGGATATGAGCCGACTCCAACACCAATACCGACTAGAGAGTGGGCGTGTCCTTTGAGCTTGAAGAGGTGACTCGTTTCCACATACGGATTCCAAACTAGGGCTTCTTGGTCGAGGCTGATGAGTGTGGGAATGGGTTTGTGAAGTCAACGCAAAAATTGAAAAGAGATTCGATTGGGAGAAAGGCGGAATAAGAAAACAAATTCAACTTGTAGTTATTTTTCCTCTACCTCTTGTAACCACCAACTGTACAATTACCCGACACTAAGCAGGCACCCCATCGAGTAGGCGAGCTGCAGCACCGACTTTTTGTGCCCCTTCAGATGCTTTTTAGGCCTGAAGGTCTGGATATCCCACAGGATGATGGTGCCATCGGAGGATGCAGAGGCGATCAGAAGCATATCGGGAAGCACAGGTCTTAGAGGTTTAGGTTTCTATCAACCTATAAAATCAAATTCAAAACATCAAGTGAATCTCCTCGATTCATTCTCGATGATGATGTTTGTTAGTCGGTTCGGAATTGTCCTACGACTTCCCTGAATCTCTTCTGAGTTTTACAGATTTCCCTGATGTTGAAACTGTTGTGTTGAAAAAGTTGACTATGTGGACTATGTGGATGCGGCGCTTCTACTTGCTCGCCATTTGCTTCAATTGCTACTATTTCGCCAGTTGTGTCCTGTTGTTGAAGGTGATGAAGGTGATGATGTTGCTAACTAACTCGATTCATTCTTACTAAGACAGACAGCTATCTTCTACTTTTCCAGTCGTAACAGCAGATCGTTGATCTCCCCTTTATGTCCTCGTCTGCTTTCTTTCAACGATAACGTCGTCAAGTGCCACTTCGACAAGGTTCCATCAATAGACCCCGAGTAAAGACAGCTCGGGTCCACGCTGGCATGGTAGCAGAGGCAGATCTGCACGTCACGGCAGACTATGCGACTCCGCAATTTCATACTAGTTGCATCCCAGAGACAAATCGTCATGTCACTTGCACAGGTAGCGAGTTGCGCCATGGGCTCAATGTAGGCGCAGGTAATCACACTCCCACGATGACCGGAGACTTCGGCTTTTAAGGTGAGTCTCTTCGGATCGTAGATGCGGAATTTTCGGGATTGGGAAAACGTCGCTAGGGCGTTGATTTCCTTGACATAGACTATCCTTTCAACGTTCGCATCATGTTTCGTCGTGTCCTGGATGGCTGACTCGTGGTAGCTCTTTGTGTCGAGCGTGAGCGTCGCACTGATGAATTGATTCAAATAGGATCGCATCATGGGGGACGATCGACAAATAAGACGAATCAATGCGTCTCATCTAGAATGAAGAATGAAGAATCAATGCGTCTAATGAAGAATGAAGAATCAAGTTGCTGCTAAGAATGAAGAATCAATGCGTCTCATCTAGTTAGCAGACTATAACTACCCATCAGCACTCGACGCTCGTTTGCCCTGCTCGATCAACAACGTACTCGCCTCCTCCCAGGTTATCTCACCTACAGAGTGAACGTCAATCTGTCTGAACAACTCCACGATAGAAGCCACATTGAAGAGCAGCTCTGGAGATATCGACAACAGGTCTGCAGTCGCGTGTGGGTCTGCTGCTGCAGGGTCCTCTCCTCTAGCAGCACTAGAGGCGGTTGCGTGAAAATGGGCACGTGACTGAGGCCTCGAAGGTCCGGAACTAGCAGAGGAATCGAAGAAGGGGCCGGTTGGTATATTAGACTTCTGCAGGTAGGAGTGGTTCTAGATGAAAAAGACGTCTTCTACAGCACTTCCCTCTTTCTACAGCACTTCAACATCCTCTATAAAAAGTAAAGATGCTAGTAGAAAGAACACAAGAAAGAACGCCTTAAAAACATTATCTCCCTCATCTTCTGAATCGCCACCTTTTACCTCCTCAGCCGCATCCTCATCTGACCCAGTGTACTGGTAGATGTCAAAGTTGACCAGTACTGAGATAAGAAACTTCTCCAAATCCAAGACGCCATCGTTCCTCTCGAAATCTTGTTGCAACTTGGCGAACTTTTCATGATCAAACAGGATCTGCAAAACGTGTTTCTCCCGATACTTTCGCTTCTTCATCATGCGCTGGGCGAGCTCCTAGTGATGTTGTGTAGAATCGAATTGTAGTTGGGAAGACTGAAGAAGGTGAGCGTGAGATACCATCTAAGAAAGAATGTAGGTTAAAAAAGTGCTCCAAGCTGGTCCCTGATAAGAATGAAAATCATAATCAAATAGTCTGTTTGATCCAACATGTAGAAAAGAGTGTTCTGTGAGGTGCTAAAAACAAGGTAGTGCCGCGTCTCTCTGCATCAATTGCGCTGACGTGATCGGCACGACTTCGGCCACCTGCCTCTCCGCTTGCGCCTTCGCCTCTTTCTCGCCTAGGGCTTTGGTTAGAGAGAAACATCAGAGAAGCACCCTTCGCCTCTTTCTCGCCTAGAGAACCCATCAGAGAAATTTCCTTCGCCTCTTTCTCGCCTAGAGAACCCATCAGAGAAACATCCTTCGCCTCTTTCTCGCCTAGAGAACCCATCAGAGAAACATCCTTCGCCTCTTTCTCGCCTAGAGAACCCATCGGAGAAACACATATGAGTATCCCCCTTGATCGTAACTTCAACTGTCGTATTCGCCTCGTCCTGTCATTGCCGACTTCGATCAGCGCTGGCATGTACGAGTCCTTAGATGGCGACAGCACACCAGTATGCAGCTGTGACGCCACACGGATCTCATCTCCGTTGCCGAAATTCATCTTGTGTGCTGAAGCTATAATATTCTCTCAAGAATAGAAAATATAAATCCTCAAATATTATAATCAAATATCATGTAAGTATGTCTCGTGTTGTCCTACAACTAGTTTGGGTGGGCACCTACGCTCTTTCGCAGTTTCCTTTTCCATGTTTCAGTGTACGATTCTAATGACCGATTTTGCAGGACGCTTTTAGAATCAATTCACCGTCTCTTTCCCTTCTCTCGCCACTCGCATGTCTTTCCTCAACAACGATTTTGTCGCTTCTGCTGCTTCTGCTTGTTGACCTTCATCAACATGAAGCTCCTTTGTCTCAGACAGAAGATATCTTAAATCTCATGATTGAAGAAATCAAGACGCAGGGAGTGAATCCAGTCGGTGTTCCCCTGGTGTCGCGCCGTGTCTGTCGGCTGCAGGCATTATTTCGTGCATTTCTTGAGACAACTCAGCAAAAAAAGGAATAGGGATCATCCTGGAATGAGGTTCATTTTTGTGGAATAGACACTATGGGATCGGTTCGTGCGTCAGAATGGGGATGCGCAAGGTAAGCTGTTCATTTATGGAATATGGAATGCAAAAAATGAAAATCAAAATTAGACCATCCTATGCACATCATGTTAAGCGCTCATGAATTACGTCTTCAGCACCACCGTGACATAATCCTTCGCCCTAGCGCATATCCACCCGCTCCCAGGCTTCTCATGACCTATGCTCCCGTAGTTCCGGGTTTTTACCTGATAGAAAACCCATCCGCCATCTAGCACGATTTGACCGCTACAGAGTACGTTTTCGCCGAATTTGTACGGTGGACCATGCACAATGCAACAATTTGCCAGCGTGGGTCCGGACCTCGCCTTAATCGGCACAGCGCCTTTAGGTGTTACGATTTTCCTGTAAGTGCTGTTGAAGATCTGGATTGGCATCATCGCGGGAACGGATCGCCACGCGTCCCGGATTAGACTGCTCACTGTGCTCAGCAGGTGGAAATCTAATGCTACCCAGATCTAGAACAAAGTGTACTGATTCATTACTGGAAATTTGAAAGGTAAAAATGCGTGATGTATACTAGTGGTCTAACTCTCATGGCAAATTATAATGACGAAGTTCGAGAGAAAGTTCAGTTCTGTTTTTAACCCATGAGCCATAAACTTTGTTGCGCACTCGCCAGATTCATGTTGACCATCGCCATGCTCATTTCTTTGTGCAATGTTTTAGAACTCTTCCCAGTACCACTGATGCCAAGTCGTGTAGCTTCATGATGCCATTGTCTACGGTCCCATAAGACCCAGCCTGACTTAGAGCTCACCCTAATCCATCTCCAAGTCCATCCTGAGACTGCTTTCCCCTTGAAAACGTCGCTAAGATGCTTCGGAAGATGGATTAGGGGAAGCCGTAACTGACGTAGGATAACTAGCATTGGTATTTCCCGCCAATTGCGCAGATGAAGGGTGGAGACCGTTGGAGATCTTGATCTGTTGAGAGAGGGGTAGGTTTGGAAAGGTGTTGATTGAGAGAGGGGGAGGATCGTGAAGATGCCTCAAAATGGGAAACGTATAGAGTTGTACTTGTTGATATGACGGCTCGTCTACTCGAGCAGCCAAAGCTAGTACTATAAAAACGAATCACATGATAGTGAAAACTACAAGTAGAAGTACCCAATGCTGCAACGGCTCCCCCGGCACTGGTTCAATTGCCAACTGCTGCCATATTGTCCCTGGCATCGCTTTGAATGCTCTACCACCCGTACTATTCTTTAGAGGTTGCGACATTGCATTCTCCAGATCATCCCTGACCCTTTTCCTACTGGAAAAAAGTCAAGGATGGTAGTGAAGAATGCAATGTGGTAACCCTTAGATTCTGCACGTCCACTGCTTTGTCTGCCGTAATCACAAAGAAATGCGGTGGTTCCGTCAAGTCCTGGACGAAACTTGTTTCCTCCAAACATCCGGCCCACAGCTTAACCGGTCTCAACTCTGCCTCTCGCTGTTTCTTCTCCATAAAGATGAAGTCTTCTGCTTAAAGCTCGAAATTCATTGGTCACTGACTCTGAACGGACATCAAGGCCCCTTACAGAGCCTCCCCCTTTTCCCCTAGTTTCCCTTCATTTTCCCCTGTTCTCTCGCCAGGGGGTCTCCTCTTTGATGTCAGAGGCCAACCCACTGACTTAGTTTTCCCCTGTTCTCTCGTCAGGGGGTCCCCTGACGCCGATCTGAGTGACCAACCCGAAAAATGACCAATGAAAGTTGAGCCCTAATCTTCGGTTGGTTTCAGCAGTTCTTTCATGAAGACATGGTCGTCGTCTAAGAAGAGGTTCTTCTCAGCAGCCTTTTGCGAAGCCAAGTCGAAAACCCGAGCTTCTAGACGCTTATTCTTCGCCGAATTACCAGTTACCATGCTGCCCCCCAGACTGTGGATGTTGGGATGTAATGTTGTGGTGGTTGTGGTTGTGTTGTGGATGGGTGGTGGTGGTTGTGTTCAAATTGAAAAGCTGAAAAGTTGGAAAAGCTATTTCGAACCATCGAGCAGGGGTAGTTGCATAAGAAAGTCCCAGACGCTACTCCTCAAAATGAATCGTAACAATCAATACCCTAGATTCTGTATCCGTTTACTTCCCAAATATTCGAATGGAATCTTTCCCTTTTCGTCTCTCTGCAACTTGTCTGCACCATGACGTATCAAAACTTCGGCACATCTTGGTCTATTCCATATCACACACTTTTTCAACGGATGCTGCACTTGCGGATCGGCTTTCACGGTCAAGAGCAAGTCTGCAATTCTGTGATTGTCGTGCATACAGGCCCACAAAAGGGCCGTGAACTGGTTGCGGGGGTCGGACGGTTAGAGCTGGCTAGTTGTAGGTAGAAGATGGTGAAGTTATTAAGACCCTATCACTCGAAGAACTTCTTTCTCTTTCATGTAAAAATCTTGTAAGTATCAGCTTATCAATCTCACGAAAGTCTACTTCTTTCATGTACAACTCTATCCACTACAACCAAGCTTCACCCTCTTTTCATAAATGTAATTGACCACTTCGAATAACGCGTCATCGTACGTCTTGTAGTTTTTCTCCTGATTGTTCAGCAATCGTGTCTGCTGGAAAAACGTTCGACCGCCAGGAGAACTCTCATCCCTGGCCCGATCGACTTGCTGGATGGTGTCCAGCATTCGCACTGATTTCGTGAAGTCTCCACTCCTCACGACATCCAGAAACTCAGTACAGAAGTCGATGAATCGTTTTCGTCCGGCGTAGTCACTAATCTGCGCAAGCCGGTCTTCGTAGAGTCTTTGACGTCTTGTCTTAATCTCAAAGGGAACACCACCGTCATCCAAGGGAGGTGTTGTCGGGATGTAGTTAGAGGAAGAAGGTGGATCATGTTGCTCAGCTAGTAGGTAGCTCCTCCTGAACAACCCGAAACCCAAAAAAGACCCGACCTTTCAGTCATAACAGCAGCCGCATCTCCACCCTCTGCTGCCTTCGCCTTCCCAAGCATACCGGCAAGTCCACCTGGCGGCTTCCCAGTAGGGCTATCAGGCGAATCCGGAGGCTGTGGAAAAAACAACGTAAAAGCAATGACAACAGGATGATGCTGATGAGTGTGATTTTGGCAGGTTCTTGATGAGCTTGATGAGCAACTAACGTATGTGTATGACTTGTACCCCGCCTACCGAAGGTGAAAAAAGAATACCTCAGTCGTATCATCGCCTCGAAGCAAGCCCCCTATCTCCGATTTTGCTGTGGGTGACTGCGGTGCTGGTGTCCGTGCTTTCGGTGACAGCAGTCGCGCACTAGGACTCTCATCTCCGTCCGCTGTTTTTGGATTTGGGGTGACGATCTACAGTATCTAAAAAGGAACATGACTGTTTGATACCACATTCGCAATAGTTGTAGAAGATCCGCTCAATAGTTGTAGAAGAAAGTAAGTAACTGAAGTGGAACCAAAAAACTACTCATGCACAAACTTAATAAAGTATAAAGTACATCGCTTCCTTATCGTCGGCACTAAACCATAGTTGGCTGCAATGGCGGCCATAGGCGCCGGAGCCCGCACACGATGGGACTCCTCAGCCTTGTGACCTCCACGGTCACCGACGATTTGCTTGAGATGCTCATAATCGCTTTGTCCGATACCAACAACCGATCCAATTTCATTCTGAGGCTTGGAAAAATCTTTCCGGTAATGATCCTTGGCTTGAACGAGACCGGAAAACATCTTGTGCTAGGTTGTTGGCGGCCGCGGCTAGGCAGTGGTTTTACTAATCCTGGATGGTAGAAGATGGCTTGCCTTGCTTGACCAGAAAAATCGTGTTGTTGTTCACCCATTCACTTCTACGAGCGCAGCCCACTGCTAGAATTTAAGCAAACTCCCGTCTCCTGTTTCCCAACAAAGAATGTCCCAACAAAGAATGCTATGCGCCGATCTTTCTTCCCAACAAAGAATGCTATGCGCCGATCTTTGCGTAAAAGTGTGCAAGCACGGTCGTCGCGTTCATCTTTATTGCAACATGCAGAATTAAGTAATACCATACCCCCTTTTACTCTTAGTGTTGAATCAACTATATGCATCTATTCTCTAAGAAGGAGACAAACTCATACTATACATGTGTGATAGTAGAACCAATTGGTTACCAAAATTCAGTTTCACCACGCACCCGATCAACGAGTGTCCAACGACCTGTCCAAAAAAACCTATACACGACTAAGTCTGTGGGAAGGAGAGGAGAGGAAGGATCTGATACATAGGAAGATGAGCTGTAGTATCTCGATACCATGACCTCAAAGGTACTTTCAATGCATCAACCACGATCGAGTCCTTTCACAATAGAGTAAGTCCTTTCACAAAGTAAGTGATCGAGTTCCGTCTCGTGTTTCCAATAAAAAGAGGGGAAGGGTGCATAATCAGTAGTTCTTGAGAACAGCGAATATCAACTGGGAGCTCACGCCCCGATCAACATGCCCGCTCGGATTCACTCTTCACTCGAGCCACGCAGTTTCACTCCTCTCACCCTTCTCATTGAAAAACTTGGTGTCTCCCTTCCATATTGTCCGATGAAACTTCAGACGCAAGACAATGTCGACGACACCAAACCTGTCGTAAAAATGGGTTTTCCCGACGACCCAAACGAAATTGAGATGGCGACTTCTATAATAGCATCGATCATGTGATGAAGAGGGGTGCAATTCAAACTACTTGCACAAGATTGCATCTCGCTATATGCTCCTTTCTAGTATATTGTAACGCTTTATACGTGCAGGTGTATATGATTTCTGTTTTTTTCATGTGCTCATTTTTCGTACGGAACGATCCCAACAAGACATTACTATCGTTTCATTAAGTCGCGGTATGCCAGTCTCAGTGTTATCATCATTTCAGTTCCAAGAACATAAGCTTTGTACAGAATCACATATCTACGTAGCCTCTAACCTATCTACCTAGCTGCCTCCACGGTATACCTATTTCTATGCTGATATTCTTGTATCCCAGAAATTTTTAGGCCAAAGATATATATGCGTGTACAGCTGAAAGAGCGACGTTAAAAAAGGTATAATGATGCACCATGAAAATAATGGGATCACCAGATCTCTCTAATTTTGATATTTTTGCTCGAAGATGTTGAGGGAGATGTTGTTCATTCTCTATACTTATGCCGCGAGTCTTGCCTAGAAGAGTCTTTCCACCTCCTTCATCGTATTTCATTATGCTTCTAATTGGTCTCAAGAAGGGCCACTTCTCTAACTACTTACATCACCTTCGATGAATCGCCATCTCCCTCGCTCGTTCCTTGCTCAATCTTCCTCCACCGAAAATCGTGGGCATATCGGACGGTGCGTCTGGGATTGTCGCTATTCCAGCCAAAGGCTCTAGTTCCACGTCGCCACGAGGTGTCTTACGCATGTTGATGTCGGAAACATCATGGATATGCTGTCTCGTACGAAATTCCGCTACTTGTGCGTTCTTCGGGACCCGTGGTGAAGCGCCTACTATGTCTCTCGATTGGAGAGATAAGTCTGTTGGGGCATTGCAGTTGTGCTTGTAATCCTTCCTCTCGTAGAAGAGTTTGCGAGGAGAGTTCATGCGGATAGGGCCGATTTCATGTTTTACTCGCATTTTAGGCGTGGGAGGTTGATGTTGTTGATCATGGTCTTGCACTCTAGCATGGAAATTTTGTTCACGTTCTTGATGTTGAAGATTGCCACCAGCAAGTAGATGTCGCATCCTTGCAGAAGTGTTGCCTCCAGTTGCTGCTCCTTTAGTTGTGTAGTTACTTCCTCTTGGTGTAGAAGTGGTGTTATGATTAGTACCCTGAGAAGGACTACTTCTATGACCTCCTGCTGCCTGTGCTGGTTCATCATGCAGTTGTACACTTCCTCCCGCCATTTTCACGCCCATCACTCCAGTCAACCGTGCTCCACCATACAAATCGTCAAACACTTTTCTACCGCCCAAAATCGTGTGTGTTCTACTATTCATCTCCACGTATTTCTCTAACGTATCCGCATCCTGCTCAATCAAGTCCGTTGCTGTGTTGACTGAACGAAGGTTCGATCTTAGTGATACTTTACTAGGATCCTCGCGCTGATATCCAAAGAACGGCGCCCGAAGCTCTTTAGGCTTCAATTCCTGCGCTAAAGCTGCTCGATCCTCAGGCCGACTCGGGAAGCAGTGCTCAAAAACATCACCACCGGTTTCTTCCGACACGCGAGATTGATATTTCTCACGTTTTGGTGCAGGCTGAGCACGAGGGTCGCGAGCAATGTTGGCGGAGATGATGTCTGAAGCTCCTGTGTCGTTGTTGACAGTCAGCGTTGGCACAAAATCATTAGCATTAGTTTGAGGTTCCAATGCCCTCACTCTTGCGCTCCTGCGAGGCGAAACACTACTACTTTGTTTGCTACTATTAGACGTAGGTTTTTGGTGCTCGCTTACCCCGCTTTTTATGCCTTTCTCCCTTAGGAGAGGCATAAAAAGCGGTAAGAAAAGCACCTTTAACCTACCCTTAATACTAGTCTTACTGTCTCTTCCTGTGGTCCAATCTTGCACAATTTCATCGTGCCACTGCCGGTTCTGCCGATCCCTTGTGCGTTGGTCTAGGTCTTTGGAGGGTGGCCCTCTAGCACTCAAACTGCCTCTAGTAGTACTGGTGTTCCTTGGAGTCGTGGAGGTACTATTCTTGTTCTCTACTAGGGCATGTTCTTGCCTTGCTCCATCATTTGTTCTTTCCCTTTCGTATTCGGCTCTCCCCAGTATATGGGAGCCATCAAAACTGCCTCTTGGTGCTACATCATGAAGTCTTTCGTAATCGCTAACTCGGCAAGACTTGTTTTGGCGCCACGCTTCCTCCGCTTGATATTCAGAAAACGTCCCGCTCTGTGGCGGTCCGCCTACTATTATAGATGCATTGTAACTACCTCCACAGTTGTCCAAAGCAGCTGAGCCTTGATAGCCGAGGTTGGCGCTAGTGTCACTTGTGGTTATGTTGCGGGCCTTGGCAGATGGGCTATCACCAATACCAACACCAACAGGAGGTCCACCCGATCTTGCTGTAGTTGCACTACCGCGACGGCTAGGATGTTCAACTGCAGCATTTCTGCCTGAAGAACCTGAGGTAGTTGAAGCTTGACTACTAGCGTAATTCTGATGTTTCACATTCACGTTCCACTTGTTAGTTTTGCTATCGGGTGACGCGAAGCGATTGAGCTGCAGTTGTGCTCCAGCCGAAATCGTGTGCGTCTCGTGTCCACAAGACATGCTCCCACTATCAGCAATGGAGTGACTTGCACCAACATTATTTCCAACACGGTCATCACGATAGTCGTCCAAAGTCCGCAATAAAGTTGGTCTTGCTTCCTTCCTTTGTGCCTGGGCCTGATCCGCACGACGTTGCGTTGCTTCTTGGACCATGTTCTTGCTCTCTCTTCGTGGAGTGAAAGTACTAGTCCTCGACTCATCCCTCTCTCGTCTAGCACTACAACTGTAGCTGCATCCATTCGGCAAGTTCCCAATGTTTAAATTACAGTGTGTCACTGGATTCAAAGGGTCATTCAAATCTTGATCTCCCATCTGCTTTGTCGTAGAAGCGTATTCGAGTTGTAAGCCGCCACGCGTGTATTGATCCACTGTTGGAGACCTATAATTTGCGCCCCCTACCGTTGGTGCAGGCGCTCCAGCATCAGGATGTCTCCCTGACATCAAGTATCTTGGTGTCAGAGGATTCCGAATCGGATCTCCTCCATTGTTCTGTGCAGCCCTTGGTGTCTTCGAACTTCCACCTACGTAGTGACGATCGTTGATATCAGCTACTTCTTGAAAGCCAGGTCCAGAACTCGTTTCCGTAATCGGTCTGTGGACTTTGCGATAGTAGTGGGGAGTGGAGTAAGGCAAAGAGAGCAAGTCCTGAGGCAATTGCCGGAGCGCTTCTTCACGGTTCTGCTTGGCGCGAATGCCGAATTGCTTGTTCAACACTTCCGCTTCCAATTCTGTCTCTCTTGGCTTGCTGGACTCGATGTACTTAGGTTCTTCGTAAGCGGGTTGTACTCCGTTCGAAGGAAATTGGTAGTTCGGTTGCAGCGGATTCAAGGGAGCTGTTGTATGTCGTGTTGTTCTCGTGGGTAAAGAAGTGGGTGAGAGTCGTGATCGTGTGAATTATTTTCATAAAAAGTGATGTCGTTGTCGTTGAGAGCCACCTGACCCGCGCAAGTAATTACGACAACAGCTATATATTCTCTGTGAATCATCCTAAACAATAAGAATAAGGAACACGACGAATCAACTCTCGTCTTTTGTAAATACCATTCTCTTCCTGAAATCTGCGCCACATGTAATCTCTTTTCGGCTGTGCCCTTTCTATGTCTCGACAATGCAAGCTACTTCCTATTGGTCTCTTATTCACAAACTCTCTTCTTTCAGGCTGCACTTCGCTCGGATCCCAGGGTGTTCGTGTAGCAGCAGTCTGATAAAACTTCAATTTTGGTGTTGCACCCTCTACATCGGAGGTTCGCATAATGTCCCTTGGAGTCATCTGCTGTTGTTGTTGTTGTTGTTGGTGCCATTCTATCCCGTAATCCCTCTTGGGGTCGATGGTTTGCAAGGACATCGTCTGGTGTTGAGCAGAGGACGACATCTTTGTTGTTTATTTTTCAGTTGAGATGTTTATAATAGTACAGTTTATAACCTATACGATATATTTATATTTATGAATAAGATGTTGAGGGAAATATTATGTAGGTGCAGGCGAGAAGACCAGAAGAAGCTGAGCTACAACTTTTGTGGCTAGACCCACTATGAATGTACGAGACTGAGTGGACAGCTTTATAGGTAGAGGGAAATAGGAGCAGAGGCGGGAAATAGAAATGAGCACAAAACTACAGTGATGCGAAAGAAAACCTTCTCCACCAAGTCACCCGAAGACAAATTCTACAAGCTAGAAAACCACGTGAGCGATCATACGAAATAAATTTTTACTTATACTTTTGTTCATGACCTGCAAAGAATAAGAAAAAATGCCAAAAAATACAATAATCCGTGGAACAAAAGTTGCCAGGTAGAAAAGACACCGACAACAGATACATCTCAAGCGGGCTAGCGCCTTAACTCTTCACTCAGTAAATCAGGCTCTCTTGACAGACAGTGAGAATGTAAGATCGTGTTTGTGAGGCAAAATATTGAATATGAAAATCAGACTGAAGGTTCAAAGTGACCTTCTCTCTCCATAGATACAGAGTGATTGTCCAGATCTCAAAAAACGAACCTCCGTAAGTTGGAAGAGAATTCTAGGCGAGCAGGCACTTGTTACATGCTGGCTCCTAGTCGTTTCTGTGTAGAACGGGTTATCTTGATTCTTATACAGTTACTGGTATTCATGATTTTCGTCAGCAAAAGTATCTTGAAAATCAGCGCGTCTTTTCCTGCACCGGAACTTTGGCCGATTTTGACCTAAAACCGGTGCTGAAAATGTAGTGGTCTGTGACACGTCATGATACCGGTGCTTAAGCATAGCAAGCCACTAATGATATAATGACATACATCAGTAGGTACAACGACTTCTAGTTATCTCTTTAATACTTTGTGTTAAAGTATTCAGAGGAACTAACTATGTTGAAAAATAGAGTAAATTAATACAGAGTCTAAGCTAACAAATCGATATCTCTCTATTCTTCGAATACGTTGTCTTAGGTTGATGGGACTACACAGTGTGACGCCGATTGTCGAGAGTGAAAAAGTTGTAAGGGTATTTACAGAGTGGCTGATGCGGCTCAACCTGTATCAATAAGGTCTTTGAAGAAGCCGGGGCAGGGTAGTCATGCGTACCCCACATCGTGTGGTAATCTAGACAGTTGTGAGGGGAAAGAAGGAGGTGGGGCTCTGAAGAAGAAGCTGTACAGGAAAAAGGACTTTACTACATCAGCGAAAGAATCTTCAGGCCAGCACCGCTACGTCCGACAGCAGACTTCGATCCAGATCTACGAATCTTGAGTCCGTCAATTTCGATCGCAGGTAGTCGATGATTTGCTTGAAATACTCTTTTAACTCCTCAATAGCATCTGGATCGCCTCCTTGCGTATTTGGCAATAGTGCCGACAAATGTTCCCGACATATAGTCACTAGGGTGTTGATTAGACCTTGCCGATATTCATCCTGAAGAGCATCTTGGTAGCCATTTATTTCTCTGACAATTCCAAGATGCCTCTTAAGATGAATCTGAATCTGAATAACAATATTATAAGCCTTAAATTGATCTGCAACAAAGAGATCTCAGGGCAGCCATGTTCGAAGAAGTAGATGTAATTATCGAGTGTTTCGATGAAGAGGATGAGCATCAAGGGATTGGTGCTAACGCACTGCTCGGCCAGGCGGACGCACTTCTGGAGGCACTGTTGGACTTGGCCTGATGCTTGCCTTGTCTTGTTCCAGAAGAGATGCGAACAAATGTTGATGGCTTTTACCTGAGTTGTAGAGCGATTGAGTTTGCGATTGCGTTTGTTGCATTATATCTCCACTAAACAACACGAAACGAGCTCCATTCTGGATCACGTAGAAATCCTACTGACTTTAAAACAAATTGAAATTTTTCAACGACATGAATTAAGGTACCTGCTGTGGTTTCTTCAGCAACTTCGCTCCAAACTGCGTGATTTTCGTGCAGAACCCGTCGTAGACTGCTTCCTCCAGACAATTGAGCTGTTGCAATACTCCTACCATAAGATTTATACAGCGGAATTGGCCTCGAGACTCCTGGACGTCTTCCTCGAAGACTGATAAGGCTTGTTCCATAAACTCACTGCAAATATCCCCAAATACACAGCTTCCCTGGTCAATCGCGTTTGCGACGCAGGCGGCTTTGAGCCATAGTTGGACTGCGGCTTCAGGCGCATTCGTGTTCAGACGCGGATTAGAGACAAAAGTGAAGAAGATAGACTTTTATTGCATGGCTGCGGGGTAAACCGTCCTACTTAGGACGACGAATATAGAGGGAAGCGAAGATAGAAAGGATCCGTCATGAGAATACTTAGAACCTGCATAACAGTTGATAGCGTCTTGTGCACGAAGAGAAAGTATTTCTTGCAGCCCATTTCAGGAAGGGTGTAGGCACTGCCTGTCTTCGGATCGATCACACCGCTTTGGGCCGCTAATTCTCGGAGCCGCAGTCGAGGGATGAGATCGAGGATCTTATACCTGATCCGTTTCAGGTGTATCGTGGTGATTCACGGAAAAAGGAATTACATGTTAACATGTTATGTAGTTCCAGTAATGTCGCACAAAATCTCTTTCTTCCAATATCCCTTCTATCAAATTTCATGAAACGTTGTAAAGTCAAATTCAAGATTTAATAGTACAGCAGCGCCGGCAGCGTTACGGCCATTCTCCTCGGTCCGCCTGGTCCGAAGAAGCTTCTCAAGATTGTGTAAAATTGGAACAGCTTGTCGGTATCAGGGTGTCCGACTTGATGGACCAATTTGCACACTAATTCTTGCTCAGCCGCAAATTCCTGCTCGTCTGAGGCACTACCCTGACCACCTCCACTAGCACCAGAGCCGGGCTGAAGATGTTGAACCTGTTCTGGGTCGTCTTGGAGTAGTGGCGTTAAGAGTCTCAAAAGCCGTTTTAGGTCCTCTTCAGAACTCAACCGCATATCGTTCTGCAAAACCAACTGCAACAAGGCCGCGCTAGCTTGTTTTCTGCCAGTGAAGGAAAGCAACTGCACTAGATTGCCGTAGTGTTCTAAGTTCAAGACAGTCAAGCCAAAGGTTCTGACAGGCGCAGAGAGAATTTCGACTACTGACGCTATGGAAGAAGCATCCTCTAGTTTCTGCGGAGTGGACTGCTCATTGTCGTAGCCCAGATGTCGAAGCAACAGGTTCACAGCTCCACTCAAAATGACATCGACGTAGTGAATTCGTTCGGGATACAACGTGAGCGTGAAATTCAGGAAAGCAACCTTCGAAAGTAGATGTAATGAAATAATTTTATCAAAGATCAGCACCCTCCAGGTACAGCCACTGCCACACGTTAGTCTTGGTACATCAACAGGGTACTACTACTACCATAATTCATCAATAATGACGAGATGGACCGAGGAAGACCAAAGTACTAATATTCTTTTTACAGCAAACAAAAAACGGTCTGAGCCTAGAATTCAGAACTTTCAGCTTCTGGCCTTTGCACGTGTGTAGAGCGCTACACTAGAGGAGCTTCATTTTTATTCTGTCCTTTGTTGCCCTAAGTGCGGCGTTGAAAGATGATTGTCCGACAAGTTTTCGATTGGAAGAAGGTAAGGCTAAACTATCTATTTAGAATAAGTTAGATCTCATGCGCGCATTAAGGCTAGCTCAGCCCATTAAGCCCATCCCCCTCAAAGGAAAAGCGGCGCTCTCAGTAAATTTCCCGGCTAAGAATCTTGCCCCACTCATGGGACCCCCAGAGAAGTACGCCGCACCGGGGCCGCGGACGTCTCATACATTTCCTGGCGTCAGCAAAGAGCGCAGATATGGACGCCCAGAAAACACCCGGCGACAGTGGAGCTAAATGGCTGCAACGCCACCGGCAGCGAAGTGACAGAGAGAGCGCGAGGGGGTCACTGCTGTCCCTTCTGGCTGCGCTTCCTCCCGTGCTGCAAGCAACCCGAGGAGCGAACGGCGAAGACAATCGAAACCCGAAAGAAGATAGCCGCGCAGCCAGGCCCCCGCCTGAGGGCCTGAAGTTGCCGCCGTCGTCATCGTCTTTTTCATCGCCCCCGCCGCCTCCGTCGGCATCAGCACCAATAGAAGACTTCTTCCCCCTAACGCTTGCGCTGGAGTTGTGGCTGTTAGACTTGTCGCCCTTGCTTGGTTTCCGGCCACTGTTGTCTCCATTTTTGGGCCTGTCTTCGCCAGTTCCTTCCCGCACTCTTAGGCCCTGGGTCTCCAGAACCTCCGCTGTTACCGCGGCCGCCAGCTCGTGTCCGCTTGCCCTTTGAAGGCGTCGCGTAACCAGCGCCAGCAGGCCCTTTGAAGATGAAGACGCCGCGCCACCAGCGCCGGCGCGTTTTCGTCGTGCTTTGAAGACGTCACGCCACCACTGGCACAGCTCGGCCGATTTCGTTGCCCATTGATTACCGCAGAAAGCTCCCAGATAAGAAGCCGCGAAGTGCTTTGCCCAGGTAGTTCCATAAGGCCAAAACTGGGGGCCACCTGGTCCCTACTTTTGGCCCCGTGGAACAAGCGCCGCTCCCGGGTTGGCGGCTGGCGCGACAAATGACACACATCACACCGCCAGCCGCTTGCTCACGAATTGGAGGCCATTTTCTTTCGCCGACGCTTCCGACAGCTATAGCGTGCGGATTGAGGGAGAAGGCTTTCTTGACGCGAATGCATTCGGCCACGATGTCATCAGTCGGCAGAGCGCCCAACATCGGAGCCGGCGCATGTGCAGCAGGAGGCGCAATGAACGACGTGCGCCATGCTTTCAGCGGGCTGGGTTCAGTGACCACCAACGAGATTGCCATGGCAGTTTGTTGGATCAGCATCGCCACAGCGAGAGATATAGGCAGGGCCTGTTCCCCTGAGGCGTCTGGTCTTTCCTCTTAATCCCTGTCATCGGCCTCAAATTCAGGAGAATGCGGCAACGCCCCCTGGTCTTTATAGCAGCTTGCTAGAGCGCTTATGACCTCGCGCGCCGTAAGTTTCTCAGTCACGATCTTGCTCAACAGCCAGGCAGTTGAGACATGAGAAGTCGAAGCTTGGCCATCCCCTCATGGGCATTCTCTCCCGTCGGGCTCTTCGCTTTAACTCTCGCGAAGATCCTGTCGATATTCGTCGGGTCCCAAGGCGGATGGGCGATCAGCTCAGCGGTGGGATTACCAGCAGCAGCAGCGTAGCGCGCATTGGCCTGCGTCACATCCTGCACCAGCCCCAGCGCGGCACGCTCGGCATACTCGGCGGGAGCGAGACGCAGCGGAAGCCGTGGCCACCACACTGATGAGACGGAGCGCGATCAGCTGCGCGACCTCTTCGTATTGATGACCTCCAACAAGAGTAGGCGCCGAGAGGAGATGCAGGCTGAGAAGTCCGAGACCTGCTGCAGCGCTCTATCAAGCGAAGCTGAATCATTTTCGAAGAGAGCGATCCCCCCGGTGCCGAAGCTGTAAGCTCGGACATCCTGAGGCCGAAGCCGACTAAAGACCTGACGCAGTATGCAAGCTTGTTACTTGCTAACCAGGCAAAGAGGGGCGCTTAGCTGAGAAACCGCCTGAGCCCCTAGGGCCGAGGTTTTGCTGAAAACCAGCCGGCCCGTGCTCTGCTCCAGCTCCCATCTGGCCCAACCTTGGCGGACACTGGCCTCCCTCTGCAGTTCCATCGCCTGCACCTGCTCCCGGCACAACACCCGGCGCGTCTTCGTGGTATCCGCCTCCACCTTGTGGGCTTTCTCCTTCGCCGAAAACGCCACCCCCTTCGTGTAAAGGGTTTCCCGCTCCTCGGCGCACTGCGCTACGCCGTCCCTCCGAGGAGCGCAAACACTTTAAACGCCTGCGCCAGGTTCACGCGACAGGGCCGCGCGCTTCACTGCCTAAGTTGCCCTGTGGTTTGGGGGGCTCTAATGCTGTCCGAAGTAGACTGCGCCACCTGCCGCCCGGCTGTGGCACCGGGTGCGCAATCTCCCGCGCCTTTGGCGCTCGTTTCTGCTGCGACGCTGGTGACCCGCCAAAGTCACCCCGCTGACAAGCAGCCACCAGAAGAGGCATGACCATGGTGAGCTGCTGCGGGTCCACCATCGACAGCAGACTGGCCGCCGTCTGTTCTGGGCCCACTGCCGTGCTGGGATGTGCGTCGAAGGGGTGGCACCCCTGAGCGCGGCCCCTTTCTTCTGCATTGTCAGGGGTATCAGGCAGACGAAGCACGGCGCCCCTTGTACATCTGACGCACCGGCATCCTCTACATGATGGGCCTCACCATCTGCATCCTGACGAGTGACATTGCTGAAAGACCGGCAGCCTGTCCCGGTGGTCGTCTGATTTCTGCCAAGTGTTTAAGTTACTGAGACGGCAAGGCGCGTCACCTCCTTCGCCCGTTCATCGACACTCACACTCATAAGCTTATGTTGTTACCTGCAATTCTAGCAATGGTCCTGCTTCGAGTGTTTGCTGTCTGTCCAAAATCTGTGCCAAGAAGTTCCGAAACAAAGAGAAGATGTCGATATCCGCGAACAAATCTTCGATATCTCCATCGTCGGTGGGTGACGGCGTTCTATTGTTCATGAAACGCGCCAGGCGGTTCATCAAAGTCACTACCACCTGCTTCAAGTCAACTCCAGGCTGAACTTGGGTGCACGCGGTTAGGAGCTTTTCCAGTGTGTAGAGATGGTAGTTGTCGGGAAAGACCTGGTTGATGAAGGTCGTGTTGGATTCAGTGCTTGAACGATGAAATACCATCAAGGGGATGAAGGGTCTTGTACCTAAGAGGTGCTCTTGCTGTGTTTTCTTGCCTCCTGTATCTAGTACTTCTAGACAATCTAAAAGCAGAAGGAGTGCATTCGTATTTCTGCAATTAGGAATACCTGTATTATGCAGTCCAGAGTGTATTGTTGGGCCATCGCGTCTTTGGTCTGGAGAAGGTGTTCTAGGAGTTTCGGAAGTGCGTAATCCCGATAAAATTCCCATGTCACGCCGTCCAATTGCGACATTCGCACAAGGTTTGCGCCAACTAATGACGACAAATCTTGCCTTTCTTTGTATTAGAAGAAGTTGGTTGACGAGTTGCTGCAAGAAGTGAGTGACTCGGATTCTTAGGACGAAAGAAAGGTACAGCGAGCAAACACTTTTGAGAGGGTCAAACCAAAAAGACTACTAGAATTGGATGGAGGGAACAACCTAGGAAATATGATGGCGAAATTAGTAGAAGTCCGATTTCTACTGAACTCGACATAATTTTCACGTCTTGCCCGGTCCTTTCCGCTGATTTGAATACGGCACCATAGTTTCATCGCTTCGATGAAATTCTGAAGAACGAAGTCAAACGCATCCTGTACCCCACAAGTCTCTGTCTCGAATTCACTGCCTGCATCTGGTAACCGATCCTTCATCATCTGCGAAAGATAGTACCTGCGAGTGATCGTGTGTATGTCACGTCAAAATCAAAAAAAAAAGTCACCAAATCAAAATCAATAAAATAGAAAAAAATTATAAGTAGCATGATCATTTACAAATGTCTTAAATACCGAAGAAACAATCCTCGTGTTGGATGCTGCACGCCCTTGCAGAGCTCCGAGACGTCCTTAAGGACTTCTCCCGCACATGTCTCCTTACTCTGGATGTACGCGGCGCCGACGGTGACCAAGAGGTGGTATGAACGAGGGTGGAGAAAAGAAGGGGGTCGGTGGGTGATGTACGTTACATATAATTCAAATTGACTGGTAGTCTTAGTAACCCACGAACACAAACACCTGCATTCAGAAGACAAAGCGACCACATATCAATTTGAAAGATTGGATCTTTGTTTTTGAAACACTCACGAGATAGCATAAAAAAATGGTGCCATAAGTAAAGCCTTGGCAGGATATTCGCTGCATGCTGTACGCTCTCGTAGAGGTCGGACATTCGCTTGTTGTGTCGCCGAACATCTGAAAAAAATTCCGCTAGATGTCGCAATTCTTCGAAAACCTGGGAAAGGAGTTGTTGGATTACTTATGTTCATGGATATCAACATTCGTCGGGATTATCATCAAGTTCGAGAATAAGTTTATTAGAGTGACTGCTTACATCGAGTAATTGACATGAAGTACAGTCAACCAGCAGTAGCTCGAAAATAATCACAGGAGTCCTCTTGATGTTAGTGGTATGTCCTATGTATGTGTTCTTCCTCGGAGATCTAAAAACAAGTCAATTCTTACGCTTACTTCTAAATAGATGTAGTAAGTAGATGAAGTTGTACCTGCATATAGAGCTCGTAGTAGTTTTTTGGTGAGAGCAAGCTTGTTCGCAGCTCACATATGAGATTGCTTGCGTGCTTCAAGGCTTCCCTCAAATTATCAGCGTCGATGGCTCTTTTCATGTAAAAAGCCTGCTCTTTCACCACCGCACCTGCTTCATCGAGAAGCCGATGCTGATCTTCGAACTGCATCTTCTTGTAATAATTCTTCTTGAAGATGTGGGGTTCTTGTCACCACAAGTAGACTACTTCTTGTCCCAATAATTCTTGATGTGGGGTAGTCCTACAACTTGTGAATACTACAGTAGTACTAGCACTTTTTGTAAGACAAATGTTGGAGGTGTTCTTGATGAGGGTGGAGGTGTTCTCGAAAAGGAAGCTGGCTGGTGACAATCTCTGCGCAGCTGGTGAGATGTAGTAGTGCAAGGTCGAGAACTAGTACTTGATGTGGAGGCGTAGTTGAAAGCTGTGTCGGTGATTGTACAACGATAGGGTTTAGGGAACAACGATAGGCAAGTAGGTGCGCAAATGTAAGAGGTGTTGGTGTAGTGCTGTTGTATCGCAAAGAAACGGCTAGTGAGTGAGGTAGTACGCCGGAGAAGAGCACAGGTCGATCCACGACGTTCACTTTACCGTGCTAGTCGTATCTCGAGATGTAGTCGGAGAAGTTCTTACAGCAGGAGTCGGAGAAAGAGTAAGAGAGCGGTCTCGTATTCCTTGATGACCCTTCAACAAAATACCGGTATCATGCCTCAACGTGCACAAGACACCTTCAATTCGAACAACACTTCTGCTACTCGAACAATAAGCACCTGCAGCTACAACTATCCGCAGTGGTTGTACTAGAACTAGCTTCTCTTATACGCAGTAGGGGTCTGCACTAAGAGCATCCACGCAAGGGCCCCTGCGGGGCCAGCACTCTAACCGACAGCACGACTTCGGAATAACACTAGACGCCTCATTATTCTCGACGTACTGCTAGTGAATATCCTGTTGATACAGAGAAATTGCTAGATTACTACTTCTTCGACCTATTAATGTAACCCTGTTCAAAAATCCGCAGGCAAAAATATTCAAGAGTGGATTTCATGATCGCCCCTGGTTATTTTTCTCATAAGGTAGTTGATCATGATCAAAACAACTCAATGCTCCTCTAACAAAAGAGCTGCAGGTGTACATCAGCCACTATATAAACCAACAAGGAATTGATGCCGAAGAGAGTAGTAGTCAAACGCAACGTGGAACTTCAATGGTTCTGCTGCAGCTTGGTCTGAATGTCGTGCCAGAAGTTTCCATTCAGTGTCCCTTGGGGAACACGCTCAAAGATCATGGTCCTCACATCTAGAAAATTGTTGCCATTCTCAACATAATGTTCTTTTGACATTGTCACTGAAGAAGAAGATAGAAGCTTTCATACAACTTCTTGACGTCGTTGAGAATCTTCATCTTCAGGTCCTTCTTGTATAAGACCTTCTTGCTCTAACGTGGTTTTTCATCGTGCCTCTTGTTCTGTAGATTTGACGTGACTTCTTGTTCTGTTGATTTGACACTCAATATCTGTCGTCTTTGTTGTTACGACCTACTATTTTTGGTATAACCGCATTCCTACGTCGCAAATAAGGTCCATCTATTCACATGGATCATCGCATCATCTTAAGAATTGAATTTCTACTTTTCTTTCCACATTATTGGTACAACTGGCTTTTTGTTTGATTCTTGATTGCGAAGAGACAGATGACGATCACGCTTCGAAGACTTGGCTTATAAATATTCATCCTGTCCTAGATAGTGCTAGTACAACTAAATTTTTCTTTGTAATATCTGTTGTCTTCAAAATAAGAACGAATTGTAGTTCCAGAACAAAAGTAACAAATCGCTCTAACGAAAAGAACGCACTACACTACGACTATCTAACTGCTGCTCGATCTAGCTAGTTCAGACACAATCTAACTGCTCGATCTAGCTAGTTCAGACGCTTCTACCTGAGATGAGCTTGGATGATCCTTTTTCACCGTTTTGAAGAACGAAGAGACGCTTCTACATGTTGATGGCTTTGTAGCTTCTATTGATTGAAATCTGTCTTATACGAAAATGATCTCGTCCATATTATCCTTTTATTTCAGTGTTCTTTCCTCTTGCTTGTTCGAGCAGCTTGATGTAAACATAGAATAAAGCACAGGCTATAAAAATTTCTCTTCTCGCGAAACTCACAGCAAAAGAGCTCGCGAAACTCACAGCAAAAGAGCTCTAACTTCAGCTAAAAACCTCGTGATTCGAGTTCCCGTCTACGAAAAACGTCCTCATTCCCATCTACCACTGACAACTAGACTACGTCAACATTCTAGATCCAGTTCTTTCAAACGGGACTACTCCTCTAACAATAGACTACTCCTCCAACAACTAGACTATTCCTCCAACTACGTCCATCTAGTACCCTTCAACACGACATGATAGCCGCGTATTCTTTCACATGATAGCATATTTCCCGGGTTCTAGACCCATTCTGAGACGCACGCAAGCGTTGATAAAGGCTTCTGCATTGGTATTCGGGAGGATTAGATCTCACGACCACAATCCATCTTTTCCCTCAGCTGCGCAGTCCATTTTTCTACCTTGAAATAGCGCACAGATGGAGTCCAAAAGATGGACTTTATAAGTCCATGTGAGGCCTTAAGAACAGCTGTGATTCCTCGACCTCGAAGCTAGCGGTACCCCTTCTATTCGTGCGTACGTTCCTCATTTTTTGTTAGAGCTCTCGACCCCATCAATCTTGTTGTTCCTGTTCCATCTTTTTACCTAAGAAACAGAAAGAGAGTACTACTTACATCCTGCGTGTCGGGTCCCAACATGCTGCGGTTCTCATGATAGAGCAGCTCTCTGCGGTGGCTCCATTTTTCTCATGAGAAGGCAGCGCTCTCCTAGGATGACTTCTCTGAAGATGGGGCAGGTTACGTTAGGCTTAGGTTCGGTTGGGTTATGTATCCTTAACTGTCCTGCTTGGCTCTGGCTTCCTTGGTTGATGCTGCTCCTGTGTCCTCTTCTTCTTTTTAGAGAACAAGAGGAAGAGAGAGGTGATGATGATGAAGAAGACTTGTCTCATTTATCTGTAGAAGAATGTACTTAATATGTAGGATTTGACGATTATACATCCACAAGAAGATGAAAACTCGTTTAGTATCAGCAGAAGAATCTCCACGATTCTTGAAGGTACTTAGCAGACAAGAAGACAAGAACTCGTTTTTTTAGAAGTAGAACACTTGTTTATGACCCTTTTGTTCCTTCTGTAGAAGAAGTAGACTGTAGCGATCTGTAGAAGTAGTAGAACTACAGTAAGTACTCTTAATTTTCCTGCTGAATCTGGATTGCAAGCAGACAATTCGTCGACATTCCGCGGACAGCTTCGTGCACTGATGAATTAGAGGCATCATCGCCGTTGCGCCTCAAATGGTCACTTTTATGTACCATCGAAAAGACGAAACCGCTCGTAATAGGATCCCGAGGCGCATCTTTGAGTACTATTCAACAGACATTAATAAAAGGGACCTCGTGGTACCTACTTTTAAGGCTGAGGAGTAAATTTTTTTGGACGATAGGAGTCCTGTATCATTTCTGTTGTACTTCTCAGCAGTGTATTTTGGGAAATTGTTACCCTCATATAGGTGTCCCATTGCTATTCAGCAACGAGGGGCAACTACCAGCTGTATAATAAGGTCTGAGACTGGGACGATTCTCAACTCACTCGCCAAAGACCAAACTTTTCAAAAAACCCAAAACTTTTGGCCAAAGCCCAAACTTCCGCAAAAGCCCCAAACTTTTTGCCAAAGCCTAAACTTTTGCAAAACCTCAAACTTTTGCAAAACCCCAAACTTCTTGCAAAAGCCCAAACTTTTCCAAAACCCCATAATTTTTGCCAAAGCCCAAACTTTTGAAAAGTCCCAAACTTTTTGCCAGAGCCCAAACTTTTTCCAAAAGCCAAAACTTTTCCCAAAGGCCCAAACTTTTTCCAAAAGCCCAAACTTTTCCCAAAGGCCCAAACCTTTTCCAAAAGCTCAAACGCTCCCCAAAGCCCAAACTTTTCGCCAAGCCCCAAACTCTTTCCAAGCGCCAAAACCTTTCCAAAGTCCCACACTTTGCCCAAAGAGAAGCCCAACCTTTTCCCAACAAGTCTTAAACATTGCCCAAGCCCAAGCCCAAGCCCAAGCCCAAGCCCAAGCCCAAGCCCAAGCCCAAGCCCAAGCCCAAGCCCAAGCCCACAACCACCGCCACAGCCACAGCCACAGCCACAGCCACAG